TGAAAGTTAGGACATGAATTTTGAAAGTTAGGACATGAATTTTGAAAGTTAGGGCATGAATTTTGAAAGTTAGGACATGAATTCTGAAAGTTAGGGCATGAATTTTGAAAGTTAGGACATGAATTTTGAAAGTTAAGACATGAATTTTGAAAGTTAGGGCATGAATTTTGAAAGTTAGGGCATGAATTTTGAAAGTATTTTGAAAGTTAGGGCACTTCTTTGCATGCCCTCTACGTTCACCCTCTAGCGGGTGTCTCGTCTTCCCTTCGACTCCTCTCCCTGGGGAACCTCTCCAGGGGGCTAGTCTAATATGAATGTCTTTTTAACAAGTATAATTCCGCTTCGTTGACTACTCGCTTGCCGTACCACATCACTGTAAATCAAGTAGGACCTGGCTTGCGTTGCTTTCCGCACTGTAGCGTGGTTCGGCTCCTACGGCGAGGGTTCTACTCGCGTCCGCGTTTGCGTTACTTGTACTAGTTGGACTGGGAAGATTTTCGAAAAAAGGAATTTGATTCATTTCCGGCACACCCTTTGGCCTTACTGCATTCAAAAACCGCTCTGCGTGAGACCGCCGCTCGTTCGCGGTGGGTGTCAACGCGTAGGTGGAAAAACGACTAATTTTCGCCATTTCCAAGTGGGTCAACAAATCTTCTTCAGATTTCGCACCGCACAGCGCGTCGATCACTCGCTCAAAACGCTGCGTCCAGTCTTCGCTTTGAAATGATGCAGCCTACAAGAGAACAGAACAACTACGAGTGTGAAGTTTAGAAAGATCATGACGTCGGGTGTATGAATGATACAGAAAAAAAAACTAAAGTCTAGTATAGATAGAGGTGCAGACTAATTGGAAGAAATTCCATCGGTTGGTTGCACGGATATTATTGTTGAAAAAATATGACCCTGAAGGAGCATGCACATGCTTAGCGCAAATCATTTTTCACACAATCTGTGCATGCATGCTCCATATTATAGATGATTTTTTTCCACGTCTGTTGCAACAAATACCGAGAAATATCGTTACCTTGAAGTTGTGCACGCTGACGTAGCAGAAGCCCGCGCCTTTCTGTGTCGGTTCGATACCCCGAAAGAGCGAAAGCAAAGCCTGCAAACACCAGAAGAGCAAACGGAAGTGAACTTCGTGTTCGAAGACGTTTGCTACCACGTTGCCTGCAGCAAAAATCTCAAAATCGAGTCGGAACACAAAGAGTCCGTGACTTTTCAATTTCGACATCCCAAGCGCGAACTGTTTGAGCAGAACCAACCATGGCCTAAGCGAAGGCACGCATAAACGTTTGCTAGTTGCAGGAGACACGGTGGTTGGACTCTTCACATCCGAGACGACGATATCTACCACGCCACAGGATACGGCGCCAGGAAGTAGATCACATACGTCCGCGTACTGTACCGTTAGCGTTGCACCAGTGCTGCTGGAGTAGGAGGAGGTGTTCATTTGCCTTTCTTTTTATCTTCTTCTTCATCAAAATGTTGCCAAAAATAGGAAGCAAATGGAATTGGATGTAGAAGAAACGTCATACTAATGATGATTCGGCATCACCTTGATTCGGCATCTCTTTATCGTGTACTGTTTTTCGAACTACGTACAGCATATGATCCCAATTTGAGCCAAAGAGTGATGTATAATCACAATTATAAATTAAAAATATAATATATAGCGTAATTTATAGCACCTGGATTTCGATGGCGCGTGCTGAAGTCGGTGACCTCCGGACTCGACGGGCAGGGTCACTGCGTGGCCTCGTACGATCTTCTGTCGTGTTTCATTTCGGGTGTAATTGAGTAGAAACTCCGTGAACCCTCCTGGGGCAGCTCCGAGGTCTAGGAAAGCAAGTTCGCGGGTCCCGAGTAGTTCGAAGTCAGAATTTCGGAACTTTGTTACTATTCGCGACAGAAGTTGCTCTCCGGTAAGTGCTCCAGATGCGTTTCTGGTGGTCCCGCTTGGACCTCCTGCTTGCGGTCCAGATCCGGTCATAGTTGAGACCTCCTTTCCCATGTTGCCGCTCGATTGATAGCTCCCGCGCATCTTCGAGGGAGACACAGGGGACACAAAATGCGCCATTATTACCGCTTCGTTTTAGTCTGAGTAACTACTTCCAGCAACCGCTTCTACATACTCAGGTGAAGTAAGTACATGAATTTGAATTGCATTCAAAAATGATTGATTTGCTCGAATTTCAGACCATCATGCATAAACTGCAGTCATTTCTCGCCTAGTAACCAGGACTCTCTGACGTTGCGTCATCGAGCTTCTTTTCTCCGCCGCTAATCATAAATACGGGATTCTGAAGATTCACTACCACATCCATCATGTAAGTTAGTACGTCGCACAGAAGAATCAGACTCTCTTTTGTCTTCCATTATGACTTTGATTTCGGAAAAGGAAATTGTTTAATGATGTCTCAACGATGAAACTACAACCTACGATCAATTCTATTTCGTAGATGGGTCGCAAAAACTATAATCATATGCATCACACCTCGGCTTCTTCATCCGCTTTTGCAAGTTACTATTTCTTTGTCAGGAATGAACAACTAACAAGCAAATGTGGTCTTGCGTATACATGGAATTATTGTTCAGGAGTTGCGGACCGATCAATGTTGGGATCAATGACTGATGTTGGCTACTTCTCCTCGACTCCGGCTTGTGTTCATGCTTGGGAACGTTTTTGCCTTTGTTCATCTCACGAGTGGTAGTCTTCTCAAGCACACAGACATATCTATGTTCTACCCTATATTTGGTGGGAATATGCACAGATGATTTGCCAGCGTGGTCGTTCGATATATTATCTACTGAAATTTCCTCAGGCTACGGAAATTTCCTTTCTATGTAAAATTGTTCAGGGGATTCCACTTTTCTCTGAACACAACAAGGTGAGCGGCCGCGGCCGGACAAAGAGAGTAAGTGAAAATATTTTATTTCATATCCTTTCAACTAGCCCTCATAAAAAGGTAGCTGCAGTAGCAATCAGCACTACAGATAAAAGGATGAGGCAGGCAATTTCTTCCTCGTTTTATGTTTTTATTGTTCTTGTATGTTCTGAAAATTCTCCTCTGCCTTGGGTGTGAACCAGGCAGCTTTTTTTTTTGCATAGGCAAAGCAGAAACAAATAGAACTCCGTGATTGCAAAATACTCGATACGGAAATACAGAGGTTCATAATGTTAATGATCCCTATACGGGTGGTCTCCCGAGGATTTCGCCGTTCTTCTGTGCTAAGTTCGTCGTTTCGAAATCGACGAATGCTCAGTGGTTCTTAGTTCTTAGGGTTAGTTATTTCAATCAATCTCAGCAGCCAGCGAGGTACCTCCACGTCGATAGTCTACGAAGTTAGTAAAATGGATTTTGATTTTCAATAATTCGACAAAGCTTTTTACTTGGAGTTTTGGACTAATCCAAAAACCCTTGATTAAGTAATGCATAGTCACTTACAGTTCCAGCACCTGTTACGTCACATTTTCACTTTCAGCTTATATATAAAAATGCAAATTATAACAAACTCGGCCTCGGAGGAACATGATCATTTTCAAATAAGAGTAGAACATGATAATAGTGTAGATTCTTAAGTAGATACTATGGGTTGTCGTGTGTCATCTTGATGATCACCCACTTTTGCTTGCTTGTACGAAGTGTTGAGGACGTCTCAATGAATCGCCTGACTCAGAATTTTACCACAGATCAAGTTTCGCGAATAGCAAAAGTCGAGAATATCAGGTGGATCTTCTCCGTTTCCACTTTCCAGGATGATCTATATATCATTATAAGTATAATTCAAATAGCAGCTGTACTCCTACAACATAGTACTCCTACAACGTAGTACATCTACATATGCATACGGAGCACGACGCGACTTTGAGACGTGCAATAAGAGAAGGTTACATTCCAAATCGATTTTGGTGTTCCGTGCTCCAGTGTTCGTCTTCGTTAGGGTCCCCTGCGTACCAAGGAGATGGAGAAGGAGAAGCGTGGGGATTAAGATAATACGACGGTGCTGCAAGAGCTGTGACACCGTACGTACTCGGGGTTGCTGGAGAGCGATCTTCAAACACGACACCAGGAGCAGCGTTCGGGTTGTGATACATACTATTGCCAAGAAGTTGCGATGGCGATGCGTATACTTGTTCACGACGAGCACCCGGATAGTATAATATGTGGTGCGCAGGAGCTGAAACTTGTTGCTGCATTAGAAGTAGAGCAGCATGCTGCTGCACTAGAGCAGCATGTTTCTGCATCAGAACAGCGCGTTGCTGCATTATAGCTGTTGTTGCGTGCTGCTGCATTATAGCTGTTGTTGCGTGCTGCTGCATTAGAGCAGCGCGTTGTTGTTGCTGCATTAGAGCAGCTTGTTGGGCCGCGGAAGCCAAACCTCCTTGATGAGGTAGTGCTCTGTCAAGAACTGATGACATGGGCCTTCTCGTTGGATCAAACAAGCGACGACGTTGCTGATCCGCTATTACAGCCTCAGTCGCACGAAATTGCAACAGGGATGCACTAGCTGGCGACGAAACACTGTTGGAGATTGGCACATTGCTCGCGCTTCCCCCTGTCAGACAATCCGCTATTACAGAATCCAAGAGAGCGCTACTAGGGAAGGAACGACTTGCATTTGCTACTTCTTCCTCGGCGTTGTCGACGTTAATAGCCAGAATTTCCTGTGGTGCAGGAGAGCCCTCGCCAAGTTGTTCCATGTCCTCCGCGTCCGCGGGAAGTGGAGCGCGAGGACCGATGCGGATTTGGGAGCCCAACGTCGGCAAGTTGTCTGCTGCTTCTTGCAGTCGGACGAGTGCTCCTTCGACTGCTTCGAGGAGAGTCATTCTCGTGGTAGCTTCGTTTCTCGAGAGGAGGAGCTCTTGTCCACCCGCACACCATCCGGTTGGAATGCGGATTTGCTGGAGCTCCTGCCGAGAGCTTTCCGTCAGCACAAAGCGCAGCACTGTCATCCGCCCACTGCGTTCGTGCTCATCGTGTTCTTTCAGTTGAAGTCTACCTGATTCGCGATCACGGTCAAGTTGCGTAAGAAACTGTTCTGTACCGTGCACAGCCACATATGCGGGAACGATACCCTTTTCGCAAGCGAGCACTTTGCCCTCGTAGGAACGGATTTCCGCAGCTTGAAGAATCGAATCCTGCGCCACCGCCTCTGCGACCGATTTTGAAAGCTGCCCCGACGGAGATGGAACCAAAACAGGACTAAGGCTCCCGTGTGGACCTTGTTCAGCAAATACCGTCGTCGGCGAAGGTGATTGGCCACTGCTAGAGCTAGAGGACCCTCTTTCTTGCACCAGGAAGCTGGAAGGTGCACCACCTCTAGAACAACTACTTGTTGTAGTACCGGTCGCCCTGCTGTTGTACGCGAAGAGGCGTCGCAAATTGCAACCCCGGGAGGAGGCGCCAGTACTTGTTCTTCTGTTACAAAGAGACCACATGGCCTGGACAATGCGTGCATCGCCTCGGTACACTGCGCGGAGGAACCGCTCCTCGATAGTTCCCTCTGGCATTGCAAGCCAGGCGTCGAGCAAACCGCGATTCGTGAGGACATCCAGAACGAGATCTTCTCGTTCATATCTCGAAGCAAGTTCCAGAAGCTCCTCCAATGCCACCAGGTCATCTTTTGCAAGATGACCGTTGGCTTGAGTGCTTCGTGCGGTCACTTGTGCAGCAGTCTTTAACCATAATACCACGTTGGGGTGCTCGCAAACAATTGCCAGCATCTCCACTTGAATTCTCACTGAAGATGTACTTGAAGGAGAAGACTCGCGTCCTTGTAGTTCCGGTTCTTGCACTAGTCCTGTGCTTTTTGTACCACCGGATATACGTTGATGTTGCAGCGCTTTTTTGTTGTCGTGGACCAGCTGCAGGTCGTTTTCGTCCAGAGCGTCGATCAGCGCGGCATCTTCTTGATCCTCCAAGGCTCTTTTTCCAACAATGCAATTGACAATCTGACGAGAGAAGCCGATGCGGTCTCGCAGGTCCTTGATAGAGATAAGTGGCGAAACTTGCAGTAGCTGCGGAATGGCGGAAAGTCCGTGGAGAGCCTCCACTTCGGCATCGAGATGGGACCGCATCGTCTGCGGCGTTGCAATCCTTGAACCCGCGACTTGTCCTGGTTCTTCTGTGCCACGTCCTTCTCTTTTTTGGGTGAGCGAAGGAGGATCCGAGACCTGTGGAAGTGGACACGTTGTGGCGCGGCTGAAATATAATTGCCGGTATGAAACGGTAATCTCCGAGGCCGCTCTCACGAGGTCCTTTTTCGTTTTTCCGCGGACAGCGTCATTTTCAACGGGTCCATCGACACGGCGTTCCCCAAGAGCCTTTCTTGAGCTTCCACCCTTGCCATGGTCCATATAGGCGGTCGAAGCTCTTCGTCCTCTCTGGTGTTCGTCGTTTTTCTTGTTGTGGCCCTTATAATGAGTGTACTTTCCTTTACTTTTTCCCTTAGAGCCACCTCCATCCCCATCGTGACTACCTTTCGCATTATCTGAACTCTGCGTCCACCCTTTACTTCCACCAGCCGAACCGTTGTTAGTCCTGCGTCGGCCGGCGGTCCGAACCATCACTCCCACGGAAGAACTCACATTGCCCAATGTGATGACTGTCAGCAGCAATATTGACATGCGCACCCTAGCAGGGGCAACATGAAGATCGCTGCGATTGAGCACCATTTTACAGACTGATGATAACCATAAATCTGAAGGACTTGCTCTTAGTGTTCTTTACTTTCTATTGTCGTTGACCTTGATCAAAAAATTGATGTTCTTCGACAACATTCAACAAATTCGTTAATCTTATTACCCGTTGTCTCTCTCTTATTGCGAAAAAAAATGAATATGAATGAGTCGCGCAAGCCTGTGGAAGTGCTTGCAAAGTGGTTGCACATACTTACATACATACATAAATACATACACACATACATACATACATACATAGGTATATCCTAGACGTAGATCAATTTGACTGATATAAAAAAGCTAATACCAGTTCCACTTCCAGAAAACGAGATTCGCGAGCCTGAGCACCTTAGGTAATTTCTCTTGCAGATCTAATCAATCTTTTAGAACTTGTTCAATATCAATTTCAATATCAATACATGCACATTCTATAACTTATTCTGATTTTCTTATGGGAAAGATCATGAAGGATGACAAACAAAATGAAATACCTCCTCCTTGTTTTCGCTGCTGGACATGGAAAGTGTGAAAATCGAATTCATTGCCTCGCAGCGTGGATTCAAGTCAGGTCCTTTCGAGGAATCTCTGTAATAACTACTAATAAGGATCGCGATACCTTGTTTCATGATCAAGAACATTTTCAGAGCCTTTTTGTACGTAGGTGATCTTGTTCTTGTGCTTTCCCGCTACTCCTAGGAACTGCGCCGTTTGCAGACCTTGATCTTCCACTGCCCCTTCATGAAGTAGCGATGGTCTATAACCGCTTGATGACTTGATCTTGTTTGATGACGGTGATTTTCTTGATCTACATTTTTGCCTTCACGACGACGTGGATGTGCTTAGATGACTCGTCGCCTCAAAGCCTCACTCGTCCTGTGGCTGATGAAATACGCATTTGGTACCTACGTGAACATGCGCTTACGCGTAACTAACAATTGCCTTGATGAAAACTATTGTTCTGGCAATTGAATATCATGTTCATGCAATGAAAAGAAGGTTGAATGTCTATGGTATGTCGAAGAAGTAGTCGTGTAGTTCCCTCTCGGATGGCAGCTCGTGAAAGAAAGAGTACCGATGGAAATTGCGTTCTAGTATGTCACTTTTCAGTGCGTTTGCAAAATCGTTTGAAGATGCTCGCAGTTTCTTCGATGTAGCATTTCTACCTTTCAGGCACTTGGAAATGGGCGCAGTGGGCGCAGACGAAGTAGGCAACACTGTCAAAGTAGGCCCCGCTCCCTTCAGCATAGTTTGAGTGAACCATTGCCTCGCACGGGTTCGCGCGAAAACGTACGAAATAGCAGGATATTCGGATGATGGACGATTGCTCGCGAGGATCTGCCGTAATTCAGGAACAGCAAGAGGGTGAAAGCTCTGCAAATCGCTTCGCTGTACCTCCATTCCCAGTGTGAACGCGTAGTGCCGAAGAAAGAATTCTGACAGGTTTCGACTATCTTGAAACGCGACACCGCTAATGCTGTTCGAAGTTGGATCTTCATTCTGTCCTCTCGTTTGGTCCTTCTCGGACGCACTTCTTACAGCTGCAAATTCCAGTTCCTTGGACGACCTACTTGAACTTCTTGTTATTGTTGTAGATCCTTGTCCACCCTCATGTCCTGATAGCAGAGTTTGAAGTGCCCCCGGATTTTCTGTGCGAGTACCACGCGCCGACTTTGAGCTTTTCCTTTTTAATGAGAATGGACCACGAAGGACAGCTTCGGCAAGGCGTGCCAAAATAGTGCAAACGCTGTTACGGATGCTCACTGATGGCATCGGCATCGTTCTTACTATCGAATTTGAAGATCTCTTGCCGTTGCCTTCTTCAAATTGCAACAGAGGTCTTGCAAACTTGTTCTTGTTCCAGCTTTTTGTTATCGCTGTCGCTTCATGATCGAGATCGTGGTCCTGCTGTTGTAGCTGTTTAGTTCCATCTGCAGTTGATACAGCGTTCTCCTGTCCTTTTTCGAGAAAGAGAATAGGTTCCTGTCCCCACGCGAGGTTTTCGAGATAGGCCTGTTTGCACGTCTGCATGTTCTGCACCCGCGGATAAAGTAGCCCCTGGTTATCGACATCGCTGCCACTCCTGATACCACCTGCCAGTCGAGCAACAACGCTTTCAGGTTGCGCCGCGAGCAACTCGTGTAGAAGCTGTGACTTCAGCTTGGCAGATGTTGAAGAATTTCGTGTCGGTTTGAAGTGCAGGAGCAGCTCAAAGATGGAGGAAGGGAGCTCCATGATGTCGGGCGAGAGAACGCCACCCAATTTCACGATATCCTACTAAAGGTAGTTTTTCACTATCCCGAGTCGCGTGGGTTGCTCTCTTTGCCCTTTATAGATTCCTCTTCGAGTTAAACTTAAAGGGGAACCCACTCAGGATAGTTGGTTCACACGGGACAGTGATAAACTACGCTTAATCCTTATTGGGCGTATGCAACATATGCAGAGCATGACCCAACTCATGAATCGTCGAGAGGAGATCGGAAAGCAGTACTAGGCGATGCTCCCTTCGCCCGTCGACGTCTATCACCTCCGCACGCAAGTTGCGGATGCGAACCAGTTTCGGATGCAGGAATTCCGCACTGGGTGCCAGACCCGGCATAGATGGTCCACCAAGGTTCACCTGAATGGTGCCAAGGTAATTTTTGTCGCCCTTCTTGGTCAGACGTTTGTTCTCCGGGAACCCGGACGTGGTCGTGGATGAGTTTGAGTCGGTATCTCCGACAGCAACTGATCGCGACGTAAAAATACTGCTAGTTTTCTTGCCAATATTTGTATTTCCCTCCGCTGATGCTCCCGTGAAAGTAGACTCCTGCTCTTGGTTTTTTGAAAAAACTTGCACCTCGAACAAATTTTCCTGCAATTGGGATACAGACGGGTCTTTGACAAAAGTGAGACCCAAATAGTTGCCGAGAAGCGAGAAGAAGAAATCAAATCCTTTGTCAACAACGACTACCGACGGTGCGAGCGAATGCCTCGAATTGGAGCCCGCCCTGCGGGCACCGCCTGACGACCCTCGCTGGAAAAAATGCGGCATGCATTGGGCCGTGAGGACGGGCAAGTCCGCGACTACTGATAGATCTTTCGACATGGACAAGCCCTGTCGCTTTGTGCTGTAATTAGTGGCCGCATGATTCGTACTATAATACGTCTTTGCGTTCTCGTCAACCTTGTTCTTTCCTGGTTTCACCAGCGAAGTAGCCTGCCCCCGGTTGGTGGAGACATTGTTGCCACTTTCTCGAGAATGACTGGGTCTACCTCTGCTCCTACTGGAACTGGTTTCATGCGAAGGATGACTATACTCGTTGGGCTGTTTTTGAACCAATTCGTCTTCTTGCCGTGTCTCTTCGAAGAACCGGGGATCAAAAAGACGCTGAGCTTCACGCGCAAACCAATCGGAGAATGATTTCATCAGCGGGCCGATCAGCTCCATTCCCTTCTTCTGCGGGTTTTTCTCGTGGACGCACAGCATAGAGTTCTGAATGTCGGCTAGGCACAGAAATCCCGCTTTTCGCGCAGTGTCTCGCGCTGCGAAAAGCAAATCCCGCCAAGCGGCGTCGAGCTTTGGCGCGGCTTCCAAATAGGCTGAGTGATAGGCCTGCAGCAGCTCGACCCGCCACTCTCGACGAAGACAGTTCTCCACCGCAGTGAAGAACGCTGCGTCGTCCCCTAGTGGCACCGGGAATTCTTTTTCTCCTGCATGCTTCTGTCTCGAACGTTCCAACAGAAAGTCAAGCGCTCTCGTGAGCAAGTACCCTGGTGGGACCTGGGCATGCCTGCTCCGGTTTAGTGACGATAGGACACTCCTTCCGAAAGCCCCGCATGCACGGAGACGGAACTCCGTTTCATAATGTTGCACGAAAACCGGATGCAAAGCGGCTTTTGGTATTCTCACAGGTGGTTTCCTAGAATTTGCACTCGAAACTTCGTTCAGCACGCTTTGCAACGCCAAACGCTTCCGCAAAATATCGTCGCTAGACTGAGCACGCTGGGCTCGAGTAAAGCGTTCGCACATCGAATATGCGACCTCACGTTCAGACGACTTGCGGTTAATCTCCGGAAGCGGAGAAATACCGCGGACAAACCATGACGTCGAAGAGTTCCTCGTCTTTGTCGTCGCAGCGCCACGACCATTTCCTTCAAGAGCATGAACATGGTAGCCATGATCAATTATATCTGCACCTGCATCTGCCTGTTGTATTTCGTTAGTACTAGTTGCACTTTTTGACTTCGATGAACCAAACTGAGAACTGGTAGAGAGACTGAGGTTCTTCGCATTTTTGTAGTTATCCCAGAGAGCGTTCAGTTTTTCAAACGCGCGAGAGGCGTCGGGATGCCTGTTCCGATCTGGGTGCAACTGCTGTGCTAACTGCAGAAATTCGCGTCGATAACAATCAGCAGAAGTAGATGTGTTCGGGTTATGAACTTCTGAGGAGCTGAGGAGATGCTTGAGCCGTGTGGTACGAGGGTGCAGCACCTTTCGTATGAGAGCTCCTTGATGTTCGGCCTTGCTCACGAAGCCACCTTGCTGTATAGGTAGACCATGGTCGAAGTGATCAGCTGGGGCGGATGATTCATCTTGGGTGTATCTTACACCACGAACATTGTCGTGATCCTGTATTTCGAAGTCAAAGTCGTCATTCCTCCCGCGAACCTCTTTGTAAGTGCTTCTTGTCGTAGCGTGTCCGACCGCGTGCGCTGCAACAACTGCACTTTGTTGATGGAATTCCCGACGCAGAACAGAAACGTAACATGCAGGAGTTGAACCCCATTTTTTTGCTGGAGCAACTGTAGCGCAATATCCGCGCTTCAACAAACGAGCTGCTGAGCCAGGTTTTGGCATCGTTTTTCGACAATGCCTCAAAGAAATCCCCTACTCGCCTGCGATAAGTTGCTGATCGACCTCAAGAGCTTGTTCAAAAAAACTTGGCCGTATCCGTTGTCGCGACTTCTACCTGATGTAAGTAGACTGCTTTAGTTCTAGAGCCTGCCTTCTTCTACTGCAACCTATGGTGCTGCATGCCAGTGAAGGCCATCCAATCATACGAAGCATTTGGCCTTGGCAGAAATGTTACTACGATAATAAACTGAGGCGATCTTGTTCACATCGCGCTAAGGCTGGTCCTACAAGGCGCTTCCACCGCCCTGACCTTCCTCCATGCGCGCAGAGCGGTCCATCATTTCAGTAGTCTGCTTTTCGAGGCGACTTGCACGTCGTTCTGCTGCTTCCACTGTCATCTTTTGCTTCTCCTCCAGCATGCGTGTCATATCAGTCTTCCCGAGCTCTAGGAAATCGGAAATTACCTCTCCAAAGAAACACACGTTGTCGAAGGCACTGTAGGCAACACGGCCCAACTTCGAAAGCACTCCTTTCCGCGGTTCAAGTTGTGGATCAACGATTCCGCTTTCGCCGATTCCAATTGACCCAGCGTCTTGTTTCACATCATCGGCAGTAAGCTGCAGGCCGTGACGAGCGGCGCCACCAGCACCTGCTGTACTGCATGCCGCTCCTCCTTTTACCTGTTGCTCAGGCATAGTTTTCCTATTGATGTTTCTGCTAGTTCTTCATCTAGTGCTCCTGCGTGCTCGAATATGACAGACGTCATTGGGAGGATACTGAAACTGGAACAGAACAAAAGAACAAGAATCGCGCAAAACAATGATAAAGCCTGATGAACAACATTATGGATTTCCATTCCTTTACATTAAATATACATGATAGCAATGGCAATAGTTAGTGCACGCAAAGGCTGCCTCTGACTCTCGCTTGCGTCTCCAGCGCTGTTGAAAACAGCACGTTGCATGTTCACTGGTACAACAAAAGTCATAAATCATGCTCAAGCCTTTTTACCCCTCAGACGCACTCCTCGTCCTTTCCATCATCTCTGCGTACTAATATGCACACCCTATTCACCTTCTGCTCATGTCGCCTGATTCGCAAAAACCAGACTTACATCCTTTACTAGAACAAGTATGGGCATGAGCTCCTCTTTCGCTACGTGCCTGGTAAAGACCGAGAGCTCGCCATATCGTTCCTAAACGCGGTATCAATTTTGGTTGCTTAAAAAACCAACGTGGAGCGCGAGTTTTTTTACACACAAAACAGAAGTAATAGTCGGAGCAACATGGGTCAGAGAATGTGAGGGAACTACGAATAGTCAATCTTGTGCTTTGGGGATGGACTAGTCGCTTTCAGAGTCGGAACCATTTGAGGATGCATCATCACGATGATCGTCATCACTACTGCTCCTTTCCCTCTTTTTGCTTTTGATCTCCTTCTTGAGTTTTTTCTTCAATTTTCTCGCCTCTTTCTTGAGTTTCTTTTTGAGCTTTTTCTCTTCTTTTTTCCGACGTTTCCGCGACCTGCTACGTTCACTTTCTTCTTCTGACTCTGATGAGTAGGCCACATCGGCACTTGATGAACGCTTCGCTGCTTCAACTGCTGCTGCTGCTGTTGATTTTGCTTCCACCTGTTCTTTAGCGCTGTTTTCTCCACGAGAGAGGGGCGCATCCTGGCGTTGTTGCGCTGCAGCTGCAGCAGCGGCATTGTTTCCAGAAACTGCGTGCTCCACAAAACGTCGTGCCACCGCGGCATTTTGCGTTTCTGCTCTCGGACGAGGCGGTGCCATGTTGCTGACTGAAGAATCATAATAACCTTGTTGGCCATAATGACTGTTCTGCTGGGGTTGGCCACTGGAAGAAGGATAATTACTATAATGATCACTACTAGTATGCCTCCGGTCGTCCAGCGCCGAATATGGAGCACCTTTCATATCTTCTTTTCCGAAAGAACCGTTTTTGTCTCTGCCTACGCCTACGGTGTGCTTGTCGTGCTGACTATCTTTGTGCTTCCCGCCCTTACTGCTCTTGCTGTCTTTTCCCTTGCCTTTGCCACCCCCTTCTGCTATGCGCACTCCAATAGAGCGACCCTCCAATACGTAGCCGTCGAGCGCCAAGCACGCTTTTTTCGCCTCGTCTAGGCTGCCGACGGTCACGAAACCGAAACCCCGCTGTGCTTTTGGGTCGTCAAAGCTTGCGCCAGCATCGGCTGTACTGAGATCATCCCCTCCCTTCTTGCCCCCGTCGGGGCCATGCTCCTGTGGCAAGCGAACCTCCACGACGAGGGAATTCTTTACCTCTTCTCGGAAGAGCTGTAGCAGTCTGCTTCTCGTGACGTCGAACGACAATCCACCAACAAAGAGCTGGACGTGACCTTGCTTCTCGATGTCAGCGAACCCCGTTGCGACGTCAACGCTCAAATCCGAGAGCAGCGCCGTGCGCTCCGCTTGTAACTGTTTTTGCGTTGATCTCCGGTCGAAGCGGACACGATAATATCTTGTGGACTCGCCGATAGTTACTCGATCCCCTTCGTTCAGGACACACAGCTCGCCATGATCAAGTTTACGCGCGTTCACCTTGGTCCCCGCTTTCGAACCAAGGTCAGTGACACCAAAGAGACCCCCACTGCAATACGCAAACGCCGCGTGCCGACGTGATGTGCCTGTACTAATTGTAGTGTTAATATGCGCTCTATTGAGCAACAGTGTTGTTGACTTCTAGCGAATGTCACTGATCATCTTTAATATTAAGATTTATTCTCATCTTTGCTTCAGCACAGAAAAGAAATCTTCAACAAAGTCCGAGAAAGTCGATGAATATGATAAAATCCGTGGAAGCTGTATGTAAGTACTCGGATGTTGCGGCACGAGTTGGCAAATATCCTGCTGTCGACCCACAAAATGCAACGCCCTATCCAGCGCGAGGTGGTGTTGAGCAACGCTTATGCCCTCTTTCACCTCGTCTAGCACTACCTGGGTTCGCTCCATCTTGTCGTCTGAGAGTCCTGCGCACTTGTAGAGCCACTCATCCTGCTCGCTGAGTTCTGCACCTCCTCCCTCTTTTCTAAAAGTCGCGCGAACAATCTGCAGCAGGCGGCCTAGCTGGTTTTGCCCTTTGCCCTGCACTGTGCCCCAGAAGATGTCGTAGCAGTCGTTCTCCCAAACTAGAGGCCGCTCTCCAGTCTCCCTTAACGATGTGCTCATTTCCTTGCTGCGGTGAAACTTATCGCGTAATATCTTTTCGCACGCCATTAACCTCTGCGCGCTCCAGCTTTCGAGTGATTCTAAGGCGTCGACAGCCGTGCGCAATTGCTTAGCCGAATGTGGATATTCGTCTTCGTACCGTTCCTGCCAGTCGGGGGACAGGTTTGCAGAAAAAGCCGGTCCGTACTGCACGTGGAAAAGCGCGGCTGAGGCACAGGGAAAATCTAGTCTCTGGCCGTTGCTCTGCACGTACGTCACCTTGCAGGGATGGTCTGGGTGCAGGAAACCAAAAATTCCTGAAAAGTTGTCAATTCGCGTAAAACGGAATGAAGATGATTGACCGGTTGCCGCTGTCGATGAGGCTGAAGAGCCACTGGCACCTCCACCGGTCCCTATGTGCGAGGAAGAGCCTGCGCTGTCGTGCCCACCACCAGTGTTGTTGGACATAAGTCGCCGCCGCAGCTCCTGGGCACGAGCAGCTTTAGCTTTCACTTCATTCATTTTTCAGTTCTTCACTGGATGTACCAATAACGAACACGAAGATGCGTAAAATATAACAAGTACTTACGACTAGTTCTTGCAAATTTCACACACGAACAGCAATGTGCGGCATCGTTCCAGTTTAGATTTAGAATCAAGTAAGCGACTCACAATTATATCAGTCATGTAGCCGCTGCCGCAGGTGAAACAAACAATATTTTTTTTTCTGAAGAGAGTCAACCAAACTTCTACCAAAAAATATCATTGATGCGTGTACTAAAGGACCGCAAGGATAGGCATTTGCGTCCGAAAAGAAGGGTTGAATCCATTTCGCGTCGCCGAAAATCAATATTTTCAACTTCTCAAAATGAAGAAAATTTCTTGTAGTGACAGATGGTATTTTCATTTTTCTAGAGACGTGTGAATTATGAAGTGAGATTCCAACGACCATCTTTAGCCTTTATCAGTCTCCGTTGTGATCAGCGATGCCATACTAGAAAAAGAAACGTGATTAAACGTTGATACTTCATCAGCCGATCACGAGATGCAAATTTCCTGGGTTCCCTTGCTGTCGTATGACCAGACACATGAAATTGAAAATTATGCTGAACTGCGGTAAAAGAATAGAGACATTGATTCGTATTCTAAGTAGCCACGCGTCTCCTTTCTTCTTCTGTGCTAGTAGAGAGAGAGCTTATGAAGACGGCCACTGCAAGGAGAACACTACGACTCAAAATGAGCAAGAGGGATGAAGAACGTTTTCCCGTCCTTGTTGAGCATCGATTTGTGGCAGAGATGGCGAGACTAGGTGATGCGATACCAAAGTAAAACTTCAGAGCATAAAGATTGACATGTGCTCCCACTATCAAACGTCGCAAAACTCTTTGACATGCCCATCTCCTTGGTTGCACAATATGATAACCAAAAGTGCCATGTACAGATTGGCTTTGGCGTATGGCTTGTTAGCGTAACGACCAAGTGATAGTCACAATCTCAATACTTCATCGTATCTGTTGGGCCGTCGCTTCTTGCCCCGTGTCTGCTTCAGGAGAGCCAGGCATGTCTTCGACGGGAATTCCGTCGTCCCATGTCCACCGTAGTTCCCGGGGTTTCCGGCCGCAAAGGTCGTAGCGCTTGTCCATGCAGTGGAAAAGAATACCAGTTGCCCCGTTGCTACAACGGCGTGCGTAGACCACGCTATCATGCAACCCAGCAGGTACTTCGCACACAACATTTTCCCTCGCCGACGTACCCAAATGGAGACACTGCTGCAACTGCATCGGACAGTCGTGTGGCATCGTCCTCAGCAAATACTGTAATAAGTAAATGCCACCAACGAACGCGAAGAAGAGGACGCAACATTGAAGCTGCGGGCTGCTGCCGCTGGAGTGGCGAGGCTGCGGGTTGCCGTACGCCAACGTGCGTTGTGTCTCTCCCCAGAGTTGCACTACCGTCTTCATCTTCCGCTGGGCAACTCCTCCTGATGCTCGAAGCCTCGCGGCTTTGGCATCTTCCGCGCCCATTTCCAATGTCGATCCCATCAGCCTACTGGTCGTGGTGCGGTCCTCTTCTTGACTCGACGAGCCTCTTTCTCTTCCACTTGAAGATGACGATCCTCGTGCGTTTCCAACGGTGCTCCTCGCATCTTCAGGTACGTCGAAGGTGACCCCGCCGGCGTCGTTCACCGCAGGAGCAGGCGCAGTCTGCACCATCAGTGGGGCATTCCCAGGTGCTTTTACGACCGATTTTTGGGCCGCAGCTTCACTGCTCGCTTTGATACTTGACATACTTCGAAAGGGGTCATCAAAAGCAACTATAGTGAAAACTGTATGGCAATCAATTTAACAAATATTAATATATCCTCCCGATAAAGTAGATGAGAAGCGAATGAATAGATAGATTCTCGTCTGTCGGAACAACACTATGCCACATATCATCTTCAAGTGCCAAAAAGGAAAACGAACAAGAAGAATACAAGACAATGCACTCTTCTAGTGGTACGAAGTATAAGTAAAGTGGAAATTATCTAATCCCAATAATCGTGCTTTGCTCAAAACCAAACTGGAGCAACAATACGCTCACAAGCATATTGATTTCAGAGAAGGGACCTGGGATCCCGTCTGTGCAATTTTCAAAATCTCTTCGGGCTTCACATTTTCTTATACAGCTCTCTGGTGGTTCTCACATTCAACTTTGGTACGTACATGTTGATTATTTTAGCGCCATATTTCGGCAGTAGAAGGTTTCACAAAATCACACCCCTCTATCAAAGTTAAATCGATGTTTCCGGCTGACATCTCACCTCTGGCCCTCAGCATCATCAGTTACGCACGAACGCATTGAGCTTAAAGTAGGTAGGTGTTGTCGGTGTTCTTACTGAATCACAAATTTATAGTATCGTCATGACTCTTGTCAGCGGTTACCCAGCAGAATGAGAATCCTCGGTAGTCACGGCAGGTTGGCTCTCAGACCAACGTTCTATGACGAAAACAATTGCGCAGGCGTGGGGGAGGCTCACGGAGGTATTTTTGGTAGGGACGCTCTTGATAACTAGTAAGTAGGCTAAGTGTAAATCTTAATCTATTTCTGGCGCTTAGCGTTACTGTCAGTGATTGTGATAGCGGGTTATCTATGAAAAGTCGGCGTTAATGACCCGTGATAGTGATTATGATCCTCCTCTATCTTTTTAGGCGTGCTTTTGGTTGTGGCGCTGCATCCCTCGATGTTGACGCAGCATGCGTGCTATTCCCGCTCCTGTCCCTGTCGCCGTCATTTGAGATGTAGACAAGTCTGGCATTCAAACCTTCCTCTTCGATCTCGAGATTCTGTTGCTTTATGCGCTGATTTTCGGTTTCGCGCTCGTTGTAGCCCTTCACCATCCCGAAAAAGCCCAAGGTCGCTAGGTACCCGAACAGAAAAGCGAAGGTGGACGAGCTTTTCAGAAAATGTGTGGGGTCCGGAGCAGTTACAACACTTTTACTCGTCGTTGCCTGTACGTGCGACGCTGCACTTTCCCCGCTGGCCCTTGAGGAACTTCTAACTCCTAGTTCGAGCAGTTGTTCTGATGCGCCTGGTGTCGTTTGCACTCCGAGTGGCGTACTACTACTAGTAGTATCCACTGTTTCTTGCTCTTGGTCATGTTCAATCATTTTTGATGATATTCTTCTACTTGATGCTGATGACATCTGACTCCTCTTTCGATGCCGCCTTGTCTGTTGGTCTCCGCTCCTCGAAGAGGAGGAGGTGCTTCTCGCCTCTGATGACGAAGGATCATGTCTTCGAGTGCTCCTCTGAGCTACGACATCATCTTGATGAGGATCCCTGGTGCTACGGAACGACGAGTCGCCCCGATGCCCGTCGTCATATTCGTCGCTGATACTTCTTCCACTTGCACCAAGCCGCGCTCCTTCTTTCTGGTGTGTTTCTGTCGCTGCGTTTTCGTCCGAGTCAACAGGCTGCTTGTCACCATCTTCTGACACAATGTCCCCCTTGGCCGTCGTTTGCAGCCGTTGCTGATCATGATCAAAGACAGCGGCGTCTCTTTCACTGATACTGGAGACCACTGTCGAAGTGTCTGCAGGCGTCCGCTTGCCGCTGGTCGTCTGGATTTCGTGTATTAATGTGGCCGGCGAGATGGCCACAACAAGTTTCTTGAGTCGTGGCATTCTTTAGTACTCAACATCTGAGACTGAGACAGTAATCTTGAAAATATAATTTCCGTGATTGAACTAACATAAAAATAATCTCAAATTCAAAATATCCGCAATCTCAAAAATGACCTGACAAGGACACCTGACAACGGTGCAAGTTAGAAGTAGAACAAGGATGTGAAATTGAAAAGTCCCCACTCTAACTATAACTAAATGAGAATCCAGCAAGAAGTCGAATTAAATATGAACTGTGAGTGTGGTTGAATTGGTGGAGCCATAGCTCAAGTAGTTGCAAGCTCACATCCTGTTCCTGACCCTGGTATTCTACTATGTATAATAGTATGTTCCGCGACTTTCCCCCTTTTCAAGTGCTTTTTTTCTGTCCCCGTGTTATCAATGTCGCACTTTTCAGCCCGCATGATATACAGATTTATTCATGTTGCCTCTCTGTCTCTGCAGCCTCATCTCTCAGTATCACTATTTCGAGTGCACAACTTACCGAAGCTAGAAAGAACAATTTTAACACTTCATATTTCAAAGAAACTAATGAGACCTTTTTCTCAACACAAATATCAGAAGCACAGTTGCAGATAACTCTCGTCCTCCTTCCTCAGCAATCCGGTTTCGGCGCTCTACTCCCGAAATCTATTTCGTGCGTTTTGCTCTCGTTCCTTGGGTGCAATCCTTACGTTGCCTTTGCGTGCATCTTTACAACTTGAAATGCAGGTCGAAGCGCACAAAAGTATTTCCGTCTAGCTCACGAAGGACATGACTTGCAGCCCAAAGAAGTCCAGTAGAGTCCATCCTTTTTAAGTCGCCAAGTATAAGCGACAGTTCCATGTAGAGGTCTAGAAGCTGAGTAGTCGAATTTTCACTCTGAAGGACGAGATGACCACGTGGTGAAGTTGTAGTCGACGAGTTTCTATCATCTCTACCTTTAACAGAATTATACAGTTCTTCAAATAATGGTCTGACTTGATTGCGTGGTAATAAGCGTCTTGATCCTCGTCCACCTCCTAGCCCACTACGAGAGTGACCTCGACTATCCGGCTCCGGCTCCACGATCTCATCCACTTCTTGTTCGTCAGTTTGATCCAGAACCGTGTAGGGCCATTCGATGCGGCGCCACAGCGGCCCAGTCATGTAGTCCAATGCGTCATCGCCCGGAGGACCCGAGCCGCTTTCTGTGAAACACATCGGACCCATAACCATGCGGGACACCTTACGCCCATCAGAGGAGAATATCCGTTGCTGCCGTCTTGGGTTACCGTACACGCCATCCCGACCACGCATGCGCTGATTGCAGATGAGGCGAAAGTAAGCGCTTTGCTCAACGATCTTCATGTAGCGGTATCCCTTTTCAAACGCAGCGCGAATCGCGCCTATCGCTGTTTCGATAGAAAATATCTCAAGAGAGATAAACTGCGGCAGCAATGTCGCTGAGGTGGAATAGGATTTTTGTCCGTTCGGCGTGGCGGCGTCCTCGAGGTCCACCTCTGGGCGAGCAGCTTCTTCTGAGCGTACTCCTAGAGGTAATCGTCCCAGCTGAAGGAGTTGCTTGAAGCATCCGAGATCTAGACCTTCTAAATCGATCTTTACAGAAACAGCACCCCTCCAGCCGTGCTTCTGAGCGATTTCTCGATAGTATTCGTGGCAAGTCCTTGTTTTGTTGAAATCAAGTGTTGGCTGTATCACGTCTCGCAGAAGTGGCTCGTCATTGTTCACTGTACTAGCTTGTCCCGTCATCGGTGACGCAGAGTCGTCAAGAGCTTGATGTTCTTGAGCTACCACACCATCATTCACTTTGTTACTCTTACCCTGACCCTTGATGGCAGTCGTAGTTCCCTCACCAGACGGCGTTACGCCCTTGTCCTGCAGACGCCGGCCCCGTTCATATTGCGCACGATACAGAGCTCTGGATTCCTCGACGATCTTCTTTGCCTGCGCATCTTAGAAAAAGATAGGACTAGCACATACGCACCACGTCCACGCATGGTTGTGGACCAAACAACATCGAGAAAATAGAAAGGACCAAGTGCAAGTGACTCCGATTTGGTATTGGTTCGCGGATCATCATCATACAACTACCTAAGTAAAATAATAGGGTAAGTCATCTGAAATAAACGGGACGACAAAAAAAACCCTAATCATTCGTCCGCGCTACCGTCATCCAGCCAGATGATTCGACGCGCCTGAAGGTCTCGTTTCGCGACGGGACGATGTGAATCATCTGCGTTTCTAGGTGATTTGGAAAATTCGACTGCATGTGTCGATTCTGCAAGACTTGCAACGCTTTGCGGCCGCCTTCAACCGCCTCAACACGATATCCTAGTGTGAGCGCATACGTAGTGTCTAGCCCTCCCGCTGCGCCTAGGTCAAGAACGTACTCACGCCCATAGCGGCCTTCTACGAGAGGTTTTCCCGTATATCCTGTAGCTCGATTGGATGCTTCACTTTGTGTCGCTGCTTTGAGCCCTGGACTTTTGATACGCAGAACTTCCACTTTCCCTGGCGGACCAGGAGAATCCACCCGAACCGAAACCTGCTGGGCTGCATACGCGGCACCGCCAGTGCTCACCTTCAGTTCCTGCCTGCGCTGCGCCAACACCGAAGAATCAGTAAGCAGTGTGCGTAAAGTCTCGCTGAAAGCGGACATTGTCCAGTGAACGTGAGCACGCGAGATTCGCGTCATTCGGTACAGTTCCAACTCGTCCAAGTCGCATTCCGAGAGTGCATCCAGAAGCTCCCACGCAGTCCGATAGAGGCGGGCAAGATGCAGTATAAGCATTGCGTCTTCTCCTTGCTTCTCGGCGACCGCCCGATCTTGCTTGCATTTCTTGCCTTCGTCTTCAGTTTGATGTGATAGTGGAAGACTCTCCTGCTTCATCGCAGCTTTCGTGTCAATCAGACTGAGCCAGCGAGGGTCTCCAAGGACCTCTGATACCCCGCGAGCAAAAAGTAACTTGTCTTCAAACTTTTCATTTTGAGCATATCGGAGATCACCATGTTTCGGAGCTGCTCCAGCTGCGCCTTCTCTTTGCGCTTCATCTCCGACCGAGAGCGTCTTCGCGTACGCCTTTATTTTTGACACTATGCGAGCCTGCAATAGCGCTGATCTAGCTGCACTCATGTCCTTTCCGTCTTCCCCAGAATTATTCTGAGTATCTTCCCCAGTAAGCGTGTCTTTACCGGACGTAGGACTAGATAGACTAGTTGTGTTGATGCCTTTCGAGTTTTCGAGTATTCCGCTTGAAATCGTTTTTTGCAGAGCGTATCTCCGTTCTGAAGGCGTGGACTGCCACGATTCTCCTAAGTCGCCACTCTGCATCAACCACACGAAGTAGTACCATAAGCGAGCTACGGACATCACGAGACAGTTGTGGATAGGGGTTCCGATGCCACTAATCACGGCGTCTTCCTCTTCAAGCTTGGTGTAGTCACTTCCGTTTTCGACCGCATCCTTTAGCATGACTTTCAGCGGTGGAGTCTGCGTTGCGAAGAGGTCGCCGTCTTGTTCTTCTGATGCTTTTACTTGTTGAGAACTTCTACCATCGTCAGATTCGGCGCCTTGATCTTCCGTAGAGGTACCCATCAGCCGATGGTATTCGTCGTAGTCATGAGAAGACGGTCGTAACTCAATACCATCACCCTGCGAGCCTGCAAAGGCCTTCAGGCTCGGAAAACTCACCGAATGAAGAGGGCAACCACGAAAGCATTGACGCAGCCTTCCGCGAGGATGCACAAAGGACGTTGTTAGTGATCCCGATATACGCTTTACGGTCTTTGATGTTGGTGAGGCACCGTCTTTTTGAGTTTCCACTCTGCCAGAAGATCTTCGACGGCCGCTCCGTGGTCCGCTTGCTGACTGCGGTTTGCTTCCGCCACCATCAACCACTAGGGGAACCCCAGTCCCAATCGCGGTATTGAAGAAGCTGCAGCAGTGCTCTTGCGTGAATGTCGGAGGTGCCCAACAATTTCCGGTACCAACATTATCACTCACCGTGTAGCAACAAATTCGAAAAAAGTAGTCTCGCAGAGTTCCATATGTTTCTTCGTCGAAACATGTTCCCGGTCCCGGCGGTGTTTGCGTGATTCCTTGGTGTTCCACATCAACGGGCGTCGTCCAAGGATCCACTACACGTACACCAGACGCAGACGCACCATTTATTCTTCCAGCAAGTCCACCGAACAGTACAGCTCCGAAAATCTTTTGATGAAAGAACATCTCGACAATTTTCTGCAGGCGTAAGCGGAATGCAATAGCGCAAGTGCTGTTGAGGTGGAAACCTCGTCACGGCGCACAAAATAATGATATTTTTGTTTCGTTATTTGAGAAATGTGAATCAAATTTCTTCACTTGCATTGACTGATTCAGCGTTTGATTTGCATAGGAAGAAGATCTTCTTCTTCGCTAGGCACAAACGATACCAAAAACAGGTTGTAACATAAAGAAGCGCAACAATTTTGTTTTTTTGTATCTTGCACACTCCGCAAATAACAGTCTCTCCTCCAACATCGACCTCACAATCTATCAACATCAACAGCGTGTACCAGCCGAACACTGTGAGGTCTGACGGAGACACGCTTTTTTTCAGTCTCCATCTGCAACGGTGAACCGGTCTCCTCAGAGTAAGAAATTGTATGCGCCGTAAAAATATGATTGTGCTTGTTCTTGATCTGCAGAGCTCGTGCCCTTCATATGATTCAGGAGTCTTCGCCAGTGGCAGAAAAACAACGTACTAACTTAGTAGTTCATTGTTATATATAAGCCATGCATCTTGGAGTAGCTTGTTTGACAGTCGCAAATCAACTACCTCCACTCTTTCGCGCTGTTGCTATTGATTGTAACTATTTTCCTGTCGTCTACTTCTCGATACCTCGTGCGTCTACTTCCTTGTATTAGTCGGCCTCAAAAATGAGCTTGCTAGTGTAAGGACCCACAACTACAACAGGGCATGTTAGCAATTTTTTTCCAATATCCATTTCCATAGGTGTGGGTCATGATTTTTCTGGAGAAAAGAAAGGACTGAGGCCCAAAACACGTGGAAATGCACGACGTAGAACGCTCAGCGCATGAATATCATAAGTACACACCAAAGAAGAGAAATGCACACGCAGCTCATCAACGACTGACCGGCTCAATGCACGGCATGCACGAGTTCTATAATCTTCGAAGTTAAGGCTTCGACCCTGGTGTCTTGAAATCGCGAACAACTACGTGCTAGTACATCGATAATATTAAGAAAGTATGAGTGAAGGCTCTAAATTTCAAATATGAAAACAACTTTTTCACACAGGATTTGTACACGAAAACTCGTCTGCACAACGTCACAGGATCAGCTGCCTTGCTCTCTTCCGCGGCCAACGCGCACGATTCTACGACAACAGAAGATGAAGAGGACTGAGTGAGGCATCACGAACCAGCCAGGAAAATAATTGGTGCTGCGGTATTGATAGCGACTTCTCCATTTAGTACATAACTCACTGTATTCTCAAACAAATGATTATGATTCCGGATTAAAACATAAGGCTAGGTCCACACATCATCTATGTTGGAACTAGTGCGGGAAAGGATCACGCATCGAGCAGTACTTACGTGGCATATAATCCATCGTTGTCGTCACAAGCAACCGAGTAGACAAGAAATGAGTTTGAAAGTATCATTCTGCGCAGTCAGGAACAGACAATTACAGGTACTTAGATAGTCTACTGCTTCGACTTAGCTCCGCGCTACACCGGCCAAAAAAATTACAAATAGAATTATTGCTTTTATTTGCAATTCATTCATTGCATCTCACTGCGTCAGGTTCAGATTCCTTCATAAAACAAGGCTCATTGTCTAAAAGAGAATAGTCCGCGGAAGTGCTGGTGTCGTGTTCTGTAGTTTCGTCATTAAAATTTGCAGGCGTGTTTAATATGGGTTCCGCTACTAGCGGATCACGAATGTGATGATGATCTACCAGTACCAACGCAACATACGACAACAAGCACAGCTTTCGTTTTACGAGTTTTGCTTTAGCAACTGAGACCTGTGTCGTCCGGACAGGTCTTCCGAATGACCGATCGAGGGGTGAAGACACGCATCATTGATTGACGTTGTATACGTCACAGCAAAATAACCGCTTACATAATTGACATTGACTTCAGATTCAGTTGTAGTCGAAGTAGCTGCAACGAACTAAGTACGTTCGAATCTTCATTTTCGTGTTGGTACAGGTACTGATCGTAGTCGATGGGGCACGACTGCTTAATGGGATATGTACGGATTTTCCTCGCTGGTTCTACCATCAACGTGCTGTAAGGGTCAACATCGAATTCGAATCGCAGCTTCCCCTATCAAATTCCCTATCCTAATCCTCCTCGGAAGGGCAATAAAGTGTCCTGAGGACGATGTTAAATCAATCATGAATGAGCTCGCGATGATCACAAGCGGTTTTCAAACGCGCCCGCACTTATACTCTTTGGAAAAACCCCTTGCCTCCAACGAGTGCAGCGACTGCAGGGACGACAACGTACGAGAACGGACCAATCCGATAAAGAAATAATCAGAGGCTGCGGATCACTTAGGGCCTTGCGCGGCAGTGGGGCGCGAGTCGAACTCGAAACTTTATATATAACTTCCAAATATAAAAATAGGCTATCTATCATGGAAGACTGTTATTGGAGGATGAGAGTGTCGCAGCTTGATATTTGCGCTTCTGCTCGTCGGTGACAGGTCGTTGGATCACCTCTGTGTCGCCAGTGTGGTTTACGCAGAATACAGTATCGCCTTCCCGCGCGAGTCGTTCAGAGAAACGCAAAGCCGGAGCACTGTTCGTTAGCAGCGCATTTGGTTGCCCTGACGGTGCTGGAGGTGGTGGAAGCGGGGCAAGAAGCAGCCGGGGATGGTCGCCTCGAGCAAGGGGCGGCGAAATGCTACCTCGTGATGTGGTAAAGCTTCCCTGCTGATGCAAAAACACCCGATGATTCATCAAATTATCAGGCTGTTGCATGTTCGCCTGGGAGCGCCGTCGAGCCAGAGACGCGGAACTCGCAACGGTTGGGAAAGCTGCTCCTTGCGCGCTTTGTGACGTTGCATCTAACAAGCCCCCGTCTTCCGCCTGTGCTAGTACTGGAACGCTGGCGCTCAAAACAGTGCCGCGTCTGGCGGCCGAAGAAGAGCTAAATGTGGCGGACAAGCCGCTCATCGCGCCATTGCCGGAAGTGCACAGTGCTGATGGGTCTGGTTGACGGCCCGCCAATGATGATGTAGAAGACTTTGAGTTTGATCGTCCCCCCGGTGGATTAGCTGTACCACCTCTTGTCGGGGAGGACGGACTTTCGGCATCTCGATCGCCCGTCAGGCCTTGGGCAGGTGTTATCCCAGCCCCATGCGCTATGCCACTTCCAGCTGCAACCCCTGCTGACGCCGCTTTTGAGCCAGGTACGGAGGTCGTGGTGGAAGATGTCGATGCCCCGGGCGAGGCTGGCTTCAGGAACGGCGAGGACGAGGAAGCTCCGGAAGATAGACCGGCGCTCCACGATCTCGCTGCGACCGGTCTCTGCCCCGCGGCTCTGCGAATTGGCGTGTTGTGTCTCGGTTCACTTCCTGGAGCCGTTTGAGACGCTGCACTGCTAGCAGGTACCACAGCGCGGCCGCCCTGGACACTAGACGGTTGTTCCACGACATCTGTAGCACCATAATGAACAACTCGTCTTGAAGTTCCAGCGCCTTGCGTTCCGCCGGGCGCTGTGAAAGGTGGAACTGCAGCACTAGCAGTAATAGAAGCTGCTGCTTTCGCTGCAGGCGGCGTAGCGGCACCACTTCCCCCGCTGCCACGACCGAAAAAACTCGACGCACGGTTCAGTATTGGCGTCAACACCCGATCTGTGACCCACCAGGCGGAATTACGTTTTTTGTAGTCGTCTTCCTTCACCACGATAGCGAAATTTCGTTCCAGTATCCCCATTCGCGTGCGCGTGAGGTCTATGCGCGACTTCATTTCCATCAATTTGCGAGTGCGTGTCGTGTCATCGTACGCGCCGTCCACTATGAGCTTCCCTATGCTTCTCCACAACAAGCTGGAATAAAACAGCTTTTCCCATACGAAACAAACAGCACACGACGTCGCAAAAACTGTTACCATACTACTGAGCAACAAAACCCCGAAACTGCTCAGCAGGCTTTTCTCACCCCGCCCTCGATGACGGTACTTATGTGCTGTGCGGAAGTGCGCCCGCTTTTCCTGACTGATCTTATGGGCCGGATCCACCTGCGTCCCTACTCTGCTAGCGCCTTTTCTGGCAAGAGAACTATGAAGTTCTGCGTGTTGCTGCGTTTTCTTGACGTCGTCCGATGCCTGTAGAGGACGCAAACTTCGCTCTAGCTGCTGCTCGTGTTGCTCGACTACGCGGTCTGCTATTTTTAATGCCTCGAGTTCTGCGATCCGATTTTCACGCGCGCCGCAACTTGTACGCGCAGCTGCAGTACCCAACTTCATTTGGTCTGGATCTTGATGGAAATGAGAAGGTATATGATTCGCTCCAGCATTTTCATCTATGTGATCTCTGGCAACTCTCTTGTCCCGTAGTAAGTGTCTGCGGCCTCTTCTGCTCGGCTTCAGCAATGGGGATGTCCCCGCAAGGATGCCAGCTTGGGACCTCTCCACACGGTCACCGAGTCCGAGGCTCCCCGCGCTCAGCGACGGCGACGCCATGTGCTTGTGGCAGTAGCTCGGTCCGGCAGTCGCAACAGTAAGGTCGCGGACCTGGCAGTTGCGTTGAGATGTCGACGAGGAGGGCATATGTGCTCCTGGTCCTGCAGCGTGGAGGTCTAAAGAATTAAGTGGAACTTTTTCATTTTCTCCCAATATATCCGTTCCGCTCAGAGAACCAGAACACAGGGACCTCCGTTGAAGCTTGCTACTCACTGTGCCTCGTACACTAGAGCCTGGTGGCAGTGCAGGATGCATTGAAAAATCCTCGTCATCTGAGGGAACGTTGCGAAGCACAGCTGCACAGGATTGAATCACTGCCACTGGAGGCGGCGAAGGCTCACCACTCCCGAGATACGAATGATTTGATGACCCGAAGCTGTACGGAAAAGGATTCCTGTAAAAATTTCCACCCGGTGAATCTTTTCTCTTCGCTCTTGGCCGGCAGCTTTTCGGACGATTCGAACGTGTTCTACCTCTTGATGAGAGTTGAGATCCATCTGCTGAAATTCCACTCTGTCTCACTAGCCTCCGGCGCGTTGTAGAAGGGCCTCCTCCGACGTTTGTAAGCGTTCTTTCAGTTCCACCGGGTTTTCGCGAACCTAAGCGACGCCGACGGGTCTTGGACCGGCCTCTGTAGTAGGATTCCCCGACTTCACGTTCTTGGCGAATATTTTTTACACTTGTGTTGTCCTCCCGCGACAACCTGCGCTGATCGCGAGAAGATGAGCGTGAGCTAGAAAGTGCTTCGCTCTCGTCGTCCTGACACTTTGGCGTAGTTGTTGATGTCCTTGCAGTGGCACGCCCAACTGGCGCAGCACTTTTCTCTCGACTACTACAACTAGCAGCTCCTTCATTACGTGGCTTCTCTGCAGCAGGCTCCAAGATTCTTCTTCGCCCACTTTCTCTTCTTTTCTGCTGCGCGCTTTCTTGCGCAGAGCCAATAGACGACCCACTGCTGCCAGAGGATGAGGACGAGATCAGCCCACTAAGTAGAAAGAAGCTACGCTTTTTACTACTTTCATTAGATCGCCTTCATTTACAGCCGCCATTTATTTTACATGCTTGCCATCTTAAGCGCGTCACCACTGCGCGCTTTTCACTTACCCAGTGACGGAAGAAATGACACACAGAGACTATGCCAGGGCAATTTATAAGGTTTCACAGCTCGCATGGCATGGAGTGCATGGATCACATGGAGTAGCATGGAGCTAAAGGGGGAGCTTCTTGCGCCCCTTAAAGCTCTGCGCTCCATGCTACTCCATGCATGCTATAAACTACTCTGGCTATGCATATAATACGGCGCGCGTTTAAACAGAAGGATGCGATAGCGTTGGCGGTAGTCAAAGAACATAACTTCTTCGCGGTTCTTCACCTTTTCATCTTCATGCTGACTTGTTGCTCTCTGGTCTTTGCTTTCGTCTTTATAATGTCGAACTATTCGTTCGGACAGAGCTGATGATACGGAGGATGTGCGACTGGAGGACTCCTCGTCCCTTTGGCGTACAAAATGCGTTTCGGATTCCGACACATCCGATACTGGCGAGAGGACCTCGATTTTGTTGCCACTGCGGTTACAAAAAAAGCGCTGTGTCCGACGGGACGAGCCCGTCGATGGACTCGGCAGGAACTCATGTCGAAAAGAGGCGCTACTGCTAGCTCGGCCTGTGCCGACTATAACCGAGCATCCCGGTGATGCCTGAGACATTAAACAACCGGAATTCGGAACGAAATTAGGACTTGAAATAGTATTAATATCGTGAGGCTGCTGCCTAACCATATGATCTGCTGGTCCTCCTGTCCCTGATTGTCTTTGTCCCAGCCTACATGACACAACTCCTGTAGTTCCACTGCGTTGGGAAGACGAGTTTGAAGACAGATGTTGATCATTTTCAAGGCCCATCTTTCCTTCCGCGAGACTAGCTGACGACAGAACCGTCTTCCACCGGACGTGGCCAGTGCCCGCTACAAAATTGAAAGTCACTTTGCCTCCAGAATCCTCTCCGGCCAACTGTGCGTTCGGTGGGCCGCGTGTAGGGCTATTGCACTTTGCCTGTTCAATTAAAATTCCAGGCTCATGGGCGGCGAGCGTCTCGTGCGACGCAAGTGTATTCAATGAGACGTTACGTCGTTGACTGATTCGGGCAGACTGAAGTTGCTCACTGTGATCCATCGAAGCCAAGGAAAACTGACTGCTGCAGTTGACCAGAACACCGCTATTCCGCCAATCATTTCGAGACTCAAAGTGTCCCACCCGACGAGGGGAACCACGTTCCTTCAAGTGTTGGGGCTTCGTCGATCCTCGTGGCGCTAGTTGTATGGCCCCTTCTTCATTATCGTGTCGCTCTTCATAGTCCTCATTCTCATCGGCGTAGTAAGGAGACTCATGTCGATCCAAATCCGTGACGACTGCTCCAGCTTCCTCAGCTCCATCACTTTTTTGTTCTGAAGATAGGTTCCCCACACTCGTGACGGTCTCCTTGGTCATTTTTCGATCTTCACCGACTGAGCCTGGGAAGGACGCACCTTCATCTGCGTCGCTGACACGAGAGGCACTCATTACACAGCACTGCGACTCGCTGTAGCCTAGTAGTGGTCACGGAGGATGAAAACAAACGAGGCACGGCCAGCATACGCATTTAAGAAAAAACATACGAATTCAATGGATTTTGTTATAATGAAAATGAATTACATGAAAGAAAAATACTACTTTAGCAGAACCAGGAGGTCATAGGAGACGAACTTTCGAGCAGGTTATAATTCCTGATATGACGAAGTAGTCTTCAGAATACTATCAAACCCAGAGTTCATGCAGCTCGAGCCACCTTGATGAGCAAGGAAGTGGCATAAAGTAATTGTAATTCCTAACACACAGTACCTACTGCCTAAAATTCTTCGGGATGCAAAGACCGGGAACGGAACACTCACATAGGTCGGACAAAGATAATATTTACTGGATCCACCTGAGCGAGCTCTCTCATTTCACGAGCAAGAGGCACCTGTTGCTCATTTTTTCTCAAGAAGTTTCATTTGTGTGCACGAATACAACATTGCTACATGCGGACTGGGTATTTCTGGGTCTTTCCTGACAAGGTTCCATTACATGGATGATTAGCACAACATTAGCTTCACATGACCAGTCAAAATGAAAGGGGTTCTTGGTGGTATCTTGAGACAACTCTTGGAGATATCCCCCAATATGCAATTATATGAATTAGAAGATGTTCATTCTGCTTTGCTACTTGCAATTCTAGTTCTACATCTCCTTTGATTTCCTGTTCTTGTAAAAACCTGTTCAAAAAGTGTTGAGATAAAACTGTACATGCTGGCCCGCCCCAATTGCAGTGGCACTATACCACTTCGTTTCAAATCTACTAGTTTCTGCAGACTGCACTAGTTGCAGCCCAGCGCTGCGTCGAAGCATCGAGTACCGCGCAAATTCCCAGCACGCGGAGACTTCTTCTGCTCTGCTCCAGCAGCTGAGTCCTTCGTCGGTTCACTCGAGGCAGCAGGTGCCGCGGCTGCAGCCGCAGCCAACTCCTCATCCACCGGAGGTGCCTCCGCCCCGACCTCCGATGCCTCCGGTGTTGGTTCAGCCGCCGCCGGTGGATCCGCCGCCGTTGCCGCTTCCTCCACCTCCACCTCCGCCGGTGCCAGTACTGCCTCCTCCACCGCAGGTGTAGATACTGCCTCCTCTACCGGTGCTGCAGTCTCCTTTGGAGGCCCCACATCTGCTGGTGCCTCCTCCGCCGGTGTCGGTGGTGCCTCCTCCGCTGGTGCTACTTCTGCCGGTGCTGCCTCCTCCTTTGGTGGCTCCCTATCTTTTGCCGATGCTCCCTCCGCCGGTTCCGGTGGTGCCTCCGCTGGTGCCACCTCCGCCGGTGCTGCCTCCTCCTCCTTTGATGTCGCTTGTCGTGCTGCCTCATCATCGGACAACACCTCTTTGAAACTCTGCTGCTCCGGTATTGCGTAGCGGTATTGCGTCATTCGGTCACGCAATCCATTGCCGGTTTTGGTGCTTGAGATCGCATGATACAAAGTTTGCGTTGTAGCCGCCCCGTCGTTTGTCGGGGTTGTCATTTACTTCTCGAGACTTTATTGGTCACCCCCCCCAGCTACTTTATGAACAGCATGTCATCGTCGTGCAGGAGCTTATCCGGATTGCTGGACTGCAAACCGCGGAGCCCAAGGTTCCCGCTTTTCGCTTGCTCCACCTCCTCATTGTCGATTTTCAGCACTTTGATCTGCGTTGGGAGTGGGTCATTCTGTCGTGGCTCTTTCACACGCGTCCCGAAGGGATGCTCTGCAGACGCCAATTCAACAAGCGTGGTAGGCCTATGCTTAGAACGGTTCAGCCCATGGACACCTTCTAGGACAATCGCGGTGAAGGCGAATTTGATGCGGAGAAAAAATTGCATTTTGCTGATCTGGGTGAAATAATAACTCCGAATCGCTACATCAAGAATATGGAGAATCTGGACAGGATGAAAAAATACATCGACGTGGGTAAACACGATTGAAAAATCATGATAGCATAATTTGAATTTGTAATGAGTTTGAGTCCTACGTGCGCACTCCTGCAATGCCCATAATTTACCGGATTCCTCAAGAAGTGAGTTGGCGAACATAAAGGCATTTGCACAGCGGGATGAGTGACTACGTGAAGTATAGTAGTTGGAAAATAACGAAAAAAGTGAAACCGAGTCAAACGAGACTTAAATGATTGAAGATACCCATACCTCTTACTACTTGACACATTATTCATACCTACTCGCAGCCCTATTTCTCTCAACAAAAGAAATCGAAACAGGCGGTTTATTTGTGAAGAGCGTTGATAATGATATGAATTCGCACAGCTCGTCTTTCGGCACGCAACAACAATGTAAGCGCTGACGTCGAAGCCGGCACAACCAAGATTGATCAACATTCAAGACCTGTTCTCGTTCGTACTACACTAAGCAGTCACTATCCCGTTTAAATTTCATTTTTCGGCGTCTCTCATATCTCATCCCCTTGCGCCGGGTGTTGCCCTTCTTGAAAAATCAGATGTCTTCCGCTTTGGTTGTCTGCGTCAATTTCAAACATACACACATGATGTGGGAGGGAGGCAATGATAGGGTTTGCTGTAGCCAGCAAATTCAGCTCTCCAACTCAGTCGTCGGTTTGCGCGACCTTTTGCAATCGATACCAGACTGCAAGAGCAAAAAATCACAAGCACAACAGCACGACCGACAACAAAACATCCATTCCATTTTTAGTCTTTCCACAGTAACATAGATACCACAGGGCAGAACACGGCACTTCGTTCAATATCTACCAAAAGTGCAGCACGAGGCTTGAAGTCGCTTCTAAGTTAGTTTATTAGCGATTATTCATTAGCACGAACAAACAATAAGCGACAAATCTTTGTACTACAAATACAATTGACCCTATGAAATCTTTTCCGCATCAGGATCAGCATTCCATTCTCCGAGCCTGCTTCATTATCATTTTTTCCTCTCTTCATCTACTAGAGGTAGCCCCGCCTAGCATGATGTTACACCTGGACTTCCTCGAGACTTCCCCAGTCCGCTCCGACGCGACACTTTACTTTCAACGATGCGTTAGAGATAGAGCAGGTTGGGAAATCATTAATGTGCTCCGGCATCTAACTACTATCGGAGAGCTAGAGCATGAGCAGCACTTACTCATAAGTAATTAAATGCTGGTCTTGCACCCAAATGGTATCCCAAAAGATAGCTTCTATTCTTGAGAAATTGGGAAAGATCTCAGCAGACGGTCACAGGACAAACATGCCTCAGATCATGATGAAGAAATATTAGTACGATTAAAACCACGTTGACGAATTACTGTTAATTACTTCAAATTCAATTTCTATTCAAGATATATAAATAACAACTATGCAGAGGAATAGATGAAGATACTCACCTTAAGTATAGGCTGAATATCAGCACTAGGCTGCGTCATCGCATCTACAACAGCCGGCAGAACGTATGAGAGTGCATCTTCGCGGACCTCGAGTAGCAACTCGTCATGGATTTGGAGAAGAATGCGACACACGTCTCCCAGCTTTTCCACCCTAGTATTTGCTGTTCGGGGTTTAGTCACTTTTGGATCACGTTGAGGAGCACTCAGGGAGCCAGAAGATCCTCCTGTAGTTGCACCTTCTCCGAAGCCACGAGTTCCGTCCAACGGTCCTCGTGCATCTCCAACAAGCGTGGTCTGAGGTGCTGGCGTAGAAGTAGATGTTGAAACTCCCAGAGTCGATTCGAGCTTCTTGCTGAGATTCAACATCGCTTGCACCATGAGGTCCGCTGCGGACGCTTGGCACAGCGTGTTCACTCCTTGTCGTTCCACTTTGGCAACCTGCTGCCGGTGTGTTAACTGTGGAAGTCCCGCTGCTTGCTTGTTTTTCATCGCGGCCGCGTGGCCCCCTCTGATGTCCGCGTCCTCTTCACCCTCCAGTGGCGGAACCTGGAGCCACCGCTTGCGACCGTAGAGTGTCGTAACGTAGCCTTGCTGCACCGCAGCCTCCCGAACGCCCCGAATCCAGGAATGTACTTGCGGAAACTGTGCTTGAAACCGCTCCATCAGCTTTCGAGCCTCCGCCACAGAGATGCTGAGGTCGTTCGCGACTTTCTTTGCGCCCATGCCGTAGATGAGACCATAGCAAATCTTCTTGGCACCAGAACGCTCTGCCGCATCAACCTCCCCAACAGGCTTGCAAATATGAAGGAAGAGGAAGACATTACAAACTCGGAATTCTTAGGTTTGGATGAAAACCCGAAACTCCATACGTACTATTTCAAATCCAAAGTGAAGATCCTCGTACTCGTTGTGCTGGTAGCTTAGCTAATATTGAGGAAGCAAAAGTGTGGTATGTGACATACGTGTACGAAGAATAGTTCACAACTAATCGGACGGACAAACTTAGTGGAAAGAGGCTGCTCCAACATTCACACGTTATCGTTCTCATTCTTGATAAATCTGCTCATAATTTAGCCACGTAGCTGCGATAGCTCGAAAAAGGTCTGTGCCGTTCGGCTCGCAAAGGTGCTTGCAGAGATTGACGTCGCGCGAATAGTATGCCATTAAGCGCACCTCAAGCTGGCAGTAGTCCACGGACAAGAAGAGTTTGCCACTCGATTTTGGAAACTGGAAGCACTGTCGTAAGTTCACAGAAATACGCCGCTGTGTGCTTTTTCCGTCCGTCGCAGCGTAAACTGGTGCGACTGTCCGCCACACCTGATCCGAGGGGTACGATAGGTATGCGTGTTGTTCACGCTCCCGATTTTTTTCCCGACGCACAATACCTGTGTCCGGATTTCGACAGGATCCTGGCTGAAGGTGCCGCTTCCTCCTTTTTGCTTCGCGGCGCGCGTCACGCTCCTGCCTCCGCTTCAAAGAGTCAAAGAAGCAGGCGTCTTTTTCGTCCGGCGAATCGGGACTGTACTCGTCTAGCGTGTTGCCCCTGTAATTTCCAAGTTGGACAACAACGCGCCGAAGCTTCTTTACGTAGTCCGGGTTTTTGTAGATTTCCCACCCCTTTTTCGCCCAGTAGCGACATACTGCTCTTTTTGAATTGTCAAAAGCATCACCAGCGTTCAGAAGATCAGGCGTTATTCCTTGTTCCGTTTTCCCCGCTATCATTTTCCCCATGGATATTGACGTTTTCTCAACTTCATCCACCCGTTCAGAATTATCATCTTCATCATCATCATCATTGAGTACTGTGCACGCGTAACCAAGCCGATAGCGGCATAGAGGCGGCAGCGCCGCGGCGACGCCTACGATGACGGATATGGGACGAAGAATCTTTTTTATTCCTTCCTTATGAAAGGATAGCTTCACGACATCGAGTATTTCGAAGGGGTTATCCACGCAAAGCAACTGTGGACGACCGTTCCGCACAACGATTCTTCCGGTCGCTGTGAACGAAAAAGACGTTCGAACGCGATAAAACTGCTCAACTACACCATCAGTCTCATTTTCAAGGGACGAGACCTTCTCATCACCATTTGCGGCTGAGTTTAGATTGACCCCATGCTCGTTGTGGTTGTAGTCTTCAGGCGGAGATACTTCTACTGCGCACCTCTGAAGTTTCATGAATTTGTTGATGACGTGCTGCAAGTGACGATATTCCGAGATGTGATCGATCAACTCGAAGCCCGGATTCACTTTTGTGAATTTATTGGGTAGAAATGCGGTCTGTTGTGACTCGTTGTAGTCAAAATCATCGCGACCACCTGCGAACTCATCGTAGGCCTCCTGCTCCTCGTCATCGCCCTCCTCAGCAATTAAATCACCTCCATCTGCCTCCTCGAGGAGCTCCGCTTCCTCGTCATGCATGTCTGCCCTTGCGTCTTTAACTTTTCTCTGCGAGTCATCTTCGTCCTCCGACGAGCTTGACGTCAAAGACACATCATGACCCTTAGTGCCGTGGTCGGCATTTTTCAGGAGTACCGCGTCAAGACCTTCGCCGCCTGCTTTTCTAGATGTTGTGGGGGAGATGGCTCTAGCACCGCGTGGGGACTGTAAATCCGATGCTGCTTGTTCAACTGTTTTTCTATTTCCAGTGTGCGTATGAGTCTCATTCTGTTGTTTAGCTTGGTCGGTTTTCTTTTCCATGATCTTTTCTTTCTCTACCACCTCTGCTTCTCGCAGTATGCCCTGGAGCACGTCTTTGCCACTTGTGTAGCGTGTGCGGCCGTTGGGCTTTCGACGAAAGCGCAGTCCCTTTGGCGGCCGTATTTGCAGGTCCTCGAACAGGGCTCGACCGCAATCCTCGGAACTCGCAAGGTTCACGCGGCGTCCAACAAGATCTTTCGAGCGCTCCTGCAAGGCCGCAGACTTGTGCACAATCCTGGTGTGCGTCTCCCAATCGCGATTGAAAGGGAGCCCGGCCACTTCGATGTCCGCCAAAAGCACTTGGAAAGGCATCTGCAATTCCATAAAGGCACCTTCCATTTGCGCATCTACTAGACGTGAATACAAAGTACCCACTAAATGGAGACACGAATAAGCCTCTTGTACCGCCTGCAGCAAGGGCCTCCCAACACGCGTGGTCTGTAGCGATGTAAGTTTCGTCGTACTAGAGCCTGGAAGAAAAGCAGCATCACTGTGATTATGGAGACTGCCACAATGCTTCCTTGGATCCGGTCGTGCTTGAACTTGGACATAATTGGGATCACCGTGATGTGCTGTTCTTGTCAGTTGGTGCTGCTCTGTTTTCGGACTTTTAGTTCCTGTATTCAGGAGACCGTTGAGAGCAAAAAGTGAAGCCTCCGCAGCTTCAGTATCAAACCCTGTATGCTCCTGTGCAGTCAGCAAGTCCCCAATTTGATATTTGTACCTCCGAAGATCTAGCTGTGCAGCTTCTATCATGGCCTGGTCGGTGGTCTGCTTTTTCTCTTGACCATTTTTTTGCAACGTCTGCCTAGACGTTGCCATCTTAATCGACGCCTCCTGCCCTTGGTGTTCTATTCCGGCGGTGTGATGGCGTTGATCAGTAGCTGCTGCAGCCTGGTGTTTGACCGATGAACGCACGAGTGGCGCGATTGACAAACTTGGCACAGCAAATTTTTCACGCAACTCGCCCAGCTCCAGCACGTGGTCGGGATCCAACATCCACGCAGCGATCCGTGGCTCCGCGAACTCCAGGTGCGGCGAGAACAGGTTGCGTGCTCGCAGCATACACACAAACGCTTTTGCGTCCTCGCATATGATAGCTCGCCTTGTTGAGTTGTGAGCGGCTTTCAGAAACCAGGGTCGCATCTCGTCGAAAGAAGACACCCACCATTGCCCAGGAAAGCAGCAAACTACCTTCAGAGGGTCTGCTGTAAGTGCTGACGAGGAAGATGCGGGTCTGGGTATACCAGCAGCAGGAGGCAGAGGTAGAACGTGTGGCGACTCTGGCTGCAATCCCCGCCCTCCCCCTGGTATATGAAGATTTCTGCTTCCTGCGAGACTGGCAGTCCTGGAAACTTCCACAGGCAGTCCATTGCTTCGTCCTATCTGAGTAGTCGCAGCAGGCTCGAGCACGGCCATCGCCAGTACCGAAGGCAGAGCGTCAACACCACCTAACACGCTGTCTAGGAAGGAGGGATCGTATTCCTCGACGACTTGCGGTTGGGCTGGCTGCATCACGAAAGGCGCCGTAGCAGCAGCAGCAGCAGCAGGGGAATTGGGCTTTTTATCGTATTGATGCGCCTTCTTCATAGGTGCCGTACGTAATCGCTGCCTATGCTCCGCCTCTTGGCGGCACCTCTCGCATCTTCCATCGACGAACGACGAAGCCTCATGGTACAAATTCGACAGCAAGGGGCTACCGTCGCCGACGACGCGCTGTTGGCCAGAACCACCTCCATAGCATAATTCCTGGTGCTGCGAGGGTCCCGACCCTCCGACTGAGTCAGGACGAGCTTGTTGGGACAGGGAGAAGCTCGTATCGAGAACGTGCACATCCCCAAGTGTACGAAGCAGATCTCTGGGTGAATCACCCTGCGAATTTTGTTCGCGCCATGCTTGGAATGAGGAAGATTCCATCACTCGCGCGAGGGCGTCTGTGCGATTGAGTTTTCGAAGCACGTCCTCCAACCTCGTCTTACTCGTCCCAAGAGCCTCGAAGTCCTCCTTATTCAATGAGCGGCGTCCAAGCTTTTTCAGCCCTTGCGCAAGCACTAGCACCTCGTGCACATCGGGTGGCGACGACGGTGACGAACCTCGTCCAGACGAGAGATGGAACGAATTAACGCTATTTCCATTCTTTCCCACAGCACCCTCGTGTAGATCTCTTTGATGTTCATTTCGCGCAACCTTTCCCCGCTTGGTGGCACTGTGATTTTTATCATTATTGGGCACAAAACCTCCACTTGTGCCAAGGCCAAAAGGGTTGTGCGAATTATCCGTTTCGACAAACATACGTTTTCGAGGCAACAAGGCGCTTGAAGATGCTGCGCCGAAGTTCACGCTCTTCGAGTTCTTCTCGTTGAAGTTCTTGCCTCCATCGTTGTCCCCGGTCATCTCTGCGACTCCCGGTTGTAGTTGTTTTGCGCCCCGAACGATACCAGAAGAGTCTACAGGTGATTGGCTAGTCGCCATCAGGTTGTCTGAGTTGCTGTTCGCAGAGATTCCTCTTGCATCTTCTGTTCCCCTTTCAAGACGACCGTCAGCATGGCTCGAGGAGTGTGTATGATTAGCTTTCAACTGATAAGTGCAAGGCGTTTCGGCAAAACGTGCGGCGACAGTAGCAGGCCCCTGCGTTGCAAAAACTACATTAAAATCGTGCTCGACCGCTTGTCCTAGTAATGGTGCCTGCGATGGCTCGTAAAGACCGGGCCTCACTTTCGCGTTGGGGAAAAAATTGGGCTCTGGCGGGTTCGGTGCAGATGGAGGTGCGGCACTCTCACTCATGGCTTTCCTGTCATTCTCAGCAATGCTTTGCGGCACACCGAAGTCTGTGCGACTTAAAGAGTTCTGCATAGGATGCCCTGAGACAGGTCGTCCCTGGGGTTGAGCAGGATCAACATTCGTGGCCAGCATCGGGAAGACGCGAGGGCCTGCAGGCGGTGCACCCAAATTATGTTTGCCAATAGGTATAGCGCCGATGCCTGAAGAAGTAGCCGCTGCTGCTTCAGATGTCATCAAGTACTCGTGATTGATGCTCTCATTTTCGATTGGGTGTTGCCCTCTGTCTGGATTCTTCGGCCTTTGTATATCTGGTCTGAGAAAGCTAGCTTCGCCAGTGAAAGGCTGAGGAGGTGAAACGGCATTCGTAGCGGCGAGTTTTTCCTTCAAGGCATGCGCCATACGATTTGTCTCGTTCAATTGTTGCCCTGGTCTTCCTATAGGTAGCTGTGCGCCGCCGCTTCTCTCCTTAGCGGCCTCGGTGCTCGCCGCGCCATAAAATACACCTCCAGGAGGAGCAGTCTTCGTCTCACCACCTGATACTGAATTAGCCGCCGCAGGCATTGGCATGTTCTTCGACATCATTGTGTGTGGAGCGGAAGCACCAACGAAATTTCCAAAGCCGACATGGCTAACCTGTTTTGGAAACGCAACAGCAGTAGCGGCAACTGCAGCAAAACCGGCAGAACTGACAATGCCGCTTCCAGTAGTGCCACCGGTTGCACGGACACCGAGCTCCTGTTGCCCTGGATATCCACCTTGATTCATGTTGGGCGCTGCCGCATTATTTGTGTTCTGAAAATTGCTGGACATCGCATTATTGGCATTCGCTGCAGGAGGAGCAGAAGTGTTATCGGCATTGTTTACAGGCTTTTTTCCCGCACGCAAGAAAAGAGCTTTCGCATCGCGTTTTTCTTTCAATTGTTGCTTTCGCACTTCTTTCGCTGTCACCTGTGCGTCTGCTCGGAGGCGCTTGGCGTGCGATATTAGACTTGAAAGAGCGATAAGCATAAGAGGTCGATTTCTTCTAAATAAACGCCAATATTATCAACAGAGTAGAAATTAATTCGTGGAAATAAAATGTGATGGACATGAGGTGGAGCCCTAAGGATAAGCTTACGCTCCACGACGAGGAGGACTGCTTTTCATCAAGTGTGCGGCGCAAAGACCGCAACAGTGTTCCCGGTTCGGCCGCAGCAATTTTCGCTGGCGTGGTGAACCCTTCGTTGTACATTCCACGTGCAGTTTCTTTTGCAGCGCGAAGATGGGGATGCTCTCCGAAGAAGGGGATCTGCATCAGCAGAGAGATGTGCGGATCAGTTCCCCACGAAAGTCGAGCGCGGAACTCCTCGACCAACCGCTGCATCTGGTCCCACCCCATCTTCTCGCAGAAAGTCACAACTTGATTACAGTAAATGAGCGTGGACTTCTTTAGCTCCTCGAGTTCGAAAACGGTCAAGTTTGGGAAGCGACGGCCCGGACCCGCAATTTGGTTTGGCTCGCCTCCCTTTACCATCATATAATGCTCTTAGATTTAAGTAATATTCAGGGCTACTTTATTATGCGGGTGGATGGAGCGTCGATGTCTCACACGTACCTGAAAAAACGGACTCACATTCTTTCCACATCAATAAAGACCGAACCTTCATCGACGAGTTGATGGAGGTGTACATAAAATCTACAACACTCACATTCACTGTGCTGAGGCAAAGATACGACTTTCCTACTCCGTAGGTTCATCTTAAATGAGACACGCTGTGAAAAAGCGGAAAATGGTGTGTTGCGTGCAACGACCGCTAGCAGCGGCATTTTCGACCACATCTACGTTGACCCCGACTACTTCTGCTACACGAAGTTCCTCGTATTGCATTTTCAGAAGCACACTCGCATAGGCCTTCCAATCATTAGCGCTTGATTTCCCGGTGATCCATTTCCAAAGAAGATCATTTTCTTTGCAGAATCCTATCTGCACGGAAGAAAACGAATCTTCTATGAGAATGAAAATGAATTATCGCGGGCCTTAAAATCAATTTTGTTGCCTAAAAACTGGCTCTGCTCCATCCGTCGTTGATCCGCCTGCTGCATGTCCGTGTGGCGCTGGTACGCCTGCTGCTGACTCATTGGCGTACGGCTTCCAGTACTAGGACCTTTGGGGGTGACGCTCTTCGCTACCTGGGGTGTGGACTGGTGCGCTTTCACAGGAAAGGCTGTCGATGAAGGGAGCAGAACACGCTGATGTCCAATTCCTGGTGAAGAGCTACCCAGTCTTGACGCTGTTATACTTCCAGCTTGCTGAAGTTGTTGAAAAATGTTCGGAGGGGGAGCGCCTGTATTGGCACCCGCATTGAATCCTGCGTTCTTTGACGACAGAACGGGAGCTTTGTTGGCCTGGAACAAGTTCAGAAAATTCGGTTGTTGAGGGTTGCCAAAGTGACTACCCAGCAGACGTGGAGCGGATCCGGAAATGGGCAAATTTGCTACACCCGCCGGTCCTGCTCCAGTTAATCGAGACTGATTAAATACAACTGGCGCACTCTGATGCATCTGAAGACCAGTGGTCGTGCCTTGTTTAGGCGTAGCCGCTCCCATCGCGGGCACACCAGGCGTGTTGATGTTAACACTCTTGCCTGTTCTAATATCTCCCTTCCTTGATGACGTTGCACCAGTGGTATTGCTACTTACTCCTTGATGGCCCTGGAGTGTGCCCGTGTCCGTCGCGTCAGGTGCTTTCAGGGACGAAGGCTGCTGTGTCTTCCGTGGGTTCGGTGAACTTTGCAGTCGCTTCAAGGTTGCGTCAAAAGCGAGCATGCGCTTCTTCTCCTTCTCCTTATCCACGCTCGCATATGGCGTTATCAAATAGCAAAGGTGAAGTTCTGTGCTAGAAATGATTCTGTGGGCTGCTCGGTGTAGCATATCATGTGTTGCAAGCCCAGTATCGAGATCCAAGTCGCTTGCGACTATGGCCTTGCCGCACGGAGTAGCGTATAGCTGCCCTGCCTTTCTCGAATTTTTTTTGCTGCTCTTTTTGCCATTCTTTGCGGTTTTAGAGTCATGACTCTGTTTTGATTGCGTTTCCTCGTATGGGTGCATGTCGATCAATTTCACTCTCGTACGCATATTGGGAGGTAAGTAGTCTTGATCTTTCGCTTGAAGGTAAGCGATCGCGCGCTCAAGCTCCGGATGCGTCTTCATTTCGTTTCCAGGGTCTTCTGGTCGTGGACTTGAATCTTTAGAAGCGAGCACTTTTTTCCGATTCGCGTACGCCTCGGCTCCAAGACCTTGCTTGATTTGTCCTTTTTCATCAGAATGATCAGTACCACTTTGTTGCTTATCATGCTGGGCTAGTACTGGATCAACGTCGGCACTTTTCTCTTTGATCTTCCTCGTCGTTTTTCTAGCAACTTTAGCTTTCTGCGCATGGACCAAATAGGTACAATTAGCGAGTTCCAACAAGCCGCTCGGGCGTGAGTTCTTAGACGTCTTCTCGTCGACAAGATCCCGAGTCCGGGTTGGGCGTACACACAACATTTCGAGAATCAGCCGTCGCAGGCCACCTTGATCCAAGACGCTCTCTAGCGGAAGGATCTTTGTGTTCATCAAACTGAGACCTTTCTGCGTATCGCACAAAACCACGGACTCACCAATTGTCCCCTGTCCTTTACGGCCTGCTCGACCCGACATCTGCTTGTATTGCGCTGGTGTTAAATCACCCATCCCGATGCGAATACCCTCGAATTAGAACATAACCTGAAGAAGTTGCAGCCTCGATTCGACTCCTGCTCACTCTCACATGATGGTAAGTCCTTGCCCAGCTGTCTCTCGCATGATGATAAAGAGAACTTCCGTTAAGCAAAAACGAGACCATTTACGCATTGCCATATCAAAGTTGAACTTGAAGAAAAAGAAAATCTACTTTCTTCTACCTTTACTCTATTTCAATTACTTACTTGCAAATCACGCAACCCATAATTGAATATGACGCGCCGCGCTGGCAAATTCACACCCGCTGCTAAAGTGCTTGTAGCGCAAAGCGCTTTCACTTTGCCACTACGGTACAACTTCTCTATCAAGCGTCGGTCCTCTTTGTGAAGATCGGCATGGTGCCATGCGACGCGATGCCGGACGCAGCGTCGCAAAGAAGCTAGATACGGTGGCAGATTGTCTTTGCCCGCTGCTTTCTGGGCAGTAACGTCAGCGTTGGCAAGCGGCCACGTCGCACGGTCCACGTCGTCAGCATCAGCGGCCTGTGGTAAACGTGCTGCCAGCGTCGCGGCTACGCTTTCGCACTGTTTCTTCGATTGACAAAAAATCAATACGGAGTCTTCAATCACTTCGTGGCAAGCAGCCAAGAGGCAGTCTGGATCGTTGTCAAATGTCTGATGGAATTCGCGCAGGTACTTGCCATCCCTATCCAATAACGCCCCCTTGTGCTCGACAGATGAACAAAGACATCAATGTCAATGTTTTTTAGCTCGAGTCGAGTATGTCGTCGAGCCATTACCTTCTATGAGTCTAGGTAAACAAACGTTAACACTGCAACCAGTATTATGGCAACCGTTTCAATTTGTTTCGAATCTACTGCAAAAACCAATACCAAGACGGAATCTAGTCATCTTTTCAGCTTAAGTGTTTGAAGCGACTTCTTTGGCTGTAGCAGATCATCTCGGTGTGCTCCACAGGTCGATACTTGGTTTTGTGCTTTTGTGCATCCAACCAACTAGCCAGGCGCCGGACTTTTCGTATCGTTGCACTCATCGCGACTATCTGGATGTCCTCTCGCGCCGCGAAAAGCACCTTCGCCACGTATTAAAGTTGTTGTTTTATCCATGCATATGCTTTGCTCAAGTGGTGCTCGAGAATAATGCGTATTGTCTCTATAGATCTTGATCATCTACCTAGATGAATACCTACAGAAAGTGTGTCCTTCTCCCTTTTTTTTCAGCGGTATCTCTCAGTTAATAGCCTCATCATACATCAAGACCTCAACCAAGTAGCCTCGATTCGTATCGGCGAGCAAGTGCAGTTCGTCCACCACAATCATCGAGAGCTTCTGGAGCTGCTTTTCTTCTAGAAGCATGTTGATGATGCTGTTCGCTTTCTCGATGGTGCATATACCGATGTCGAACGGCTCGGTAATGCGTTCCCCCGAGCCACCGTAGAAACCACGGACACGCAAATGCCGCTCATCCTCCAACAAGTGTCGCAAGTCTCGCTCCTTTTCATTGACGATACTGACGAAGGGGAGAATCAAGAGTGCTGGCCCACGACCGCTCGTCACTGCCCGAAGCATCAGCAATTCCGCGACCAGAGTCTTGCCGCCCGACGTCGGAGCGCAATACACCAAGTTGCGTGTCCCCGCCAAAACCCGTGCATCCGCCTGAAGGCAGCGCTGCTGCCACGGGTACAGCTCCTCCATGCCTCTGGAAGCGTACTTCTCGACCATGCTCGGTGGTAGCCCATAATTTCTTATGAACCTCGTTTCTGGCTCCGGCTCAAAACCAATGTCGGTTTCACTCTCGCTATCTGCGGATGACTCTGATTCTGGATCACTAGCTTTCGCGCGAACCGCATTTGTTTTCACTTTCGGTGACTGTTGTACTTCCCGACCCTGAGGAGCATGAGGTGAAGGTTTGGCGCGTACCGGCACCGGATTGGCTCCTGATGAACTCGCTCCGGAAAATCCAAATTGCGGTGCACCAAATTGAGGTGTAGTCGCTTTCCCAGCACTACCAAAAGAGAATCCGCTACTGCTAGCATTGTGTTTCAAGTCTAATACTGCAATCGCAGCCGGGGTCATTTTGTTGTGCTGATTCTCGCTAACACCACCCGAGTCCGACGTTTTTGTACTAGCCTTATTAGCTGCTGGCATATTTAAGAAACCGCCCAAGGATCCGCCGAACCCTTGGTTCGCTTGCGCTTGCTGTATCTGCGCAACATCAGCGGTGGCCTGCTCCCGCGCTCTTTCTGCAGCGCCAGAATAAGACGGCTCCGCCTTCGTATTTCCAGCACCTGCAATATTCGCAGCTTTACCAGAGGGTATGGGTGCGCCGATGTTGCCAGCAGGTCCAGCAACTGCACTGTTCGGTGCTTGGCCGCCGGCTCCACAGCCACTGTTTGCATTATCTGCAACAGAACCAACCATCGCTGGTCGCGCTGGGGGTGGGGCACTCTTGTTACTAGCATCGGCGTTGTGTTTCCCTGCTACCTTTGTTCCATCTCTGTGGCTTGCTCCGTGCCCGCCAGTCAGCCTAGCCCATGGTCCAGCAAAAGTCGAAGAGAATCCAAATCCAAAGCCTGCAGAGGCTCCACCTTGTGGCTTTGCGTTACTTGATAATACTGCTTTTTGCTGCGGTACGGAAACTGGCATATTTGGTTTCCGAGAGTGCCCAACTGGTTCTGCACTTTTAGAGTCAGGGGTTGGCTGTTCTCCTCCTGCATTCCTCTTAGCACTGCTTGGGTCTTCTTTATTCTGGTTAACCACTTGTCCGCCGGCCTGTGTACGGTGAGGCGCATTTGCAGCTCCGCCTGTTGGCCCAGGAGCAGCAACTCCGGTTCTGGACGGCGTCGAGGCCATGCCAAAGCCAAAAGAGCCAAAGGAACCTGAGCCGAAACCGCCAAAAGCGCCTCCGTTGCCTCCTCGCCCGCCGCCGAAGCCTGGTCCCCCGAACGATCCGAAACCCCCGAAGTTCGGAATTGGAGCTGGGCGGGAGCTTGCTCCCTCTCCTGATGCGGTTGCACAATTCTTCGCGCTAGGCATAGCTTGACGAGGCGCAGGAGCGCTTCGAGCAGATATTCGAGAAAATTCGTCATCTTGAGATGGAAGATGAGGCGCGAAGCCTGTGTTTTGACCTCGCGAACTTGAAAACTGGTCACCAGAGCTTAGTTGGGCACCAAACTGGCCTGACGATGGCGCATTCTGATCTTGTCGCGCAACCGAGGAATAGCCGCCAAATCCACCAAAGGAATTTGCTAGATGCTGCTGCTGCTGCTGCTGCTGCATCCGTGCAGGGGTGCCAGTTGTTCCCTTATGCACTGGCGGACCGCTGCCAGAGCCTGGAGCACCAGACGCCATTTCGATTCCTCGGCAAGAGTCCGCGTAGCCCCGATTCGGTTTATAATACTGGAATACTCCTCATTTCTTTTCACGGGCTCTTCTAATTCTTCTCCAGTCATCATAGTCATGCGATTGAGGTCAATTACCTTGTTGATCAGCTCACCATCAGCTGCCTATTATTCCGCTTAAGACATTAGGCCCTTCCAAGCCAGCAATATGGTGAATACTCAACTCACATTCACAATCTCAGTTTGCAAATTCTAACCGGTAGACGTATCTTGTCTCTAACTCTATGTAGTAGGCACGTTGAACAGCTCACCAAAAACCAATTTTTCGTTGGCCTCAGCCTTATTATTAAAACAAGTTCAGTACATAGTCCTCCAAGATGAAGATAAGTCAACATATATATAACTAATTCAACAACTCGTCCTCCTTGTACGTGCACATTTTCAGTTTCATGAAAAAAAGGACATGCTTCAAACGGTTTCATGAGGTGCTAGAAGAACCTTCGCGCGCACCTCAGGCGAAAAAAAGGACGAGAATATCTTTTAGTCTAAGCAAAGTCTGAGCGTCTTACAATAAACAAAACTCAGTCACAACATTGTTCGTTGTGCTTGTGGTATGGCCCAAAGTCAAACACCAGAACAGCAGCAGCACAGCTAACGGGACAGCGTGGCGCCTCGGCGTCTTTATATATGACTGCGTCTGCCAACAAGTAACTGTTTTGGCATCGCTCGGATGGTGCAAGATGAGAATGAGCTAAGCGGTCCTTCCGCTTTCAAACACAAGCAGCAAAGCTTTAATATTGTACACCTCTTTCGAATGCTTCCAATCTCTTAGTTTTCCCATTGATCTCGTCGGATTTTCTTTATTTGAGACTAATCCATAGCCGTCAATCCTTTGTCGTTTGATACAGTACTCACGGTATTGTAATCCCTGATCCTCCACTTCTAAGTAACTACAGAAGCAAACAATAGCAATGCTACAAGAAAGATACATTTATTTTTCCCAAGCCTATATTGTTATGTCAGACGAGCATTTGTGCGTCGCTGTACAATATAAAAACGATCTTAATCTTTTTTGAAGTACGAAACCACCAAAAAGCAGACGTGTTTTCATCAACATACATTCGCCTGTTACTATTGACACTACTAGTGTCGGCCACATTGTTCAACCATCCCAATTCCGGTATGCATCACATTTGGGGTTCCACCCTCGGTCGGGCCTGTCTATAAAAATGAAATATCTATATTCCCGCCAACGCCGATGGAGTGCCACTGTACATTCAACATCTATGTAACTAAGTATATATGTACCAGCGAAGGAGGCCCCCCTCATATCATTATATCACTGTTGCAATTACTATGCTGACGCGCATGTTGAAGTTGCTGCCTCCTCTTAGTCGCCTGGTGTAACTTTCCTCCAAGTGTGAAGATACGTCAAGGCTTCAGCTTATCCGCAAAAAGAAACATACTCAGAGGAGCGATCGCCAACATGCAAACGAAGAAGAATGTAATCAGCAAACAGCGACGCTAACTTAGAGATATTTTGCGTTCGAAATGAAATTGCAAATCGGCAAAGTATGCTAGTAACGAACGTTTTCAAAAAAATGTTGTGAGCTCTGCCGCCTTAAGTGCATTTAGACATCCTTAGACTCAAGACAGAGTGAAAGAGCCTGCAACGAACTCTATCATCCTTCTTAACTGACGTTCGAAACGTTCTTTGCGCATCATGGCTAGAATTTCTTCCCGCTCTTCTTCCTCAAGTAAAAATTCGTCTTCCTCACCCAGTACGAACTGGCCACTGGCAGAGAGTCTACCGCCCTTCCGCGCACGGCGTGCGGCGCGCCCGACTCGACTTGTACTGGTCCGCAGCCTGCTGTCTGTGCTATCGAGACTATCATCGCGGGGGATGAAGGAAGCATCACTCCACGGCCTCGAAGACAAGCTGTACTGCTTCTTCCACTTTCCATTGGCGCCAGAGGGCGACGGCTGCAGCCCACCGCTCCCGGACGATGTCGGAACGAAAGATGCTCCTGGAGAAGTAATCGGAGGCATGTTCACCGCGATTCCTGCGGTGTTGAGACTGGACGCCGTAGGCGTCGCAGCCACGTTGCTTGGAGCAGCGAGGCTTATTCTTAGACAGTGGGTAGAGTACATCATCAAGTACGTAGTGTCTTAATAGCACGCTGACCTGAGTGATCAAATGCCGTAGAACAGTCTGCGGTTCTTGTATGCTTAGCACAGCCGGTCGGTGGAATGCAATAGCAGCTATTCTTTCCTGGTGGAACAACTTACTTACGACATTCTCATTCAGAATAAAACTATGCCAGCCTTCAGCGGATAGTGCAAAGCCAATATCGATCCTAGATTGGGCCTTAAAATCTGCATCACCTTGTGCTGGGCTTGGCGCATCACCTCGCGTTCCTGGGCCAGCTGCTCTGCACGCTGCTCTGTTTCGCGTAGTCTCTTTTTAAGCATTGCATATCGCCGCTTCATCTCTTCCACCCCGCCCGCGAAAGACAACAAACTGCTCCTACGGGACTCGTGCGACACGAAGGACGCTTCGGATACGAGATCCGCATCTTGCTGAAAGAGAAGCTGTTCCCCTGCGCCTCCATTTCCGCCTTGACCATCGGGGTCTGCGGTCTGTTGATTCGCTTTTGGTGCCTCTACGCGGTCTCCAGTTTCACGCTTTTTCGTCGAGGTCGACGATGCCATGACCACGCTAGAGCCTTCATGATCATGCTGTGAGACGACCATCCTTCTTATTTTCTGATTGTGAGGACTACAAAAAAAATCCAATTGACCACGTGGGCACGGCTTTCTGCTAAAATCGAAGACAACGAAATACTGAGGGCGCAGAAGTCAACTCAATGCTCCTTTTACGTAAATATTCCCCTCCTCGTCCTCTACGAAGTTTGCAGTTTATATTCTGTGTGTCCAGTTGATTTTTTTCCATCTCATCAGAACGACAGCAACCTTTTCGGGGACGAGAAAAATCATTTCTTAGACTGCTAATATATTCACGGCAGAACCCACTCCGTCCTCCAAAAAAATTAGCAAGTGTACTTTTTTACCTATCATTCTATTGTAACGCCACACAACCCCTGAGGCAAACAGCACATACGTGCTCGCGATTGCGCGTTACGAATGCCTCAAAGTGTGGGCATAAAGGATTTTGAGACCCCGTTCTTCTACATCCACTGCTAAAATCGGGACATTACAAATTCAATGACTGAGTATGATTGGCGCAACTATTTACCTACGAATACATTGTCTACTACATTTTCCTCAGAACAGCCGTCGTCTGATTTACACGTCCGACACAATCACACAGCGGGAAGACAGTCTTCAAATATAACGGATATTTCCCGAGATCGGATTGCTTTTTGATTGTGCAGATGATGAGCCGAAGTTTGGAATTGTCGCTGTATATGGCACCGCTGCCTGGGCCATTGGACTCAGTACATTCGCTCCTCCTGGTCCGGATTGAGGGTAAGCGTGTCCAGAAATCGGTGTACTCTGAGGGATCGGCAAACCCACATTCCTCGACATCTGCCCGCCTGTGCTCGACGAACTCACTGAACTTACTGGTGCAGCTGACGCCGATGTAGCGAGACTGCCAGAGCGCAGGACCGGACCACCGGCCATTCCAACGGGGGCGGCTGCATTGTGCACTCCGGTTGTGATGTTGGTGGCCAACGTCGACCCCCGACCGAGGCCTAACAAAGAATCAATCACTGCATCGTTTCTCGCGGCTGCAGTGGGCGCAGATGACAAGAAACTGTTCGCTGGCTGCCCAAGCATCTGGCTCGATGATGCTGTAGAGACCGCAGGACGATTAAGAGCCGCAGCAGCGGTTGTTGATCCCGCCTGTGCAAGCGATGTCACAGAAACCCCATTTACAGACACAGCTGGCACTCCTGCGCGGCTGGCTGACGCCATCAAAGCGGAATTACTTTGTGGTCCCTGGTAGGCCGTAGAAAAAACAGTCGCAGTGCCTGCTGCCACACGATCGATAATTTGCGTCGCACTCGCGCCCGCCGAAACACCAGGCACAGTCGCGGTCGGCGTTGAGGGAGCCGCCAACGGCAGGTTCGGAACAGGTGGCGATACAACGGCGCCTGCGCCAACCGCTCCAGCGTGCGCTGGCTGGACACCTCCAGACTGAAATCCTAATCCTCTTTGCATCGGCATCGCAACTACTGAAGACATTTGCGTAAGATTCCCACCCTGTGTTACATGCAGACTTCCCGGTTGCTGGCCCAAAGTTCCGCTGTTTACAGCCGGCGTGGTACCGAGTGCCTGGGCCATAGCGCCGCTCCCAATGGATGGCACGGTCGATGAGAGAGCTGGGTGAAAAGCTGATCCCGTTACACCAGCCTGCGGCTGCTGCTGGTACAACGGGACTCCGCTAGCCGTTGTTGCTGCCAGTGGTCCAGAAGCAGTAGCAGTACTGCGATAACCATAAAATTGCGAACCCGAACCGGACTGCCCAACAACCAGCCCAGTCGCCCCAGCCGCCGAGGGATTCTGCATGGACAGTGGTAGAGGGGGCACGAGCGCTCCCGCTGAAACTGGATGCGTTGCGTAGGAACTGCCAGCCGCGACTGCTTGTGGCAAATATTGTGTTTGTGCGGTTCCCGAAGACATCAGTAGTTGCTGTGAGGACTGCGGATACGTGCCTGCACTGGCAGAGGCTGCGCCTGCTGAAACCAGAGCTATCGGCGGATCCGCCTCGATTTTTCTTGGCGTCTCTCCGTACGGCTTGCCGGTACTCGGATTGACCTTTTTGTAAGGCGACCCAGGATCCACACCAGTGATGAGCACGCGGGAACCATCGCGGAGCTCCAGTTCCTTGGGAAATTCCGGCTTTTTCGTGGGGGATCCAGACCTCGACCGCTGTTCCTGCCGGGAGGGTGACTTCGAGGGGGACAGCGTGCCTGATTTCTTTTCACCAGTTGCAATCCCAATATCATTCTGCTCATCGAGTTCGTCCGCCACAATGCTATTTCTGCGCGTGAGAAACTCTAGCACTTCGCCGAGGTCTCTCTCCTCCTCTTCTTGCAGATCACCAACTGCTGCTCCGACAGTCCGCATTTTGCGCTGCGCTTCGGCTAGGAGGCCGTCGATCGTCGCTATATCAGCGTCCGTTAGAAAACTGTCTAGCCCAGCGATTTTTCCGCTTGGTGTTTTCTTCGAAAGTTTTTGTTCATCTGATGAAGTCGTCCCCTTTGATGTCTTGTACCTATCGTCGTCTGCTTTCTTTCCCTCTGCACCTAAAAGCGCTTTTTCAGGTTCCTCCCTTGACCGACAAGCTACGCTACCGTCACCACGTCCACCCGCGATTTCTACCATGGCAGGGTGTTGGGATTGTGCCAGTGAAACTGCTGACATTGCTCCTGCACCCTTGGCGGTCGGAACCGGTGGCATACCGGGAATACAAGAGTAAGGCAAGACACGGTCCACAACCAAGGCCCGGGTCCCTGCGCCTTCCGCGAGTGAACGCAGGACCTCCTGTAGAGTCGTTCGTTAGAAATGTCAAAGCACGAAAGGAGGGGAAAAGTGTCGTTTTGCGACTGAGACGTCAGGTAGCCTAGGTACTACTACTAGTAGCAGGTGCTATATTTGACTGTGCTCACGCAATCAATCTCTTGTGTAAAAAACTTCTTTCAACACCCTAGAGTTCTACGAAGTAAAACTTCCATTTCTTTGATGTCATGACGTCTTCTACGCATTGAAGATCAACATCAAGCGATATTCTCGACATAATAGTCAAGCCTTAATCGCAATTTCGCTCGTGCCGCAAGCGCTTGTCTTTGATTTGCCGCAACTCTTGGAGTAGCATTTTCGCCTCGCGCTCGTATTCTGCTACATCTCGGCGAATCTCGTCGACGGTAGGGCATCCCTGACGCCGTAATAGACGTGGCTTTTGCGTCCGTAGCAGATTGTCCACTTTCTTAGAGTGGGCAACTTTCCAATATAATTCTACGAAGAAAAGGAGCTAGTTGCAACTTCTTCGAGCTGCCAGCTCTTTCGGAAACAACTAGAGATGAAGCGTGAGTGTTGCCAAAGTCAGAGTAAACCCACGGAGAAAAAACGTAACCTTTTTGCTCAACTTTTAATGGTTGTTGATGCCCGAGGCCACGAGAACGACCTGCTGGCCCACCTTGATAAGCGTCCGGATCGATTAGCAGCGGTTCGGGGTGTCGCATACCCATATGAATACGAGTGAAAGCAGGAGGCGCAGCAGGCTTCTTCGCAGCTATTTTTTTCTTCCACGCAACATTCTTACCTGTTGGTCGTGTGTAATAAGCGTGAGAGTTGAAAAGGGATTACCACGATAAACATACAGCACAAGAAACACTGGGTGGATGAAAAAGAGCTAGCACTCTCTTATGATCCTCGTCTGAGTCCAAACCCAAAGATAGATATGAAGGATGAAAAAAAGTTTCATGCCAAAAATAACGAATCGATCACATTGATATCCTTCCCATATGTTGAAACCTTGCTTTTGCTTTTGGACGAACAGGAAAGCGACCTCAGCAAGTCGTCAAACCCCCAGTCACAGCTCCTACAGTACTAATGTAAATCTAACTATTTCAACAGTACGTGTGTCGCTGAGTCGATCCCGGAGAAGCGCCATCCGCTTAGCTGTTTCCATCTTTCGCATGTCTTCAAGCGACATCTTACTAAGGTTCATCGGAGGCTTTTTGGTGCCATCCCCATCACCGGGATTCTTGAACATGACCTTGATCATTTTCTCTTCTCGTCGCAGCTGCTTTCGCTGATGCTCGTACCCGCTATCGGCATCCTGCATCCGACACCGCAGGTCCTCCGGATCCTTGCTGACGGGATACATCCTGAGTACGGGCACGACAGGAGGCGGAGGACACGTGTTGGGAGAAAGATACTACACGCTTGAGTGCGAGAACCGTGGAGGCAGTGACGGTGATGATAACCCCAAGCGCAATCATGCGGGATCGAAAGACTGAAAGGGGCGAGCGCGAAACCCCCTCAGCGCATCATTGGTCTCGATGGCGCGTGTCCAGATCTTCCATCAGCCTTTTTCATTTTTGTTGCCTGAATCATCATCAATCGACGTACGCAAAGACAATCACGTGGTCACGATGGTACTTGAACGATTGCTTCATGGAGCTAACTCAGCTACAGCCACTCAGCTAGTGGTGCTTCATTTTGAGAGCAACACTCCCTCCATCCGAAAGAGCTACTAGGGTTGCGTAGTACTAAAAAACATTGACTGCAAAATAGGCCGATTTTCCGTCATTTTAGGCGCAACTCTCTTTCCTCTCTCACGCTTGCGCTTTTGGTTCTCATCATAATTTTTCCAAGGCGATATATCGGACAAACCACCTTTGCCGAAATTCCCAAAATACTAGTGTATGATAGGCCGCGACCGCGTCTTTCTTCATGATGCAACCGTCGTTATGATAATGCTTGTTGCTCTGACTCTGTACACTAAGTAAATTTAAATCAATCTTTTCCTGCCTGGAAATTGACATGCACTAGTAAAAACTCTTCATTTGTTCTTCTCATCGATGATAGCTTCATCATCTTTTTTTCGTGGCCTCACGTTGCGTGATCACAGTTATTCCGAACTTATGAAGATCGTCTCCTATCTAAAAACTATGCATCCTTGTCGTGACACATGAGGGTGCTCCAAAAAGAACAGCAGGCAATGGCGCAGCTTGAGGAGATGGTTATCAAAAGTACTCGACTAGATCAATACCTGGCCGCCCTACTACACTAGCGTAAATGGCCGATACATTTTATGAAAAAATGATGATCAAATTATCGGGAGTCACAGTCACACCTCCTAGAATATCAATAATTTCTTTAGCTACAAAAAAAATGATCATCTGATCGATGTAGTACTATGATCATGGTTGGATTTGGTAACAAAAATATCTATCGATGAAAGAATGTATCAAAACAAGTTCCGGTCGGAATCGATCATAGAGTTGGTAATGTTACAACGAGCTACAATATACTGCGTGGAATATACCGCTGCTGCTCATTGAATATAGTAAGCGAAGAGCCAGTACCTGTAGATTCGGTCCGGTAAAAGTTAGTCCGTGTTCATTCTGCGACTCATTGATGCACCGTGATTTTTAGTGACACATTTTATCCATGATCGTCAGGCGCACCTTCTTGTAACACCTGTTTTCTTTGCAATAATTAAGATGCTGCATCCGTTTCTAAACCCTTTCATCAGAAACGGCACCTGCGCTGTGGTTCTAAAAAACTAACAACGACGACCAAGAATTAAACAGCCTACTCGTTGCGATATAGCTACGTTTTCTACGCGACGTTGTAAGTACAGCTAGGGCAGATGATTGAGTACATCATATTTTTGCAGTTCTAGTCGAAGGGTGTAGCAGTGACGGTGATTTCTGTTGCTATAAACGATCTGTTTGTTGACATCTTGCATTTCTCGTCCCCTTGTGATTTTACTATTCCACACAAAATCGGCATTGGCCATGACGGTAGAGTCTTGAATACTTCACATTTTTTTACTACGAGTAGAATCTATTTCTAGTACATTCTTTGAAAAGGAAAATTGAAATTCAAAAATAACAGTAACAGATAAACGGAAACGGATCACAGTCGATAATAAATAAGATTAAATATTCCACCCCGCGACGGGCGCTTGCGCTCGTGCCATACTTATACCCAATTTCGGCTGTGTTGTTTTTCGGCTTCCTGCTTCCTACCATTTCTTCATCGGTGTTGCAGCATCCAGTTTAACATCGATTCTATTCTTTCGATGACAAACTCAAACATTTCTATATGCTCCTTCTTGAGTGTGACTTCTACTTGGTTGTGTTACAAGTTAGGACGGGAATCGAAGGAGCATGCGGCTTTTACTATCGCATAAAAAAAGGTCTTATGTATCAAAAAATCTGTAGACTCACTTGCGCTTCTGCTGCCACGAGGGTCTAACTTCCTTCATTATACTATATATCTCCTTTTTCATCTATAGTTGTGATGCTGTTTATCCTACCTCCACTTCGTTCATTCGTTTAGTTGTGCCTCCCCTTCAACCTCGTGATCGTCTTGCTTGCTTGATTACACTGGCTTTACTCGACTTCTTGAAGATCTTCATCGGAATTTTCACCGACTTCGAGATCTTGCCAGAAGTTTGTGCTCCGCTTCGCTGGCTACAACCTCCGGCAGAACTGGACATTCTTTAGATTCATACGAGCAAGAAAGAGGTGCGCACACCTGAAATGCCTAGTATGTATTGGTGTGATTCATTTAGTACAATCAGGTTGTATGATCTCGTCCACTTCTAGTTGCATATGATCCACGACCTACTTGTAACTAGTTGTATGTCGAACTCTAGCACATCTACTTAATCTTAAACTCGTACAGATGGAGCTGGGTACCACGTGATACTATACATAGAATTAATTTTCAATGTTCGAATATTGTAGTACAGTGTCAATATTCATGTATCAGCCTGCGTCCTTACACAGCATCACGGAAGAGAAACAGAAACAGTATGATAGATTCAACAAATATCAAAAGTCTGTTGTAATCTTTCACTTTTAAAAGCAGCATAACTTTTAGCGTCCATCTTCCGGACTGGCAAAACCGAAGTACTAGGCGTCTCGTCAAGCGCAGGCTGCTTTCTTTTCATGTACGGCCAGCGCGTCGGTACAGAAGCAGCACCGGTGGCAGCGGCTTCGGCCCCATTATCAGCACCAAGTTCGGCCTCATTGACACACGCATCTTCTTCATCTTCGATCTGACCCACTTCGGGGCCACTACTCCCGTTTTCGAAAAATCCGAAAGGTTTCTTCCTCTTCATGTATGGTCTGCGCTTCATACTCGGCTGACTCGACGAAGCAGCAGCAGTTTCAGCAGGTTGCTTCCTCTTCATGTATGAAGCCCGCTTCATGCTCGGTTGACTCGACACAGCAGCAGCAGCAGCGGCGTTGTTCTCACCATCGGCACCGGGTTCCGCATCATCGAACTCCCCATCTTCCACTTCAAGCCCACCCACTCCAAGTACGCTACCGCCGTTTTCGTCAGCTCCGACAGCTTTCTTCCTCTTCGTGTATGGTGCCCGCTTCATCACAGAAGTAGTAACACCTGACATATTCTCGTTGTCGGCACCGCCGCCTACCGCATCGTCGAGGAAACTACCTCCATTTTCTCCTCCAAGGTCATGACCCCCAACAAGGGCACTAGCATTCACGGCGGTCGTCTCGTCGTCCACAGCTAGAGGTTTCTTTCTTTTCATATACGGCCCGCGCTTTCCCTTGGACTCCTTCACCGGTGCATCCTCCAGAGCAAGCTGCCCGTCTTCAACTCTTTTGCGTTTCTTGTATGGTCCCCGTTTGTAAACTTTGGTTTCAGGCGTACCCTCGCGACCTTCTCCAGCGAACATCGGCACTGGATCCGGACTCTCGCTGTCACCGTCACGTGGAATGTTTACCAGCATGCTCGCAAACTTACTTGGGACCTCTGCTTCCGACGTCGAAGATTTGGAAGAAGATGAAGAGATTGCACCCGCCGCGAGGTACCGCCTCAAGGAGGTCGCTTGCCCGAGTCCATGCTTCTTATACTTTCCACGAACACGCGGAGCCCTGTCCTTCTTCTCCAACAGCGCCGCGGAGCTCGTCGGGTCGGCTCCACCAGCTGGCTGTCTCCTCGTGTATTAGAGTGGGCTTTAATTCACACCTGTCCCTTCATGTCAGTACTTTTTCCAATATATCCAATGGAAGCAGGGCACTGAAATGGTGATCGTGCTGAGAGAGATGGATAAAAGCTAACCATAATTGTACGTTATGCCAAAAGGGCGACGCTTCTTTCGCGTGTCGTTCTCCGGCAGAAAAACGTGTGTGTTCATGCGCTTGTTATACGCGACCAAAAACGAGGCCTGAAGTCCTCCTGGGGTTTCAGGCTTTGTCTGCTTTGGACTGGAGGTCGAGCCCATCTGTGTTCGAGCGACTGCCAATGTCGTGCTGGATGAACTAGAAGATGAAGAAGCGCCGGGAGTTGTAGATGAGTCGTTCATCTTCGACGCAGCAGCAGTGTTGCCACTTTTTCCTTTCTGACCTCCATCTCCTCGGGCGTTTTGATCAGGTGCTGTTGTCTTATTCAGCGCCCTAGCCGCTTCACGCTTCGCGTACCGCTGCATTGTGTACAGCATGTACACACTGTATTGCGGAAACGCATCGGGTCGTTTTTCTTGCCCACCGGTCGTGTGCTTAACTAGAGCCCCAGACCTGCCCTTTGTTGAAGCCGCCTGAACTACATCCTCCTCTCCGTCCTCCTCTGGGATACACGGCAGACTGCCATTTTTTGATCTTTTGCCACGCACAGTTGTTGCTTCGCGTCCAGTGTGTGACCCAGAAATTGGCGGCCCCAACCCTCCGGTTACTAGCGCGCGCTTTGCTCGCTGGGTAGACGCAGTAGATTAGAGCAATCTTAATTCGATTATCAGAATTTCCACTACGCCATCAATTGTCATTCCTTGCAGTTATTCAGTGACGCTAGCCTTGACCAGCCCAGCATCAAAAGCATTCACTCATTGACATCCTTCGTCGATCCTCCCACTTTATCTGCGAGCGCACTTCGAGAAAATGAATGAATGTAGTCTACCTTGTCGCCTTCGCACTCGGAGAAGATACTGGACGGGATGATAATTAAGTAAGATCGATCATATTTTCTACTTATTTCTTCGATGTAAAGAAAGTGCTCTATTCGCATTCCGTAAGTAGAACTTGATGACGAGGACGAGCTTCCACTCCTGCTCAAGGCTCTGGAGCGAGCCTCTGCGGCAGCTGCAGCTTGCTCTTCCTTTATCAGATGTGAACGGAGCAGATACTCGACGCGAAATACTTTTCCACTATGTGCGCGCGGATATTTTCGCCGGTACTCCATTGGGTTTCGGAATATGAACGCTTCATCTTGCTGTGGAGGTGGACATCACACATCAATATTTTTTATGTTTATCTATCATCTCTTGTAGTAGTTATTCAACAAGTAGCGACCACGTAAGACTCTGTTATTTTGAAAAAACAAGGGGCCTCTTGTCCGACAAATCGACTACTTCAAATGCTGGGGTAGCACACGTTGTGCTTGACTAGAAATTCGCCATAACATTCTCATCGCATTTAATTTCCAGCGTGCAGGCCCTGCTGCCGTGCTTTCCTTTCGGCCCAATTGCGTCGGATTCCGAATCACTTTCCCCTTTCATCGGTGCAACGCGCCCTTGCGTTTTCGTCGGCATGGGAGCCGATAACAAATGAAGTTCGCACTACCTAGTCATGCCTTTGCTTCTCGATAGAAGATTTACACTGTACTAGTATGGGTTGTGGAGGCCGAGATCCGACTGACATCATCTTCAAATTCTTCTATGACGATGAATTGCCTATGCGATAAAATTATCAGAGTCAGACTCTCTTTCATGCAAGAACGAACATGAGCATTGAAATTGATGAAAACAAAGCACATCATAACCTTGAAGCTCAAGTTCGAAGCTTTTTTCGGGTGCCCTCTGTATCGCGTTGTTGGCCAGCAGGCTCACTGGCCCCCGCGTTAGAGGCTCCCATTCCTCATCGACATCCGAGTCTTCCTTGTGCTCTGCAGCTGCCGGTATAGACATCGTGCCGTATCGCTTTGGACCATCTTGAAAATCTATTTTGACGGAGAACGACACTTTTTTTAACTCCACGATGTGAGTCTATCAGGATTAAGTCATGAGTCCACGTCCGAATACAGGAAATATTGTTTCAGATTCTTTTTGTGAAATCCTATGCTTCGAAGTAGAGCGCATCTCAAAAAAGGATGAATATGGTGATGAATCTGCATCTTCACATTCTACAAGTTGTACGACTAGCTACTAAATAGTATATCGAATCGTTGCAGGATGTTGCAACAGATACGTCCAAATCTGTTAAAAGAAAAGCACCTTGTTCGGGAAAGATGTCGTGTGCGGACGTATGGAAGAGAGGCAGGGGATTTCCTACTCGTACAGGAAAAGCCTCTTCGTCATCGTCCGATACTGAAGAAGGAGGTTGCTTGGCGTCAAAAACCGCGTCGACTTCGTCGCTATGTTTTTCTAACTTTTCACCCTTTTTATGCTTTTGCATAGCCCATCCTTTTTTCGGGGGAGCATGAGACGGAATGCCAAAGCACCTGGTGTGCCGAAATATTCTTTGGTGTTCTACATAAATCACGAAAGCAAGGAAACACTCACAACAGCCAAGGCAATACTTGTTCTAGATATCGACGCATTACAATTATTTCCATGTAGTCTTTCTTCTAAATCCTTTAGTGTGAACCGACTCGTTCAACAAGCTTTTCGTCATGGTTCACGAAAGGCAACATGATACTGGAGGAAAGCACTTCTCTACAGACTTGAGAAGTATGTACAACAACAACAACAAGATATATTATAAATATTTTCGAGTACCCAGCAGAAGATGCGGCTGATTTTGTTATCCCGGTTCTCTTCTCTCGATCTTCGAGTGAGGAGGAGCTAGAGGAGCCCTCGCCGAAATTGCTTTCTTCGACAAGCGACGTCGAAACGTCGGACTCCGGTTGCTTCTTTTTCTGCAAAGAGCTTACCTGTGCCCCCTTTGTGGCCGGTAAATAGTACATTTCAGCGTCCAAAAGAGTACTATCCCCAGAGGTACTAGAGGATGACGAGGAAGTTGTTTTGTTGATATTCTTCTCGCCTCCACCACGTACGCGTTTTTTCTTTTGGAAGCCGCCGTAGTAAGCAGCAAGTCCGACATAGCGGTAGCCAAGATTCTTTTGCACGTTTTTTCTGCCTGGTTTCCAAGTGCCCGACGGTGCTGCCCACGAACCGGCAGCTACATATTCTTCATGCGACACATGCGGTCCGGCTCCAATTCCCGCGGTATCTTGTTCGAGCGGTACATCTAATGCGCTATCTGATGCGACCGATCCAATGAGGGCATCTTTGCGGGGACGAGGGGGACTAACGTTAAAATTGCGCAAGTCTTCTCGATCGAAACAGAATTCTCGTCGTCGAATACGTCGGACAAAGTCTTCCTCTGCGGTATCCCAACTTCCGTCTGCAGGAGAGGCGTCCTCTTCCTTCAGAGGCGGGACAATATTTCCTTGTGGCTTGAACATCTTCTTGTTTTATTGAGATGAGCGCGCACGTGCCCCGTGTTCTCTATTAATCTTACTGCATTTCGATTTCCTGGATAGTGGATACTCTTGAGGTACATATAGAAGAAGATCTCGTATGGCGTATCTATCAATTCAACACGATTGCTTGTCTGCTTTTCTTATCACGATGACTGCATGTTGAAAGCTGGCCAACTGTCCTGAAAGCTACTTGTACTTACTTCTTATGCTGGACAAGTGTGATAACGAATTGCGGAGGGATAGCATTATAATATCGATCTTTCTTGGAACAAGGCAGGTCGCGATACCTAAAAGATTACAATTGATTCTTTCAGTGTTGTTTGTCCTATATCAGAACTGAACAACACTACTTATGTAACTTTCCCTAACACAAGTTTCATCATCAAGCGGTTGCATCTTCCTTAAGAGGTTTTTACAACGATAGGATGGCTTCATGATCATGAGGCGCTGCTTATATAAGTGGTTACACTCGTCAACGCAAGAGCCTATTGCATTTCCGATTATTAGGTTTTAATACATGGGAGAAGAATAGGGTATACGGGCACAAATCCAATCGAAGAACAGAAAAGCGAAAAATCTTCTACAGGGTCGCTAGCGAATTGATTTGTGCAGGGGAGGAGTTGGAGTTTGGAGCCAGGCAAAAATTACATACCTCCTCTTTAATACTAGCCACCACAACGGTCGGTTCACGATAACGCTCTTCACGGACGACGATGACCATGACCGACCATTTCTTAGAATAAATGGTCCCCCTACGGACTATGAACACACACTGCACTGCGTTTCACTCAGCGATGATGCGAACCGATACCCGAAAAGTAGGAATATGAGAAATGTCAATTATGGAGAAGCCATTATAACTTCAGATTTTTCGAGAAGGACACTTATTCTTATCTTTAGGTCGATACCAAAACCCACGTTGGCGCTCTTGACTTGCAGCAGTTGCTCCACTTTCACAACCAGGCTGAATCTAAGCCACAAGTAGTGTATTTTTTACACTCACAGGGTCCTACAGACAACGGAAACAGCACCAGAACGGGGACGACTATCCGCATATTCCGTCGAACGCCGACTGTTCTCCCTTTCCGACACCAGAATGTGATTGTATTTGCAGGCTCGCGTCAACCATTTTCTGTTAATTTCCTTACGAATGGGTCACGCTAAGTGGTAGCTAAAAAGAGAAACGTTTACGACTTGAGTCTTTTGATCTACTATTCAGGTTTGATTCATGAACCCAAGCATTGTACACAAGGCTCGAACAAACTCTTGAACCTGAAAATGATTATACTATGCTTACAAAAAAAAACATAACATGTTCATTACTGGAAGAGAGTAGATACCTTGCTGATACAGCTGACTAGTGTTTCCGATGGATGATAGTTTCCTGACGGTTTTAGTTTCATACGACGTTCGACAAAAAGACTAGCGAAACACGATCACAATGGAGGAAGCCACAGTATAGAGTGAATCTTCAGAGAGGATTCAATTTCGGCTGCTCTATACAGCGAGAGCACATCCGACAGTTCTACACCTACAGAAAGACAAGTTAATTTCGATGCCGAGCATACGTAAGTCAACCTCTGTATCTCATCCATAGCTAAGCCTGAAGCATTTATGCGTAATAATTCACTTGTAGCTGCATGCATTGGGCCACTTTGCATTTGTAATCAAGAACGACATGAGACACTGCTTGTCTGTCTTATTTCTTCGAAGATTGGAGTTGGTACCTAGTAGCTAGATATACAAAAAAAAGATGCCAGGAAAAAATATGAGTCAAGTCCATCAAATCCTTGGATCCCCATCACATTAGACCTCCTCATAACCGATGTTCGAAGGTGGAATTTCAATTTATTCCAACCGTTGGAATTTCTTTACCAAGCAGTAGGCGCTCCTACTTCCGTAAGAAGGCAACAGCCTAGTGATGCGTTGGGTGCTCCTAGTATCCATATCCCTCCTGCTGGGCATACTCCTCCTGGCCGTATCCCTGCTGTCCATAGCCTTCCTGTGCATAGCCCTCTTGGCCATAACCAGGCTCTGCACCGTATCCCCCTGGGTCGAGTCCGTACTCGACGCCGCCTCCTGGCTGGTATCCTCCACCTCCCCAACCAGGGTCGACCGCGCCTGGCTCAGCATACGCAAGCTCTGCAGGGTCCACCGCTCCAGCATTAGCACCTGGAAAACGTCGATCAACATCAAGCAGGCTGATTACACTACTAGTGTTCATATCTTTTTTATTGAGCATTCATAGCACCCTTGCCACTTTGAATCCTAATAGCTCCCGAAATCAAGGCAGGTGAAAGACCAAACATCAGGGAAATAACAGGTAGAAGAAGTACCGTACTCGAGCACGTTTTGATTGTCGTACTGCGACGCCCATGCTTCGTCATTGAGATACTCAAAGCCCTCAGCGGCCCTATCGCTCTTCGCTTGCGGGTCGACCACCATAGTAAGGTAGAAGAACGAACCGCAGAAACACAAAATGATCAGGGCACCTGAGATGAATCCGCAGAAGAAGGACGAAGTCGAAGAGTAGCAAGGACAAGAACGGGTAATGGTTGCGATAGCCGAGACTTGCTACTCTTAATACTAGAGCAGAACGATTACAACAAGCAAGTTTGTGGTTCATTCGATATCTACCTCTACGCAGTTGAAAAAGGAACTTGATACTGGTTCCGATCATTATGGGCACGAAGTTTGCAGCGAAAAACTCGGGAAGAAATCCTTGGTAAACGCAGCGATGTGTCGCTGGGTCAAGTTTGTAGTCTTTACACAAATTAGAAAGAAGAAAAGCTGAGCCTCGAAAATATAATCATCTTCACAGTGAAGCACCTAATGATGAAGGAAAAGATGATTACCTTGATCTTGATGGTTGTAGTACCTAAAATGATTTATGATGATGGGGACTTCGTCCATGACGCTGAGCTATGTTTCTGCAACTCCAAACAAGACGCGCAATTATAGTTCGCTTCTATCAAATCAATGCACCACCTCCTCCACCACTGATCATTCATACAAAACTAGATAGCTTGAGTCAAGAATATCTCATAACGAGGTGGCACGTTTCGCAAGCCTCGTAGTTTTTATCCAGTGCCTCCTCCTTTGTGCAAGCGAATAGCCCAGCCCCGTGTTGACAGGGGCAATGATACATCTGAAGATTGATCATGAATTTTCCATCAACACAAGCATTGGTAACGGGCAACAGCATGAATTTCTTTTGTGCAGTGCCTATAAATTCTGACTCTGTTCCAGGTACAATGTATGGAAATAAAGCACGAAATATTCTATGTACTTATTCTAGTTGACGAGCTATATCCCAATGATCGCTAAAAAAATCAATCGTAATCTCTACCCTTTTCCCAACCGCATTGTAAATTTTCTCGAAAGAAGCTTCGGCCCCGTCCGGCCTCAAGTCGCCTTCGCAGGTCTGGAAATCCAAAGGCGGATCCGCGATAAGGAGTCACTCCATGAAAGTACTCTTGAAGCCTCTTGAAGCAGGCTGCTCATAATCATGCTCAACTAAATAATCATAATCGAGAAAAAATTTAGACGTAGATTGTGGTGCAGCTGGTAGTTGCCTGACACAATCAATCTAAAAAAACTATCAAATGAACATCCTCCACCCATATTTTGAATCTCTATGTCCAAACGCGAGAAAAGTTTCGTCGGCGGGTCCCCACTCAGTGGTAGGATGGGAACAAACTAATCTTAGCTTTGATAGGAGTACTTCATCATCCTGAATTGAGTGTGCCGTCGCTCTCCACTATTCTGTTAAGAGCGCCCTTGAGAAGTACCAAGGTATACCCGCTCAACACACTCGGTGTGGGAAATGATGAAAAACCAATCCTAAGATTGTGACAACTCTCGGTCGTACTTGTTCACCGGCAGCCATGCCGGATCGAACGTGCACAGCCGAATCCCATGCAAAAACCTAGGCACGTGTTGGAGGATTCAATCGCGACGTGGTTAATTGCAATCCTCTCTGATGTCTAGTACTTGAACCGTCCCTAACGCCTAGTAGTAGTACTACCTTTTCGAAATTTCTAATATCCACAATCCGAAACGCAAACGATGCCGGCCAGCAAGATCAGTCATGCCTCTGGGTATCACACAATATTAGTTCGATTATGTAAGACCTCAGGCAAATGGCCTGGACGAAGTAAAGTCGTGATGAATAACAGGCCTAAGACCAAGAGGAAGAATACAATACAACGCAATACAATTTACCTCGCTTTTTTTTTTTTGTATCGCGGGCGAGTTCCAATATATCCAAACCTCTGCGCAAGCAAGCTCAGATAAGTCAGTACCTGCCTACATATTTTCCGCGTAGCTACCGGCGTAGAGGGGAGTTCTTAATCTCCTTAACAAACTACGCTACTGCCCCTACGATTTACAATGATCAAGAACTAGGAGCAAAGGCACTACCATTACTCGCACAAAGTACCGCGCAAACTGCCTACTGGCGTCATAGAGTTACGTCACGACGAAGCCTCACGCAGGGTAATACTACTGAAAATCAAATCCATAAAGGTAAAACAGAAATACAAGTGCTCGAGATCTCGAGTGGTGCTTTTTGCTTTCAGAAGGTAGCCCGGGCTCAGATCTCGGAATTCGAAAAAACAAAGACTCTTTAGAAGAAGTAGTTTTTTTTCATTGTCGTCGCGACACCTCCATCAACTGCCCTTAACATCTACCGCCATAAGTATCTTCCTACTCCTGAGCCGAACATTTTTTCTACTTTTGATAGGTATTGCTTGATGGAGACATTGCAAAAAAAAACCTGGCTTAAATGCTTCTTGCAGTGGTCCACCGCATGTGGACTTCCGGTCCAGTATACTGTCCATTTGCGCTGAAAATGGTTGTGGATCTTAATCGAAGTATGATCGTCAACGTCATCAGTCATATCATAATAAATCACTTACTCTTACAGCTTCGTACAACATCAAGTCATTATTTGTAGAACGAAAAATTTGCAGAAGTAAGTACACTAGTATAGCTAAATGTATTCTGCGTTACAAGTGAGCAACTACATAGACGAATGTTTATATGTAATTATAAATATATACTCTGCTATGAAGTTCAACAAGCGACGTTTACTGTTGTACCGATGCGTCCCACTCGTGCACGAGGTTGTAGCTGACCGTGTACCTCCCGTTCAGCACTGCGGAAGGGGTGAGTTGACTCGGCGAAGTGAGCTGGTCGAGCACCGTGCCATCCTTCCAGTTGCGCAAAAATACCCCACCTCCGTCTTTGAAGAACTCCGGGAGCTCTTTGCTTCCATGCTTCCAATGGATAGTCAGTCACAATGAAGGAGAAGAGAGGGAAATGTATAATGGAATGGTTTTGTGGCTCCGTACTATAACTGTGATATATTTCATGAGCTAAGAATCGATGATGAAAAGACAGGTGCAGATCGCTGTCATTTAGCACGAATATTATTGAAAAAGAAACAAGGAAATGTCAATGTGCTAACAATGCACGTATCGATATATCTTTTAACACCTTCCTCCTCCTACCCCAATCATAAATGAACCCGGTAAGTTATCCAATTTATTCCCGTCGTCCCCTTTGTCGACGAATGAAAGCAAAGAAGGTAGTGGCTCACCCGAAATTATTGCTTTCGTTGCTGGCCGACGTTATCTTCCTCCATAATGTCATAATATCAGCACTTGCTTCTACTAAATACGACTATATAAATACCGTGTAAAGCGAGAGTTTTTCTTCGATAATACTTAGTCAGTATGCAAATCAGAAATCGTGGGCCTGGGCTTGAGAAATATGTTGATCAAGTGCTGGAATAGAATAAACATTGTCAAGACGAGGCACATATCCGGTTTCTTAATTAGTTGGTATCCTGAATGGTGCTGTCTTCGTCCACGCGTGTGCATCTGTCCGGCTCGCATCCGTCGCATCCTCGAATGAACCACCATATACGAGCTCGGTTGATTTAGAAGACTTGTGTCACATTCCTTGTTAAACAAAATCGCTGTGACGAGACCATGATGCAACGACCAAAATGCAAATAACGAATTTCCTATGACTATATCGTGTGATATTCACCAAATGACAATATGGAGACATTTTTCATTTTGTTTTGCTTCTTGTAAAGTGCAAGCATGCTGTCAGTGGCTCAGAGGCAGAATCGTTTTTCTGACTCCAGAACGACACTGAAAATGCTGTACAGAATCAATTTGGATTCTCTGAAGGAGCACAAGCAGGATGCTTCATTTACATCTGCAGGAAGTGGTATGTCGTGTGTGTGTGTGTGTGTGTGTATGCGTGTGTGTGTGTGTCTCTGTCATGCGTGTGCCTCACCTAACTATGATAACTTATCTCTATGTTATATGAAGCTAGTTTGTTTTTGTTACACACACATGCTGGGCCAAAGTGAGTATTTGATCAGAGGGTGGTCCATAATCAGTGTATTTGACTTGGTGTCCTCCTCGTCTTTCGGATAATTCACAGCTAGACGCTGCAGGACAAGGAAGTCGTTGATCTCCGGTGTTTCCGTTCCTGCAGCAGCCAGCTCTTCTTCTGCTAGGGCTTCTTCTGTGTCCTTCTTGTCCCACGACATTAGCACAGCTTCACTTTGTTCGCCCACAAAGCCGTTTTTCGATTTGAAATTATCTGGTTGTACAATAGGAGGAATAGTCGGATGTGTCTGGTTCGTTGTAGAAGAGTAGGATCGACGATGGATAGGATAAAATACAGCTGTAATCGGGTGCCCCTGCAAAGGATAGAATGACGAAAGAAGAGTTAACTGCCATGAAAGACGCGTCATGTCGAGACTACACAGAACAGGGCAGAGCATGATGTTGATGATGTATCTACTTTATCAGTTCTTTGCTAAAGCTGCGCCTTCATGGTTTGGCGTCATACATTTTCGGGCATCATACATGTGCCGTACCTTCACTACAATTTTTTGTTAAAGAATTCAGCATCAGCCCGCTTTAATTGTTATGGAACTTCTTACGCGCACGCAAAAATTCAAGCACGACATTCTTTCACATCAGTCGCATACGTACTACTACTACTACTACGAGTTCGTTGTGCTGAAACTGAAACTCAGATAATTTAGGGTTTCTACTCTGAAATGTACCATTGTCGAACATAGAGGCCGAAGCCGAAGCGCCCGCAGGCATCGGATCGCTCATATAATAGGTTCCCATTCGCCCGAAGGTTCCCCATTGCTGCCAAGGTGAACCTTTCCGCAGCCGATCGCTGGGCTGCTTTACTCCATCGAGTACCCTTAGAGCAGCTGTAGGTCTTCACCACATTTCAATTTCTTGAACCCATTCGACTACAGCTTGTGTACGTACTTCCGCGGGGAGAAAAGACCGTAGTAATATCGATATTCGTATCTTCAAAACGAAATTCAATCTGAGATTCAATGTTACGTGCAACAAGTAAGACCAGCTGCAGCTGCAGGTTCAGCACTTGCCATAATATGATTCGTGACTCTTCCTCTGGATCGCTTTTGATGACGCTTGAGAGGGAAGACTGCGCTATTCCTTGTCTTTTTTCATTTTTCTTAGTGTCAGATGAAGCACTTTCTGTTACAGCGCCAGCGCTCGCGGACGCTTCTCTTTCCATCACAGTGAAAGAGGAACGACTCGTTCCTCTTCTAGTTGACGCTGAAGCTCGGGCACCTGAGGTTGTTTCCTTGTTGTGTGGTCGCATTCTCGCTTTTTCTTTTTCTCCCCAAGGTTGCGTCGAAGCATCCGGATCCGCTCCGTCAAACTCTTCATTGTTTCTGACGACCTCCTCCACATCGGATTCCCCCTTCGTTTGCCTAGGCTCCTCCACACTCGCCGTTGTCGCGCCAGAATTTGTGTTCTCCCCTTTGCCATCTTCCAAGCTAGTTGGGACTCTTGATGTATCTGCTTTTCTTCTATGTTCGATAAGATCCTCGTCTTCTGCCTGCTCATCCTCTTCGTTAGCAGAGGTTCTAACATCCTCCTGTTGAACAACATGATTTTCGTCGTGGTCGACCTCGCTTCGAAGATGTTTTTTTGGTCTACTAGCTCTAGCACTTCTTTTTGTCGTGCTATTCGCAACGTACAATACTGATGGTGTTGACGAAGATACTCTTTCTTCACTACTTCCTGTGGTCCTGCTCTCCGTTGCACCCTCTGATGAGGAAGAAATTGAGCTTCGAACGACCTGCTCATTCCGAGTAGCGTCTTGGTGTGCAGGTTTTCCAAGCGGATCCTGTTGATATTCTTCTTGGCGGTTACCACCACTATGTTCATTTTGTCGTGGCCCACTTTGATGTTGCTCTTCTGTTGACGTGGGGGGGTGATGAATGCTTTTCTCGATTCTAGCTTCTCCCGCTTCACTCGATTCCGCCTCAACATTGTCTTCAACCGTCTTTTGTAAATAGGTAGCATCCTCGTCGTGTCCCAAAAAACCGGGGTCGTCTTCCTCCGAAGAGCTACGCTCTTCCACACGGCGCGCTGGAAAGGAAGGGCCTTCAGGAGTAATGTCGACGTCGATTTTTGAGCCAACTGGTGTGGTACTTCTTCTCCTGACATCGCCGGAGATGGAAGACGGGTTCTCAACAGTGCTCCTCCTGCCGAGATCGAATTCAACGTTTTTGTTGTTGTCTTTGGCGACAACCGCTGTCCTTGATGTTGCAGAAGCTGTTACTACAAGAAGCCGAGAAATCCACCGCTGTGTCCGCCTGCGTCTAACAAATTTCAAAGCATCGGAATCTCCGCTATTCAAGACGGAACAAAGAAAGTGACTTCGTTTCAAGTCGTGCCTGCGGCTCTTCGGTCTCGCCGATATCATCGTGCTGAATCCCTCTTGCCCGTACTCCGAAGAAAACGGCGCATTTCAGTCTCTTATGCGCCGTCAGGCCTTTTTAAGAAACTAAAGAATGCATATCCTTTTTACGTCCACTTCCTTCCCAGCCACAAGATTCTCATCTTATCACGACAGCATTTGCAGTGATGACGTCATCGCAAAACGTGATAATGATTAATCTTCACAGGCTCCGCCTTCTTGTTTCCAAGTGCTCCTGTCTGCATAGCCATTTATCCTGAAGTTCCTTTCAAGCAAGGTCAGGCTTTGACCTAGAACTTGTTCTTTTTGTACCTTTTTCCTCTTCTCTTCCAAAGTAAGAGTGAGTCACCTTTTCTTGCGTGAAAAGGCGTATCTATATCATTTTTTGCGTTCTCTCGAAACACCAGATTGCAAATGGGGGGAGTAGGAGTACCTGCACGTGGTAACGAATACATTGTACTGATACAGCACACAAGCTCCTTCTCGCTCTAGCATCTTTCCTCCGCAAATAACACGTTCCAGATCATGGTGAACGGAATATTCATCACACTAATCCCTTTCCTGTGACTAACAAGAACAAGTGAGAATACGCAATCCATCATCTGTGGAACCGAGTAAGATGTCAACGCATCACGACCAGGCGTCGGCGCAAGATCAACTTCACGTCGAAGCCTTCTAACCGCATGAATATGATGTAAATTAATAATACGAACATCAAAACATTGCAAGCTGCGACAAGGAGGGCTACTAATTCTTCTTCAAGATCTAGAGTCTCGAATTCATTGTGAAAAGTGTCTCATGTTCTATGACGAGCAGGATCAGGTAGCTCACGACGGAAATCCAAAAATTCCTGTTGTTCCGGGGAACCACTCATCGGCAGGGGAAACGATTCTTCAGACTTGTCCCATAGCCATAATGTTGAAGCAAAACCAACCATCGCATTAAATGATAAAACGGATCAATGACCACGTGGATGATCTGCATAATAGGTTACAGTGATAATGGTGATGGTCCTCACATTTATTATAAGAAGATCACCTCCAAGTAGAATCTTGTCCATATATGAATTAGAAGTAGGAGAGCGTCGGATGTTAAACTATGGCTACTCAAACTGGAGCAAGTGGCCAGGCAGCATTGGCGACAACCTGCAGGAGTTTACGACTCTAGGCAGTTCATCCTTCATCCAGGTCGTGCTAGTCGCGCACGATTAAAATTCAGTGAATTAAAATGTCGACGGCTGATTTTTTTCAGAGACAAAGCTTCTACACAGGAGTTTGAATAGGGACTGAGGGTTAATGCGTTCATGTGTTGTAGTTGTTCCAACATGGAGGAAACCAATCCTCCAAACATCTAGAAAATTGAATGTGAGTTGCTGTCTTCTCATTTATCCCAACAAACTCTGCACAGCTTCCTGGAGCTTGAATCCATTCTGCGCGAGAGCATCTTTGGCTTGTTCTTCTGTAAAACCCATATCCAAAATCTGATTAATTTTTCCTTGATGGGGGTTCTCATACTGAGTCGCTGCGCCGCCGTTTGCGATCGCGTATGTTTCCGTCCAATAACGCGCAGTGCTCAAGAACTCATCTCGGCTTGAAAGTATGAACGGAGAGGGGGAGAAAGAGAAAGCCAATTTCAGGAACTGCGTGCCTTCATGACTTGGCATTACTTCTCTCTTTCATGCAGATTTATTTTAGGTAACAGACTGAATCACAAGGACAAGGTGTAATATGCCAGTGAGTCGAAGAACATCAAGTAGACATAATTTATACTTCTAGTCGGGCGATTCAAAAATAGTCATGTGATAGCTATAGCATATCTCACATGATGAAAACTAAAGTCAGGATTACTTGCTCATAGATTTATATTGCTTCGCGACTTCGGCATCTTGAGGATCGTCTGGCTCGGGTGCGGACAACAACGCTTGAATACTGAGTAGAGCTGTTCGTATCGATAATGCGGGTGACCACTCCTTTCCGAGCACATCTAGGCATATTGCTCCCGTTTGCGAACTATGATTGAAGATCATGTTTACGTGTACTAGAAAGGAGGACGGAATTCTTGATTCCTTGATGTCGTCGAACTCGACAGACGTTCATATTCATCAACATGATGTGCTAAAGACAATCACTTTTCATTTCTAATTAAGACTGTAAGAACAAGAACACCGTTGTATCTACTGTATAGTGTAGACCCACCTTTCCACATTTTTACAGACAAAAACTTAAATCTACAACTACATCTCCTTCTTGAATGAAGTACCTGATGTTTGGGTGCCATATTTTCGTTGCGAACTTCATCTTTGGTGGGTTGTAAGGGTAGTCGTCTGGGATTTCGATGTTGATTTTGTAGATTCCGCCGTTGTAAGGAGAGTCCTCCGGCCCAAGAATCTTACCTTCCCAAAGCTGGATATTTTCCCCTACTGCGTCTGCTGTAACGGCACCACCTTCTTGAGCATTCTTCGCCCGCATATCTTGGAGCTCCTTCTCGAGCCGTTTCCTTTCTCTCCGAGTGCTAGACATGTTCGACATGGTTTGCTCTCAACCGATGAAGGAGCTATACTTCCTCCAACTACACTAGTAAAACTTCATCAACAAATACCAATCACGTAAGATTACATTACCTACCAGCTTTCGAAAAATCTCTTATATTGAACTCAGAAAAGCGTGGGTCTTTTCTACGGCAGAAACACAAGTAGGAGATTCTTCAACAACATATACGATTCCAAAAAATAAACCGAGTGCCTGCAACGAGAACGACAAAAGATAGGGATTGTATTAACAACGACCAAAAAGAAACACAATTGACGCACCAAGACCAATAAAAGGTAGTCAGTGGAGCCCTAAATTGAAGAAACTAGAATTATGACCACGTTTTTAGTTGATCTAAAATGAATGAGTAGAAGTGCTTCTTTCATCTGTTTTGAACTAGCTCTAATGTGAATGATGCGTACCAGCTACTCCTACTTCGCTTGCGCGCCGACTTCTACACTTTAATCTGCGTTTTGGTCGATTTATGTTTCACTCAGAGACAGACCTAGATCAGATGTAAGTGTCGTTTGCGTTTTCCATTCGCTATATCTGGCAATAAATTTCGCATCATTCTTTTTGTTGTTTCTTTGCTGAGAGGAAATCGAATCTCTCTACCACAGTGCTAGGACCAGTTCAAGCTTTCATCCTCGGAACCTGAATGGCAAAGGGAACAGGCCCGCGAATGTGGAACTAAAGTTGTTCCCTCCTAGGCCTGACTATGTATAGATTCAGTGCCATAATTTTCCACCCTGCAAATGCTATAAATGCTATTAGATGTCTGGTCACGGAAGGCCAACCAACAGGACATGATCGATGAAAGAGCCCTAGCCCCTTTTCTTTTAACATAACATTGCAGTACTAGTATGTTTTGGACTCTATTTCCTTGACAAGAATCCAGTCCACATCGCTCCATGGAGCCGAATGCAGCTATAATTTGCCTTTTCATTTTTGCAGTACGAGGTCGCACCCGTCTGCTAGTGGGTTCGTACGCGTTCCCCGAACAAACAAAAAATACTCTCTATCGTTGTTAACAAAAGTCAACAAAAATGTGTGCGAACTAGAGAAGTAAGGGCTGTTCGCTCCTTCGTGGCAGCCAAGAAAATACGACATAGCGCGCGTCTTCCTTTTAAACAGGTCCACGACAAGGTTTCGCTTCTGCGTATTTTCGTGTGTAGAGGAGAAGACCGTGATCTGACTTGTGGACGAGCGCTGGAGGTCCTTGATTCCCATCGCAGAAAAATTCGAAATGCTCCGTTTGCACCATCCACGCCCACCGGCACATGCTCAGGAGCCGCAGCGTAAAGGGTGTTTCAGGTACAACATCCTCATCTTCAATTTCCTTTGCAGCTCGATCAAATTGCTGCTCAGTGTTGTTTTTAGTACGACAGAAACCACGGTCTTCATCGTCCCCGATGATCCACTCAACTAGCGCTTTTCGTCTGCGCTTCCAATTCGGGAGCACGACACTGAAAATATAGCCTGAAAGGCCCTGTCCAAGTGAGGTACGAGGGCCGTAGAGATTGTTACCGCCTCGCGCGCCGGCGATGTGCGAGCGTGGCACGTCATGCGGAGTGTGGCCTGCCCGCACGAAAACACGTGCCCGGGTGTTCCGTGCCAACGACAGTCCTGCTGTAGGAGAAACCCTATAGTTGGAAACATATGATTGCTTGCTACTACGTGAACCTGAGGCCTCGGCCACGGCCTGCTCCTGGCTCAATAAAACTTGGTGGTTCGCAAGGGCTTCGTGTTCTCGATATTGTTGCTCCGGACCAAGGGCAGCAATTTCATGCTGCAGTTCAGTCACTACCCATCGTTGTATATCACTCAGCTGCTCTGCGTGTGCCTCCTTAACGACGTGATCCCGCAATCGCACAAGTCGCGCATCTTTTTCTGCCTCCTTGAGACCGTTGGCCTTCTCGCCATCAACAGCTTTCAAAGCCACATCATCGTTTTTCTGCTTGTCCTCCGAAATGATAATCAGTTTTTTCAAAGCTTCAGGCACACGATCTCGTGAGACGATGTATCCCCCATAGTGGTACTCTTCTTGCTCTGGTAAAAGGCCAGAAAGGTTTGCGGACCGGGAGCATGAAACACTATGAGGAGACGCAGAATCTCCGAACCAGGCCCGACAGAGAGCTACCACGCCAGATGAAAGTCCCTTCTTGGATAGTTCGTCACAGTTTAATCCTAGAGGAAGAGAGTTTCCCTTATCTTTTTTCTTGACCTGAAGCTCTTTGTCCTGCTCCGCAGCTTCGAAAACGTCACGTTTATCGGCCAAAACGCCGGGGAAAGCAAGATGTCGCCCAACGCGCTCTCCAGGACTTATAGAATCAGCAGCAGATGAAGACGCGCCATGCTGTTCAGCCACGTCCTCCATGGAGATTCCGAAGATACTGTGCGCGTAAAAGTCGCGTCCCCTGAAATTGCCGAGAGAACGCAAAAGCTCTCCGCCATCAGTAGGAGCAGCTGGTGCACCCATCAAAGCAGAAATTGTCCCCACTTCCGTATCCAGCGTACGCAAACTTAGGTCTTGCTCCTCCTGCTCCACCTTCTCGACAAGGATTTGATTATGCGTCTTCCGGCTTTTCTCAGAATATACGGAGCTCATCAAAGCAGCAGCTCTGCCACGCTTCGCGCGGATGCCTTGCAACGAAATCAGATGACCTTCACTCCCAAGCCAAGATTCGGGAACAGGGAGCTCCTGACGTAACCTTCGGATTTCAGATTCTACCCTTCCTGGAGCTGAAGAACCTACGTGTTGTATGCCGCCGTCCTCCGTCCTCGTGTGCCCCTCGAGGTGGATAGCGTAGTTTTTCCGCCAGTGTCGTACGTAGTGCGGAGGAAAAAGTTCACGCCCCGAAAAAGCCGAGAAAACACGCACTACTATTTTTCGCCACGACTCCTGCAAAGCTAGATCTGCACGCCACGTCATGTGCGAAACCCCGATCATGCCAAGGCTTAGACAGAATTGGGATTCACCCTGGTGGAAAAAAGGAAACAATTACATCTAAAAAATCTAAATCACCAGAGGCGTTGTCGTAGTCTCGTTGTTTGTAGGGCGGATGAGGTCTAGATTGTCTTATCTCATCTCAAACACAATCACAAAAAAAATATGCACAGTGCGCCCTCTTCATACCACATGCAACGGTCCTTCGGGTATCATGGTGGCAAAATTTTCGTGTAGCGCTAGAAAGGTCAGGTACTGCAACACGCGAAAAGGCTGGACTATTGTGTAGTCGGAATCGATCGCGAGCACCCCACCCACATACTCCTGAGCCAGCTGTAAAAGCACTAAGAGTTTGAACTGGTCGCACACCATATTCAGGTATGCTGTACTGTTCGACACGAAATTGACCCAAAAATGACTGTCGTGTAAGTTGTTCAAGATATCCCGCCGTAGGTCCCAGTCTCTTCGCACTGTCACCCCGTAATCCTTTACGAGAACGCGCTCCACGCTCGGCGAAAGCGGATAATGCACCATGCCAGTCTCTGGATAATCCGACCCAGTCGACCGCGTCCTGGATAATTCATCCGTCGGGATCGCCAGGACGCGGTCGACTGGATTGGCCACGTCTGAAAACACCGCCTTCGCCGCACGATCTAGGAAATCCAAAGCACCCTGGTTTGTTTTCCAAAAATCAATATCTGCAAAGTCCTCTACAGATGATCGTTCTTGTGCGCCACTCTCATCTATCAGTGAGGACACTGTCGAAAACATGCGCAAAGACTCGCGCCGCGCTTTGGCCCACCGCGTATCGTAACCGCGTCCGACAAGGTCAGACACATGAATCACTGCGAAAAGCTTTAGCGAAGACGACGACGAGTGGTCGCTTTTCTTTGTTGACGCATCTTTGTCGAGGAATAACGTATCTACCGGACCCTTAAAAGAGGCACTGCGGAGTTCCTGACGTCGCCGTAGCTCCTTGGAAAGGTCCGGGAAAACTGGAGGTTTGAGCCCCGGCTGGTCTGATTCATCAGCTTCTACATAAGAAACTCCTGTCGGAAAGCTTGCTTCATCCGCCTGCATGCTTGAGCTAACTCGTTCGGCGATTTCACGAATCTTTCCCGGATCTTCCCAACCAATCCCGTCGATAATTTCTGCCTCCTCCCGTATACAATTGTAGTCTGCTGCTCTGACAGTCCCTGTACACTGAGGCGTCGCTTCGTGAAACCAATGCGTCGAGTTTCGAATCTGTATAAGATTTTGCACAGCTGCCAACTCCCTCGGCGTCGTCGGTCGAATGCGCTCTGTTAGGTCCTCTCGTGTACCCCCGAACACTGCGAGTGCAAAGTCCGCCCTAATATTTTTTCTCTCTCTAAATCCTGACCCAACTGCGCCTTGCGGTTTATTCTGTTCATCCAAATGAACGATAACAAGTTCCTGCTCACCGGGATGTGCCGCTCCCTGTTGACCACCAGCCGGCGCCGAAAGGTAATAAGCGCGAGAATCAGCCAAACTAGCTCCGCGATTCTTGCGCTCTTGATGTGCTAACGTCGAGAACGCATAATCCTTGTTGTCGTGAGAATCTCTTGTTGCGTCGACATTTTCCTCTTTTTCAATCTCTTCACTACGTTGCTTCCGAACTAGAGTCGTCCTCTTCATGTACCGCTCATCTACCAAAAAAGCGTTACTTTCAGGCCCTGATTTTGAAGGTTCTCGCTCTACTTCCTGTGCACCTTTCACATCCGACCTTTTCGCTTGTTTTATCTTCTGAGCGTAGTTGGGAGCCGATATAACGCAAAATCTGGAATCCACATTGCGGGATAAGTGAGATGCCTCACCAATCACTCGAAAATTCGCAAAGGGCGCCTCAAACGAAGAAACAGAAACCAGAGCCTCGACACGCCGAACGAAAAGTCGCCGTCGCATTTCCTGCATCAAACCAACGTAGTCGTTGCTTGACTCCGCTTCGAGGACATTGATAGGTAGGTAGAATTCCCGCGTAGAAGATCGCAGATCAATACGATCTTTCTCCAATAGCATCCCAGCAGCCCAGCGCGAGCGAAATTCGCGCGAGGTGAGATACCGGAGATGTAGCGCCGCGTATAGCAGCTCCAACCCCGCGACTTCTAGTAGTGCCGCTTCGCCACAGGACATGGGTGCACAGACCAGATATTTGCGACTCACTAACGGATGCTTTTCCCACATGGTCGAAGTTCGGTTGGGAAAAGCACCGATCTCCATCAAGAATGACCGTCCCATGCTCCGATGACAGCGCTCCACATGAAAACTTAGGCGCAAGGAAACGTCCACAAGGCTCGGCTCCGCGTCTTCGTTCATCTGGTTCCAAATCTCGTCTTGGTTGTGCTTCGGAGACGTTTTTAATGTGCCTATTTCTTCCAGAATATCTTCGGCAGTTACTGCACGAGGAAGGTCTAGCTCATTGCCGCTCCAACCCCAAAATTTCGATACGCATTTCCCGATCGGCACGTGATCAGTCAACCGTACTGGAGCTGCAGCGCCCGTTCGGGCCTCCGGAAGTGCGTCGTACATGTCACGTGACGCGTCTTGTAATCCCGGAGAGGAGAGTGCACGCATTATGGCTGGCCGCCGCTGGCCCATATAGTCGAGAACGCGACGCAGTGTCGGTTCGCGGACGCCGGCTTGCCATTTCAGACGCCGCGCTTGGATAGCTTCAAGGAGGCGCGCCGGTTTGCGTAACGAGACTTCTGCGTCACTGCCTCCATGCTCCTCGTCTGCGACGCCAACCCTCGTAAAAAACGACCACCCTTTGCCCCGATCATCTGTTGCCTTAGTGTCCACAACAGGAGTTGCCAACGAGTCAAGTGGCTGCACAAGCAGCAGGTACGACAGTACGACGGAGGAATAGAGGGAAGCAAGGTGGAAAGAAAGGATGTTGAAAGATCGCATCTTTCTGTTATGTGTAATATCATTATCAATATCATTGCAGATAAGAAATAGCTCTATAAATAAGTAAGGCGGAGACAAGTAAGCACGTGACGACAAAATGAACGAAGACAAGACGAAAGCAGAAAGCAGCGCGAAGAACGAAAGCATGAATGCCAAGCAGACCCACTCCGAAAGCCTGGGGCCGAAAGGGAGCGACCAAGAAAGCAAGAACAGCCACCAGGCAGCCCGACCGCGCGACACCGCTACCAACGTCAGCCGCTACCCACATACGCCGCCTGCTGCATAGCCCGACACACCAGAGCCGGCGGCGACAAGAAAGCAACGCGTGACCAAGCCAGCCGTAACATAGTCGCGACGAAGACCATAGCACAAAACACACGAAAAAAAAAACCGGCAAGGTCATACGCGTTGCCCGCAACGCATCAACGCAAACAAACAAACAGACAAACAAACAAACTCTAACTCGATAGCCGAGAAGTTTCTAAAGCTTCTGCGGGCGCATGGCATGGAGTGCATGGAACACATGGAGTAGCATGGAGCAGGTACTCCATGCACTCCGTGCGAGAAAATTTTGCGAGGCGCCCTCCAGGTGCCTCTCCGTCAGAGTGTACACCCCTCCAGAACGGTATTCCGGGGAGGCATCTCAGACACCTCCCCTACCAACCCCAGCTCCGACTGCTAGCTACGCAGAGCCCCCGGACCGACCCGCCCACTCGCGACCCAAGCCCGGCGCCCTCAGGCCGCCCCAGCAGCTGCGGCGCCGCCGGCGACCCCTGGGCGTCCGCATATTGCAGCCAAGATAGTGCTCCCCGTGCGTCTGGCCTATCAGCCAACCCTGACAGCGAAGACTCCCAGGCCACGCACTCACTCGCGGGCGGCGGCCCTTAAGGCGGCCAAGGCATCAGCCTCAGCGCCGCCGGCTGCGCCAATGGTTGGGGCTACAACTCCCCGCTTACGCTACAAACCCCCGACAGTTACAACTCCCCAACCACTGACTCGCCAGCTGGTTCCCTTAGCTCAGAGCCCCCCACAAACCAGCTGCGGCGCCGCCGGTAACGTCACCCTCCGACACATCACCAAGCGCCCCCCTCCAAGCGTCTAGCCTATCAGCCCCATCGCCGGCGAGGCATGCTCCACGCGTGCCCGTCCGTTACACGCTTGCGATGCACTCCATGCGTGGACAAGCAGCAGGTGCTCCATGCACTCCATGCGCCACGCGCGCTATAAACTTCTCTGCTATAAAATCATATCTCTCCTGTAATGAGTGGATACTTCATGGTCTGTGACATAATGTCACCAAGCAGCCAGTGTGTGTTGATCGACTTGTAGCGGCGTGTAATAATTTGCGTCTTGCTCGAGCTGTCTAAGTAGATTGTCGACAATTTCTAAGCTGTCTAGACACGACCACGAGGCCAAGGCAAGCCCCATCCCCTCAAGGACTCATAGAAATCGAGGCAGGCCTGGCGACTTTGGAGGTGCAACATAGAACGAAAGCGAGGCAAGCCTGATAACTTTGGCCCAGCATGGAAATCGAAGTAGATCCGACAGGCCGACCGCGTCGCGCTGCCTCATCCACAGCGGCGGCAGCCGCGCCCGCGCTGCAGAAAAACCACAACAGCAGCCACGCCCACGCTGCAGAAAAATCGCAGCGGCAGCCGCGCCCGCGTTGCAGAAAAACCGCAGCGGCAGCCGCGCCCGCGGTGCGGAAAAGCTGCAGCGGCAGCCGCGACCGCGTAGCGAAAAAACCACAGCGGCAGCCGCGCCTGCGTTGCGAGATGATAGAAAACCCGGGGGCGACAGCGCAGCCACATACAGAAAAAACCACGGCAGAACAAGCCGCATCAACCTCGAGAAAAGCGCGGTGGCAGCCGCGTCTCGAAAAAATTGCGGCAGCGGCTCGCTGCGTCTAGAAAAAACCGCGGCGCCGCCTGTGTCTCGAAAAAACCACAGCGGCGTCCGCGTCTCGAAAAAACTACGACCGACGGCAGCCGCGTCCCGAAAAATCCTGGCGGCGGCAGCCGCGTCTCGAAAAGACCGCGGCTGCAATACAGACGACGGCAGCCGCGTCTCGAAAAAACCAAGGAAGCAGCCGCGTCCTGAAAAAATCGCGGCGGCAGCCGCGTCGCGAAAAAAGCGCGGCGGCCGCACGGATGAGTGACGGCAGCCAGCCGCGTCTCGAAAAAAACACGGCGGCAGCCGCGACTCGAAAAAATCGCGCCGGCAGCACAGACGACGGCAGCCGCGTCTCGAAAAAACCGCCGCGGCAGCACGGACGACGGCAGCCGCGTCTCGAAAAAACCGCGGAGGCAGCAGGGAAGACGGCCGCCGCGTCTCGAAAAAATCGCGGCGGCAGCACAGACGACGGCAGCCGCGCCCACGTCTCGAAAAATTCGCGGCGGCAGCACAGACGCCGGCAGCCACGTCTCGAAAAAATCGCGGCGGCAGCCACGTCAGTCTCGAAAAAATCGCGGCGGCAGCCGCGCCGCGAAAAGATCGCGGCAGCAGCCGCGCTTTGAAAGGATCACGGCGGCGCTCGAAAAAAAAAAATCGCGGCGGCCGCCGCGCACGTCTCGAAAAAACCGCGGCAGCCGCCGTGCCTCACAAAAACCACAACGGCAGCCGCGTGCCACAAAAATCACAAGAGCGACGACAGCCGTGCTCTGAAAAAGCCGCCACGGCCGAGCTTCGAAAAAAAGAAATCGCGGCGGCAGCCGCCCGCGTTCCGTGGAAATCCATCACCGTGGCAGCCACGCTGCGCAATGATCTATCGCGGCGGCAGCTGCGCTTCGCAAGAGTCACAGCGGCAGCCACATTCATCGCGCAAAAGTCGCGGCGACTGCTGCGCAAAGCAAGCCTCGCAGCGGCAGCCGCGGCCCTCGAAAATCGCACCGGCGTCCGCACTCCGCGAAACAAAGTCGCGGCGTGGGCCGCGCTCCTTGAGAGCCACCTGCCACGGCGGCAGCGCTTTGCCCCGTAGCAAAACCGTGCCTGCCCTTGCAGGTCGCTATCGCAGCGGCTCTCCCACCCACGCAGGCCACGCCAGCGTCTCACCAAGATCCACACTTTTCTTCAAGAGCTCGACTCTTGACAAGACGCTAATTTTTTGTCGTGAAGACGCTAATTTTTTAGCGTCTTCTTTCAAGCTGTTAACCTTAACTGTTCTCCAAGTTGCTAATCTTTGGTCAAAACAGTGATTTTTGTGGGTTGTTCTGTCTTATGGTCTGCGTGTACTTACCTGCATTATCTTGTGACTGCGGAATAAATCTCATTGCCTCACTCTCATCGCCTCACGCGGCTACTCAACAAGCGGCTCCTAAGCAATGACCAGAATTCACAGTAGCTCCAGCGGGTGCAGCTGCGATGATCTCTTACACTTTAGCGTGGCCTCAGCCCGTTTAGATACTAGATCATCGGCTTATGGATGTTTCATGGACATAGAATGGAAAGCGAATGTTGACGTCAGGGCTACCCTGCGGGAGCATTCCTCTGACATTAGTTCTTGTTTCTTGTGTGCGTGTGGAAGTAGACAACGTGACATAATAACTCTGCATGGAGCTCGCAGAATAGGACATCAGCGATTCCATATTATAATGGAAACTGCGCAGTTACCGAATAAATAAGATAATAGCAGAAGCAGAAAAATTATTCCACGAAGGAACGATTGAAAAGCGACCGAAGTAATGCTACTTGCAACACAATTTTTTATGGCCATTGTCGCCATATTATTGATTCATTCAATATAAAAACAAACAAGAGATCATACTGCTGATTCTTTGATAATGTAGAGCTGTTCATTCTAAAGACAATAGGATATGCAATTGAATGTGGTAAATGCGCGTTAGTCGCTAGTTCGATGGTTCCAGTAGTTCAGAAGATCGAGAAATTGATGGAGCTACGACATGCAGTTCGTGACTGTGGCTTAGCAAATGAGTCCGTGGCGACGAGGATAATCTCCCCAAGAAGATGCAGAATCAAACAATTATAAGCAAGGGATACGGTCGTGATTTGAAGGCATCAAGGCGTAGGGTCAGAGGATGATACATACTGCATACTAGGCAGGGCGGTGGAGTTACAGTTCGTACAAAGTGAGCGAGGCTGCGGCACGGAGTTGGACAAGTGTCATTATACTATAGTCTTGTGGAAGCAGTGACGCTGAAAAGCAAGCACATGCACATTGTTTATCGAGCGGAAAGGCAATACAGCATAAGCAGTGGCTGTTTGTCGTCGGAGTGAGGAAAAAGTGGATAAGGCAGATGTAGTAATTGATCGGCGAACAAACGAACAACATGAACAAGAACATGCGTAGTTCGATCAAAATTCCAGACATCGGTGATTATATCTTTTCTACTTGCAACACGGCTCCGGGAGAGAGCAGCATTGATGAATGCTGCTCTGAAAAGGTTTTGCGTGCTCTTTAGTCTACTAAGGAAAAAGGAGCACTCCAATCGCCCTCAGCATCGTCCTGTAATCCACCCATTTTAGCATAGCACATGGCCCTTTCGTGTTCGAGTCGAAAAATTCGGAGATGTGCCGAGCACTTCCTTGAAATGGTCGGTGGCCATACCAAAGTACGGATTATTCTCCTTATCCCTTTTCCCTGGTTGCACTATCAACTGCGATTTGAAGCCGACCTGGTTGATCAAAAGTGCGATTCGCTGACGGTCAGGGTATACGCAACAAGCATCACTACAACTACGAGAAATTTCCATTCATCTAAATCTATTGCTTTTTGTGCACACCACGTAGAACGAAGGCACACAAGCTCAAACTCAGAAAAGAGATTCGGTGCCTGGCCATCTCTTGAACAATTGCTTAGGTGAAAGAATACCTGTGAGTCCACCCATTCCTTCATCTCGTCCTTTGAGCTGAAGTCCCGGTGTGTGAGCCCATGTGTTTTCAGCAACGCGTCGAAGAGCCCTTTCAGCTCAAATTCGGCACAGGACAGCTTTTGCTCTACTGTTGTAGGCTTCGCGGTTGCCTCTTGTTTCACTTTATGCTCTAGCGCAGTAAAGGTGTCACGCCATTTTGCTAGCGAGTTACGCCAGCAGCTGGATACGCATTGGTCCTTCCACGCTGTAAAATAACTCTTCGCAATGTAGTTGTTCTCCCAATAGACTGTTACCTGGCAGTTGTAAAGTGGCGGGGTGGCTTCATCCGTTCCGTCTCGCAGAGGGAACTAGCAGAGAGCATGAGCAAATCTTTCTCGAGCACCATCATGAGTAGTCTTCTTTCGATATTTTGTTCACAACTTGATCCTTGTGTTCCGAAAACAGGATGAAACGAATAAGCGCAACTACCTCACATGCTCTGGCGCCATTGAGAAGCGCCTTTTCCCTAACGTCTTTGAAGGCACGCTTGACATTCTCCATCTTGCCAAGCTGCTTGGCGACATACCTGTCTTTCCAAGCCGCGAAGGTTGTCTGCTGCAGTACTTGCTCATTTGCTTGCAGGAAGCTGAGCATTGTCCGTTTCTGTTTTGAAAGCAAAGGCTTCACGTTTTCGTTTTGATGACTCTTTTAAATAGTAGAGTAGAAAGAGCCAGCGAACATTGCATATTTTTTGGACTGCTACTGTTTTTAGAAGAAAGCCGTTCTGAAGAAGTCGTTCTAGTTTTTCATCCATCAACAACATTCTATGATGATCGGTAGAATTTAGCAGATAAGCCAACACTACAATAACATCATCGTGAGTCCAACTATTGTACCATATTCTCGCTGGCTTGTATTCTCATTTGCTTCTTCGCGGTCTCTTCTTGCCGCTTTGACTTCGACTCTTGCATCATTTCCGTCCAACCTCGGAAAACTTGCCTTACTAGCATCTCCAGCTTCCCGTCAAACATCATCAACATCGCTTTCTTGACCTGGTGAAGTGAATTCTTCCGATTTTTTCTTCCATTAGGTATGTTGTATGAGTTTATTAGGATGGATCATGTAAGTTTCTTTCAACCCACAGTCGCTGATAGTTTCTATCTCTAGCTCAACACAGCTGAGTGAAATGAGAAGATCGACTGTTGTTTTTTCAACTCAGTAAGCACGAGGAATATAAGGAACTAAAAATAGTACGGCAGTAAGGCTCTTCGCTCTGAGCTTTGAGGTTTCGTCGTTGTATTTTCTCTGCCACCTTGAGGCTTGTTGTGAAAGCGCATATTTGTTCCAATTTTTGAAAACATGCTCAGCCATGAGCTCTTCTCGGTTGCCGATCATGCGCGTGACAACCTGTGGTGTGCAGGACAGTATGGAGAGAGACCGTCTCTGAATCTGAGATAGGAGCTCGTGGTCTTCAAACAAGCCAGCATAATGGGCTACCAAAGTAGAATATCGACAGTGCCTACCTCGTTCATCCTTTGCGAGTTTGCGATTTTGTAGTCATGTTTTGACTTTTCGTAGGCTTCCTGCTCTTTTCTCCGCGCTAATCTGTCCTGGCCGAGCTCTTTCCAGAGGTTAAAAACTTGCTGGAAGAAAAGGTGCTGTTGTGAGTCGAGCATAGATATCAAGGCTTGCTGAAAGCGCTTTGACTCTCGTATTTTCTGTTGCGCCGCATGCTCACGCGCACCTGCAGATATGTTTGTACTAAAAATCTACTTAGTTGTATTCGTGCTGATAGGTGTCTTGTTTCAGCTTCCTGCATGCCTTAAGGAAGTAGTCCTCGAAGATTCTACTTGGCAACCACACGAAAAGCGAAATATCTAGTTGCTCTTGCTGCCTACTTAATTCTCGAAAATCAAAAGTCAAAACCAAGAAGTGATACATTACGTTGGCAGTGACTTTCCGCCGCTATTCTTCGCCATGTTTCGAAGATATGTTTGAGTATCAACTCATCGTGGTTCTTTAGAAGAGCACTCATGCTGCCTTTCCATTTCTTCTCACCCTCTTGAAATTTCAAAGCCACTTCGCGTTGTCTTCTAAGCCGTCCGTCATTATAGTCCTGATATTGTAGTCGCGACATGGAAGCTCATGATAAGTAGCACTGAAGAAAAGTAAGGACGCCACTGTGCCATTTCTTTGATGACACAAGAAGAAGGTCAACCTCCCCAGCACTGAAATAGCATCATTTCTTTGATGTATATTGATGTGGAATCAGATTGATTTACAGGGGAAAATTTCCAATTGTACCGACATCCACGCTCCGAAGACGGTCTGCTTTATGAGTTCCGACTGTGAGCCAAGCATCGCCATCAGGCTCCGTTTGACTGCTCCATTAGCTTTGAGTTTCTGCTCTTGGAGTTTGACGCCCAAGCCTTCGTTGTCGAATCGCGCATGCTTCAAGCTTTCTTCCATGCGGAGGACCCTTGCCCGTACTGACACGTCTTTCCACAAGGTGTACACGTGTTTCATCAAGAGCGAGTGCTGCGTGTAACACTGCATGTAGATGCGCTGTTTTATGCTCTCTGCGAACCGCTCTCGCAACGTGCGATTATCTTGCAGCCACGAGGCCTTTTGCCGCACTAGTCGCTCCTCGACCCAGTTGTCTTTCCAAGCCATAAAAAAATTCTTCACGAGTGCGTCGTCCTGCAGGTCAAACATTGCAAGCGTGCGCTGAAGCATGGCATTGCGACTCCTGTGCTGCAATTCTGCCACTGAGCTCTTCCAGCTCTGCTCTCGCCTTTGCTTCAGCATAGCTTGGATCAAATCCTTCCACGCAATGAATATTGTGCGCGCAAAAACAAGGTTGTTGTTGCCGCACATATGCGTCAATATCCGCTTCATCTGCGCCGCGCCCTAGCATGTTGATGGATTGGATGATATTAATTTGACGACAAAGGACATAAACTACCGCGTGATATATTTTCGAAATTCTAATGCTGCAGATTTCATATATTGTAAAATACAAGTATCAATAAATTCAATACCCTGTGCTTCGTTTCGTATAGTAACTTGCGATATTTGTCTTGAAAACTCCGTGTCCTCTCTTCTTTCCAAGCTTCAAAAATGAACTTCACAGCGGCTTGACTACTTTTTTCTGATATTGCTCCCATGGCACGCTGAAGCCCGAGAGAACTCTTGGATTTCAAAGCAGCTACCTGATGTTGGTGTTTTGGGAAGGTAAAGTTTGTCAACAACATGGTTACTGCATGTGCAGTTTTGATCTATGAAGTAGATTGAATGAAGTTCACTACAAGTTCCAGAAGTCTTTCTACAACGTACAACGAACTTGTTCATATTCACTGTATACCTGAAGTTTCCAGTAGTGTTCTTTCTCCGAGACTTTTCCCTGCATGTACTGCCTGTACCAGCCGCTGAAAAGAGAGTGTAATCTTGCATTCCTCTGTGCGCGCATGGTCGTTTCCAGAGCCTTTTGAGCATTTTCTTGACTGTGTTCGAACGCCTCTCGCTTCGACGCGCGGAGCATACTCATGAGAGTATTCTCCGTTTGTCGAATGAGGAATTCGAAATCATCCGCCTGGTTCGCAAGCATCGCCATCTTGCCGCTGCGTCTCTAGAACAAGTCGTCGTCCGAACAATTATAGTTGCTACGAGCACTACAATAGTGAAAAATTTGGTGACGTCGCTTCTCCCAGTCCCTTCTTCGCGTCTGGCGGGTTTGCGTCGTTGACTAATCTCTCGCTGTCTGCGTCGTAGACACTGCCAAAGGACACGCTCTATTTCGCTGGTCGTGTAGTTGGTGAGGCTCGTTGCTTTGCTGCATCGGCAACTCAACAACGACCAGATGAAGGCGTGTGTACCTAAGTGCAGTACTTTATTTACTAGTGTTTTTGGCTTGGGCAGAGTAGGCCTGTCTGTTATCTCGTGGCGACTTCTCTACTTCGCTGGGTTGATGATCGTTACGACTGGACGAGCAGGTGGTGAAACAGATGCTTTTTTAGAAGAAACGAATCCAATGTTGAACCGCTGTCGAAAAGGGTTACGCAGCTCGACGGTAAAACAGTCGTCCCGTCGTCAACTCCGTCAAAGTCGATGGTCAGTCGCTAATAACCTTGCGTCAAGGAGAACTCCTTTGTTCATGCAATAATGCTGTTCTGGATTCGCTACTTAGCGTGGTATAACAGTAGGCTTATCTCCATCCAAACGCAACAGGTAATGACGTTGTTGTACCACAGAAGAAACTACTCAAAGGAATCGAGGACAGGGTAGATCTTCAGGCTGCAGTATGCATTACAAAACAGTCGCAGCTCGAACACGATGTGGGAGACACAACCGAGGGTCAAGAGGTGATTCTTCGTCAATCGGGTACGCTAACACGCGTGAAAATGGCGCATTAAACGGTCTGATGGGTCCGCGACGGACGTCGCGTCTGCTGCGAAAAAAAATGTCAGCAGGCAGACATCCAGCGCGATTCGATGGCAGTGGTAGCGTTAAAGCCTCCCGCTTCGCACCTGCCTTCGTGTCCTCTCTGATATGGTTGTAGCTAGGGATTTAGAACATGAGTCCTTTTTTTATGCGCTCACAATCTCCTTCGAGTCTGCGGCTTGAAGATGCTTCTACGAATAGATTTTGATATGGTAAGGAATCATGAATGATCAAAAAGGTTCCAAGCATCTCCATCTCCGCTTCTACTGAGTAGACCATAAATACACTTTTTGCATGCCTGCTACATATTCGAATCAGATTATTTCGATCCATCCGCATCGTCAACCATCGTTCGCTTGGCACTGACTCCACGACGAATTACCATCATCGTATTCAAGCCTCTATTGCTTTTGATATTCTTCTTTCAATGATCATGACGTTGCTGCAACAAATAGAAATACTCCGTTTTCCACTACAGATTCACTAATACTATGAAAGCTATGTTCAATTTTTAATTTTCCTCTCATGCTGCTCCTGCTTGCGTAGCTTTTTCTCTCTCCTACATTATTTGCTCCAGAAGTGCATCAGAAGTAGCAAAACTCAAACTCAATGTCAATGAGTCGCCTTAAGATATTTCGAACAATTGCCGATGCTAATCTGCATATGCGAAAACGATTCGCGGTCCGGCCACCTTCAGTGTCCTCCGAGTGATGTCCATTAGCGTTACAATAGCAACGTAAAGCAGCGATATCAATTGAAAATCGAGAGGAGAAACTAGAGAGACACGATCGTGTGTACCTAGTTTCATTCATGGTCCATCAGATTGTCATTTTTCACAAAGGCTAAGGGTCAGCCTCAATAAACTAACAATCCTGTTCGTGTCGACGAGAATTTTGTTGTGGTGATCATTCGCTCGATGTTGCGTATTTGAGGCTGAGCTGCCCTAGCATTTCCTTGAATCTTGTATGGTGAATGAAAACGATAACATTGACAGGTCGACATGGCCATGAAGAAGTGGAAGAAAACAAGTGTGGCGCCCTGACATGGATGCAGCTTCTAGTCAAGAATCTTATGAACGAATCAAAACATGACATCTTCCTTGATGCTTTTCCAGGTCTATTAATGACAACATCAAGTAGAACTACCAAAATCTTCAATGTCGAGCACAAGCTCAAACCTTCAATCTATGGTATGCGCTTATGATACAGGAGGTATGACTTCACGGCGAAATATGTCAAGTAGTACATCAGGCTATGCAATCCGCAATGATCAAACCAATCTTATCGCCAAAGTTATCATCTTGAAAAAATTGACAACAGAAATTTATTATCATCTTGAATCTCATTTGAATTTGTAAGCTCACTACAGTCCCTTGCATGCTGACTTGACCTCCTTTTTGAGCGCGCTCTTCACCACCTTGGCCTCAATACCTTTCGGACAGCACGAACTTCCAAACATCTTGGTCGGCCGTGGAATGTAGATCGCATCCTTGAAAGCAACTTCGATTTTCTCGCGGTCGTCGTAGGGCGTGATGTCAGAAATTAGAGGTTTTAGTACGACTATGAAGTATGTTGAAAAAGTGAAAATGTAACTTCCAAGTCAGCAAGAAAGAGTAGAAACTATCTTCTTCTTTACTTAAGTCTAATAAATGAAGTTGTAGTACGTAAGTAAACAATTTCACGACTGCAGCAGGAGCCATAAAGTCAACACGAATTTCTGCAATGGTCCTGGTTTTCCTACCCACTTTTCTATCACTGGCCAAGGATTCTCTATGCATTTCAATCGCGTGGCCTCGTCCAAATCGATGGCTGCCTTCTTGGCCGCAGCTAGCTCCGCGTCGCTTTGAGTATACATCATTAAGATAGTGTCCAAACCCGTGTACCTGTCCCATGGCTCGGCGTTCCAACCTTCAGTCTTAAACTGTAACTGATTGTTCTCCAGCAAAGTGGAACGCTGTCGATAGCAGAAGTCACAGGCAAGCAAACCAGCAGAGAGGCCCTCATTGCACATCTCTTTCAATGCGTAGGCTGCATCATACGCCGTGTGAAATCCACGGTTAATCCCTGTCCCCTGCGGCCAAAAGGGCTCCATCAAACAATCACCGATCGGAAATACTGAAGTTAAATAATTTGCTGGTATAACATATAATTGCATGAACAGCTACCTGTTGGCCGATTGTGTCAAAATAAAGAAAAATGAGCTGGCAGTGCATACTAAAAAAAAATCCTCCTCGAATTTCTCGAAGATGAAGTAGAAAAAAAGTGAAAGTCTTCGAAATCTAGTAATGTATGCGGAGGTACCAGGCAGTAGCTTCTCCGCCTTTGCTGTCTGCGATATTTCGACCTGCTTCTTGAAATCCTTGAGTTGTTTCTTTAGGTCACCAACTTCGTCGGAAAATTTGCCAATCGTCGTTATTTCTCGGTTTTTCTGCATGTCCGATACGAATTCCAGACTGTGTTTTCGTTCCCGCACTGTGCGTTCTAGCCACGCGATTGTTTTCTCGAGGAAGTTTGTCTCGACGAACGCCAACTTGGGCTCTGCAGCCCAGTCAAGTGCTAGAATGCGTCCTTTGGCCTCACCTGCAGTGCCCTCGCAGAGCACGCGAAAGGGGAGTGGCAAGGAACTCCGAGAGCCAAAGTCGAATAGTTTTGCTCCGTGAAAGTCACAGAATTCTACTGTTTTAGGAAGTCCGATCGCAGTCGCGATCTCACGGCCCAGTGCGAAAAGGGCATCTTCACTGATGTTATCGCGCCCGATGAACGCCTTACCACCCAAGTCCTCCTTGCAGACTTTTTTCTTCAACAAGGTCTGCTTCGTAACGCAAATGGCTACGTAGTGCGTCGTGCCGCGGAGATACTCCATGAACTCGAAGTCTATGCCTTGCGCCTTCAGTGCGGAGGCAGCCGGCGACTGCAAATGTCCCTGGACTATGAAGTCTTTGATTTGGTTCTGGGCCTTGTCCTTCGGATCACGCCAGAGGTTGAGCACAATCGCGATTGCACGCGAAAATTTCTGAATCTTCTTCGTGAAGCCGATCCGTTTGCTGTTCTGACTCGTCTCGCCCTCGGCCAAGACGAAAGCGTCAACTGGCACTTGTTTCTCTAGCTTGACGCTGCCCGCACCGCCGTTCACCACAGCAAAGGTCGGATCAAAGTCGTTCTGTTCGATCATGCCGCAGGCGCCGTCCGCTGCACGTGCTACTGCGTTCTCGAATTTGTTCGCCTTCAGGTCCAGCACTCCCGTGGGCTCTGCTCTCCCCGTCGGTTTGCGGAGCCCCACACTCCACCCACCAATGCCAGTATCCTTAGTCGGCGCGGCCGGGGCCTCCAACAGCACCGTTTCCCAACCGTAGAGGCACTTGACCCCAGCTAGCAGTCCGCATTTGAGCAGGACTAGCTGCAATTCGCGGGTCCCCAAATGTGGAATCTTATCTCGATGCGTGAACAGTGGAAAGAACTCTCGCGCCTGAAACATCGAGATCAACTCCGCTGTGCTGTTCCACAAGGTCAAGATATTGTGCCTCGAGAACGTGTCTCGTTTCTCGATCACCGTGACGTCCCGAAAACCCATCATGAAGGCTTCCAGCGCAAAAAATAGGCCTACCGGGCCCGCACCGGACACCACAACGCGCAGATCTGGATTCTCGAGTTTCTTCGCATGACGACGCTTCATCAGCGGACCCATCTCCGTGATCACCTTCTTCATTCGGAAGCTCATAGAAGTGTCCTCGGTCGCTTTGATCAGCCTTTCCAAGTGCGTGAGGCCTTTCACCGCATCTTCCCCTCCCAGCTTCCGCAAACACTCTTCCTGAAACGCCTTAAAAGTCGAGAGCACTCCTAGCACATCTCCGCATTCGAAAAAGGCGTTAAACAATTCCCGAAATTTATCGTCTCCCCCTCCAGCTCCTTTTTCTGGGGAGGTGGAAGCAAAATGTGATGGGGCGGCTCCTCCGCCACTGCTCGACGGCGCGCCGCTGCCGTTATTCTTTCCGTTTCCCCTTCCAGCCGGTGAACTCGTGCTGCCAACCGATAATCGCTTCGCCGGCGAAAAGCTTCCCGGGACCGATGAAGTCGAACCGAAACGCTCAGCGGAAGACGACGATCCGCTAGCCCCCCCTCCTACTGTTGGCCATTTCTTCGCAGGCTCTTTGTTGCCGGTCATAATTGGCGCTGTCATCCTCAAGCTCCCTTTCTTATCCCCTGGTGACTTTTCAGACGCGTCATTTGCATTGCTTTCCGACGTCTTCGGTAGCGGTTTGAGCACCTTGTTTGCCACGTGCACATTCGATGGCACTGCAGGTTTCTGCGTACCATCTGGGTTCGCATTCTGTGTGAAGGCACCCGGAATCGTCAACTTCCCCATCTTGTTCTGAGTATTTCGCTCTCTTAGTTATCTCGATACTAGAACTAGATGATCATCAGCTGTTGACTGTATCTCTATCTGTATTTCTTGCATTTCTACGGTATTCAACTATCACGATCACCCACCACGTACTACATACATCGCGAGTCTTTATTCTAAGTACTTTTTTCCGAATAAATCATGCTGGTTTTGAGATTCAACAGAACAAATTGACAGCTTCAATCGACTTTCTTTTGCATCTTACTTACTATTTGTGCTTGTTTGTTAAAGTTCACATTATCCTAGTATGAGTGCATGGCGGGAGTACTAAGGGCAAGGGCAGCTCTTCAAAATAAGTTAAGCATAATATTTCTCATAAACTGTTCACACGATGAACCTGGTTCGCAACGCGTTAGTGGAGAAAATGCTGTATCGAGAAGAACAGATCCCGACTGTGACTGTCCGATGCCGTTTTCTGAACCGAAATCAGTGGAGTAACAGTAAGACTAGACCTCTTTGATCTCGTTGAAGACAAGTCACACATCCAGATTCACCTATCCCAAGTCTGTGAGTTAAGTACAACTGAATTAGATGAAGCCCCTGTTGTACGTGTTGTACCTCCTCTCTCCGCAAAATAGGCCCTCGCTCTGATGTTGTGTAAGTGAACACACTCAAGCGCAGGTGCGGATGGGACATTTTCAACCTGGTCTGATGTTGATGCCTGTTGACGAGGCTGCAAAATCTATTTCACCTACACCAACATGCATTTGATTTCATCATCTCGTCTGTCGTTCGCTCATATCATGCGCCTGATGTCAAGCATCGCTGCATGAACTTCATCTCAATGGATCTCTCTACATCATCAAGAACTAGGACCTAGTTGTTGTAGGAGGAGAACAGCGACGGTTAAAATGCAAAACACATTTCCAAGTCATAACACGACGAAATGCGCTTTCGGTTTTCTTCTACCATAGCATTCTTCGAGCAATATACATGGGTCAATCACAATCATCCTGGTGTTCAATAACCTTCATTGCCTGAAATACCAACAATGACAAGATCAAGAAGGAGACCTTCGAGCAATAGCAAATAAAGACCAGAAAGACCGTTATTAAAAGCTCGTCGCTCTCGCTTGCACTAATTCATGAAAAACAAATTTGGAGAATTATGATATGTAGTAACGATATGACAACAAACTATGCCTTTTTGCACTTGTGAGGACTCCTCAAGTTGATTAATGACCTCAACAAGATCGCTTAAAGATTCGATACCACTGCACATTCATCACCCCAGGGAAGGATTTCTTACACTTTATCTTCCATAGACTCATCGTTATGGCTGCAGACATGTAAAACACGGTTCGTCTACAATACTGTTCATTCACGTAGTACTGTGCTGTTCAAGTAATGAAAGACAAAGATCGAGATCATGCTGGGTATTATTCTGTAGCATTAAGCCTGTATGAAAATTCATAATGTAGCTCAAGCCTGTATGAACATTCATAATGTAGCTCTAGCGAATAGCAACCATGACAGCTAACTAGTTTTACTCTTCCACCGACTCACCAATTACATGACTGACTGCTCACACAAAAAGCAGCTCAGCATGTTATTCGACTGCACCACCACCAGCGCAAGAAAAGTGAACCAATATAATATATTATAATATTAAAGCTCTCCATAATTCTTCAGTCTCCCTACTTCCTTGCCTTGGATGCCGTTCGACACTCGAGCCGCTGCTGCATGACGCGCCGTCCACGTTCGGCCAATCGCAGTCGCTCTTCAGTAGTCTGTCGTTCAGAAACGGCGTCGCGCTCCAAACGCATAGCATCCAGGACAGCTTCCTCTTCCAATTGGAGCTCGCCACTTATTTCCGTCTCATACGCTGACCCTCTGGCCGTTGCCGGCTGGCAGCTGTTGCCGCGCGGCCCATGCGAGGCGCTCGCAGCACGACCGCGCTGCTGAATTAACGTGCGAGCACTGGTTGGATGCGCGCTGGGAGAGGAGCGAATGCGGGTGTACGGCGAAACCCCGCTAGTGCTGGCACGACGACGAGGCGCGATTCCTGCTGCTCCTGCGGACTTAGACATCCTTGGTCTAGTATCGCCCCCTGGCGATAGAAGAGAACTTGCCATCGTCGTAGCCCCTCGTTGAGCACTAGAAGACATAGAAGTACTCATTGCTGAGGCCCGCGTAGCAGTTCGTGGCGTTAGAACAGTTGAACCGATTTCGCGCGCAGAAGCAGCAAGAGATCGAGATGGGGATGATGCCGATGTCATATCAGCCGTCGGGACAAGCAAGCTGCTGTTGGGGTTTGCCATGCTAGCGCCGCCGAGCGCGCGTCCGCGCGGTGAAATGCGGTCTTCTGGTGCAAACGTCACCACTGTCGTTCCAGATCGTCTGCCGCGCTGTGGACGTGGAAAGTGCCTTGCTGCGACGCCCTGCAGCATTGCGTCAACGTCGTCATTGAAAGCAGATGTTTGTTTACTTGAGGGCAAGATGAGACTACCGGCTTCATCCAATGCACTTGCGGTGACATCCATATCTTGACTAGGGAGATCCTCCGCTTGGTCCCGTTCTTGCAAGGTCTCCTCCACAAACAAATCGATTTCTGGCCGCATTCTAATTCCTCCCGAGTTTGGCATCACAGATGCGGAGCCTGTTCCTAGCGGCGCTTGGTCACGAAAGTCGTATGGAGCAAGAAATGCGTCATCGCGAGCACTCCCTCGATTTGAAGTTGCTTTACTACCTTTTCCGGCTTCCGGCAGGAAACTCGGTACGTCTCGACTCAGTTTCAGCAACTTAACCGCGTCGTCATCACTGGATTGGGCAGGCGGGTTGTCTGCTTGTTCCTGCAATTCTTGCACCTCCCGCCTTGAGGTCTGCACCTGCTGCTTCGCGGTTTCACACATTTCAAGTAGTGAAAGATAGCGATCGCGTTCCGTCTCTTCATCTTCGGCTTTTCGCTCTTCCTCGACACGCATCTTGTCCCGAAGTTCTTCGCGCAGCCTACTTTTTTCGATTTCCAGCTCTAACTTTTTCGTCCGAACTTTTTCTTCCGCGATTCTCTGGAGTTCCTCAAGCGTGGACTCGTGGCGCGCACGAAGCTGTCGTGCTGTCAGCTGCCGCAATTCGCGATCTTCAATCCTCAAGAGTGTGGTATCTGGTCCTAAGGCGCCTCTCTTGTCCGCTGAGCCAGTTCGCGGACTTCTGCTTTTATCTCCTCGGCTCTCTTTGGAGGTTTTCTTGCTTTTTTCAGACCGTGGACCAGTGGTTCTTCCTCCGCTGCTTCCGTGCCCATCTCTGTCACCTCTATGATCATGATGCCTACTCCTGTCTTTCTCTCTTGTGCTTTCTGATGAAGCACGTAAGCGCGAAGCACCGGATGGAAAGCCTAGGGAATTCGCAGAGGAACCGTCGTTACCTGATGATGAGCTGGTCGAATTCTTTGAGTGGGAGTTCTCGAAGACAAGCCCCCTCGATGTGGGATCCGCTGCTTCACTGCTACTTGAGGAGGCACTGTCCTCGACGAAGTTAGAGCCCAAACTAGCGGAAAGTCGGTGCCGGAGCCGGCGTGTCTCGCCCGCATTTTCCGTCTCTTTCAACTTCTTATCACACTTCATCTCCGCTCTTCGTTCCTCTTCGCGGCGAGTCAACTCCGCTTGCACCTCCTGCAGACGCCGCTCCTGGCGCTCTTCGTCAGCCTTCTGCCGCATTTCCTCCGCTTCGATTTCGGCGCGACGACGCATCTCAGCAGCTTGCTCTGCCGCTTGCAATCGAAGCAACTCCTGTTCCTGTTCTCTCCTTTTCAACTCTTCAGCCTGGCGCACTTCAGCGGCAACAATGGCTTCTTCTTCTAGCTGCTTCTCGCGCTTGAGCCGTTCCTCCTCGAGCTTTTTGCGCTCCAGCTCGGCCGCCTCCAGGGCTAGTCGCTCACTGCGCTGGAACAAAGCACAGCCGCGCCACGTGTGCAGCCATAAATGCTGCAACTGCCACTGCCGAAAGCGCACTGCGCGATTGTCCGCCCACAACGCGCGGCGTTCGTCCGCAGTGCGCTTTTGATAGAGTTTCCAACGGAACAGCGCAAACGCAAGGACAGGTTGCTGCGCGTGTCGTGCCACGGGATCAGCGAAGAGACCGCGCACGTACGAGCCCCATTTCCCTACAAGCACGCGATGCCGAAATTGCTTTCCACGCTGAGACACATGAAGCGCCCATCGGTAAAACCAGGCGCGCTTCTCATGTTTGCGCGACCACAAGGCGTGAATCATCAGAGAGCTTCGGCTCGCAGCGTACGTGAGCACGCTGTTGCCCTCGAAGCTAGTCCCGTTCACGGACATCAAACTAGAACGTCGTGGTCCACCAACACTGAAACGCGGCCGACTAGATCTAGAGTTTCGGTATGCGAGCTCGTCCTCAAACTGTTCCGCTGGCTGACTGTTTCTGCTGAAGTATGGGCCAACAGCTTGTTGCATCTTCATGCTTCCTCGGCTTCGAGCAGAGGCCCGGATCCGACTAGGCGAGGATGACACCGCTCTTTCCACGAACGCAGTGTGGTCATTCTCCTCAGCCGAGTAGTCCTGTCCGTCGTTGAAGAAAGTTGCGTCGTCTGAAAATTTTGACTCCGAAAGAGCATCCACCTTTTCCTTGCCGTTGTAAAAGATAAATTGTTTTTCTGTAGCAGGTTGGTCGTCTAGCCCAGGTGCGTGGGAACCAGTCAAGGAGGAGGTGGGCCTAATGTTGTCCTTCTTGCTCGCTACACTAGTTTGACACCCTTGCGCTGACCTCAAACGGCTCACGATGGCACGACTTGCGCCAATGCTCAGCGACGTCTCGGCCTCTTGACCGGACGGTAGGCGCGTTGTTTCGCCGAAGCTGCTCTCCATTGGTTCTTCCAGATGGCCCCCTGAAGCAGTCGTGTCGACATTCACCGGAGTGCCGCAGAGAGAAGATGACGAGGAGTCGCGCTCCCCCTTTTGGATGTGCAGCGACGAGACACTCCCACGCTTTCTCGTTCCGTCATGGAGCCCATCTTGGGAAGATCTGACTCTACTTTGGTTTCCACCGTAAAAAGCAAACGTGCCTTTTGCGGGGCTACTGGAGACTCTTGCTCCTTTGTCGAGATGCTTTTCAGTGCTTCGATCTACACCTTCACCATGTTTCAGTGGCTCTGCTTCTCCGGAAGGTCTCACGACGCTGATACCATCTCGCGTCGACCTGTGGTTGCCTCGCGCTTGGATGCTCGCTGGATAATTCAAGCTCGCAATCGAGCGAATGACGCGCCTCCTTTCCTCCCGTTCGTCTTTATGGCCTGCAGATTGCACGCTCCGTCGAGAAAAGAAGCTGCCTGGCGCTTTGTTGCCTGCAACACCCGCGTCCTCGTTGTCACTACCTTCGCCATCCAAAGCTTCTCCCAAACCGCTGTCTTCCCAACTCGAGCGCCTACCCCCGCTCAAGCCGGCCGCCGCAAGGCCCAGCACCGACCGTGAGTGTTCAATGGTAGAGAGAAGCTTTTCAAAATCGATATCATCCTCTCCACTCACAGCCGAGGCCACGCGCATGCGCATTTTGCTCTCGTCTTCACTGTAGTACTCCCCTCCATGACCATCGTTTATCGACGAGCGCCATTCCCGAAAAGCGTGCTCTGAGCGCGGCACCACCTCAGCAAAAACGCCAACGCTGTATTCGCGCCACTCACGCAAAAACGTAATTGCGGTGCGCCGCTCTTGCTTGGCCACAATCGCGTCAAAGCCCGTAAGAATCCGTCGTCTGCGCCTAAACTGCTGCTTCCACGCGTGAAACACAGTAACCGCTGCGTGGCTGTCCTGTTGAGTCTCGAGTATTTTCCCAATCAAACTGTACTTGCGGCGCATCCTAAAGCCGGCCCGCCACGCCTTGAATACATGTGCAGTCCGGTGTGCAAGATTACTGTCAAACTTTGAATTCACCACTGTGTGAAGGCTTGCCCGCGTCGCATATTCGCGTAGCTGCGCGTTGTTTTGCGCGACAGTCATACGCAGCCGGCGCTGTCGGACCGTATCGTCGGCCCAATCCTGAAGTGTGGAAATCAATAGAACGCAAATTTCTTCTAACACATAATGTATGTAAATCTTGGTGCTCTTATGATACTCAAATCAATGAGTGGAAAAGAAGTGCCATCTATCACGCTGATGCTCAATAACACATTTACCAGATATCATGTCCCTAGATTTAGAACTAGAACTAATAGTACTACATCGATCTACAAAAGCAACACTAGCAGATTAGGAAGATCCTGCATATTATGGTAAAAAATGTAATCACGTACCTTGAACGCCCTGTACGCGACCATGCCTGCTTGCATTTCACTGAGGCCATGCATTTGCCTTCTCATCACGTCAGCGCGCTTTCGACGCGCCCGCACTGCTTTCCACGCAACGATGACAGCATGCACGTCCAGCTTTCTCGTCAGGTGGGACATGATGTTTTTTGAGGAGCTCGCGTGTTTTATGAGCATCTTTTTGCGCGCCTCTGCCTCGCGCACGTCAGTTACGACGTGCTTCCACCCGTCTATTGCGTCTCTCATGCAGTGTTGCTCGCGAGTAAGCACAAGCATGTGCACTGTCCCGTGGTGCCTGTTCAGCAACCGCGCAAGCCGTGAAACCTCTCGCCACTTCTGGAAAATGCGTTGCATCTCCGCGTGCGCGCTCCCGCGCTGTAAACTTGACAAGATTTGCTTGTGCGAGAGGGCCAGTGCCTTGTTCTCAGCCACTAGGCCCGTCCACTTGTGAAGCACCTGACGCTTCAGAAACAAATCTTGTTCCGCAAATTGCTGCATCATTTTGGCGAGGTGCTTCCTTTTCGTCTCGGAACGTGCTAACTTAGCCTGAACGGCGGCCTTCTCCTTCTCCTCCGCGTATTTCACTTCGCGCACTAAATGAGCCTGTTGTAGGTAAGTATGTTCATCATGATGTATGGATATTCCCAATTTGAGCATGCTAAGTGCGATTTTTAGCTAATCGTGGCATGGTCTCGAATTTATACAAACAATCTGAGTCTTGCAAAGTCTCAATGGGTATGAGACTGGGCTGTTCCAGGCATTGTCTATTTTTATCACGAGGACGAATCTACACCTACAAAGAAATGCTTACAGATGCAGTCCGCGTGATCGAGGATTCGAATAGAAAAAAAATGAGCTACAACTAACATCAATAAACACGTAAGTGTATGAACATTTTGACCTTCAACAAATAAAAATGTAGGTCTCAGTACCCACTCGGCGAAGCTTTGCTGAACGAGCATTGCTCCAGTACCCGCGTGCATGGATCGGGCAATGTTTTGCTTGTGTTCGAGCGCCTGACGGCGCCGTACAGCATCTTCGCTATCGTGCTTCCAAGCTGTCCATGCGAACTGCAGCAAGCCCTTTGCGGACTCATCGAGGAATTTCTGCGCGAGCTTCTGCCGGCTCGCAAAAGCTTGCTTCTTCAACTTTGACTCTACGTCTTGTTGCGCACGCGCCCCTTGCACCTCCACGGCGTGCCACATGTGGAAGCATGCCCGCAAAGTGAAGCTGTTTTGCTGTTTATCCATCGAGTCACCGAGAAAATCCTTCATCTGCTGGGAGTCATTGATCATCTTTTCCAGTCTCGACTGGAGCCTCTGACCCGTGATTGCCTCGCGCCACATGATGAACGCGCCTTGCAAAAAGAGATGTTGGCCGTTGTCGAGCGCAGTTCGCTTGAACATCTCGAGTCTGTGAGAAGCCACCTGCTCCGCAATCTCCAACTTCTTCGCCTTATCTGCCTTCCTTGCAATTTCCAGTTCACGATGCCACTGCACAAAGAACTTTCCCTGTAGGGCCAGACTGTTGGCTTCCGTATGCGCTTCGATAATCGCAGAGATGCTTGCTTTCCGCGAAGCCTTCATCTCACGTAGCTTTTCGCCGCTCTCACGATCGCGGCGCTCCTGTTCCGTCGCGAATTTCCAACCCCGCAGAGTGTCACGGTAGTGCACCCTGCGATCCGCGATCTGGAGCTGCCTGGTTGCGCGCTCGCGCCAGTTTTCGGTGGTGTAATGCTTCCACCGCCGAAAACAGGTACCATGGTCGGCCGCGCCCGTGGTGGAGAATACTGCCGACAGACTCGCTAACTTCTTCTCGTTCAAAGCCACCAGGTGTTGCCAGCTTGCGGTCATACGTTCGCGCTCGCAATCGCAGCGGTCGAATCGCCAGCACTGGAACGTGTACCGCAAGAGGTCAAACACAGTATTGCGATCCATCATCTCCACCGCAGCCTGAGGCACTGCCGCGCGTCGCCGCTCGAGCTGGGCTTCGAGGCGCTGGGTTCGCGCGGTGACGCGCCACTGCCCCAGCCAGCGTCGTCGGTCTTCCTTCTCCAACAAGTTGCTAAGTTTTCGCCTTGCGCGAGCCGCGTTCTTAGCTTTCTCCATCTGACGAAAGAACGCGCGGATGACACGCCCATCGCGTTCGTGCGACATCAGGTGCTGTACTTGCGCGTTCTGTCGTTCCGTGATACGTAATTGCCGCCGTTCGCCTGCATGCTTCTCTGTGTACTGTTTCCACCGCTTGAAGTAGCCGCTGACGTCGGGGCCGGCCACCTCGTGCGAAAACATGTTGCACAAGTTGGCCATGCGCGACTCGTTCAAGTCAATCAGCCTCTGCCACTGCGAGTGGTAATGGTCCCGCTGCGATTCCGCGAGTCCGTACCTCCACATCAAAAAGTAGTACTTCTGACACTGAAAATCTGCAGAGGTATCCTGCCCGATCAGATTTTTCATGCTGTCGACCTTTCTCGCGGACTCTGCTGCTGAAAACTGCTTCTCAGCCTCCATTCTCTCGACGACGCCCTTCAAGTCTCCCATTTTCGCCTCCCAGTATCGTTTTTCTTCCTCAAACTCAGCGCGTTCGCCCGCACGCTCTGCGTCTTCAGCCGCAAATTGTTCCCTCACTTTCTCCAACTCTTTCTTAGCCAATGCTTCCACGTCGCGCATGTCCGTGGCATGCTTTCGGTCGTATTCCTGACATTCACAGCGGACACAACGTAACAAGTTCTGACTCAGACTCTCTCAGATTCAAATTCGAGAGTCACGTGATTCTCAATTCATCAACATAGAGCATCTAGTACTTCTCTAATGAAACAACGCCCTAGTAGTACTCAGACGCGGACCCACGCAAAATAAAATAGATAATTCATCTCATTATTCACGTGTATGAGTATGCAAACAAGGTGCTGTGCGGACGATCGATGCAGATTGCAGATCGACGAGGTTAAGTAAGTACAAGCGATTACAGCAGCGAAGCTAGATTGTATTACCCTGAAATCTTCCTTGCATTTGTCCAATTCCACAACGGCCTCATCTCGTTGCATTTTTGCATGCTCGACGTCCATTTGGAGGTCATGAATTTTTCGTTCCAGAAGCGTGACATGATCGCGCTCGCCTACGGCCTGCCGCTGAAGTTCGAATTGGATGCGACGAGCCTCCTCCTCTACCCTTACCACCATGTTCTGCTCCGCCTGCAACAGAGCTTGCGCGTTTACCTGTTGTGGTCATAATGACGAAGAGTACCTCGTTGTACTCGTACTTGTGATAGCACAAGGCGTAGAAGTAACCCTTGGCCAAGTGAAGAAAGTGGTAGGATGGCTAAAGAAGTGGAAAATTCGTTTTGAACGCTTCTCCGCGAGGAGTGAGTAAGTTAGTAGAGGTCGGAAACCAAGGCGCTAGTAGTTCTTGAATCAAATGTAAGTACTTAAGTAGGATAATCCTCGTCCCCCACGCGCGTGTAACGGACGACCTAACTAGTCCTATTCGCAACTCAAATACTCAGTACCTCTTCCTGTCTCATGACTTCGTGTCGTAGCTGGTTCATTTTCTTTTTTAGGTAAAGATTCATGCAATGAATGTCCATGTTTGTGAACTTCTTCGGCCCCAGTCTTCGCCCCGGTCGTTCATCACCGACGCTGTGTCCCCGATGTTGCGCCGACCCCCCAAAGCTAGGACTCACACTTCGCTTGCTGTTTGTCTGCGCGTCCGAAGCACGCGCCGGAAAACTGTAGGGAACCCAGCGCTGTCGCAGCCGGCCAACATCCTCGCCCGACGACAATGCAATCAAGCGCTCCAAGTCACCAGGTAATGCGAGATCGTCATTGCTGAATTCCCGGTTCCAAAATTCATCAAAGACAGCTGTCAGCGGCTGCTGCTTCGAACAGTTTCGAGCAAGAGAGGACATCAGAAGCCCATTAGCTGTAGCCTGCCCTGCTGGGTAGTTTCCAGTCGAGTTAGGTTGTGGCTCACGCGGACTGAAACGTGACGCCGGTGGTGCATTGCAAGATCCGACTAGAGCAGGTCCAGCACTTCCTGGTGCTGGCGCTACTCCAGCGACACCAGGCGAGGGGGCATAGACGTAGCTTGTTGGCGGGGGAGGACGTAGCATGATACCCGGCGGGGGTTGCAACAGTTGTCGCGGAGAACCTGGAGGCACTGAAAACGACATCCTTTAACGCAATCAAAAACTAATCGATGCGCTCTACTACTCTACAATATCGATTCAAATATACGACGACACTCGTTACATGGCAGATAAACATAGATTCATTCGTTAGCCAAAAGATAATAAAAATCAACGAATCACTTGACCAAATTATAACCGACTCTTACTATACAAATAATAATCAAGACTAGCTGCACGCCGAAAAGCTTCGACTATTTGACTATAAAATTAATCCATTAGAGTTGGTGCAGGAGCAAGCGTGATGTGCAGATTCTTGAGGAAAAAAATAACGAGGATCGAAGAATAGAGGGAATCAATCAAGGTACTACTAAATATTTTGGGAAGGCCTTCATCTTGTAAGTAAAAAGAAAGAAAATTTATCATGCAGTTCAAAAATACGGTGTTGAGTAAGGAGAAGATAAGGAGCTGAATCAACTGCCCTTTTCAAGGAGGGGAATGTTAGATTAAAGCTTGATAGATTACTTAGCCATTGTTTACTCAGGAGACGAATATATAAACTACCTGTCGCGTTATTGGAAATCTGTGAGAAATTTTTTGTTGCAAAGAACGGCGTGACAAACGCAGATGCTGCGCTCAACACAGAGAATGATTGAAACAGATGCATCCAGGACCGCACGCGCACATCGTTCTTCGAAGATTAAGTAACAGACATAATGGATCAGGGGTGCGCCTGCTCATGGTTAAAAATCTCTCCAAAAACAGAAAACGTGGGCGTGAACCACTTACACATGTCCAGAAATCTCGACCGAAATCATGTAGATGATCATGGAAGTAGAAGAGATGCTCAAAACCGTTGTCCTAAATAGTTTGATCTTTATCAAGCTCCATATCACAGATTCTCTGCCTCTCGCACAGATAACGCTGAATCTTACGCAACGGACAGATTGTAGCTGGAGTTCACATTCAGGACCAAGATTCACATTGATTCATAGATGTTGTTGATGGGCTAAATCTCTCCCCTCAACACTGCAGAGACAGGTCAATGTGATCAATCTCTCATCTTCGGTAGGCAGGGCGGTTTCTCTCCGCACAGCCTTCAGATCAAAACTGCGGCGACTCGATGTCTATGACCATTTCGTGTACCAGTCGTAAACAAGATTACCTGCTCGTCAAACGCGACTTAATGTGCGGAACAGAGTCCTAGAGAAATGCGCTGCTAGATGTCATTCTCGTCTTCGTCCTTGTGAAATAGAAATTGATTCATTAGCTATGATAGTGTCCCGTGCCCATAGTATCCTGAACATACTTGCGGTATGATCGCACAGTGGGCCACATGAGAAAAGTTGTAGGACAGATAAGTAAGAAAAAATCAGCCTCCACCGAGAATTAGCACATGATAGTTGTTTGTCGACAAAAACCTCATCGCTATTTCCATTTCATTTGCAGTACGTATGATACATTGTGATCGCAAAAAATGCCCATTTTTAGTTCCAGTATTCACAACCTTAACTACACACGTACTACGTTACGTACGATGGTATGATCGGCACATAACTGAATCTTTTACTTTTTGGCAGCGGGTTTCGCGAAGCCATCGACTTTCTTTGAGAGCTCCTCTATTTTGGTACTGAGTTCCTCAAATTTCACCATGTACGGGTCAGCTGGCATCAGCTTCGCCTGCTCTTTTACCAAAGCAATCGCCTTCTCAGGTAGAAGCTTCGCAAGCTTTTCGTCTAGCTCTGCCTCTGAGATCAGATTCGCCCGCGACCTAGATGGGTTTGGAGGCACGAGGAAACAAATTTTTATCGACTTTTGTAGTACCTACTCTCGCAGACACTCTATGTATGGTGAAGGTGATGATTTACAAATAATTTAGTGTCCCTGGTGTAGTATTGTTCAGCATATACCAATGGTGACATATCGAGCAAAGAATCGAATTCAATGTTGTAGTACAGTAGGATCAGCGCGTGAACAACGCCAGAGATGTGCTCCACTGATTTGTCAGTGAGACCCGTCATTGATTTTGATAATCCTTCAATCGGCTCGCGAAAGGCATCCTTAACACCTGATGGAACCTGTATTTGTTGAAGAGGAAAGTATGCTGTCCGTGGAACTCTTGGTCACGTCGCGAAGGCATGGCTGCCCTGCACAAGAACTTTTTATTGTGGGATTCATTTCGATAGAAATCACGGGGATTAGACCAATGTCATTTGTATGTTCATCCTCCGTCTTAGTACTGTTCGAAAATAGTCAAAGTCTATCCGTGTAATATTTTCTATTTTACCTTGTTCAAAACTTGTTCGAATGCGTCCATTGGCGATTGTGAGGCAAAGTGTCGCGCCGCATTGTGCATGCTAGACATTCTTGGAGCATTTCGGAGCTGTGAGCATCCTGACGCTCTCGATGAAACGGACATGCTACGTCCCGCTGTCCTCAGCGCGGTGGCCCCGCGACCGCAAACCGACATGGACATGGCCAGTGTTTGTGTTTCTGATCAAAATTTGTGTAACTATAAATATAATTTTCTTGACCTGTAGCTATGCTTTTTTTAGCCGCGCTATGATATACTTTATTTAGCCGCGTAGGCATCGTACAACGCTGAAAATTGAGTTTGACGACAGCCGCGCTTTCACAACGTTTGAAAAGGTTTTGACACCATCATGTGACATCAACTTTCATTCGTTCGGCGTGCTGGCACAAATACGAAATCGAAACTGAAGGGGCAGTGGATTATCTTCACGTAGGAGAGTCTAACACTCAACGCAAGCGCAACAGAATCCGTCTCTTCTCTCATAGATATGTTGGTAGACAACACAGGCTACCTGGTTTTCGCCTCGCGCGCTCGTATCAAAAAGTTCTAGTTCATACGTGAAACCACTACGGCTACGAACCGAACAATGTGAATGCTTCTATCAAGAAAAAGTTGAGTAACATGATGCCGCACACGAGCTTTTTATCGGGCAAAGGCAAGAGCAGTTATGGGCCTCTATTTCGGAGCCATAGGAAGCTTTGCTTTTCCTCCCGCCATTTTTGCCGCAAGACTTCTCTCCACGAGTGCTTTCTCGCCGACGTACCTAGGTGGTGAGAACGCAGACAATGAAGGTATAAGCAAAGCAAGAAACAAGTTGAGGCTTGCAGTACCAAAGGCGAAAATCAAAATTTGATACAGACAAATCTTCATTATTCAGCATGTCCAAGTCCATCATGCAATACTATATCAAAATAGTATCTATTTGTACATTGTCGCGAGGGGCTTGAAGATGTCGAGGTCGGTAAGTGCTGACTTCACGTTACTATCGATCAAGTTCGCTGCGTCCACCTTGATATCTACAAACTTCCGCCATGGCAAGGCCTGATACTTGTTGCCGATGTAGCTGTTGAGGTTGAGCGTTAGCAGATTTTTTCTAAGATCATCGATCGCGTAGAAAACTTGAGAACAAATAGAGAGTTCACAATCAACAATCGCGGATCATTTTCCCCGAATATGAGCATAGTGGGTACCTAGTTTCCGGATCGACTCCCTTTGTCACCTCGTCGGTCACTTCTATCGGTATTTCAACGAAGAGCTGCTTAGATCCACATGCTATCCTCTGGAGTGGCCTCTTGCCATACAGCAGTGACACAGACGGATGTGTCCGTGGGACGAAGTTTAGCATTGTCTTTGACTTTTGTTGTTCTCTGTAGAAGCGGTGTACCCACTGTCCTCTTTTCACTCCTAAATCTTCGCTAGAATACAATCGGGAAGACTCAATGTCGAAGCAAAGGCAAACCTGGTACTGTACATCTACGTGACGCTAGTAACAGTAAGTACATTATTTTCAGGTCCAGCTTGCCGCACCTTGTACTACTTGCTGTTGCAGCTGCAGCTCTAGCTCAGGTTTATGATTGAAGGTCCTCTTTTACTCCACGCGCTCACTCGACAAAATACAAGAGGGAGGCGTCCTCTCATTACACAACATTTTCTAGAGTTTCCATGAGAATTGAGAGTCCACATGAAGACTCTAGTCCCCCCAACGCCAACGGTCCTCAAGTCGCAGCTCGTACTATTTATTTCGAAAAAAGGTCACAGGTAAAAGCGCAAGCATATTTGTATGTGTCCAAGAGGCAAGTAGGCACATCATTGTATGTGTCCAAGAAACGCGTGATAATCATTAATTTTGATTTTCATGATGTTGTTGTTGGCTCTGGTTTTGGTTCATCATTCGTTCTATAATTCATCACCAGCTCCTCTTACTCCGACTAGAATGGATAGTATCAATCCCAATGTGCGTCGTCTCATTAGCTTTCCTCGTTAGCAATTTACCATACTCTGTCAGTGTGTAAGTTGTAAGCAACTATGATCGCTATCCTTGATACTCATTAATTTTGATTTTCATGATGTTGTTGTTGGCTCTGGTTTTGATTCATCATTCGTTCTATAACTCATCACCAGCTCCTCCTACTCCGAATAGATATTTATACTTAGAATGGACAGTATCAATCTCAATGTACGTCGTCTCATTAGCTTCCCTCGTTAGCAATTTACCATACTCTGTCAGTAGTGCCAGTGTGTAAGTTGTAAGCAACTATGATCGCTATCCTTTTCAACTAAGATTCTTTTAGCTTTGCCGCCCTCGCCGCTGTCCGTAGCCGCAAGTTCTTCAGCCAAGAAAGACCAGAAGCTAGCACGCTCCAAGGATCATCCGGTTCCTGCTCTTGTGTTTCTCCTTCTACCTTGACATGCGAGGCAAGAGTCAATGCCCAGAAAGACCATATGATGTGATACTGCGCTATCGCCATTTTTCTAAGTGGTTCGCACCCCACAAGCAGAGGCAACACACACCCCGATCGAAAATTCTTCATGATACCCTTTTGTGCGATTCGAATGCCATTTCCATGGTATGAGGTGCAGTTGTGGACAAAGTCCAGATTACGCTGTAAAATGACGTAGGCAAGCAGAGCCCAAAGAAACAAGCATGCTTTTCCGATGACGGCCCCCTTATGCCGAAAGAGGAAGGATCTGAAAGACGCCAGAAGCGCACAGACATCCCGAGCCGCTTGAAGTGTGCACCAGACCGCACCAATGCCAAAAAACCACGTAGTGAGATGGACGTGCTTCTGTAGTTTGTGTGCCCACGGAACATCTGCAATGTCGGACAACATATTGCCCTGGACCATCCCAACAATGGCTCCGGCGAGTCCGCACAAATTTGCGCACGCAACCAAAAATCTCTTTGTCAAAAGCCACCAGCGAGAAAATTTTGAAGAGCCTGAGGAGGTAGTCTCACTGCAACAGCGATCTTCTGTTGCAATTTCCTCGACACCGCGTGCACCTTTTTCCTCATCAAAATCAGCACTCCCAAGGAGTGACGATGAGTTTATAATTTCTTGTTGATGTTGTTGTTGACCTTCCTGAATGGCTGACTTCCCAACTACCTCTGACGTTTTTCCAGATGTTGAGGAAGAAATACGAAACAGCCGTCGCAGATACACGACCGCATCCACAGCGCTCAAGAGCGCGAAACACCGACCGGAGAGCTTGAGGAGCGTTTCCGCCACGATTTTCGTGGGTCCATATTGCAATTCTGAGACGAAGGGATGGGGATGACAGCCTTGCTCTCGCCATTTCGTCAGCGAGTACAACACAAGAGCCGGACACACAACCACAAAACACAACTTCACACCACTGAAGCCAAGCTGAAACAGTCGTTTCATTCTGAGGCATTCAAAGATCTTGCCGAAAAATGACTTCATTTTGCTTCCTAGAAAACTAATCCGGCATCACCAAAAAATACTAACAATTTACTAAATCTGCTTTCGTTACAACACACAGCTCCCTTTACTTTTCGCTTTCTGACAACCGACGCTAGCGACATGGCAAAGCAAGAAGATGGCGGAACAAGCCACTTTTGCACAATCGGCGGAAGAACACGGTTGTTGTTCGCAGAGTATACCGTGAAGACCGCTGTGTCTGCACGATCGGATCGATGTCGATCTCATATGGAAAACCAAAATCTTCATGATGATGTATCACTCAATCAAAGTGGAACAGAGTTCGTGTTCGGGAACGAAAAAAATATGTTAATGTTTGAAAAACTCCATGGTGTGTTCTCAGATTCATAAGCACAACGAGTATGATGTCTCTGAATGCCCGCTCAACTTCACGCGGTATTGTATGCCTGGGCAAAAATGGGATCCTTTAATGTTCTAACGACGAAATCCTGGAACGGTTTGAAACTACTCGGTCCTGCATCCGGTCCCCCCAGAATCTTTAGTAGTCGTGCGTACGCTCGCAGCATATCACTCGCCTTTTGCATCTCTTTGCCCTTTTGCGCCACCACCTTTGAATTCTTCGAGATGTTCCGGTCGAGAGGCTCAAACATTTTCTCGATGCTGAGGGTTGAAGAAAGCCAGAAGTTCGTGCAGGTGTCCGCTATCAGGTTGCAGCAAAGTTGCTGCACATCATCGCTGTCAGCGAAGCCAACGGAAAGAAAACCAAGCAACAGACCCTCCTGCGCTGCGGGGACAAGCTGAAGAGAGAGGGAGTTGCGAGGAAAATCAACTACATGTGCCACCATGTCATGATTCACGAGAACGAATTTCAGCGAGTAGCTAAACAAAGAAAGTAATCTACTTCGATTTCATCTAGGGACATTAGCTTAATAGAGCCAAATTACCTTTTCTCCGAAGACAGTGATAACGGCATTCATGACTGAGAATGCGACTTTCCGGACCACTAGACCGTCATCCACTTTGTGCTTGAACGGTCCTAGATCAACTTCTCGCACAAAGCTCGGGTTGATTTTGCCTTCTTCCACGCAGCGTTGCGAAATATACGTGACGTTCTCGGCCAACAGGTGCGCTAATCGTCCTCCGTTCGACGTGAGTAGTGTCAAAATCGACTGCAATGTTGCTCGCCGAACCTGAACAAGAAGTCGAAGATGAATCCCTCTTCAAGGAGAAATATTGATAAAGATGCCCTTCTACGAGGCCGCAGTCGCAGTGATAAAGGGAATTAATGATGATGATCAATACGCCCAAATAATCGTTTTGTTATGGATTGCCGATTCTGTTATAGTTATTTATTCATTATTGAGCAAGAACCAATAAAAACTTCATATGCAGTTCCATATACCTGGAGGACATCGTCGTCTTCCAGCGACTTGATGAATGTGGGCATAAGGCCTATGAGCGGCTCTTCTGCTAGAGAACTCTTGGCGCCTGCTGCGTATTTGATCGCCCCGACTGCGCATGATCGAACGCGCGGTGACTCCGAAGACGCGATCATTTTCTCGAGTAGTCGAACAGCTGACTCTTTTTCGATCAGCATCAAATGCCCTAAGCACTCAGCGACAATGCCTCTTACGCCTTCTTCGTTGGACTCAGCTTGCGACTCTAGAACAGCCGCAATTTTCTCCATGTGCGGTTGTACAAGCGCTGTCTTGTTTCCTGCGTCAACGATCATCGCAGCTGTTCCATTCGTGTAGCTACCGCTGTGCTGCGGCGATAAGTAGTCGCTGCCGCCTCGTCGTTCTTGCTCCAACGACAATATTTCTCGGAACCCGGTCAATAGCAGATACTGCTGCTTTCCGCTAGCATCGGCCTGACTCTCGATGCGAGACAGCAATAAGGGGAGGAAAACTTCTCGCGCGCCCATCGTCGCGAAGCCGAGGGCTAGGGCCGCGGCATGCGCAACGTCGTCACTGTCAGTGCGCTCCAAGTGTGCTAGGAATAGTTCTGCAACTGGAGTCGCGGTAGCTTGCTTCGACAGGTCCACAAACTTTCCCATCTCTCCCAGAGAAAGGAGCGCTAGCTCGACTGAAAGGAGGTCTGGTGGCGGCTGCTCGGGCGATGATGCAGGACCAAGGACACCTGTTGATTATACACGAAGTAAGACAATATTCAAAAACAGAATCTTTCAGAACAGAAGATCAAAAATTTTCATGACGGGGTCGGGGTGAATGACTTAGCATGATCATGATATTTTTTTATGGAAATACTTCACAACTTCTGCCTCAGCAACATACAACAAAATCAAATTTTCATAAGTACTTGCGAAGTCTTGAATGAGAGTGTCTATGCCCTGCGACACGATAGCAAGAGCCGCGATACATTTCGCAATATTTGCGATGACCGTTCGCACCGCCGCTGCAGTCGTAAGTTTTTCAGAGTCTCGCAGAGACTGCACGTCCATTAGTTGCTGAAAGAGGCTTTTCAGATTGAGATTGCGGTTTTCACTGTGATAAGATATCTCGCTAAAGAACTCGAGAATTGAGTTCAGTGCGCCACCCTGAAGCAGCGGCGATCGCGTACAGTGGAGTATGCCAGGAAGACATCGCTGTGCGATGACCTCGGAAATGGCAACGCTCGTGCCAACGGGTGACTTCAGCGCATTTATCAACACCTGCACGGCGAGATCGGTCAAGTACCTTGAGAAAGGAAAGCGGAGCGTAGATGAAGGGCTAAGCAAGTCCGTCCACATCCACTGCTTCATAAAGTCCTCTTTGTGCTGCGCAGGAGGTTTTGAAAATTTCATGTGAAATAACACTAATGTGCTTATGACCTTGAAATCACTATCACTTGTCGCGAGAACAATAAAGAATCAATACAAGTCCGTGTCTGTGAAAAACGCTGACGTAGCGGACACCGCCAGAAGCTGCGTTTTCTCAGGCAGGTTCGGATACTTCCTAAGGACATGCCCGAGACAATCGAGACTCTGTTGTCTCAAAACACGCTGGTTTTGGGACAAATAAGATGTTAGGAAAGTACACAGCGTATGAAGCATCTCGTTTGGAATTTGAACCGTGTATGGCGATGCGCACATGGTCTTGAACGCCGACATCGCTGTTGACCTAGTCAACTCGTTTCGCATGCGCTCAACTGGTAGTTGTTGAGATTTGATAGATATCAGCAGAACAAGAAAAAGACTCTAACTCAGTTGGAGTTTGACTTGAACCAAAAAGTTCTTCATTATTCACATTCTGCTGGAGGTAGTGGTAATTATAGGACCACAATGAAACTAGTCAACTATCAAGACGGAGAGTGAGTGAAGGTGCAATCAAGATGATCACGGATGGTGAGTGAAGGTGTAAGTACCAAACGGCGGCAGACATTTTTGCGTCTCTTCGTCGAAAATGTCTGCCATGGATGCGAGCGTGTGACCTAAGCATTCAAGCGTCGCTTCCTTGACATCTTGGTCGAGATCTGTCTTTGTCATTTTCTCCTGCAATATGGCGAAGAGCGGCTGTACCTGTGCGGTGAGCATTCGTTCCACTTCCGCGGTTGCGCCGTGCGTGGCCTGTGCTCGCAACGCATACATGAGGCCGCTTAAAACTTTGAACGACTCTGCGATGGCCTTTTGCAACGCCGAACTGCGGCATATTTGGAGGAGCCTTGGAACCACCGTTGGTGCCAGTTGCCGATAGATTGTAGCTTTCGAAAAGTTCGCGACAAGCGCCTTGAGTATCGCGAGTGTGTCCAGCACGATGCTGTGTGTGGTATCCTGAAGGCCCCCGAGAAAGCTCGCCGCCGCGGATGGCGTCTCGAGGAGCGGCGGCTCCAACTGTGTTGGCAGAAGTTGCGCAAGCGACTTCAGAACTGAGAACGCCGCGACACGGCTTTTGCCGGTAAGCTGCTTCGCCAGCGCTCCGACCAGCGTTGGCATCAACGCGACCAGTTTGTCCGTCTGCACTGCTACTCCTCCGAGAGAGGCGCGGCCTCGCACGCTGCCGTTACTTCCTGAAGCCGAAAGACTTCCTGACGAGGCACCTTCCGCGCCCATCACTAGTCCGGCACCGGTGCGCGTTTCCGTGGGTGATCGCGGTCTCGGCGCGAACTGACCAGCCACCTCGCGTGAAACCTGTCGGGATCCCGTACTACCTCCGCCAAGGTTAGCCAAGCCTGATCCGCTCTGACTATTTGCACCTGAAACTGCGCTCCCGCCTTGTCCACCCTTCTGACCTAAGACGTGGCCAAGAGGTGCCGTTCCAGCAGCCGCTCGAGCCAACGCTTCCATGGCGTGGAAGGCGTCTACTTTGACATTCGGGTCGCGCTCGGCCGCGAAACGGCCAATGCACGCTGGCGCAAAACGGTCGTACACATCTCCGAGACGCTGCGGCATCCCTATGACCAAAGCGCTCGCGAGTTTGTAGGCTGCGCGCCTGACTTTCCAGCTCTCATCGTCATCCCCGGAGTCGTCCTCAAACTCGTAGTCCTGATCTGCTTCATCCTCCATGTCCACGTCGTCTTCGTGGCCGTAAAAATTCGGATCGAACTTGATCAATGCCAAGACGAGTTCTAGAACGGGCTCGAAGTACTGAGCCTCGCCTAGTTCCTTCAGCTTGCCTGCAAATGCCTCGAATGCCGAAAGACAATATTCCACTGTCTCACTGCTGTCCGGTGCATCCTCTGCGTTTGGCCCAGTAGCTTCCCGACAAATCTGCAATAGGAGTGGTATGACCGTGTGCGCGTGCGGCGAGAAGGCTCTACCAGGTGCGTTCCGCGCTATAGTCGAGATGCACTGGATGAAAATCATTCGGTCTGATGAACTCTTCGCGCCGTTCACAAGTTCTAGCAGCGTTCGTAGCAACACATCCAATTGCCTCTCGAGTAAGACGGTGGACAAAATACCGATGCAGACGGTCGTCTTTTTCCGCAGACTCAACTTTGTGGCTGGCGACTGCAGCAAATTCAGCAGCCCCTGAGTAACGCGGTCAGCTTGGATGCGACTGTTATCTCCGAACCTCCGAAGGACCTGCTCGTGAAGAAAACTTTACTAACTACATCGACAAAAGAAACCGGAGCACAGGCCACCAGGACCACAGTACTAGTAAAAGATGTACTTAGAATAGATGATTCGAGAAAGAAAGTTTGTTCTTGTTTTACTAAATAAAGGACTACAACTACACCAGAAGCCTAACGATCTTAAAGCCAATGTATACCTCACAGAGGACATCAACGCATTCCTCTTTAACTTCCGGCGGGCTGCCTGCTGAGAGAATGCCTGCCAGTATCCTTGGCAACACCTGTTGGCACACGACTGCTGTGCTCATGGCTGGGTTCAGCTCTAACAGAAGGGCCTTGAGGCACGTCGCGTAGATGTCTCGAACCTTGGCTTCCCCATCGATCAGCAGACCCGCGAGCTTTCCTGCTGCGTCGCCAATCAGTGGTTCTTGGAACTTGCATACGACTTTTGCGAGACATTTCACGGCGTTTCCCTGTACCTCTATGCTCGCGTCCTCGAGTTGCTTCAGGAACGCCGTAGAAATGCGCTTCTGGAGAGGACCATCTAGGGGCTGCGGGAATTCGAGGAGCTGGTTTGTCACGTCGGAAGCAGCCATAAAACGCTGGTCCTTATCCCAGTCCCCCATCTTCTCCAACAAACTGTTGTAGGCCATCATCTTCGCCTAGAAGAACGCCGTATTAGCAATCGGTGTCGGTCAGGGCCGTAAACAAACAAATGCCGCTAGGTAGTGCGGCCGCGTGCGGAAGCTTCACGTGCTTCAGTAATAAAACTTGCAAAGTAGCAGCACTTTTGTCTGCCTCGTTCTGGTGCCGGTCGCTCCTCTACAAAATTGAGTGGTCGGTCCTTACACCATTCGGTCACGAGAGGGTAATCATTCGTCTAAAGCATAGGTCCGCATCCTGACAGTTATCTCGACGACACTGGGAGTCAATGCATTGAATAAATCTAGTTGATGTACCTCCTCCCATGAAGTAAGATGACGAAGCAAATGGATAACTCAAAAAACGCGAGTCATTTGTGTCCAAATTCACCACTAATATGCTGTTTCCTATCGCTTGCCTGACTCTTTTTCCAACGTTTGTGTACCTATTTTCAATAGTACTCGATGTTCCCGCCCGTGCTTTCTTAATAATTCAAGCGAAAATTCAAATGTACTGCTAATCAGATCTCTTATCTCCTCTTCATCTGATTCACTATGTACCAGATCTAGATGATGTCTGAGTGAGAGATTTGGCCGTCCCAGCGAACGTGAGCAGGATCGTTCTTGTCGCTGTGGTGTATTTCTTGTCTCCGTTTTCTGTCATACTCCCAAACAACCGATTGGGGTTTGACATAGATGAAGAATTAAATGACGCCCGGGCAGACGAAGGCTGTGCTACTCTCAAGATCGCAAAGGTCTTGTATTCAAATTGCGCTACGTCAAAGAGGAACAAAGAAGCCTAAGCGCTTGCAAGACTCAAGCATTTGTATATCTGCCATGACATACACATACTTACGCAAGCGAAGAGAAATCTTGTTCACAGAGGAAAAAAAGAGGACGTACTCCTACTGCTGAGTTTTGAGTTCTACACATTCACATATGGTCATGAAGATGAGTAGTCTTCTCCGTTGGAGAGCTTCGGTTTCCAGAAATCATTCGTAAAGTTTTCAGTTCTCGTTCTTTCTTCGTCTCGTAACTCATGGACATCTGCCGCCCGATTTAAGGTTTCCATGCGGCGATTAGGTCCAAGTTGGCGCGCACTCGCCGCTCTTTCGTACGCTATTAAGTTAACCTATCCATCACTTTACATACACATGTTCCTCTTCAATATTCTATATTTTTATCGAAACTATATACTTATTTACAGATCATACAACTACACTCATCTTCATTGACTTCTAAAATAAACTAGCGGGAATTGTATCTCCAACAAATATTCAAATCATAAAACGCGCAATCTTTTTCGACCTTCAAATTCAATACTACAACAGCGAGACATCAACAGCATGACATAAAGAAGCAGCGTAGCTTGTCCTTGTGCCCCTGAACTTTGCGTTTCCCCGTTCAAGTTCAACGTTGTATTCACTCTACTTAAAGCATACATAAGTAACATTGAAAGTCCTCGCTGTGCATTCTGCATTCTTTGTTTGGGGAGGGTGAGCGAGACCCGCACGCCGACTACTCATCCTCATGAAAACTATGATGCATAAATATAAGCATAAAATGCATGAACCAAAAGATTAAGAACTTGAAATTCACTGCGTGATGTCGATGTGCTATCGGATCAAAAAGGGAATCTTTTACCCATCAAATATATTGTCGGGAGGTGCAACGGTACTCCAGCAATCTTCTATCATCTGGTTACTCAAGTACAACATGCTGAATCCTGAGGAAGATTGACAAGTGCTCTTGGGATTTCACGCGGGCGCACGGGGGGACGAAACTTTACAGTGGTAGTCTTTTGACATCATGAGTGATACGAATGACTCGATATCGATCTGCGTGTCGCGGTCTACGCAGATTTCACTCCACATCTTTACGATTTCTTCGTCGCTGGTGCTGTTTCCGTGGAACAGAACCACTAGATCGTCGGCATTCAGCGCGCCACTGCCATTCGCGTCAAGCACGAAAAAGACTGCCCGCCAGTGATTTTCTGCGTATAGATCGTGCATGTCCGCAGACAAACAGGCAGCAAGGAACTCGGTGAAATTCAAGTCGTCGGACTGATTCAAATCCACACTGGGCCACAGAAAGGATTCAAAATCATCAGGAATGATGCTCTCCGGGTCCACTTGCTGAGCCAAGGCTTGTGCCTTCACGCCGTCGCGAAATTCCTGCATATCTACGCTGCCACCTCCATCCGTGTCTAGTTGCCGGAATGCGTGACGATACCGCTCCAGTTCGACTGACGAGGTCCCCACCATATGAGCCAGCACAACCAATGCTGCCCGCTTCAACATCGGAAGCTCTGCATGTCTTAGAGAGATCTTCGACTACACGACTAGGATGATTTACCAAGAAAACTACATGATGGTGGACTTTCTACAGATGAATGGAAGAAAATAATCCTTCACTAGCAGAAACAATCTATCACTTCGCATGCCCATTCTAAGCGTAAGCGAACAAGTCTTTTCTTATCGTCTATTCATATCCCAATCTCAATGGACCTTTCATCATTTCTTTCATAAGTAAAGCCGCATACGACGGATAATCTCGTCCATGGATATGGTTTCCCTTGGACCGGCTCCCGACGCTGTCAACCGATCGGCGTCCTGCATGTATGTTTTCATCACGAATGGATGCGAAAGCGCCTCTTTCGCGTTCAATCGTCGTGTCGGATCGTGCTGCATCATCTTCTTCAGAAAATCCATGGCGTCCCTACTCAGAACCCGCCGATGCTGCTGCAGCCTTCGTTTCAGCATTCCCGGATGCAGAATCTCTTTCACTGCGTCCTCGTCGTTTACGAGAGAAAACAAAGGCTCACCCGTAAGCATGATATACCCGATAACGCCTAGAGGCCACAAGTCACACTTTCGGTTGTAGGGCTGGCCCTGCAACATCTCTGGAGCCATGTAGGCAACAGTTCCCATCATACCCGATATAGGATCGGCAGTGCGTTTCGCGAGTCCCAGATCAATCATACGCAAATCCGGATTGTCCATATTCTGATTATATCATCAAGGAGGACGAGCAAGTTGAGGTCATAGAATTGCTAGAAGAAGTCAAGATGTTGAGTGGATCTCAATTTGCTGTATACTCCGGTACTTATATATAAACATGCATCACCAGCTTCTAACTTCTACTTAATTTTCGAAAGAATATCCAATTACAGAGAGACGCTGTTGAGTGAACAGGAAGTTTCAGGATTGGATGTACCTATGCATGGCAATATTCGCAATAGCATGCATCCTATCAAGATCACCATTGAAATTTTACAGGATATGAAAAAGTACGTCATGGGCAAACATGAAGTTTTCGGGCTTGATATCGCGGTGAACGATATTCGCGGAGTGGCAACAGAAAACTGCTTTAAGCATGTGCCTCATGAGGACTCCTGCCTCATAGTCGCTAAATCGATGAGGAGGGTCGTGTCGCGCATCTCCGAAGATATTCATCATGTGCTCGAAAAGATCAGGCCCGCGAAGAAGCTCGAGCACCAGATAAACGTGCTCAGCCTCCGTGAAGCACTCGTAGAGCTTGCATACATGTGGATGGTCGAGATCCATCATTGCCTTTACCTGTAAGCATGGTTGTCGTTGTCGTTGTGCAGTAGGGATTGATAGGAGTCTTGTTCTTGAAACATTTTCACTAAAAAGACACGTGGCAAGACACGCGGCTATTGACTTGTTTCATATCATGAACGAAATCTTAACAGAGATTTTCATTGAGTGTTACCTCATTCTCCAGCATATCCCAGTTATCTTTAAGTTTGCTCATATGAATTCGCTTTGCTGCGCGTTGCTGCCCAGTGAGCTTGTGGGTGACGAGGAAGACGCTACCGAAACCGCCGCTCCCGAGCTCTTTTTCTATTGTGTAATGCTCCGTCAGCTGCGTAGCATACTGTCGAATGAACTCACGCCGATCTAAGGAAACTCCATGATGCCCGTTCTGGTTTTGACCACCTTCGCCGGCCTTTGCTTTTGTCGCTACCGACTCCGTTCGGACAAATTCTGGGGTTTCTCCTTCCGGCGCCGGCCCACTACTGAAAGCTCGCGCTGACCTCAATACAAGTGGTGTCTTCGTCGCATGACTGTTATGCTGAATCGAGCTCCACTCATAGCTGCTTTCACCTAGTGCGAAACCTCGTCGTCGAGATGAGGACGAAGATGACGACGAGCTGCTTCCGGTTGAGTATGACGCTGCTCCACAAGAACTACATGATTGCTCGGGTCGTCCCACTGATCCCACCCGTGAGAGAGCCGAGCGAAGGCCACGCGAGCCCTGAGCGAGAAGCTGCTGCTTTCCCATTGTTGCGTCAAGGTCAAATCAACCGAAGTGATGTCAATGTCTTACGTCCTCTTCTTTCGCTCAAACCGTCCGTTTTCAATCTGCTAGCTTTTTAGAAGTTTCCCGCTTGCACAATATGCACAGCTTCACCTTGATGTTCGGATGCGGGGCGCGATTTCTCGTCGAAGTCACTTCCTCGTCAAGAATGGATGACTTTGAATGGCTCCTTATGCCTCCTCCTCTCCTTTTGCATCGAATCTTCACAAACCCAAGTCTGGCGACACCGTATCAAAGCTGCATTCTTTGATAAAAGCGTGCTTCAAGAAAATATGAGTGCGCCTGATAAATAAAAAATGTGAGTCTTAGCATCGAAAACTGACTCAGCTTTGTGGAACATAAACGTTGCACTTGAAAGAACTTCTAAGTACATGGATCTAAGGAAAAAATTATTGGCGCAACCACCGTCAAACTCTAACACAGAATGTGAACGTCTTCATCTCGTACTACACCAGTCGGAAATTCCAATTTCGTTGCACGTTAATTTGGAGAGTACCAAGCGACTTATATTGGGCAAAGCAACAACAGAGCAGAAAGAAAAACATTATATATTGTATTTCGAGCATGTTCGAACCCTGCGTTTTTCAATGAAAGATTGTGATCACAAGTAGTTGTGATTTTTTGCTCCACTTGCAGTTACATCTGCAAGCTGACATGCATCAGCAGATCTCTACAATTTTCTCGTCACTCGTCAGCGTCACTCCTGAATCCACAGCAACATGTTCCGGTGCACAGAGACCGATCGATGTGGCTTCTCTCTCTGACAAAAAGCCTCATCTTCTAGTTTCTCGTTTGAAAAACTGCCGACGAACTAGTTCTTCGTTCAAAAACTTTCAACCGGAACACATGTCCTCTCCACTACCAGTGGGTTAACGCACGTTGCCAGGAGGTGTGGCACGAAAATTGATCATGTTAATCTCTCGTGTGTATAACGAACCGTTAAGGACATGTTACAAAGACGGAAAAGTTGGCCTGGCTCGACAACAAGCACTCTGTCTTATGTCACCGCCAGGAGCCTGAGAACGTACTTGCGCGACCAAGTCCGAAAACCTTTTTCTGGCAATGCGATAGAGTAAGTCGTCCGCACTGCCCTGACACCAGCTTCCAAACAGTCCCTTCAGAAATCGAGAGACGCTTTTCTCCTGCGCCGCTTTGTGCTTTGCTAGGTCCTTCACATAGCGAAAGGAAGATCCGTCCACTGTGCGAACGCGTGCAACAGGCAAGTGCGGACCAAGGAGCAATACTTTGTCGTGCACAAGGCGCCAAATAGCTACAAGCTCCATACGCGTATTGAGTAATAGCGTCCTGTTGAAGGACGACGACGAATCGACTGCGACCAGACTGGCCAATTTCTTCTTTAGTCTTCCAACACGCGCAAGCGCTTTCTCGTCTGGACCCTTCTCTACACCGCTCTTTATCGCCTTTGTCAGGATATCCCTTGCAGCATTGAGTAGCGCAAAAAGCGTCCCCATGGATGTCCGCTGGCCAAAAGCAAAATCAAGCAGGAACACTGCTTCCCTGTAGGATTTCCGTCTTTCGCGCGCACGCGACCACAATCCCCCGTCTTTTTGCTCCAACGTCAAAGTCTTTTCTCGTGAAGCTCCCAATGCTTCAGCTCCAAGAGCTATATTTTCAGTAGGATCTTGGTCGTCCTGCTCGCCTCGTCCTTGTTCTAGTACTCCGACCGCCTGTGATAGATTCTCGGTTTCGTCTTTCTTGGCGACGATTCCCCGATGGGCAAAGTATTCGCCGTCACCGCCTCCAAACGCATTTTTTGCTAACCGTCCAGCTTCTAGTGTTTCGGTCCCTTTGCTGAAGAAAGTTGGAAAGACGCACTCTAGCAGTTCCATGAACTCTTTGTACCGGTCTAAAACGCCAACAAGCGCAAAACCGCCAAATGCGGTGTGTAAAATACGACGTGCAGCCGCTTCAAACGTCTTCATGTCTTCTTCGTCAGAGAGAGAACGAAAGTGACTGTAGCCTTTCCCAAACGTATCATGCACTTCTGAGCGGATAGTCAGCGAACCCGTTCGCTTCTGACGTAGAGTTGCAGAACTTTCTTCTGCGCGTGAAGATGTGCCGATGACATGTGCTTCATCAGAGGACCCATTTGGATCTTCTGATAGTCTTGCTTCTGATACCATTGCCCGTTCGTGTTCGTTTTTCTCAAACACTTCCTTCGTACGTCCAGCAAGTAGGTTCGTTTGCAGTGAGAATTTCCGGAACTGCGTTGCCACGTCTGTGAGCAAGTTGCTTGGTTCCCCGTGAAAACTGGCGTTAAACCACGTTTTGTTGCCGTCAGTGGTACATCCGAACATTTGCAATCCGAAACGGTTGCGCACGCAGGGCGACCTGGCTGCTCCCTCATGCATGTGGATCAGATGCTGTGGGAAAGCGATACCGTATGACTTTTGGGCCATATGGAGATCCACCCAAGCGTCCGTGGAAGTTCGCTCGGTGGCTTCATAGCGATCAACGTCGGGCCTCATCGCCAGCATCTGGTGATGGGACGCGGAAGCAGCGGAGATGACAGACGATCTTTCATCTGCATTGTCGTTTCTTTTTTCATACTCTGACGTGAGCGTGTTCGCGTTGCCATTAACAAGAGCTGACGGCTCGCGGCCCTGCAGCAAGCCAAGTGTGTCGTCAGTCCTAACGTCGTACCGGCGAGCAGCGATCTCCCGCACAGCTCGTGCACCTGTTTTTATAGCTATCGAAGGCTCACTCCAGAGTTCAGCATCGCGCTCAATCGCAGCTTCCATCACGTCGACACCTCGGGTGCTCTCTCTTAGGGGAGAGAGCGCGACGTTTTCGCCATGAAGCGCTTGTGCTACTTGATCCATCATCGTCAATGGAGCTGGCCCCGGATGAATGTTGGCGCCCACGAAAAAACTGCTTAGAGCAATCTTGCCAGTAAGTCCGGCTAGTGTCTCGGCCTGTTTTTGCTCGTCTTCAGCAGGCACTGTGAGCTTCGCCGGTCTCGTTGTAGTTTCTGCGTACAAACTCCCTACGCTTTCAATAGGTAAGCGATATGCACTTCGCACGTCCTCCACTGCTTTATCGAAATCTGCGTTTTGACTTGGCGAAGCCGCTGCCTTCAAGTCCAGTTTCAGAAATTCCTGGTGCATTGCCGTGTTTATCAGATCATGCCCGCTGAGAAAGAAGGCGTCGTCGAGCGAAGGAAACATGTGGCGGTAACTCATAGGATACACCTCGGACCCTAGGTCCATGTCCTTTTGATTCTCCAAAACGTCGTGAAAGCCACGCCCTGTATCAGCTTGATTCCGTGTCATCTGTCGATACGACGAGACAACTTGCGCGGCGCATTGCCGTAAATTAGAAACGTACTGATACGAAATGCGTTCGTCATTCGACTTTTCATCTTCTCCTTCTAGAAGTAGTGCTTGTTCAACATCATCCTTCAGTAGTCCTGCAGCTTCTCCATCGCTTTCTGCTTGAGGAAAGGTCGGTCGGAATTTCTTGGGGTCCCATGCTCCTATATTTGCGAACTCAAAATGTTCTAGGAAGAAAGCTTTGCCTCTTTTTCGCGGAAACGATTTGCCAGATATGAGCCACCTGTAATACTCACTGGCATTCTGCGCAGCCCCGTTTTCGTCACCCAATCGCTCGACCAATGTGCCCTCGCGTGGGCCGCCAGGAGCTGGGGTCCATACACCTTGCTTCAAGAACCGCAGAAACTGAGGAACGAGACGGCCATCCCACAGGTGCATAGCGCCGTAGCGAAATTCTGGTGGAAGAATGCTCCAGTTAACGCCGAACTTCCTACGCGGCGGCCCCTGGGCAACCGCACTGTGGCTCGAGGTTGACCCAGTCCGTGGTGGAGCAGGCCACAGCAAAATATCCGGTTCGGCAGTACTTGCAACGTGCCTGCACCACTCTGCCGGTGACTGAGGACCTTTCGCTTTTGGCCCTTGATGTTCATGGTTGATCTTCTCGAAGAACAGCTTAGTCGCGATCCGCTCTGCGAGACTGTCCAGAAATACATCATCGTGCCGCAGGCTCTCGTAGTTTCGGCCTCCCACAGCATCAGAGGCTAAGTCGTGGTAGCTGTCGGCGTACTTATCGACAATTAGACGAAAGAAGTCCGGCACGCGTGATCCCGGTAGCTCGTCTCTCCCCTCGAAGCCGTCTCGCTGACGTCGAGACGCAGCACCTCCTCGCTCCGCGGACGCTGCCGACACAGGGATAGCTGCCTTCGCAAGAGCGAACAAGGAGGACCTATCCTGTTCCCGCTTGGCGCCACCATCACCACGGTCACGCACAACTAGCTCATCTTTTGTTCTATACCATGAAAATCTCGCTAAGTGAAAAGCGACAAAGAGGAACAAAGATCTTCTCCACGCCTTGTTGCGAACTCGCGCGTGGCTCTGACCAATCAGAACTATCGAACTCGAAGACATACTGACACACGGGTCGCTCTGACCAAGATAGAGCCTCATTTCGTTCATTCAAGTTGTTCAACAATTCAAAAATATGGGAAAACCTGAATGATTCACATGCACCCGCTGGTCTCGCGAAAGTAATACAGCTCGTTTCTCTCGCTTCTGCAGGTCCGCAATTGTCATTGTGGCAAGTAAAAAACACCTGCTTCACGTTGATCCCAAGCTTCAGCCTATGCACAACAAGGCTGCTTTTCCTATTCCTTGTTTTTCCGGTCGCGAGTGGTTGAATTGCTTGCGTCGAGTCAGTTAGGGCATTCTTCGAAGTTGAATGCGGACATCAAGAGAATTTTTGTTCATACCCTTCTTTGTTCTTGTAAGTTCTTTGCTTTTATTCCCTAATCTAATGAATGTACCTGATGGCTACTCTTAAGTCTTAAGCACAACAACTTCGCATTTTTGCTGGTAGATCAAAACACTGCGATGAATTCCACAACATCGTGCTCGGTGTCAAAGAAGATTGGCGCCTATAAATGGAGCTGTCGTGGACTGCGATGATTTTGATGATAGGTGAAATGCAACATTGTAGAACCAGCAGCTATGAGTAAAGGCGGGTCTACTATTTTGTGAATCTGCGTCGCGTATCACATGTTCTTGTAGGATACATGAGTTGTATCTGTGATGTACGTGTTACTTAGACGTGTTTGCGTGGAAGTATGTTGAAACAAGAACTTGTGTATTTCCATGCTATGCACCTTATTCATCTTCTTCTTCTTTACTCCGTCTTCTTTGGCGACTCACTGGAGTCCTGGTCAGATGATGATTCCATGTGCGATGTGAAGATGTATCCCCAAGCCTGTGCGACCGCGCACAGCATCACTGGAATCGATGGGCCCAAACAGATACAAAAGCCGAGATAGATCGAAAAAGCGCCCGTGTATTGCGGATGGCGGAAGGTATCAAACGGGAAATCCGAAACCCACGGGATGCTCTTGCCTGGTGGTATCATTTTTTTTAAAGATCGAAAACTGTATAGAGAAGAGCCCGAAGGCGAACATCCATACGGTCCATAAGAACTCAAGAAAGTTTTCTTGAAAATGAAAGCTATCATGTCAAGAATTTGAGTTATCGAGGTAGTCAGTAGCAGTTGTATTAATGTTTGAACTAGTTTGTGAAAAATTGCCTCCATGAATCGAAAGTTGGTTCAAAAATTTAAGTTGATTACCAAATTTGAATCCGTAGTAGACTCCATCCCTGCCAAGCTTTGCATACACATGGCTTTGCAACCAGACGCCAAAACTGATCAAACCTGCACCAACCACATAAGACGCGGCAATAACTGCAAAATTATCAGTGTAAGCGCCGATATTCGGTACCTGATACGTACGGACTTCAATTCGAAGAATCAATATGCAACGATCGGGATGTGCTTAGTTAGTATATTCTATGTCATAACTACTAGTTGTGCATTCTTTCTTGTACCTGAGAAAGAAGTAGATAAATTATATAAGTGCAGCCAATCTTCACAAGCCTCGACTCATTTTGGGCAGGTGCTTCTGCTTGGCTTTTTTTTCAATCCATTCCCATTGGGAGCGAAAAAATCTAATTAATTATATTACCTGAATATATTGCAGCAACAATAGCGGGATGATCGTTTTTTGGATTGTCACCAGGAGGCACATGGCCGCGACTGAACCCTCGCCGAAGAGCGCGTGCCATTTCGATGCGTAGACCCAGCCAGCTGGATAGATAAACAGATGGGTTTACATTAGAATTTCATGTTAGGTTTAAACAGGTTATTCCTTGATGATGTCCACTCCCGATTCAGATGCTGAACTCTGCTAGTTGCAGTTGTCCACAAAATCAAAGAAAATCACTATCGTCTCAGAAATATGGCAATTGGCAAAAATTTTGCCATAAGAAGAACTGGAAAAAAATCGTCAGCATGATTGACAGCGTTACGTGTTGGTTAAAAACGATGAAAGTTCCCAGTGCCGCGGCCGTTGACACCACCAACGATGGTTGCTGGAAGAGACGAATTAACTCCAACATTGCAGCTGATGAAATTAAGGCTATCTAATAACTCTGGCGTCACGACCAGAGTGTAGTTTTTCCCTCGTAAGTATTTTTTCTTTTTCTTGTCGTATCAATCTAAACCTACACGGTCGGCTTCTACAACCCACGTTTCCTCTCACAAAAATTTTTCTCAATTCTCACTAGAAGACGTTGAAAATCAAAATAATCTGTTGATTCAGACACAGCTTGTGGGAAGACCCTCGGATCAATGATGTGTGATCTTTTGTATTTTCCCTCAACACACACCTGATCGGAGACAGACCCAGCCCCCTCCTACTTTGTCTTTGCCAGAAGAGGACTAGGAAAGAAGTAAGTTGGCTGATCCCTGATGAACGCCACAAGCAACCAAACCGCGCATCATGGAACTGTGTACAATTTCCGAAAGCACCGATCTCAAGCTGCTCTTCGGTATTTGGCAATGAACACAAACGAGGAATCCTATAGACGTTGTGAAAAAAGCGTAAAGAATATTGTCACAGTCATTTACCCGTCTTGTCTTTTTCTTCCTCTTCACCTATGCGCTATATGAAAACGCGTAGGCAACACTGGATGGAATATGTATGTTCAGGCAAAAATCACGGAGTAATTCAATCTGTAGTCGGAAAACAAAGTGATCATCATCTTTACATCTCAAATGACCGTGCATCATCATCAGCAAGACGAAACATCAATTCCTGCGACGCTCAAATAAAATCCATAAATTATGCATTTGCTCCTATAGTATGTTCCCGACCCACGTGCGTGTGTGTTGCTTAGTGTAGGGGTACTTCTTACTTCTACCTTTTATCGTAACACTCGTTGCGTTCGGTCAATACGCATACAACGTGCGCATTGGCAGGATCGGGATCCTTTTTGTCGTATTGCAGGATACAGCCAACCAGATTGCCAGAGAGACCGCATACAGTTGTACCACTGCTATGCCCCTACAATCATAAGAACTGGACAGCAAGCTGATCTCCTCCCTGGACGATGGAGGAAAAGCAACGCTAACTCACCAAATCAAAATTGATAGAAGACATAATCAGAAATGCACGCCGATATCGAGGCCATTGCCATGTAACCGTGGTGCTGCTTAACAATTGATTCCCTAACATCAAAAATCATGTAACCTCTATCCCCCTATGCTGGTAGTTTGCGTCGAATATATCTCTTCGTTAGAAATCCTCTTCGATTTGTGCTGAGTAGTATGAACATGAAAAGAAATTGACAGAACTCACAAGAGGATGAATACAATATATATTCTTACGGTCGTGTCAGTATTTGAGGGAATACCACTTCTGTGAATGAATACACGATAAATATTAGCCGATAGTTGACCATACTTAGCGATGATTGACCAATAGACTTAGAAATCTTGAATGAAAAAATAGTGGAACGAGAGAGGACGTTCTTGTCGTTCCCCTGCTTCATGGGAAAATTGTATTGTCATCAAGAGAACAATCATGAAGGAAAAAAAGCCGATGCACAGGGATGCTTGTTTTATCGGCAGGTTGTGGTTTCGCAGGGTGATAGCGAAAACTTTGAGACATCTTCTCTGAAGATTCAACAGTGCGACGGCGCACTGCAAGAACAACATGGAAATACAAAAATTGATAAGAGCAAAGCGACCTTGATGCGACCACTTCGTTTTCGCGTCATCTGGGGTGACCCTATAGCCGAACCTCCTTGACCCACTCCGCCTCAAATAACAAGTACTTCGTCCATTGAGAAGCAGAAATGCCGACGTGCGCCGTTATTTACGCGTAATATCTACGCAAGAATTAAAATGTTGGTCGAGTAGGAGTATTACAACAAACCTTTTAAAGCTTGGGTCCTGCTTTTTCCTTCTCTTTCCAGACCTGCGCCAGGGTTTTTCCCTTCTCGACGCACTCAACCAAGAGCTTGCTGGGCGTCCAGTACTCAACATTGCGATAGCTCTTGTTCCCCGCGACAAGGGCTGTGCGTTCCTTGCCGTATTTCCTCAAGCCAGCGAGGATATTATCCAGTCCTTCGATGTTGTCTGCCCAATGCATCGGACCTCCCTTGTATGGCGGAAAGCCGTATCTGTAATAGGAGGAGTGGAAGTTAAGATAAAAAAGAAAGGTTTAAAATTAAAATTTTCTGAGAATAATTTCAGTTTGCATTCAAGTTTTTCTTTTTATAAAGACAGAGATGCTAACATAGGTTTAGTTGTCTTCAGCGCTTCCTTTTTCAGAAAACATGATGAATACCCGTAAACGTAGACGATGTCGATATCACTCGGACGCTGAGCCATATTTTCCTCCAAAATTTTGAATCCTTCGTTCACCAATGGATAGAAGAGGCGCTCGCACACCTCTTGCGCTGTGAAGGGTCTCGGCTTAACTCCCTTCTGCTTCTGGATCTCAGCCAATTTCGCTGGCACCTCAGGGTCCAACTTCAGCTTCTTGCGGGTCTTGGCGTCGTACAGGAAGATACCTAGAGGTGCACATGGAACACATGAATTCAAGATCTTCATCTTCATTGATCATGTTCGAGAACGTGACACTTAATGAGGTCCTACTATATCAAGTCAAGAAAAGAAACAGGAATTACAGCACAACACCGACCAAGTTATGTAGTACCACGTCCCGTCTTGACTCCGTATCGTCCCTGCTCGCAGAGCCAGTCACCCATTTCGTATGGGCCGATAGAAACCTTGGTTTCTAGCTGCATATTTCCAGCTGCTTTTCTCTGCTTCCAGAATAGCTCCAATCCTACGAGATCAAAGAGGGTAAACGGACCCATGGGCATGCCAAAGTCAAATGCGGCCTTGTCGACGACGCCCAAATCTGCACCCATCTCAACCATCATACGCGCCTCTGCGCCGTAGGGACCTTTGAGGTTGAGAAATGAGAAGTAAGCACCAGTCGGTTCATATTAGTGTGAAGGTTGTAATATGGCAGATGTCTATGCCAATCTTGATTTCGTTGCAGTAACTATTTGTGTTCAGCGACAGTTGTTGTAGAGAAGATTGCGAGCAGTTTTTACCGAGCATTCTATTGCCGACGAAGCCGTCGCAGTTTCCGACGAGTACTGCTTTTTTGTTGATGAGTTTGCCCATAGCCATGCATGTTGCAAGTGTGACGGCGTCAGCTTTCGCGGTGCGCACATTCTCCAATAGTTGCATCACATTCGCGGGGGAGAAGAAGTGCGTTCCCATCACTTTTTCCGAGTGTGGGTAGACAGCCGCAATCTCGTCAATGTTCAAACCACTCGTGTTGGTGCAAACTAGGCAGTCCTTCCTGCAAACTTTGCTGAGCTCCGTGAAAACTTCCTTTTTCAGGGACATGATCTCCGGGACTGCCTCGATGATAATGTCCACGTCCTTCAAATCGTTGTAGTCAAGCGTTGGGGTCAGAAGCCCCATAAGCTGCTTCATCTTCTCAGGCTTCATTTTGCCTTTTGACACCTGTCGTAGTGAGCAATGGGGAAATGGAAGGACTTCTAAGAGTCACATATTTATAATAGAGTCAGGAATTTTTTGGCCCGTCACGGGTCGAGTTTCTCGGGTTGCTCGAGTTGCTCGCCGCAATTTTTTGCGCGGCGCCCTTCAGGCGCAGCTTTGTGAGACTCTGGGATACCTTAGCAGGAGCATACGACATTCAACGACATGCCTCCGCTCCCTGGTTTTCTTCTTAATGCGCACCAACGACGAGAGTGAGTGACCGCCCTCAGCTCGGGAACTCCTCCCAGCCACTTGATCAAACACGCAAGGCATCCGCCACATACTCTTCTCTACTTGCTTCCTCAGCTGAGTGGGCCGCTCTCCAAAGCAAGCGGGAGCTCGCTCTCAGTCCCAAAAGAGAGGCACTGGCCACGAACACATCCGAAGAAAAAAGGGAGAGACTGGCACCGACCCAACGACAAGCCACAGCGACACTCTCTCCCCTCAAACAAAAACAACGAGGCGAAGCCGTCGGCCCCTTAGTGCCCGGCTGTGCTTCGAACGCGCGCCCACACGCGAAAAAAAAAAAAGCCGGGGGGGCTCGCTGGGGAGCCCTTCACAACCGGCCGCCCCTCTCATGAGAGAGCAACAACAAAAGCAGCCACTCCTTCACTTCGCGCAGCCACAACCGTGCCCATACCGCCCTGCTGCGCCGCATTCCGATGAAGCGGATGGCTTCCGGTAACTCGTGGCAACTCGTTCAAGAATTGAAGCCCTTCACTTCGGCAACTCGAGCAACTCGTTGCAACTCGAAACCCGATATTTTACTTACTCTATTATAATGGTGTTGAGACTGAAATTTGAGAACAACGAACCGTTGCGATTACAACAGGAACACAATCGTATTCATTGTAGTATTTCTCTCGGAGCAATCGCATCTATTCTCATTGTAGTTCAGACTCTGCAAGAACAGAAAATTAGAAGGAGTATTCGTAGCTGTTGCTGTTGTTTTTACCGTAATTTCGTAGTTTTTTCTGATCGTTGAGACGCCGTTGTCAAGCCATTCCTTTTTTGCGTCTTTGATGATGACTGGAATGCCTTTCTTGAGGAAGTTCATCGCGATTCCGCCTCCCATGAGGCCTGCGCCAATAATCCCGACTTTTTTAATTGGCACCGGCTTTGCGGTGTTGCCCTTGACTTTGAGCGCGGCTCGCTCGGCAAAGAAGATGTTTCGCAGTGATGCGCTCTCTGGTGACATGACAAGTTTGCCGAACTCGTTGAGTTCGACTTGCACACCATCCTCGAAGCTCTTGCCGAGGCAAGCGGCGCGAAAGCACTCGACGATGGAGTCTGGCGCAATCATACCTCGCGCGCTCTTGGAGGCCTGCAATTTTGCCATCTCGAGGCCGCCTCCTTGTGCCATCACCTTGTTGGCGACTGGAACTTTCATCTTCGAAATCGGTCGCGGGCCTTTCGTCAACGCAAATGCGGCCGCAGCATCGATCAGGTTGGAACCTGCATTTATTAATAGATATCGTAATCGTTGTACTTACAACATCTTCAATAGAAACAGGTGAAGTAACATGTAGTTATGCTAATGGTACCAGAAGGTGACAAATAAACAGAAATACCCTTTGGCTCGACCTTGTCCACAATGCCGGCTTTTTGTGCCTTGACCATGTTCACGCTCTGTCCTGTCATGATCATCTGCAAGGCCACATCGAATGGTGCGACACGAGGCAAGCGTTGCGTTCCCTGTCCGCCAGGCAACAAACCGAGCAAGACCTCCGGAAAACCTAGTCAACCAAAGAAAAAGTGGAGGAAAAAAAGTTACAGTTGTTAAAAGGTTCTATCGCTGATGTAGTGAGGTCACGATCATGATCGAGTTCAAAATGTCGACTCAAAGTCTCATTTCCAATACCAATTTGCGCGGTTTCCGTGGCAACACGGTAGTGACATGCGAGAGCGACCTCACCACCGCCGCCCAAGGCCTGGCCATTCATGGCCGCAACAGTTGGCTTCGGGCAGGCGTCCAATCCATTTATCATCGCATGCATGTTCATCACCTGTATTTTTAAGTACTGGTATTAGCAAATTAAAAGCTTATCAGGTGATTGCCGGCTGTAAAAACCCCGCCCCATCATAAGAAACTGTGATATAAATAATGGTACTTCCTCTCCATCCTTAGAGTTACTAGCGAGAACTGAAAAACCCATCAAACAAACTCACAGCAGGTACGCATGATAGTATGAAGAGACTGTCAAAAAAATTACCTCGGAAGCAAGAAGGAATTTTGATAATGTTGAGCCCCTGTGCTAAGGTTACAAAATCCAAGAAGACAACATACCGCTTGCGGTCCAGCAGTTGCGAACTCCTCTATTGCGAAGCCACCACAGAAAAGCGGTCCTTTACCCGTAACAACGACAGCCTTGACTGCCGGATCTTTTATCACTTTCTGCAAGTTCTCATTGAAGGATTTCACCAGGCCCGACGCCAAGGAGTTCACAGGAGGATTGTCCATGACAATCACTGCCACCCCGTCCGGACGGACACTGCATTGTGTCGTCGCCATTTTCTTTCTTCAATTAATATCTGCGTATCAGTTGCCAAATTAATGTTACTCTAATATTTTCTATTCCAATTACTTTACGATGATCTGTGATTCTAGAGAATGAAAAGACCTTACAATGACCGAACCACGTAGACAAAAATTTTCAGCAGAAAATTTCGTGACGCCAAACGAGTAGTTGCTTGTTGTTGAGAAACAAGAAACAGGCAGACTCCGAAACAATTATAACAAACTGCTCTTGCTACCGATGCTTCCTTTGCGAGGAAAAGAAAAGTAGAGAACTCTGGCGCAACCACCAGAGCAAACGAAACCTGAGAAGTGTTACCGCCATATTCAGAAGATTTTGTGTCCAGCACTCGCTTACTTTTTCTTCCGCACTCCCATCTCAAACTTTTCTCCTACAAAAAAAAGAACTCCTGAGAAGAAAATCACTCGTCACTCTCGTTCTCATCAACGACTCAGTCTCTTTGTAGCTCATTTTTGCTTTTTGTCTCTGACCTCCTGCTTCGGGCCAGCAAATACAAGAAAACGGAAGTGAACGTTACACACTGTCACCAGTGGAAAAAGACCGACGAAAACAGGACTCTTCAAGGTATATCGGACGATAAAACATTTTTAAAAAAAGACGCACTCTCATCATTTGAAATTTATCACACGGATATTGACTTACTCGTCCTGCTCGTCCTCACAAGGAGTGCTCGTCCTCACACGAAGTCCTCGTCTTCTGCCTGCTGAAACAGAAAAAGCGAAGACCAGACAAACAAGAAAAAGCCGATGGTGCCGACACGGAGTTTCGCGTCCTGCGAACGAATCGTTCGCCTCGAGTAAATCTGCGCAATTTGAAATACTTGTTAGATTTTTCATCTCAGGAAGAGTATGTAGAGTCAGAGACGAAGAGTTGTAGTAAGTGCAATCAATTACTCACATCGTCATACTTGTGTGCTTTCTTTAAGACACCGCTTCGTGCTTCCACCGTCCTCTCCCATGCAACCTCGTGTCTTTTCTCACCTCCCACCTAACATCTCTTTTACCTTTAGGTAGTCTGTCCATCGTCCTCCTCATTGAAGAAGGTCAAGGGGCTAACAGTAACATCTACTTTTGTTGAAGATTAGCAGTGGGACCAGCAGTCCTGTGTGTTGCGAATAATATGTAGAAGTTCATAACAGATAGCCAGCAACTGCATGTTAGGCGTGAGGGTGAGCGCTAAATCGATACACAAAATAATTTTTTCAAAATGTAGAAGGAAAATCTTCTCATTTCATGTTTTATTATGTGCGACAAAAGCTCATGGTAGACAATCGATCATAATATTTCCGTGCCCAAGAAAACGAAATCCAAATTCGATCATGTTTGACCCGCGTTCACCCAAATCTTTCTCCTTACAAAAACGTCGTCACTTAACCAACACTATATGCATGAGAGACACCAACTTACCTTTTCGTGTTTGCCTTGTTCCTCATAAATGCGTATGCACGAGCATATTATGTACACACTTCTTGCCCAGTAAGATGATGAATGGTGCAAGTACTGAGTACTCGCTATGTTAAGGACCAGCTCGACTAGTGATTGAGCGAACGATATTTGACCACGACGCACTTATGCTCTATAATTCGTCAGAGTTTAAGCAGGAGCTAGAAGATACTACGTACAGAACTCGTAGAGTAAGTCACCTTTGGTCGATTATGTTCATCGATACATTGATTGATGTTGTTGTTGTTCTTGTTCATATATAATTGGCGTTGAATACATTTAATAGAAGATGCCAGCTTTGAAGTCAATGCATTCATTTGTAAAAGTTGTAGTCGAAAAAAGATTGTTAACTACACAATACTTAATACGCTGCTGTTTCTGCTATGTAATTCTTTCTAAAAATTGGAATTCTTGGTCTTTCTCCTCGCCGACCTCAAACGATGAAGTAGAAGAATGAGGAAGTATGGAAATCGCAGAAATCAAACTTTTGCGAAAAGCAAATGGTGTTGGTCTCAATGTCTGCTCGTCCGCTAGATTTAGAGGCGTCACTTTTCTGAATTAAAGGCATGTTTCTGTGGCCGGAGCAACGTGGTTTGTCTCAGTGGCGATTGAAATCATTATATCGAAACTTCGATCTTGATTCGACTCGGCTTTCGTTCTACCTTTCTTGAACAAGCAGCAGCCGTAGTTCCGCATCTTCCATCAAGGGTCCTGTTCTGCTGGTCGTTCTTCAATCCTGTTACCGTTCCGGGCACTTTCTCACTCACTTGTTCCTAAAAAAAATGCTTCTGCCTCCAGCTTCTTGCTTTCATGTCATGCTCCTTGAGACTCCGACCCCACACTTCCACAATTATATGCTTTCCCCATCTCAAAAAGGTTCATTCAAAAATTTCGAAGTTCATCTTCGTGTTCTTGTATTTCCATTTTTCTCATCGTCCCATCGAATACGCATTTGAAATGTTATACAACTGCTTACTCGATCTCATCGAAGTCCTCCACACCTTCCGATTCAGTTCGACGATTTCGATTCTTCTCATCGATCTCAGCCCTTCTACCACGTCGTTTTGTCCCAGTCTCGTACTTCAAAAACTCTTTTAGCGTCTCTTTGCTGCAATGATCTTTTCTTTGATCTCTGCCTTGTCGGCTCGGTTCTTTTCGTGGAGCTCCTTCAGCACGTCTTTCAAGGTTGCCTTCAGCATAGACTTTGGTGCACTCTCAGCCCTCTTGATTCGCACGATCGGCGGTGTCTCCGGTCGCAAAATCTAGTGGTTTGTAAGGGAAGTAAGGGAAGTACAAGAATGCATAGATTTAGATAGTTACTCCTAGTACTTGTTGCTGTAAATATAATTTTCTGGAGGACGAAGTTGAAATTCAACATCTCGTTGTACTTGGCACACGATTTTGATTAAATTTTAATTTACTATTATTTTCAGTAACTACCATATCATAGATATCCTTCCGAGGGGTCGTTAGTGGAGGGCCTAGGAACAATCTTCACCTGCCAAGAAGTACCAGCACTACGTTTGACACGATTGAAAGTACCTTGTTCATCATATCTCCATAGGCCTGATTGCGGTCCTGGAGGCACTTTGGGTCGTCCTTCGCGTTTCTGTAGCTTTCTGCAAACTGTGCCTTTTTCTTTTCTTCCCGAAAGAGCCTGTTATAGAATCGAAGATATGATATGTTGCAGAGTGAACGGTCCTAATAGAAGATCATGGTTATTCCTAAGCAAAAGACAAGGACATCGATCTACAAGCAGATTTTCTACAATGAATAGCATTTTTTATTTTTTGCCATAGATACTTAACTTTTTATCAATACGAACCCGACGGTCGGACATCATCGCGTAAGAAAGTGTCACTAATGTCTGCCGTTTCTCTCTCACATAATGTGGGTGAGGACGAAGATGACAATATTTTCTATCAACAACTAGTAAGTATTAGTAACAAACCCATCACCAATTTACATATACTACAGAAAAAACTATTATTTTACCTGTTGTCTCTAACGAGCTGCAGATGCTGAGACGAGTTGCAGTGGACAGGTACATGGTGCGGCAGGTTCTGATCCGCGCCAAACTTGTGGAAGCCACCGGTCCACCATCGGCAGTAGCCACTTCCGTGTGCATTGGGCATGCACATGCGATCCATCTCGTCTATGAATGGCAACAGCAGGCATGGTGGGTAGATCTGCTTTGCAGTCGGTGACAGAGCCGACATGTTGTGCAGCTGTTTCGCACACCCTGGGGGCGGCATGGAGGTAGCACGCAGAGAACTCGACATCTTGCTCCTAACTTGTTGGAGACGTCAGTTTAGAGTCTTACTTATCTTAGCTTCTATGTGGTACAAGTATTAATCTGAGTAGATTATCACTAATTTTGATGCTGATGAAGACGTTGTACAAATTCTTCGTCTAGCAGGTCTTCACCCCTCTTTAATCATCCTTACATATTTTTTTCTTGAAAGAATGACTGGGATGGAGAAAAAACAGAATCCAAAGAACGAAATAGGAGCATCGATTATTCACGAGGTCAAGGGTCGTAAAAAAAAACCATGGATTAGGGCAAGTGGCGAACAAATATACGCAGGGATGCAAACAGGGGTTCATTGAATTTGGAGAAAGCGCATGGAATAAAGAAAAAAATGAGTTATCCTTTATTGGCTTTGTCTCTCTCTCTCTCTCTCTCTCTTGTACCAACCAAAGAAACAAGAGAAGTCACCCTTTATCGGAATGCAGACTCCAAAAGTGTTGAGACTATCACTCGAAGATCACAAACAAAGCACTTATACTTAAGCAACTCAACAGGTATTTGCAGAAAAACAGACTGTGTCGACCCTCAGTTACAGATGCTTATAATCGCGCCGAACAACCTCATTCAATCGTCGGTCACAACCAAGAAGAGATCATACCAGGGAGAATTCTGAAGACTCAATAAACAGAAATGAGATCAGTTGCTGTGAACAGTTCGACTTCATCAGTATCATGATGTAACGGGAACAGCCAACAATATGCTGGATCTCAGGACACCACAAAAACTTTGCAAACTGGCATCGCATCAAAAATTGTTGTTCGTCAGTGACACTCATACATCTTCCCTCAGTTTAATGAACATGGTATTTGTCCGGCGCGCGGCCGATGGGTGGCGACCGCTTGCGGCCCCCCTTTTCCCGAAAAGTGTGACAGTATCTATGAGGGGAAACCAGGCACGCAAACACAGCCGGCGCGCGGCCGATGGGTGGCACATCATCTGTGGCAATAAGGGCATCCGCAGGAGTGGATTGACGAGACGCCCCTCAAGTAGTACATCGCCTCCCCCTAAGTCGTGATGCAGAATCCGTCCATGAACTACTAGATCGTCTGTGTCTACTTCTGAAGTGCCGCACTTGCTCTACCTCAAATGTTGCAACTATCCACAAGAGCGAACTCAAACTTCAAACTCAAAGCTATCGCTATGTCAAACTCGAACTTCAAACTCAAGCTATGTACAGAATGTGCTGGTGGGTATGCTATTTGTGTTGCTCTCCCTTTCCGTTTCGCGGTGCGTGATGGTTCGCTCCGGTACCTCTTCGAAGTACGGCGACAGCAGCCCGTGCCTCGCCGTTATTGTTTCCTCGGGGTCGTATCGCAGCAACTTTTTCAGCACCGACAGGACGTCTAGCCTCGCGCGGAAGATCAAGTGGTCGATTCCCGTGCCCTCTTTCTCCGGGAAAGCCATGTCCGAATTCAGCTTTAACCTTCGAAGCACCTCCTCGGTGGGAATGCCAAATATACCATGAATCTTCTGCAGCTGGTCGTGGTCCATCTCGTTCTCCCCCAAGAAAAGGTGGAATAGGGCCATCAGCATCACCTGTGTCGAGATTTTTTAATTGTATACAATACAATACAACTAATCTCGCACAGTTTTCCGCGCAGACTGCCGCGCGGCGTCATAGTGTTTCGTCACGATGCTTACTCACACAAGTTTTGACTAAACTAACAGCAACACGGTACTGAGGAGAGAAGTGGCAACAAACTTCCTCAAGCGCTACCTTTAAGCAATAGTATCGGCCTACTTAGCACAAGCACGCCTGAGCATTATTATAAAGAATCTATCCTGCTCTAGCAGAGATTTCTTACAAATTTGAATTTCAGATTTGTAAGAAAATACTAGGAGGAAGATTTGTCTGAAGTTATTAAGAAAACTGGAAGTAGTTTGCGTTTTTAAGAAGTTTGTAAGAAAATTGTAAGGAATTTGTAAGATAGTTGAAAAAAAGAAACTGTAGCTGACGCTTCACTGTGACGCCACTACTTTCTCTCAGTGTTGTTGAAAACGTTAAACAAACAAGCAACCTTTCTAGCTTCCTAGGTTAGCCTAACTCGTCTTCGTCTTGGCCCCCCCCTAACTCGACCCCCCCCCTTTCTGTCTAACACTCCTGTTGTTTTTACGCCAAAACCCCCAAGCCCTAGCACCCGGCCCCCAGCGGCGCAGCGTCCTTCTCCTCGCTTGCGTTCTGCTTCTTCGCTCTCTCCTGCGCTTCGCGCTGTGCTCGCTCAAGCAGCTCCGCGAGGCGCCCGATTGCAGTCTCCCCTTAGCTGGCCGCATATGCCTGAAGGCGACGCGCAAGCTTCCGACAGGCCTGCCCTTGCTCTTCGCGCACGAGCACCAAGCGCGGCCATCATCCTCCCGGAGGCCGAGAGCTGCCACGGGCGGACCCCATTGCACAGCGCGGCACGCCTGGACTTCAGTGCGGCGCGCTCCAATGCCTCACAAGGCAGATCAGCTTGGCCAACCTCCGCGAAAAGCGACCGAACCGCCGGGCCTGTCTTCTTTACGAGTGGACGCAGAAGCCCACCCGCCGGGGAGGTGTCCCCGAAGCAGCCGACGACCCGCGGCCGCACGTACGCGCACCCCGTCGAGGACCACTGCCCCGCCCATGGCCTGCCACGTGGTGCCTGCACCTCAGGCGCACGCTCTGCCTCATGCTCAGCAACCCCGTCCGCCTCGACGCAAGGGCAAGCGCCTCGCCCGGGAGCAACTGGCGAGCGTGTCAACTTTGTGGCATCGAACTCAGCAGCAAAACGACGACCCCACTGGCGGCCCTGAACTGTGAAGCCGCACTTACGTCACTAAGACTAGTGCAAATATTTACAATAAGAACTGAGTGGGCATTTATCTTGTTCCCTTGTGTTCTCTATATCACTCAAACACGACGAAGCTGAGACTACCTCAAACCAAACGCAGCCGGCTGCGAAGAGGTCCATTTTGTAGGAGTAGAAGCCATCTGTGAGAAGATACTCCGGTGCCCGGTACCATCGTGTTGAGATGTACTCCGTATATTGTGGTCTTGAGTAGATACCTACCGCTTCCAAAAGACACAAGAGTCGCTTTCCGTTTTTCTGCTACAGGAATTGTTGAACAGGACGTGGAAATCAGACTTACATGCGCATTCTCAATCTCATCGTGATGGAGCACAACCGCAAATCATAAGTTACTTCTTTTTACCTCTGCAGCTGCCGAGGTCCGCTGGTTTCACAGGGTGTTCTCCTGAAAGAGGAGGTTCTCTGCTTACGTCCCGATGAAAGATGCCATTGCGGTGCATGTGGTCTAAGGCACGCAACAGGTTCCTCATAAAAGTCTTCGCTTTTTCTTCTGGGACGTAGCGGCTCAAAAACGGTTTTGGCATAACAACATCCTCGCTGAGCAGCTCAAAGTACATGTAAAGCTGAAAAACACTCTGTTTTTTTTTTTCGCATCTACCTTCTCCCGCGAATGAGCTCGTACAAATTCATGTCCATCAACTCAAACACGAGCGCTAGTCGCCCCGCTGGCTCGTTCGTAAAGATGGTGGCCGTGACTCTTCTGCCACAAACACGCGCTTCGTGCGGGGGTTAATATACGCCCGCTCTGCTCTCTCGGCTAACTCTTGGCGGATTAAGCCGCCACCAACACGTGTCTCCGCTTCCGGCTCGGCCTCAGCTAAGCGCCCGGATCTCAACCCAAAAATCATGTCCGTCGGCGTCATGTTTTTGTTTTTCAGCTCCGGCAGCACGAATTGGTGGTCGTGTCGCTCTTTCCACTGCGTCACGAAATTCGCCGTCCACGCCGGGTGCGGGTGCTGCCAATTCGCGTTTACGTCCGCGGGGTTCGCCGGCGGAGACAGCGTGTCAATAAGCGCCATCAACATTGCGTTCAACGGGGTGGTGCCATTCGGCGTGCGGTTACGCAACATGGATTGCAGACGGTGTAAGCCACTCGCGCCTTCCTCCGGCTGCAACAGCACGTAGTTGTGGTCGGCGTTCCACAACCAGCCCGGACGCCCGGTTTGGAACGGGTCGTAGCCCGTGAACTTGTTCCAGCGCTGGCTGCAGCAACGAGTCGCTCACGGTGCTGCGGTCAAGGGAGCGCGCCGTCGTCATGGGCTGCAGCCGCAGCTTCATCACAAAGTCGTGCTCCTCGCTCTGCAGAGCAACAGCGGGCTCCTTTCCCGCGCATATGCGCTAAGCCTCGAAAATCTTGTGCCATTGGTGGTACAACAGCTTCGCTATTCGCTTACCAGCCGCGACCGCCTCCGCGGGAGGTTGTGCTTCTGAAGAAGCTGAGTTGACCTTTTCCTTTTCCTCTACTTGGCAACCGGAAGCACTCGTCGCGGAAAATCCACCGGAATTTCCTTCCGACTCGCCAAGTTGAACTTCCGGTAGATTTTCCGCGAGCTCTCTTACTGCGCGGTACAGCCTTTCCCCGATGAAGCCGAGGTTTTGACTCAAGCAGCGCTGCGTGAGAAACCACCTCCACCGCTGCCGCAGTTCTACCCAAATCCACGAGGACAGTTGACAACTGAGTTCTCGTGTAATCACGACCGAACTATTTTTCGAGGAAGCAGGTGGAGCAGGCGCGAAGAGCAGTTCCACGTTCCGTGGGTTGTCTTTGCACAGCTCCACGAGGAAGGACCACAGCTCCCGACCGGAATACTCCACCTCCCTCGCCTTATCGCGTGCGAACCCGCCTTGTCGCGCGACGGAGTGGCAGTGGAATTCCGTGGCGGACGGCGCCCGGCTTGCGATGTCAACGTCGGCGCCAAAAACAAGATCACCAGATAGTCCTCATCCGAGGCAGCTGTGTGCAGGTTGTACAAATAGCTTCCTCCACGCGTCATGAACACGACTTTCGTGGCGGGCGGCGGCCACTTCGAGCGCAACCGCGTTTACCACTCATCCGGTAACGTCCCGAAGCTCAACGGAAGATGGTTTGCGGGTGGAGGCGACGTCGTGTTCTCTTCAACAACAGCAGCTTGCCCTTCTCCTATGCTGACACTGACATCCGTCTTCCCCTTCCCTTTCTGAAAATTAGTATTCGTCTCTTTCACGAAGGACAGATAGTCCTGACTCCGAATATCGTCGATCCAGTTGTCGACACTCGCTGACAGTCATTCGAAAACCAGCTTCCCCCTGCCTTCCGGCGTCCGGACTGCTGCCGCCATGAGTTCCTTCGCGAGTTCTCGCACGTCGCCGACCCTCGCCGGCACCACCAACTGCGAAGTGTGCGAGGGGTGTGAGGTCTTCAACAACGTCGAGATAACGTCTGCATGAGGATCATTTGCAGAAGTTCCACCTAGATTCATGTCCACCCCGAACGTTTTCCCCACGCGCTTAAGCAGCGCGAAGTTTAGTTCGATCTCAAACGCCTCCACCCGTCGCGCCATCGCGTCTGCTCCACTAACAAAACTGCATCTTGTTGCTCCTGCCCACCTTCCTTCGCCAGCCGTAGCAGTCCGCCCGCGTAGCCCGATTTGTACCGCTTGCCAACCAGCAGCGACTTCCAAACGGCCTCCTCTCGGATCACGGATTTTATCAACCCCTGAAACTCCGGCCCCGCAAACAGCACAGGATTCAGGCTGCCCTTCTCGTCGATGGTCTTGAAGAAGGGGATCATGCCCTGCAGCCGGCAAATCGCCTCAGTGTTCACAAAGCAGTGCTTACGACGCACCAACCCCGTCACCATGTCCATTTTCACTCGTTCTTAAAGAGAACACCTTACTAGCAGAGAGTCCGATCCATAGACCGACCTTTCACGGCAATCGCGAAAAAACAATAAAGCCAAGCGGTTTGGAATTGCAATTGGAATTCAGTGCGATACTAAAAATCCACTATATCTTGTTCGTGTTAACTATGCTTCTAGTAAGTGCCACAACGAGCTTCATGTTCATCTCAGCCTGTTGTAGAAAGATATCAGTGATAAAGAAAAAAAAACTAAATGAAATCTGAATTTCGAGCATTTTGTCATTCTTAATGTCAATCTGTACTTATTCAAGTCCTCATCCACCGGAGCGAGAAAGATCATAAGACCAAGGAAAATCTTAATCGACTCAGATGTAAGACCTTCATTATCCGTAGCCCCCGCTGTTGATCTAGCTCCTGTCTGCAGTCTTTCGAAGATCCAGGGAGGGTACTATTTGTTGTCGCCCTAAAAATCGAAGTGGTGAATTGAGAGATGATGTTCCGAGGAATGACTATGCCGACTTCCGGAGGTTCCGTCTTTAGTGTAATAGCCATCTTGATCTTCAACAAGATCATCTACGCCGCCGCGGCCGCCGTCTCTCGATGTTGTGCCACTACCCGTTTGCGTCCCTGGTAGCTCGTCTTGGCGAAAAAAGTTTCCCGCTATAAAATCTTCCTCCTTCATTTGCTGTTGTCTTTTTCCAGACGTTTTCTCCTTGCTACAACGGCTTCTCGTAGTTGTCACATCATCACCACCTTCTTCAAGTACAACAGAATCATTTTCACTAACTATAGCCCGCTCCCCTTCCGCCCCAGACTTTATCTGGTGATGTTGCTTCCCACTCGCGTGGTGATGCTCGCCTTCAGGTGTTACCTTGTGATGGTGCTCCTGGTGCTTCGCACTTGCCTCATCTTCTCCCCCGTGGTCTGCGCCAGAATGTATTTGTTCGAGCTGGTCGTGATGGTGCTTTGCGTGTTCATCATGTTCTCCCTCTCCCTCTGGTGCGGAAGATTTTATTTTGTCTTTCTTTTTATCTTTCTTCTTCTTTTTCTCTTTCTCTTTATCCTCGTCATCAATGTCTGGTATAATCGCTGTTCCCCCCGGTCTCGCAATCGGCATCAAACCGGGAACGTTCCCTGGGCCGAAACTGACATCACCTGCAGAGAGAGGGAAAGGAAAATGCAAACGGATTGCTCGTCAACTCAAGTAGCAACCATATCGAACTAGAAATATTGCAGTCCATATCTAGGCACAATTTTTCACCAACGAGTTAGTAATACTCGAAGAACATCTCGTTCGGATTGATCGTCTTCATGTATTTTTACATGTACTATTCCACTCAGTGTTTACATTTGTTCCATTTTATAACTCTACTAAGCACAGCTACTTAGGTGGAAAAATTTTGTACGCAATGCTTAACACAAATCTCTTTGACATACTCTTCAAGCGTGGAGTCGAGGAACAAAAACTACATCGAGTACTTCTGCTATCATTTTCCAGCGGAGCCCGCAGACGATGAAAATGTAAAAATTTCTGGGTTGTAGTATTCAAACGACGATAAAAACGAATCATAAAAATCTTACCGAATAGCCTCGGGCGCACTTCACCGTCGTTCTCCTCTTCATCTTCTTGAATCGCTAACATCATTTCCTTATTCATCTTCTTTTCTTTCTTTTCCTCCCGTTTTATTTCCTTGTCTTCGATCACGCTTGTCAGGGTTTCCAAAGTAAGCGAGTCTGGGTCCATTTTCTCGAGGCCAGTCTTCTCTTTCTTTTCCTTTTTCTTCTTCTCCCCTGTGCCTGAGATAGGCGACTGCGACCGAGGAGCAGGCACTACGTCCTCGTCCTCCATCTTGCATATGTACGGAAGAAAGGAAAATGGAGAAAACTCAATCTAGACCCAATCGATCCTAACTAAGTAAGCAAAGTATCAAGTGAACAAGAATTACGACATTAATTGTAGATCGCTATGAATTTTCCAAGCGAGAAAAATATGGAACAAGTATCAACACGCCAGATTACGTTTGCATACTCACAATTTACTAGTACAAACGTCGCCAGATGATGGGGTCCCATGCCCATCGTCCAACCAAAAAAACAAATTTTATGGCAAGCTATTCACAGAAGTTCCATGAAAGTTGCTGCAACCTAAAGAGTCTACAAAATCACCCATGCGTATTCTTACCTACTTAAAGATTTAGCGACACTAACGTCATCCTCATTAACAAAGAAAATGTTCTTCGGGTTAATAAGGTCCACACTTGCTCTACTTTCATGTCCTCCATGCACATGTACGTGTAGGTTTACACTCATTAATGTGTCAAGTGTGAGGTAAGTGCGACAATTTTTATGGGCGAGAGACGTGGATACAGGAGCCTCGTCATTTGGGGTTTAGGGTCATTGCGGAAAGCATGCGCTGGAGTGAAATTGGAAGCCATTGGTTGAGTTCGAGAACAAGTACTAGAGGAAAACAGCTTGAACTTCAATCTATCATAGAGATATTAAACCACAGTTAAGAGAGTACTTAGATACATAGTAAGTTGCATCATCTATGAATTCATCCTCGACCTCTCGGCTGATCAATCACGGTCTTCATGTTGATTCAGTGAACAGCGCGTCTCATAAACAGATATGCAGAAGATAAACAGAACGAGATGAATCACTCAACAAGGGGTCTCTTGTTGGACAAACGAGCTCACCCTCAAGAATAGACCGTCAATTAGCTCGGCTCTCACACTCAGCACTACCACATGGTAATCTTAAACTCAATCCACAACTTAGGCCTCTCTACTTGCTGTTCTGCACTCAACCTCAGATATCTCAACATTACAGACCAAAGCTTTCTTTGAATATATCTGCTTCTAGTATGATAAGGACGAACACTGGAGGATTCTTGTCTGTGATTGGCTGACGAGACACAGACAACTGAACCACTCCTTGAAGGCGACTCTCTACTTATTAAATCATAACCGATCATAGTACGGTCGTTTTATCTTCCAGAGTAAGTAAGTAGATACAGAATTAGTGCGGTCTCTGATCGGGAAGGAACACGAATTTGCTTTTTGAGGCGTTTGAAGCACGTCAACAGCGCTTATCCACGCCTGCTGACCGGACAGGATACGAGAGCATGACCTCCGCTCGTCTCCCAGACATATTTCTTCCTATAGTTAGTATCTGAAAAACTTGCGTAGTTACAGCTTCTAGGTATCCGAACAGAGACATGTTTCTCCAAATTTTCGGAAAAGTTTCTGTTTCCCTAGAAGTTACATTTTCACGTGCAACAAGACACACACGACTTGGTACAGTCGCGTGAGCCGCACTCTTCGGGAGCCTCCTAGAGAGAGGCAGTACCTCGTACAGTAGCGAAAATATGTTTGTTCTGATAGAAAATAAAGTGAGACGAATTATGAGGAGAAAAACTCAACTGCATGCACAAAATGATGAGTAACATGGAACTCACCGTCCTGTTAGAAGTGGAAGCGCAACACTCGACAAAAATTGACAGATCTATCAGTATGATATCTTATTAATAATTGCATTTCTGAAATTCAACAACCAGCATGTAGCTGGTGAGAGAGACAGCATTTTTAGGTATCAGGAGTCTGTGCAATAACGCTATATCAAAAGAACCTTTTCTACAATAGCAGCAAACTCATTTCATGATCGGACATGCCGCTGACGGAAATATGGCAATGGATTCTTTTTGCAGGAACAGGAACAGGTACTGGAATATTAAGTATCTTCGGTAATATGTGATCGTCGAGGTGCATTTGTTACAATTTCGATGAGGAGGCTAAAAACTATGCACAAAAACAACGTCTAAGCGACACAGTGTTTCTTCGCGATTGCTGAGAGTCTTCAAGATGAATCGAAGTTGATACTCTATACACTCGCAGTGACCGCAGAAACGAGAACTGAGACTGCCGTCGAGCTCCTTCCACCTCATTAACTACATTTAAAAAAAAATCTTTACACAAAGTCAGTTATTTTGGCTATTCTTGAATGTAGAATTCGGATTTTTACTGCACGAGATGTTCGTTCCAAATTTTTTCGCTGTAAACAGTAGATTGAATTTGACTGGTTGGCGTACTAGATGATTTTGTGTGACCACTAGAAATCATCAGTGGTGTGGCAAAATAGATGTCTCAAAATCTAGCATTTGTCCAGCGCGCGCTGGAGTGCCTTGATCAAATCGTCGGCCTCCTCGATGCCGCAAGAGACCCGAATAAAACCATCGGTAATACCAACCTTACGGCGATCCTCAGGGATCATGTTTGCGTGCGTCATGACCGCACACGCGGTGATAATACTCTCGGTCGCACCTGATCAGTAGTTGGAGCAATGGGGATCGATTGGGTTGTAAAGTTGATGTAATCTTTGGGGGAAGCTATTCGCTTTTCCGGGAAAAAATGATCACTTTTATTTCAACTGAGTGTAAGTAGTTCAACCGCAATCTACAACTAGCAGCGCTAATAAATACATCTAAGTTTAAAAAGTACCGAGATTTTCGCAGAGGCTCCACGGGCGCTCAATTTCGTCCATCAGCTTTACTGGATCCCCGCTTGTCTCGAACCACAGCATAGCTCCATGAATGCCATTGGCGTGATACTTGTCAGCAAGCGCTTTCTGCGGGTGTGTCGTACCAGGGTAGGTGACGGAAGTCACTTTCGGGTGCGTTTCGAGCCTAAACAAGCCGGGCGGAAAAAGAGTAAAGCTTTCTGGAAAAAAACTGCTTCTCGGCGGAATGAATATGAAAGGGAACTACGGAACTACAAAGGAGCGAAACCAGATTTTTCAACACTTTTGTTCTCCTACACCAAATCCAAAAATTCGTAACAAAAAAAACATCTAGAAGACAAGCAAGGTACCATTTTGCGATCTTCGTGGCTGTTTCACTCTGCCTTCTTACCCGCAGGGCCATCGACTTCATCGTCTGCAAGATGCTGAATGCAATCTGTGGCGCCATAATGTTCCCATGCATGTTTTGACACAACTTGATCTGGTCCAACAATTCCGGTGTCTTAGCGATGACCGCTCCACCAGTACCTTCGAGGTCAGTCATGTAAAAAGTAGAAACGAAGTAAAGCGAAGCAGCTTTCGATAAAGAACATTGATCTTGATGTTGTTCAACATTTTAGATGACATGCAGAAGCGTAAACACTCAAAAATCGATAATGAATGTGAGCGAATCCATAGGACATCAGCAAGTATCTATTATAGATGAATCTTATTGACATTCAATACCGATGTTGTGTCCGTCGTAGAATTTGGTGAGCGACTGCATGGTGAGATCGCATCCCCAGTCAAGCGGCTTGAGCATAACCGGTGTGGCGAACGTCGCATCACAGCAGTGAATGGCGCCACCCTCATGGGCAATTTTCGAAACCTCCTCGAGGTCCACGAGACCGAGCACCGGGTTACTCGGTGCCTCGGACCACACCAGTTTGGTGTTCGGCTTCATCGCCTTGCGAACGGCCTCGTTGTCGCGGAAGTCCACGAATGAAAACTCAATTCCGTACTTTTCGAACTGGACACGGCACAAACGGTTAGTACCACCGTAAGAGCAATCGGTAATCACGCAATGATCACCTGGATGCTGCATTGGACGACATGAAGCTTAAGAGAAATACAACAGGAACAAATTATATATAAACCACGAATTTTATAACTTCTAGATAACATGGCAGGACGAGTACAACGAATAGCACAATCACCTCTACGCAGGAGATGTTGATAACAAGATAAGTAATCCCGGAACAAAAACGAAACGGCTGAAGGCCAAAAAACATGTTGCCTGTGAATATTTGTAAAAATTCATACCCTTCTGCAAGAAGGTCGACATAACGATGGTCGTCGCAGCCATGCCTGTTCCAGTCACAACCGCACCAACACCACCTTCAATAGCCGCAACTTTGTCCTCCAAGGTTTTCACGGTCGGGTTGTTCGTGCGGGAGTAGGAGTACCCCTTTGCGAGGTACCTGATGAAGGCAAATCATGTTATGTCATCTGCATTCAAGTTCAACCTGACGAAGGGGTTGTGTTCTATCAAACAATTTCTCTATCTTAACTTGAAGTATCTATGCGTGACACTGGAACTGCGTATTGCCTACTTACGACCTAGTAGCCAAGAAAAAGAAAACTGAAAATCAATACTTTGCGACGCTCTCCTGCACAAACGTGGTGCTCTGGTAAACAGGTGTGATGATGGCGCCAGTTGCGGGTTCAGGTGTGATGGCTGCATGGACGAGGTCTGTGTCCTGATGCATTTTTCCCGGCATCCAATCGCCAGCCTTCCGCGCTGCTCCGGAAACGGCCAGGAATTCGCGCTGCTGCTGCTGCATCGCTGGCGCGCGCAGTGCCTGTTGCACCGCCATGCGCGGCATCACCATCTTCGAAAGCGCCATGCTGCTCTTTTTGGATGTCAGAGGTGCAAAAATACAGCTGAATCAACTACTATTTATTAGTATTACGAATAAGAATCTTGTTACTTATATCTTCTCGTTGTAAACAGACTTCTCCTCGGAAAGAATCCACAGACGAACAAGGATTCCAAAGAAGTCACAAGAGGGAAACCAAAAGAAGTCAAGATTGACATTGAAACTCGTTCACTAGAGCTGGACACTTAACAGAATCAGGACATAAATAGTTAGCTAAAAACGTTCAGGGAACAAACTAACACTAAAATTTTGAAAGTCGTCAAAGGTAAAAAGGACTTGCATGGGAGAGGGGGAAGTCAAGAATAACTCAGCCGGCCACAATAGGCTGCCTGACAAATCATAATCAATGAGTCAGAATACGAACGAAACGGATCTGGACGAAAACGTACACGGTCTTGCAAACTCGTTTGAATCTAAAACCGAACGAGAACTGCATTATCCTCAACTTGTCCTCTCCCGTTCTTGTGCTCGTGACTTCTTAAATGTTCTTTCAACGTCCGCGTCCCCGGGGCGGGATGTGAAAGTGTACCTAAAATTACTGAGAGCGCTATCATTAAGGACTAGCAGTAATTGCATCAACATTTTCTCAACTCCTCGTCTCTCTCTCTCGCCACTCCACGTGTCTCGTGCCTTCCTTAAGGCACTTACCGAATCATGGGTTCAGTTTTCTTTACTGAAGAAAAGCTGTCTGTTTCTTTCAGCGATGTGTTGCGTCAGTCACCACGGCATGATCTTGACTCAACATTGTCATTCATTGAATTTGTGATATTGCGTAAAAAATGGTTCTTCATGCTAGTGCGTTTTCCTGAATGTCTATGTCCCAGTGTTGAGTGACCAGTCGTATTTGTTGAATATGAGTGCAGGGGCCTGCTCTCCACCGCCCGCTGCGGCAGCCAAAATCTTTTCTCGTTTCTCGTCTTCTAAGTAGCTTGCTATGAATGCTATTCGTTCTTCGTCGTCTAGGCCGAAATCGTCTCCATACCACTTGAAAAGCATAGACGTGGCCACGCCAAGGCGAGGCTCCCCCTCCGGACCGAATGGTCCCACGGTCATCTGGGTTTCCCCTCGTAAGAAAGTGCGCGCCGCACTCTCGAGTCCGCGTTCCAGGTTGGCTGCACTATACACTTGAATCGCTGGACAACCTTTTGCGCCGCAAACAAGCGCAAAATGTATTCTCGGGTCCAAAGGCAGCACCCACCAAAAACGCGGATCAGCTGTTGTTGTAGCACAGTGATTGTATCAAAGGAAATTTGCGGCGGATGAGAATGCGCTCAGATAAACCAACCATGCCGGACATGAACCAAACTACAAAATAAATGCTTATGCTAGAAGTCCTTAATAAGCTGGAGTGCTAGTACAAGTATCATCTATGTATTATCTCAAGGAAGTTGTAAGTACCTGTTTCAAATCGCTTTTTGGCGTTTCCACGAAGCAATCCGTGTTCTATGTCGTCAAGGCTCAGCCGCTGCCCATCGATCTCGTAGGCTATGTCATCGAAGAAGGTCACCTTTTTTCCTGCTGCTTGGGCGGCTTGAATCGGGTGTTTCTTCTCGACCAAGCCATGGTGTATCAAACCATGCATCATCAACACGTTGTACAAATTGATCAAGAATGCTTTCCGCTCGTTTTCGTCAAACGGCATTACTGGTCGAGAACAATCGTCCGCGGCGTCATTTTTAGGTGTCTTTTCTTGTTCTCCTTGTCCTCCTTCTTCTGTAATCGCTTCAAGACAACTTGACGTCTGTAATTCCTCGCCGCTTTCGGGCGACGATAGTTCTGAGGTTATGTCCAGGAACTCTGCCCACTCTGGGGATGACTGGAGCCCACTGTAATCGACCTCACGGCCGTCAGCAATCCATGCAGCCTGGATCTTCAGGGATGCGAGTCGCAGACGCTCCGCTAGTGGCTTTTTCGGTGCCGTACTAGACGAAGACGACCGCTTCGCCCCATTCAGGACCGACCTATCATCGTCGCATGACACGCATAAAACGTGCGACGCACATGCAATTTTCATCTCCTGCCCGCCGAAACCGCCGATCGTGCTCGGCATGTTTCTCGTACTCCTTGGGCAGATCCGTGTTGAAATCAAAAGTCGCTGTTACCAAGGAAACGACAACTTTTTACGCAATGATTCCACTTCGTCCGCTACGCTTTTTTGTTGCAAGCAGAAAGAATGCAGAGTTATTCTATCAACCATGATTGTTGATTTCCTCTCCTTTTTGTGTGCAAGTCTATTTTGTGTGGATTAATCAATGAGAATGATTCTCTTTTCGAAACTGCTACGCCGCATTTCTACGGTCCAAAGGAGAAAAGACAAAAGAAGCAGAAAGAGAGTCGCAGACGCTGCGGTAAGCACGAGCTGAGACCGATTCCGCTTGTTCTCTTTTCTTTCACATTGGTATATCTTTCACGCCGTGTCGTGCGAAATTTTATTGATGTTGTTCATCTCGAAGCTCTTGATATTGCTCTTACATGGAATGCGTGTGTTAAGAAATAGAACGTAGTTGGGACATGCCTTTATTACTTATGCGGTTTATGTTCAACATGATCTTCGTGAAACCTCCGAAAAGGCCATCATGTCGTGCGTAATACTACCACTTCATCTTCTAGCAGTTGCTGCAAACATGTGAATTATAATGCATCGTTAACTTCTATGACAACGATTAATTTGAGAAACTTCAATACGAGTCCTCGCTACAATTCTACCCTCTCCGCCTCGGTCCGCCAGATGTTGAACCCTAAGTCTCGCTTTGGGTTTGCCAGTGGCTGCTTGCCGTTGCCAGACTTCGCAAATTCGCGGTTGCTCTTCTTATGCGTTTTGCCCAAGAAGCTCCTCTCCAACTGGATGGCGCCAGTGAATCGGCTTTCCTGCGTTCCGATGAAGAAATCGGCGCGTGCCGCGACCCACATCTCCACAATGCTTTGTCTTCCTGGCTGTGGGTCGAATTGCGGCGCAAAAACGAGTTCTGGCATGAGCTTCAGGGCAGCAGCCTTCTCGTCCTCAGAGGCGTCTGTGGCAATGAAAATCTTCTTCAGTCCGGTCTCCTTCTGCAGTTTGCGAAGCTGCTTGATGATACTCTCCCATCCCTCAGGAGTCGTTCTTGTTCTCACTCGCAAAAAATCAGAGCGACGGCAGTGAGCCGCGATAAACTTCGTGCCTGAAGAAAATGCTCAAGTAGTTTTCAACGGGTTTGGGCTGGCTTCACTGGCAAAAGACGAGGAATAATACGCAGGCCTAAAACAACGAACAACGCAAGAAGTTCGTTTTTTAGGCATGGGTATGACATCATCAAAAGTATCATTTGCGTCATGAAGAAAGTCCTCCATTTGCAAACGTAGCTGCGGAAAATATTGAGCTTCTAGATGAGCACCGAAGTAAGTAAAAATACCTCCGAATTGTTCTGTCATGAACTTTTCGCCCATTCTGCGCAGGTCCTTTTTGAAGACGACAACTTCACGCAGACCAAGGCCATCCATCGTGCTAACATCGGGTATCGCCAGATAGTCGTAATTTTTGAGCAAAACAGTTGAGACGTCTTTGTTTTGGTCGTCTAACAGGTCCACGACCGAATTTTCGAAAGGTGTTCGGAAGAGCGCACATCGCACGTCTTGCGAGATGACGCCACCAGCGCAGTATCCGGAATATTAGAAACAAACAGAAAATACGACTAAACCCAAGCAAGAAAATCAGGTGGAATTATGCGAAAAATTAGGGAGAATATGTAACAGTGTTCATTTTTCAGAGTTGCGAAGTGAGTTGTTTTGTGTTTGAGACATCTCGATCATCGGGGACGCGCTCCCAGGTGTCGTGTCTGTTTTCAATTTTCTCCCTAATCTTTCGCAAAATTCCCCCTGATTTCAGAGGCCAGATTAATCATGTTTGCTTGTTCATAAGAATACACTGTTTCAAATGTTAATTTCTTGGAAACATCGCTCCTTTTTGGCCTTGAAAGTGACCCGCTGTTTTCGCAGGTCGAAAGATCGTCAGCCCAACCGAGAAAATTATCTCCCGGCTTCCCAGGACTTGGTATTAGAAAAGGCGAAATAGCGCTGCATGTTTGTTGAGTTTATGTGCATCTTGTACCACCTTGTTCTTACATATTCGTAAACTTCGAGTATCTATTGATGATAATCAGCTCCACGCATTGCCGTTGTTCATCTTCATCTATTTTCTATTTCTAGTTCTACTCAGGAGGTACAGATAAATAAAGACTTCTATCTCTCTATAAAGACCATTGCTCAGTACATCAAGTTTGCCTATCCGTAAAATGAGTCCTTCCTTCTGCGCAACGCTGTAGTGGATCACTCTGTCTACTTCGTTGCTTCCGAGTTCGTTGAAGTCGGCTACAGCTATCGGTAAGGACTTCAACAAGTCCATGTCAAAAAATTCTCCCCATCCTCGGATGGGAGCTTGGTCGCCCGTGTTGTTCCAGTGCGCCAGGTTGCACCACGGTGGAAGCACTAGACCCCACAATATGCAATCCGGGTCCTGTCCAACGATTCCAGCTTCCCCGCAGCGATCCTCAATTCGCAGGTTTAGTACTGAAACAGCGTGAGCCACGCGCGGAAAAACCTCGCGTTGGAGATTGAATCCCTCACCGAATTTTGCGTCGTACAATAACCAGCGACGCGGCGAGCCGTCTGGCGACCCAACAAAAGTACCCATCGTGTCGATTCCTGGTCGGCTCTTCGGGTTCACGGGCTTCTCCGGATGTGTGAAATTTACCATGGCTTCTGCTTGTTCTTGCGTTAGTCGTGCGGCTTCCGCCTCATCGTCCGCATCTGAAATTTTCATCGCGGTCTTCATCTTCTCCTTTTTGGTCTTCTCCTTGCCTTCTGTTTTCCCAGCCTTTTCTGCCTGCTCCTGCTTTGAGCCAGACGAAGGTGACCCTGTTGATGTTGATGCGGACTTCGTTGTAGTTACAACGTTGCTGCAAGCAGAGACGCAACTTGCAAATGGCCGTGTCATTTCCTTATCGTAGCACGTACAGGTAGGTCCGTGAGGGCCATCTTTGCACATAGCGCCGCCAAGGACTGTCGTGTGCGGTATTTCCATCACGCCCTTGCACCAAGTGTTGCACTTTGGAATATCCGCATCGCGCTGGATTTTGTTGCAGCAACATTGGTTTCTTCAAAACATTTTCATCAAAAGAGAATGAAACACCTAGCCGTAGTCCTAGTGAGTGTGGAGTCGACGAACAATCTTGTTGATCAAGAAAAGAACCGTGTAGTCATTTTCTAAATCGGATTTGGTATACTCTAGTAGTACAAACACGCCTCTTTATGTATAATATATACCGGACATGGATGCAGCACTCCCGACTTGTTGTTCTCGCCATTCGACTTTTTTTTTTGTCCTCCTTTCCCCTTGCCTTTCTGACCGCCCATTGCTGCTCTCATCACTCGCTGCTCTTCGTCCTCATCATCTTCCTCGTCTACCTTTTTTCCCTTTTTTGCTGTTGGTGCATCGACGTCGTCAGCATCCATATCATCCAACTCATCTTCTTCGTCGTCTTCCGAAGCTCCTGCAGCGGATGCACCGGACATTTGCATTTCTACGAAAGAAACGAAGTCCTCGAATTTGCGACCGTCTTCCATTTTCTTCGGATTTTTCTTGCTCGTCTTGCTGTAGAAGTAAATCGTTGGATACCCACTGATGCTCGGAATCACTTTACGCGCATCCTTGTTGGTCGCATCTAATTTCGCAATCACGACGTCGGACCGGTCCGAGAAGCTGTTGAATTGTAGTTGGAAGTAGCAGGAGTCTAGCTGGTCGTGGCTTTCCAACTTCCTCCTCAAAACCACTTGCAAGAAGAAGCGATACGAATAAGAAAAACAAGATAAGGATATTTATATATATAAAGAATAAGAAATTACAAGAAAACATAAAATAATTTGCCTGATTACTGTTGCGCCACCGATCGATAGGTCGGAGCAAGATTTTTGCAATGCCCACACCAGGGTGCGTAGAACTCGACAAGCACATGCTTCGTTTCGTCCATGGTAACGGAGCGGAAATTTTCAACCGTCAATGTGACCAGCGCTTCTTTTTCAGCCTCAAGCTTGTTTGCTCGCCAGTCCCTGATGAATTTCAGCAGATCCTTGGGTGATTTCGGAGGAAAGGAGGCCAACCGGAAGACCTTGTCCGTGTCTTCTCCCTCGCCAAACTCCCAAAGGAGCATGGCAGGAGGATCAACCTTCTGTCCGAAAAAGTGCGACACGAAATCGTCGGCCCACGTGCCAGGACGACCCGAAAGCCACTTTACTTCCCGTTTCCCCCCGCTACTTGCTGCCTTATTGAGAGTGCTACCAGCATTATCTTGGCGCTGTTCTTCAACATCGATCTCACTCTGCGCTACCGCTGCCTCATGAGCCAGTCTTCTATGCGCATCGTCAGAAGAGTACATGACAGCAAGCGCGTGTCCCGGTTCCGTATTCTGTAAAAAGAGCTCCTGGTTCTCAGCGGAAGCGGTAATTAGTTTGCCAGCGCGATTGGCATTGATAAAGGCGATCAATGGCGATTCACCCTTGTCCTGCGCCTGCTGAGCGGCCACGTCAGCCTCCTTATCGTAAAACACAATGCGATCCTCAAATTCAATATCTGGGAAGGTGAATGTAGTTTCACATAACAACCATTCTCGCACTTCCTGGTTAGTAGACAAATGAATACAAGATGAAGATGATCTGCCTGGCACTAACGAGGATCAAATCAAGTACGCAAGTAGAGTCAAAAAAGCTCCGTAATTTCTCCTCACCATTCCGGAATAGGTATGCCCCTTCCCGCCAGTCATTCAGCTGCCTGAGAAGCGCATCGGACTGTGCGTAGCTCTTGTTTTTCTTCAGTTTTTTGACCAGGTCCTTCAACAACTTCGAACCTGTTTCTGCGTAGACGACCGGAAATCCATCAATCGCTTGTGGATTCAGTGAAAATCCAACGCCGGACAAACACGACGGCTTTTTCCGAGATGCTAGCGACTTCTCTGCACCTGCTTCCGCGCCTACCTTCAGCAGAGCCAGCGGCTTGCTTGTCAAGTACTCGTAGAGCGACGAGGACTTCGGAGACGATGGGTCGCCGAAATCTTCCGCGACCTTAAAAAAGGGTAAGTCAGTCACCTTTTGCATCAGCCACCTCTTCATAGCATCTTTCTCGCGGCGACCGTTGTACTTCACACTGTATTTCGCGTTCCCATGGAACAGCAGCAGCGTCGGGAATCCACGAACTCCAACACATGAAAAGTGATGTGCGTCTAAAAGGTCAAGAACGATGCCTGGTCAAATGGCAACTCGTGAGTTCCCACGTAAGATGTTCTCATCCTTAATATTACAGGCATGTCCGTGCACGTCCAAGTGCAGAGCATTTAATCATATGAAACTCGTATTTGGACAGAAAACCGTAATTAGTATTGGTATTTTTTAAGTACACACAATCAATGTGCAGAGGGATCATTTCCGAAATCGGAAGAAGTTCCAGAAGGATCCAGCACCATTCATTGTTGCTCAGCATAAAAATCTTTGTGCCGCTTTTTTCTCAACCGTCGCGTCAACTTTCGCCATGCGGATACTGCTCGCTGGGATTTCGTCGTCCTCAGCGAGCTCATCCCATATCGGCGCAAGCTTCTTGCAATGTCCGCACCATGGCGCGTAAAATTTGATGAAGGTCAGCGGAACTTCCTGCAATGAGGTGCTCTCCTTCTCCAGAAGATTTGCATCGGTTAGCTCGAATACGGACGCCGACGCGATAGTACCAGTGGATACTAGTACGAGCAACGTTGCCGCCAAAATTTTCCGCGGCATGCTCGGGAGCCGACCTCCAGTACTGAAGAACATCGTCGTTTTCGAGAGGCGTCGACCCTGTATTGTTAGCAGCACAACGGACGTACCAAGATTCAGCACACAAAAGCAAATGAAACACTCATCATTCTAATACAACCTTGCGTGTGCTATATTCTCAACAAGGTAAGTAGTTCCCGCTCAACATAGATATTACCACTCTACTCAAACTCTCGAGGTTTGGAAGCGACATCATGAAATATTGACACAACTCAACCTGCATTGTTCTCGGCAGTGAAGGAGTCTCACCGACTTGGTGAAGTGACACCCCCTCTGACAGAAAATGAAGAGCCTATTCTACAGTACGCGCAGAACACGTAGCTACAGAGCCATCATCACATTCGAAGCTGATCCTACTTGTAATTAGTTTGTGTCACATCGTCGAGCTAGTGGTCAATCTAAAACTAAATTGAATGGGATCGAAAGAGCATTCGTATTTATTCAACAGAAGCATGATGCTAGTGTTAGTTCATATTCATCGAGTCCGATTGCGCAGTTGAATGATGCTTACAGTACCTCTATCGAAATCGATGTTCAGAAATCTATGACAACAAAACTCTCTCGGGGCTTATATCTAATCAGAGATCAACCTGGTAAGCGTAAGAAGCGCCATGACATTTGGAATGGCTGGATGATGGAAATCATCATGGATCGATCTGGGATGAATATCTTCTAGCTGTGATTGTGGATTAGAGAGTCGCTCGAATAAATCCTGCCGGGGTACAAAAATGTCGTTATGATGCTACTACTTCTTCGCCTTCAGATAGCCATTGCCCCTGCCGTAGATGATCCAACGAGTGCCGGAGTATTTTGAAAGCCTACAAGGCAGTTCTTTTTACGTTGCAATCCTGCTCCGCATATTTCGAAAGCCCATTATTCCGATCGATGTAGCTTTCAGGCCCCGTGACAACGCCCTCAACACGAACCGGGATATACGTTAGCGGCGTCTCAGTCGGATCGATCTTGTACCTAAACGTTGTATGCGTTATAATTCAAGCCCTTGCTTTTAACGAGCACCCGACTAGACAATGATCGACAGATGACATCAACATATGTAATTTTTACAACAAATTGACCAATCTTGAGTTCTACTGGCGTGCATGCTAGAGAGTGTACTTTGAGATTGGAAACAAAAACAATCATGTACTTTTTTTTGTATTAGGATCAGCAAAACCTGGAAAATTATTAAACAATACGGCATGTCTTTCCAATCCATTTCACCCTTGTAGCCAGCTTCGCTCAAGTGCGTTCTCATAACACCACGATTGGCCTCATCAAAGTCTTCAGGTTGCATTGGCTGCCCAAAAAAGTATGTACCTGCAAAACGCGAATTTTTTCTTGACAGAAAGAGCAAGTAGATTTATCACGCAGATCGATGCAATAGGTAAAAGCATCAGGTAGAAGTCAGCATAGCTGTAACATGTGGTTCTATACCTGCATTCCCTTTATATGTATTTTTCTCCCTTCTCGTTGAAGCATCTTCGTGAACGCTTTCCCTCTGCTCCTTCCAGCCCTCGCCGCGACTCATGAGCGCATAGGTCGAATGTAACTTGTCGTGATACCGTTTGGTCTGCGTCTTGTTCGCGTAGCAGGGCAGCGTAACTTTTTTTCCCTTCTTCTTTCGGTCTAAATTTTCCTTCCATTGTACAATGTACTCCTTCTTCTGCCTCTCCCTGCGATCTAGTTCGCTCTCCGCCGCAGACGCTGGCAGCGGGTAACCTTCGCCATCGAAAAGCGAGTCTGGCCGTCTACCCCACCGTTGCATCGGCTTCACGTTGACATTGAAAGGCCTAGGGTCCCGCGTCCGCAGCCGTGAGGCCACCATCACGAACGGGCGGTTCCCGTCTACCGTAGCCGGCTTGTCGCGCGGATCTAGAGACATGCCTTGGTAGTTTGACTGCAACGGATCGATCAGCTTATCCAATTCATTCACGCGCTTCTGCAAGTGGGATATATCTTCAGCAGGCTCCTGCGCATCCGCACCTACTTGTCCTCCTCCTGGCGTCAACATGGAGGATGCTGATGCGGTTTTGCGTTTCGGCGCCGTCGCCGCTCCTCCTTCACCCGCAAGAATTGCAGCACTGCTCGACGGAACCGCACTCAAAACTGTCACCGACTTCCTCCCTCTACTCTTCGCCATCGTGCTTTCTCCTCGTGCTGCTCCAGGTCCAGCTGCAGTTGAGGCCGACGAGCGCCTTGCCCACACCGGAAGCTTGAAGGCCTCCCGTGGATCTGCGGGTTTGGCAAGATCATCGCCGCCCATACGACGGCCCCCGCTGTGGTACGCTGGTGGATGCTGCATCTTCTGTGGCGGCTTTCTTCGGTTCTCGTCCACGCCCTTTTGGTACTCACCCTGTGACGTGAATCGGTGCTGCTCCTTCAATTTCCGGGTTTTATTCAGTCGCTTCTCATACCGCCGCTGATCAGAGCCAACGCTCGAAGGCGGCGCAGAATCCAGGTTGGGCACTTCACGCCAGGGACGTCGACTAACGGGCAGCCCGATTGTGCCGGCGCTTCGTAGATGCGTTTCCTGATACATCGAACGCGCCAGCGAGGGAAACTCTGCACGGTCCTCATCATTCCCATAGCAGGGAATCACCGAAGGAATCGGCTTGTACATTCTTGAATAGTACTACGTAGACTACTGTATTTTCACTTCCAGCCTGTCAACACTAATGGATGCAAATACTAATACGTGATCATATCAGGGATACGTAATCATATGTCATGGTAAACTCTGTGTGCGCATCAGCGAAGAACACGTGAGGGCGTGGAAGGAGGGAGAAGGACGTTCTACCGATAGATAAATAATCAGTTTGACCGAATCTAAAAAGAGCAAAAGTGCTACCTAGAAATCCTGACAGCCGAGATGAGCGTGAAAAGAGCTTCCGCACAAGCTGCGCTCCACAACGAGTACAGACCCACTATCAGGACAGATTCTTCGTACAGACCCACTTCGCAAGTACGAGTCGGTCGCAAGTAGGTACACGCAGCTTTTTAGTTTAATACTTTTGGGACAGTGGTCCTGCACAATGATGGGGAGCATGCAAGGAGAGAAGGTTTTTTCGGCATTCGATCAAAAAATCGATCCATGATGGCATCATGGAAAGTTTACATCGATACTACTGGCATATTTCATCAAGGTAGCATACATCGCATGAACATCAATAGTGAATTACGAATTGGAACAAGTTGAGCATCATGCTGAGCAAGAACTAATTTCCTATCATGATATTTTGAAGTCATGCAAGGAGTATTCAATTTAATAATTGTAATAATTGTCTGCGCTATGAATCAATGGCGTAAAACGAAGTACTTATTTACAACTTATGATTGAATTGTGTTCTGTCACGTCTTGTACTTAGTTCATTGATTATGTGCATGTTGGGGAGAGGGGATAGGACGGAACGGAACGGGTACGGGAAGCAGACCGACGTGTAATATCGAGTATAATATATTATGTTCGTAATAAAATCCTTCACAGCTCGTCGCTTCCTCTCTTCGCCTTCTTCTTTTCCATCGGAGGCACTATTTTTTGGACATACTCGATGACATCGTCCGCATCCGCTTTGAGGGCGTCAAAGGTCTTCACTTCCACCTGGTATGATCGTGATTTCATGAAAGAACGTTTTCTACGTAGACGTACCTACGAAAATGCTTCTCCTACGGCAGGAAAATCACGCGGACAACGACAAGAGTTCGAATTACTTGACTGCAGATGAAAAGGTACTGAAGAAAGAGTCCTTGTAACTACACGTTTCTGAAGAACGAGAGTCTTTATTAATTCTTTGACAAGATTTTCAATACACATTTTCTAAATACCTTGTTCCATTTCTTCTTCTCTGCGTCCCACTCCACGACCAAAATCTTTCCTAGCCGCGTCTTCGGATTTTTTTAGAGAGGACGCCACCGTCATAGCAATTCATCCCTGTCCCTGTGCTAGTGCTTATATATTGGATCACGAAAATTACTTTCAATCTATTCGGCAGCTTGCCAAAGATTTCCCTGACGATTGCTTATTGGACCCTATCGCTTGACACAGTTGTTCCAGGTGTTCCTACTTGTAGAAGGGTTTGTCTAGGAATAATCAAAAGGCGTTCAAGGTGTAGAAGGGTTTGTCCAAAAAACTTCACATACTTACAGTCACACTCGCGAGTCACGACAGAGATGTTAAATGATAAGGCTAATGTTTGTTGTTGCACCAGTATAGAAATATTAGAAGGAGCCTTAATTTTCCGGGTCTGAGAACTCGAAATCCTTCACTTCCATCGCTTCCATGAGCGGTAGAGCCGTCGCCGTGCTCATAGAGATCCAGAACATGGAGTCTGCCTTTTTGTGGTCTCGTACATCCCATGCCGCTTCTCGGAAGGCGCGCACGATGCTATTACTTTCGTCCAAGTTTGGAAACAAACTCACATTAGAAAACGAAACAAGGAAATGGTTAAGGGCCTTGAATCACGACAGTTGATGATCTATAAGACAAGTACGCTTTCGGTTTCATCACTTCCTTGTACTTCTATCGTGTCGAGGCGACTACGCTGCAAGCAACTATGTCACAAGATTGAGATTCCAGGACGAGGAGGATTGGTGAAGAGAATGAAAAAGAACTACAAGATTCTTAACTACGATTCTCCTTTGCGCTGTGCTCTTTTTCGGTTTCTTTCGGAAAGTCTTCTCGACATCCGCTTTGCTTTCCAACATCTTTGCGAAGTGAACACCCTTGCCTAGGTACTTATTTAACAAGAACCGATGGCCGGGCGGGCTTCCCTGGTACATCGATACGACGGCCTTAAAATCCTCGGTCGCTACCTGAGTTGGTGGAGTTGGAGATAGGCGGTAGAAAGTGCAAACTGCACATATTTGATTCACACAAAGATGCGCATCTTCGTGTAGTATATTTTGGGTAAAGACAAAATGAGACCGACTTGTCGTGCTGGTGGTTAATGAAGAAGTAGGTATATTGTAAGTAATCCGTTTACCACTAGTTTTTCACTATTCAATCGTGGTTGCGTGCATTGAATACGAGAAAAACCAAAGATAGCAGAGATAAAAGTACCACCACAGGTTCGCCATTTCTGAAGAGAATATTTGTCGGAATCTGGTTTGGCTCGAGAAGTGACTTCGCGAATTCCTGGTCTATATTGACATCTACGCGTCCAAAGGCAACATTTGTGTGCTTCCACTCCTTATAAAAAGCACTATATTTGTCGAAGATATCGGCATTCATCTTATTCGCATGGACCCCAGTGTAGAAAAGCAGATAGACGTACTCGTGCTGCTGCAAATACTTCTGAGGTTCAACACCTGGGAAATGGTCAATCGATAAACAAACTAGCTACTTTGGGCCACGGATAATACTTTTTCTAACAGGTCAAGCAAAATATATTCGAGGTCAGTCAGACTAAGGCTAGTGAATGCAGCTTTCTTCCAATAGGTTCTACAGACAGCCCAAAAAATGGCAACAACACACGTTACATGCTTGCAGTACTTCTGCAAGAAATGAATTGTAAATGTTAGTTGTAAAACAATACAGCAATCGCAAGTGTGTGACGTTAGCTGCATAATTTCGTCTGGATTCGCCTCGCAAACTTTCCCTCGTGCATTCCCGACAAAATATGTCAGGAAAGCGACCAGTTGTGAAATCCGTTTCATCTTCACGAATGCCTCGATGAAGGAATTCGTGATAAAGGCACAACGCTGAATTCCTTAGAACCACACGGCCATTCTTTTATACTGTCTTAGACTGGCTTACGCTTGGTCAAATCAAAAAAAAGTTTCACGAATCTGCCCCAATGGCAAAGGGGTATCTTCCCTGCTTCAAATTCAACTTGCTGTTGCTGCTGAATCATCCGACAGCTACTAGAAGGCAATGAATTATGCGGTGTACTAAGTTCCACTAGAAAGTAACCTTTCTTTCATTTTTTGGGCAGATGTCATGATGACGGTCGAGACTCATGGTTACTCCCTCAGTGTAGTAACACATTGAAAAAACGCCTCATCCTTCTCGCGCCCTCCTACACTTCTTACTCTCCATGGTTATTATTATTATTATTATTATCATTATTATTAGGAGAAGGATAGACGGTTACCCACAGACCTACAGACGACCAAAAGGCAGAATCTGAAGCACAGAGACGCGTTAGCCGCTAGGCAAATGCAAGAGAGTCCTAACAAGAGGCGCCGCGGTCCGGGTGCGTTTGCCGGTGCCGTCATGGTAAAAAGAGGCCGGAGGCCTCCAACCAACACCGAAGAAGGGTAAGCAGGTGCAGCGGTAGAAACAGCGAGAGAAACAGCACCAGGGGCATCTAGTCGAAAGCCGGCGCGCCGCGCCAAAGCAGCCCCAAGGCACCAGACCCCCCCGCGCCGGGCTGCGTCGTAGTTCGGAGCGTAAGCGCCCCGACAGCAGCAGGCCTGCACAAAGTGCGCGAGGAGGGAGCGGCGGCACTCCTGCAGGCGCGGCGCCACCGCTCGCGCGTATAGTTTCCGAAAAGCCAGCGCATCGCTGACCACAGCCCGCAGCCCCGTATAACCGTAAACCCACCAAGTAGCGCAAACCAAAACCAAATAAAATCGAAGACGCAGTGAAATCTGGCGCCAGTCCGTCACTCGCCGCACCGAGAGAGGCCGAGGAGAAGAGACGAGAGTGGTCAACTCAAGAACGGCGCTCAGCTAGGGAGCACTTGCACTCGCCCATGCATCACATCACTCGCACAGCGGAGGGGCAGAGCATCTCGACAGAAAGGGCAGACGCCCATCTTCCAGACGCGGAGGCGCTCACGCAGCAGAGGCAGCACGTCAAAAAGGCCCCACTCCTGTCCGGCAGTGGTGTGGTGGTGGAGACCGGTGGAGACCCGCCGCGCCAGGGAGAGAGAAGCCGAGGGAGCCCCGAAACCACCACGGGCCAGGATGCGCGAAGCCTCGCGCTGAAGTCTCTAGCCCACAATCCGAAAGCCCAGACATGGGCACCGCACGCCAGGAAGGGGCAGCCACGACGCGTCGCAGTTCGCTAACATGAGCGCGCTCCCTGCGACGGAGTGCAGCGCCAGCCTTCCTCTATCCACGTCGTCACGTCGTAAGCGTAGAACCACGAGCCAAGCCCCGGCCCGCCCACGGGTACCGGAGTGCGCAGGTCATCTTTCGACGTTTCGCGCGGTAATATTGTCCCAATGTGACCCCGATGACCAGCCGGGTTCTTACTCTGACTCTCCATGCCGTCCCTCTTTCGCTGTCAACACTCATATTTCAACTCGAACAACTTTACCAACATTCGCAACTCCTTCTCAATTTCAACATGTTGCTGGAGAAGTTGTATACTACCACGCAACAGGTATGACTTCGAAAAATGTCAATTTCTTCTCATATTTCGTGCATAGCGACACTGCACTACATTTGTCTTCGGCAATGAACTGATAACATAATGGATCATTATCAAATCGGGGGAATAAAATTCGGGGGTGGCTGCAAGTGGCGGTTCACGGTATGTGCATGAGGGATTTCGTCGTCAGCTTGCTATCCGGAAGAACAAGAAGATGATAATTCTAGCCATTACCAAGTCGGTTAGAAGGACAGTTATAGTATGAAATGCGTTGTTCTACTTGCAGCACCACTTATTCAATTTCAATAACTATGACATCAGGATTATTTCGAGTGGATTCATTATGGCGCGGAAAGTTTAGTTAATTTCGACGTTAACACAAAGTAGGACTAGGAGTATCGTTGAAAAATGAAAGTGCATCAAGATGGTCAATCGCCAAACGCGATTTTTGGTATGCGTATGATAAGCCAAGAATCAGTCTCTACAACATCATACATGCTCACATGGCATGATGAACAACATACGATCATTGGTTTTGATATATATATATAATCAGTACATTTTCTAGTATAGATACATACATCTTCAATATGCTCTCTACGCTGGCGAATAGAAGAACATATGCGTCCGATACATCAGCGCCAAAACTTTGGGTTTCATTTTGTCTCCTTCGATAAGATGAGTAAGTCAGAGTCGCGCATCAAAGTGATAAGGATCCTGCTCGAGGTCTGTGGATGATCATCTATGATACGATGAATGCGAAACTCGGTCGAAAAATGAACGGAAAGATCATTGATACATGTTTTGTTGTTGATACGATGCTAATGGTTGTGTTCGTTGAAACTTGAGAAACGGTAGGAGAGCTCTGTACTAAAAACCGCCTGTGTCATTTCTGTGCAAGGGAAGCGGATTTCTCCTAGCGTGATACCTGCATCTGACTCCCAGATTCCTGCAAGTTTCATTGACGTCGATCAGCACGGTCCTCTCCCGTCACAAGGCACTTACCTCCACCGCAGTCACTCTCATCTATTAAGAGGCGTTTTGGGTCGTTTGGTCATCACTGCCGGGTTCACCGACCGGCTCATGTTGACGATGCGCGAGGCCCCTGAATGGGCGGAGAAAAGGGTTCGTCCGAGCGTCGTATTCTCCCGAATATCAGTCTTATTCGCGGCTCTCCGAGTCCGGAAAAGCTCCACCGCTAGGTTTCCTTCTTGCGTCATATCCAAATACAGATTTCCGCCAAAAGTAGCCATCTGCGGCGGCTTGATCGTCAGTTGCCCAGCTCCAGATGATGATGACGATCGGATATCCAGCAAGGCACCGGACGAAGCAGATCGAAAAGGCCTTTTGAACCCGTCTACCTGAATCATCATATAATTCTTGTTCGTAGTAGATAAGAAGTGCCTACCGTGCTGTCATTATAGACTAGACTATCGAAGCAAATTGCTAGACATCGTCGGAAACAAGAGTAATTGTACGGGCATAAGGAGTGCCTTGCCAACAGGATTAAGCATGTTCCTGTGAAGACAAAATGTCGATAGACGAAAAAGCTAATATACATAGATGTACAACTTAGGAGAGGGAATATAAAAATACTGATTATGTGAATAGTATTGGAAATACCTTCATTAATGTTTCGAATAACTTAGCGTTCGAAATTGTTCCTGTGGCAGTCCGACCCAACTGGGTGACCATCCTCTGCCGCCGTTTCCATATATGGTCTGGCTCGCGCATACACTGTGGCCAGTCCACGGAGACGTAAGCCGAAATATGTACTTCGTCTATTCTCCGCCGCTGTTTAAACTTCTTCTTATTCTCGGAGGGTGCTGGTGACCTACTGCGGCGATCTTGACCACCTGTTTTTCCTGCATCACTCACGCTATCAGAGTGAAAACGTGCACTCTTGCGCGCACTCGCCTGCACCAGAGCTTCTACCTCTGCCTCATCAGGGTTGCTGGAAGACGGCCGCGGCGAAGGCTCCGGCGGGCCCTCTAAGTCCTGGTAGAAGCACAATGATCAAATCTATCAAGAATTAGCTGCTAACATGTAAGCTGCAACTTCTAGATCAACATCAATCAATGATGGAACATTCAGTGTTGTAGCAGGACTATGGACTTACTACAACCGCGATCTTATCATGAACAAATGGTTAGTAAAAAGTCTCATCTCATGTTACTGCTGCTTGCAATTCGTCGTCCTGAACGATAAGATGCCGATGTGCGTACGGGATGCGCAACATTGCCGCCGATAGCGGCATGTCTTCGTGTGCGAGCAATGCAGACATCTTCTCCTTCCGTATGTAACTCGGTAAGACTGGATCCCGCCCCGTTTGCATCGGTGTGTCTCCGGTGAGATCAATTGCCTTGAGGTCTATCTCACGGATGAACCCTAGCGGGGAACGCGATCTCGACTGAAACGCACTGCCATGACCGCCAGGACTGCTTCCGCCGCGGCCACTGTGCATTGGAGATCCTCCACCGCTAGGTCGCCCGCTCGGAGCAGGGGAGAAGATGCCACCTCGCGAACGGCCCACTGCGCTCATTGGCGACCGCGGCCGCGGTCGACTGGACGGCATGGGCGAACGGCCAGGACCTGATAGTACTCCAGTGCATATCATCTGCTTGCTACCTGCGCTCGTTGTATTCTGATCAGGAACAGGTGGATCGTCATTCTTCATGTTGATTGCACTCGCTCCACTTTGCAAAATCCTACTCGAGCTACCCCCTCCTGCACCCGGCTGCTCGCTCGCACCTGATATTCTGCCGATTCCTGCTGTCGGATCTGCCCGGTCCGCCTGCGCGGCGGCCTGTCGAAGATTCAAACGCAGATTCGGATTTCGCGGACTTGACGGGCTCTCATACTGCGATGCAACGCGACGTGGCGACAGTTTGCCGCGCGGTGTGAATCCATCGAGCGGGTGGCTCTTGCGGCCACGAAGGTGTGGAGACCGCGCTCGTCGTGAGACCGGTGAGGCACCACCACGGGTGGATGAACTTCCTGTGCGTGTGGTTGAAAAGCATTCACGCTTAAATTTTGTCGTCCACAAGATCTTCGAATGATCATTTCTTTGTATTTGAGTTATTGTTATTCCTCATTCAGATCATAACTTCATCAAACAACGCAGCAGCACACGCCTGCAAAACAATGAATTGGTTCTCCACCAACAACAAGTCGTATCTGTTTCTGTTGTTCTCTGCGTAGTTCAATTTCAACTTCTAGTTCTTGGAGTGCAGAAATACTTGCAGGCGATCCCAATGTTGACTTGTCGGCAGCATCTTCCTGCAGGAAATCGCATAAATCGTAGACTGTCATCGCATCTTGGAGCTCTTTTCCTGCGTGATACCTCGACTTGTATTCGAATGCGTCCGAGCTGGGAACCACCTTTCCTCCTTTAACGTGGTCCTGCTCGCGCTCTTCTGTCTCCAGGAGGAGGTCGATGTTGTCCTCGACGAGCTCGAAATGCGACAAAAAGAGCCGAACTCGCTTGCATCCGAAATCCACCCGATATTTCTTCTCATCTCGCGCCCCTGCAAATCGAAATCAAATATACAGTTCGTTGGATTTTTCGTTGGCTTCAGTTGTAAATGGTAAATTGGAGCTAACAAATTCACATACAGTTGAAGTTCGGTGAATTCGTTCTGAACCAGAAGATAATCATGTTGTAAGTGATTATTCCTTGCTACTTAAGACGAGACAAGCCGTAGTTGTACTCGCCTCCTCGAAAACTTTCTTTCGTATTTCGCCGACCGTCGCATTTCCGGAGAGCTCGAACACGAGATTGCCGCCACCGAGCGAAAATCTGTGCACGATGATCTTCTTCGTCTTACTCGAGGAAGCTTCCTGCTCCATTATGCACTCACAAGTCCCATGTGCCTACGGGAAATCGGGCAAACAAGTAATAAAGGAAGTCCACCTCAGCTGCTCTTTTAGCCTTCCCTTTCTTGTAGTTTAACAGTAAAGGCGGAATTCGTGAGTCACAATTCGGACAAGTATGTCGTCCTCGCGTTTCGAATTTGGACAACAACAATATTTCTTCGAATGAGGATGAGGATGAGAAGGAGCTCGTGGGAAAACTTCTTCTGCTTGACGAGTCAACAAGAACTACAGGAGCAAGAGGAACGCACACAACCGGAGAGTATACTTTGAGGGGCTGCAGGTACATCGAGATTTTGCTTTGGGAGCCAGCTGTCACAAACAAGCTACATCAGTTAACATAAGCTCTCTTTAAAAGGCAAGACAAAGTCACTTGCTACAGATAACGTTGGTCCACAGATGGCCTTTACCTTCGACACGCTTTCCCGCTGGACGAGGCGTTGTTCAGATGCCGCGACTGCACCGCATAGGTCCTGTCTTATCTCTATCATCTTGGTGTAGAAGTAAAAAGACTAAGACATTTTATATTATTTATTTCATTCTTTTGACTTACTACAACATACTTATGTGGCTTGTGTTCCTCAGTGATTTTTCTCTTGTGCAATGCAACAATAAACAGACAGCAAATGCTACGAATCTTCAACATAAGAAAAGCACCAAGATGGGTCGCTTCACTCATGTATCTCTTTGTTTTCGTCTCCATTCCCTTCCGAGTTTTGCTCCATCTTCGCCCCTCCCGAAGAGGATTCCTTGTTGCTCTCGAAAGCCAAAGTTTTTGCATCAAAAAAGTACTCCTGCATGATTCCGTGGCGCGGCACTGCACTCGCACTGGCACTAAAGAGCCAAAAAGCCAACTTGCTTACATAAACCTCTTCCCGCATCCGGACACCACTTGGAAATCGGGATTTTACTACATTATCGACGAAATACCGCGCCAGTGACGCCATACTCGCAAAGGCTTCCGCCGTGTGATGCACACCACGCAATTCGAAATTACCTTTGTCATACGGCTCAAAGTACTCGAACAGGTTTTTTTCTGGATGGAATTGCACCGCGACAAAGGGGAACTCCTTCGCTTCTGCCATAGCGACGAAACTCGTATTCTTACGATCTTGACCAGTTGCAACAACATGCCAAAAATCATGCAGAAAGTCGGACGCTGTTCGTGAGGTGGTAGAGACGCTTACAGATACAGCATCTGATGAAGAAAGTGGCTCGACTGCATTAGAGGATTCATCTACTCCAGTTTTCGCCGCCCCTTGCTCCTCCGCTTCGTGTGACTCTCCAGTCCTTCTTGCACCAGGAGCAGGAATGGCGACTCCCTTCACATGCATGTTTACCGTGACTGGCTTTGTCATCAGCGTCTCCTGTGCGTGCTTCGGCAGCGAAGTCCAGACAGGGGTTGTCGCTGCCTCACTTGCAAGCGACAACGGCAGCAGTAGTTTCTCGGCATCCACTTGTATTAACGGAATCAAAGTGTCGGAAGTATCTCCACTTTTGAGCCCGCTGTAGCTGAGGAGCTGTTCAAAACCCAAACAGGTTCCCCACAGCGGCAAACGATGTTGCTTCGCGTGCTCGAATATGCGCAGAGACGCACGTCCGTACTCACTCCGAATCGGGTCAATGTCAGCGCCGCCACCGGCGAAGAGGATTCCACTTAGTTGCGGGAGAACTACATCCAGTGTCTCCTTCGGCCAGTCGTACAAAATGGGCACCGGCCGCGCCCCCGCTGCCTCCAGCCACTTGACATAGGACGCGGCTATGTAGGATGTCCTGCTACCTCTGGCATTTTCAATCACGCCATCTCTGGGTGACATAGTAGAAGCGACGGTGCCTTCTTCGGAACCCGAAGACAGAGTTGGTGTGCCATGTCTCATTGACCCAGCAACGCCATCATCAGCATCGATAATATGCACAGGCTGCGACACAATACCGATGATTGGCATGTATGCATCGCCCAGGTGTGGTGCGAGGGCCACAATGGCGACACAGTGAGGAAGGACGCGGGAACCTTGGCTCATTATGATCTTTGTATTTGTCATTCTTGCAAATAACTAAAAATTACTCTATCTGGTATCATTTTATCTACGTTTTTGAAAAGCTTTAACTTTTTACTGTTTCTTGGGAATTCAGTACTATCTTCAAGGCGAATATTGTTCGATGTATCTGAAAAATACACCTTTCTTTCTTCAGCTGCGTCTAAACAACCGAGTATGACTAGCGATTTCGCTTACTTCGCTGTTCTTTTGGCTCGACGTTAGGTTGTGTCATAAAAATGAAAACTACTGCCAGGAACACGCGGCGATATGACGTTCGCACAAGTCCTTGCTTCAAGGATGCCTTGTGTCATGCAAGAGGCAGTCTGTCGTTGTGCGCGTGCTGTGTTGGAAATGGAAAGTATGCGCGGGAAGTCGGCATAAAGCAAATGGGCTAGGGTCTTGGGTATTTGAACATTACCCGTCACACGTCGCTCCAGGCAAGTATTAACTCAGGGAGCAACCAATAGTGATAATCGACTGCAGCCATTCTTCCCTGATCAGGCCAGGACACTTGCGGACTGCTTAATGCTCACAGACTCATCTTTGTGTCTGATCTCGTACGAGCTCGCCCACTCACCACGCGCATTCACGGTCCAAACCTGAATATCCCCCGACTCGGGACTCAGAGTCAACATAGTGCCGGTCATATTCCAGTTACCGCGCCATATCAAGTCCGGGCCTTCGCAGAGCACACGAAGCTGTAATTATAGTAAATTGGGCGATTTATCATACATGGGGAACAAGTTGTAATTTGAATTTGATCTGCTTTCCTAAAATTGCTGTGGTACTGAATGAGAGGGTGCAGCGTAACTCCTTAACGAGCTGCAAGAACAAAAGGCTCTTGCTGCTCAAACTGAGCACTCCAATATCATAAAACGGAAACCATGAAGTTTCATTTCTCCAGCTATTTTGAATATCAGGTTGTACCACAGTGAGCTTTGTCTGCTCGGGCCCTGTATCAAATCGCCACAGCTTCGCGTCCCTACCGCAAGTCACAAGAAGGTCATAGGGTCGGCAAAGGTTTGGCGAGAATTGGACATCTTTCACAGATCCAGGCTCTGCGTGGTGACGCTCACTATGAAGCTGCTCCCATTTCCGTACGTTTTTGGTGTGAATGTAAACCTTCCCATCAGTCCCGACCTATTTGTAGGTGGAATCGAAAATGATGATGCATGAATGCTAAATCGAGTAAAATCGCGATGTTCGTCGTCAATTGAAATGGAAGGCGAAAGATGACATTGAACAAAACCAGACAACAGCACCATAGACAAAGGAACAAAATAGGCAAGATAAAAGAACAAGACATGCGACGTCGAGAAAGAAAAATGAAGTACCGCTGCGATGTATTCAGCGTATATGTCTGGCGACCAACTAAGTGCTTGCACACCTTCCCGACTGTTGGATATACAGTAATCCTCAGTCAGCCAGTCTCCAAGGTTAAGGGCGTCTGGTGCTTCGTACACTCGCACAAAACCATCTAAGGACGCCGACGCCATCTTCAAGCCGTGGTGTCGTGGAGCAAAGCGCACGTCCACAACTGCTTTCGTCGCATCGAGCCTAGTTGTCAGGATCAGGAATAGGTCAAAAATGTATTAAGTAAGAAGAAAAGGCGAAAATCGCGCTCGCACTAGATCTAGAGGTCATTACATAAAGAATAGTCTTCATTAAGACTTCTTCCAACCTAGTAGTACTAAGCACCAAATTTCTTACAACTCTTATTCATCACTATTTATTCCGCGTAGTTTCTTGTTGAGCCGGAATTGTACCTCGACGCTCGCTTTTTCCAGCCTGACCGCTCTCCGTAGGTTCTTTCTGACCAAACATTGACCGCGCGATCCTCTCCGCATGACACGAAAACCCCAGGGCCAAACTCTGGGTTGGCCCAGTCTAATCGCCATATTGGCCCACTATGCGCGCAATCTATTGTCGCTATTTCCTTCCATTCCAGCTGGGTGTCGTCTGCCGCTGAGTGGCTCAGTATGCTACTGCCTGGGCCGGCTCCAAGACCTGCCGGTCCGCCGAAGCTTTTTGACAGCGCAGCAAAAGAACCTCCTGTTTGTGCAGTACTTGGTGTCGCTGCTTCCCTGGGAAAGCTGTCAGCAACTGCTTTCTTCTCCCAAATCGAGATTTTTTGCCTCGACGTGCAGAAGGCAACGCGAGTGCCGAAGTAATTGAAGGCCACATCATGGATGTAGTCCGTGTCGCTGCCGACTTGCAAGTCAAAACCACGACTAGACGTAATCATTCTTTCAATGTTTATCAAAAAAATCCAGAAGTAGATGTAGAAATTGCCATAGTATAAATATTAATTGAGCGAATTATATTTATCAATATTCGTGGATAAAAGTAAGTAGATGAAGCACAAGTAAGTAATTGATTGATGGAGGAGTATTAACCAAAAGATTTACCAGTGCGGATGTTCATGCCGGCGAGCATGACAATACAATACAGGGGCACATCTCCATCCGAAAAAACGGAAACAAGTAGACGCACATCAATTCTCGAGAATCCTGATGATCAGAAAAATTCAAAATAGCAAGAACATCGAGTCTACATGTAATAGCGAGCAAAATTTTCGGCCTCAAACCAGGTGGTGAACGTGTCGTATTCCAAACGAAGGACACACGACATAGTATTTTCGTTCTGTAATGTCTGATATCGTCTCCGTCATGATCCAGCTAAATTACATCCGATCACAGTCCTGAAAAACCTTGACTCGCTAAGGTAGGATCGGTTCACAGCCAAAAGGCTTCTCTGTAATTTCCATCTTTACCAGGTTTTTCTGTACATGGTCCACAAAACCCGTGTGCATGAAGAGGCTGGAGACGGACCAAGGATTGTTCCGTGTAGTGGAAGAGCCCATCGGAGTTTCGCCCATGCTTTTTGTCGGGTACAAGAAAGGCTCCTGTAAGGCCTCAAAAATTTCGATCACAATGTTTGGTCATTTTGAATTTTTATGACGCTAGTTTCTTGGAGGTGCTAGTGGTGCTTTGATTGTAGTACTTCAGAAATCATTGGCGACGTTCTGGGTGCATACAAAAAAAAGTTCAAAACACAAAATTCTTGACGAAGTGCTAGCTGCGAGTTTTTTCATGTCTCGCAAGAGGGACAGGAGGGGGCTCATGTGTCGATGTCTTCAAAAACCTCCTTCAAGCAATTCGTATCCGAAATATCCTCGTTCTCTGCCACGCGGTCCAATACCTGTATGACTTTGCGCAACTCACTCGGGACTGGTGCAGCAGCAGAAACCTCAGAATCGGAGACAGGTTCACGCAACGTCATTCGCCAGCAGTGGAGAAATAACCGAGGACACCAAGAATTGAGACACCGCTTCGCGCGTCCACGTATGGGGTCATACTTTGCGTCACCTACGAGCGGATATCCGGCAGTCTTCATGTGGACACGAATCTGGTGAGTTCGACCTGTCTTTGGAAAGCACAACATGAGCGAATAGTAACTAGACTGGGCAGTTGCAGCTGGCCTCTGAGAGGACAGAGGACCACCTTCTTCTTCGGAGGAAGAAACGCCGTTCTCCGAAAGAGCTCCGCAGCTCGATGTGCGCGTCTTTTCTGAGGACATTGAAGGACGCGATGATCTTGAACTCGAACTTCTGAGGGACCTCCTTCTTTCCTCAAGAACAAGACTGTCAGGTGGAGAATCTTTAGACAGATTTTCGGTTTCAACAACACTTCTTGCACGAGTAGGAAGCTTTTTGTTTCCCTTTTCTTTTGCTTTCGTAGTTATACTGCGTGTACTCTCCATTCCATCAGCTAATCCAGAATAGTGCGCCAAACACAGGAAGTTCGTCTGTGCCTCTTTGCCTTTGTAGCTCACATGCGTGCGACCTGAAGCGGTGGTTTGCAACCGGTAATCGAGCCTCGTCTGTTCTCCCGACATCGGAACCCTGCCATTCACGAGACACAAATATGACTTTTCAACTCTTCTGGAACGAAATTCTTCCTTTAGAAACTCTGAACTCGATGTGTCGATTGCTGTAACCAGCACGCCACTAGTACCACGGTCGAGACGACTCACGCTGCGACAGTCCGCAATCTTGGCTAAATACGCGATAACCTGCTCCGTACTCACCCCTGCAGGCTTATTCGCAATGAGCAGCGTGGGGGACTGGTAAATAAGATCAATGTGCTGGTAGTGCTGGGTGGCTGTCACCGTTGCGTTCTTTTGCCTTTCATCACCTGGACGGCCGTAGCAGGGTTCTCTCGGGCGATACCCCGCTGTGGTGACGGTGGCAACGCCGTCGCGGCGCGTAACCTCGCTTTCAGAGTTATCATCTGTGTCCTGATTCGTATTCGAAGTGTCGATACCGTCATGTCTCAGCGACAAGTCATAAATGTTGCGATTTTTCTCGCTTGGAGTCGCGAGATAAAAATTCTCGAATGCCTTTAACAGTAACATTTTCAGGGATCGCCCACGTCGTAGGCGCTGCACCCTAGAATCCCGACCTATGCGTGACAGCATATCATCAGTAAACAGCCTCGGCGCAATTGCTCCATCCATTTCACTGGTGCTGTCTTTACGCAGCTTCGCCCAGTCTACAAGCTTTGAGTCCAACAAATGATCCCTAAGTAGCCTCAAATCTGTTACTTCATTTTCGTCACCTGTCGTCCAGTTTCTGGCCTCATCTTTTCCTTCAAGAAAACCTGCAGCAACTCGCAACGAGTCCACACCTTTTGCCGTCGACTCGACATGATTCATCTGGTCCAAAACAAGCGCATCAAGACACGGACATTCTGGGAAAATCCCCTGTTTATCGCACTCTGTGCGGTTCGGGTCGTCAGCAACTGTCTTGTTCTTCCGTTCGTCGCCACTTAAGGTTTCTTCGCTCACAGTAAACCCCCTCCCTCGTAGAATGACTTTGAGTCTGGACATCAACGTTACCCACCAGCAGAAGGAACGCCCAAGCGCTTTGCACTGCTCGACATCGCGATAGAGTGCATTCTCAACTGGGTGCAGCAATATATGGTGGCTCAGTTTCCGCTTGATTTGCCTCTCTTTAACCAAAAAGGCTAATGGAACTGAGCAGCCTTGTGTATCCGAGACAGACGATACCACGGTGTGCTTCCTCGCGTTAACTTTTTTCACTAGCTCCTTTCGGAAGAACTTCCTTCCAGCGACTTCCACTGCGTTGACGAGCTCTCTTTCGGTTGCTCTAAGGCGCCTCCCAAGGTCATCAGCGATCCACTGCGGTGAAGTTCGCACAACGGAGCAGGACCCTTCCCGCCCAACGCAAACCAACCAGTCCCGGGAACTCCCAGAGCTAGCACACACTTTTGTATCAATGTTTTCGTCTTCAGCCAGTGCACGATTAACATCGCTTGCATCCTCCGCCCGCTTTTCTATTCGCAAGAGATCGCAATGCTGTCGAACAGCTTCCAACAACCGACAGTCCAAAAAACGCTTCCGTAAAGGAGGATACGCTTCGAAAAGCAGGCTCGCCGGCATGCTTCCCCCTTGCAGATGAACACACTGCACAACTATCTCCATGAGGCTCCGTGGTATTTCTCGGAGCTTGGGATCGAGGCGCTGTCCCGCACAAGGAACACCCAGCGACTCCACCGAGTGATCCGACATGGTCATGATGTGCCCTAAATATTTTTCAGCAGTTCAGTACGTGGCTGCTTAGCAAGGACAAGAAGAAAATGTAGAACAGTTTTCATCTGTAAACATTCAAAGATCTAAAAGAGCCTGCGTGAGAACTCACTCAGACACATTCTATGTCATTTGTTGCTCGCATTTTTTCACCTTCCTCAGGTTGGACAGACAATACAAGAAAACTTCGGGAATCTTATCCCACTCGGCTGCAACCTTGATTTTAATTCCAGCCGCTTCCACCTTTTCCAACTCACACATAAGGACGGGCGCGGCATAATACCTCGTCCTAGATACTTTTCTAGAGTCTAGACGTCCTTGCGAAACTCTAGTAGATGTGATTCAATTTATGAAATCGATTCGAACTGTCCAAAAATACCAACCACGTAAAGGTGGAACGATTCCCAGCGGCGACAGCTGCGACTCTTGCTACAAAGCGCTTTCTTTGTGTGTGTGATAGATGATCTCCTGGTGGAAGCGTCTTCTATCAGGTGGGATTAGGTTCCCATATAAAAGAGTGGGGGGCAAGGTCAGTCTTTCTTCGCTCGCCTTACGCAAGCAAGGTTCCGCCCGGGCAGAACGCTGGGGTACTAGCAACCAGAGCGTCATGGTCGCTTTGAAATCAAGAGTACGAAATCACAACCAGGTCGAATGAACAAGTTAGACATGAGTAATAATTAGTGTATGATTGAACAATATGCTGACAGTTACAACATCCAACATTTATGATTGTCGGTGAGATGTATACCAATATTGTCATAGCGATCCGAGATCCAGTTCCAGCAAAAATGCTACGAACTTGATCAAATGAACTGGCCTGCTACAAGCACGACAATATTTGTAAGTCGGCCAGCCAGAGCCAGCTACAAAGAACGGACATCTTCTGATCAGTCAACATGATCTGGCACTAATAGAATTATCAAAGTTAGGCTTTACAATCCTCTTGGAGCTTACATCAATCAACGCGCCGCCTTTGCTTTCGAGTGTACAGTGGCATATCCTGTTTCATTTACTTTTTCGTCAATTAAAAGATCATAGTCGACATGATTACGATCCGCGATATACAAATAAACGTCGTTATTGGGTCTATGCGTTAACTTGGATGAACTTCTTGCGATCTTGAATCCACGTGTTCGATCAACTCCTGCACACTGTAGGGCAGAATATGTCTCTACAGACCATCCACTTCTACCTGAAAGTCCTACTTAGATGGATAGACAGTTCAGGTTAGCTTACAACTCCTCCTTTCCCTTCTTCGCTGGCTTGGCGCGGGGGAGGAACTTCGGTCGATCCGCGCGCAGGTACGTCACACCACCGCTGATCTTCTCGACCATAGCTCCGACACTCTTCGCGGTAATCGCGGTTCCACTGCTGACCCGCACGTACGACAGGAGACCTTCGTGATTGATAAATAAATATTTCGTGAATAAAGTAGACGCAAAAATTGATACTGAGTGATCGTCAAAAAAGGACGAAGGGGGACATAATTTAGGAAATCCTATCACTCTTCCTCAAACTGCTCAAGCACATTCGTGTCAAACGATGGATTTGCGAGAGTGGAAATCAACCATCTAGCTCGAAAACTTAAGCTGCTGATGATTAAGTTCAAGGTTTAAGCATCGACCTAGGAATATGTATTAAACTAGGAGTACCTTCCTCGCGCTTCTTCTTCGGGTTCGGAGGCTTGACGAAGACCATAGTCGGGTATGTGATGGGCTCGACATCCCGGTCCTCCTTTTCTGCGGTTTGCTTCTCCTTTTCTTCGATTGTCTTCTTAAATTCAGCCTCTTGCGAGACATCCATCCACATCCAATTGTATTTGATACCACGATCGCTCTTCGGTGCGAATTTCGACTCGAAGCTGACCAGCATATCGGCGGCTGCGAATTCGAGGTATAGAGAAAATTGGTCAAGGATTTGTCTCGTGTAGTGTCACAGTCATGCTTGTTCAACTTAATCTTCCTCTTAGAGACACTATAAAATAGAAGGCCAATAATTTTCAGGTGTTGCAATTATTTCCTGCTACCGAGTTAGATATTAATTATGTTCAGCGACCCTAAAAATCACAAATAGAGCAAAACATCTTCGCATCAAGAAGTTGATTTAACAGTACCCTTATCCTCTATCTTGCCCTCGGAGAGGTAGATCGCGCAGATGCTGCTCTGCTTGAAGCACAGCTCGTTAGAGCTTTTCAAGTGGATCTCTCGCACCTTCTCGTATTCGACTTCCTCAGCGGCTTCTTCAGTGGTTCCATCCTTACCCTTAACGGTATCTCCCATACCGGACTCGCTGTTGACGTTGATCCACTCATGGAGGGCCATGTAACTGAGATCCTTCTCCTTGTACCAAGTGTTTTTGCCCTTGCTAACCATCATGACAGCCGGAAGCTTCTTCTTCTTCGCTCCGCTCTCGCTAAGCTGTTGATGTGCAAGGAAGAAGGGGAATTTTCGCCCTCAATGATTTACATTGATTTATATATTCATCAGTATAATCAGACCAAAGGTGACTACAAAAACACACCGACCCATGGCGTATTCGTTTCTACTGTCAATGTCAATCATCACAAAACAATCATAAATTACCACATCCTCTTGATCCGGCCCGACGAAAGCGAATTCGACTGTGCGTGCGAAGACGGTATCCGTAGACAAAGCCTTCAGGATTGTTGGCGCTTTCTTCTTATCAGAGAAGAGGGTAATCTTTGGCTTTGTCGGATTCTTCATCTTGAATTGTCTGAATTCGTCAGCACTCTTCGGCATCGATATCTTGTCCGACGGAATCACTGAGGATTTATTTATCAAAAAAATTACAATTGAAACTGATGAGTAGACTGGAAGTTCTTGTATGCATGTTGAAATATTTTTTTCGAAACAAAAGCTAGACGGTCGATGTTGTAGTTGCTTGCAACATATCATCCGCGGCGAGCTTCGGCAAAACTAATTCTCTTCTTCAAATAAAAAAATTAAATGATGCGGAAATAATTTTGAAAAGTACGTTTGTAGAGTTGCTTAAGGATAGCTTCGGATTCCATATCGCCTTCGTATTTGAAGTGCGGTCGTGGTGTCTGCGGATAGATCTGGACATGTGGAGTGCTCGTAACTCCGACCCGCTCGCAGTGCTTCGCTGCGTCATCACAATCCATTGCTGCCACTTTCAGCATTTCTGGAGGAAAGAAAAATACAGATGATAGGACAGGAAGTAGAGAGAAAGATGAGACAAGATACCTCGAAAACCCTCTCAAGATGATACGAGAGCTGACTAACAAGGCAGCGCCAGAAACGTGTGATGGTCCATGTGCACTATCAGCAACTTATGCCTATTCATTCATGCCCATGCACACAACAACAACAGTCCAATCGAAGTACTACAGAGTCCAGCCAAAAATTAATGTAGAAAATACTTTTCGTCTTGGTGGCCACCTCGTTGTATTTCTCGATAAACGCCTTGTCTTCTTTGCTGCTTCCCTTGAAATACAATACAGATGATACCGTGAGCGGGAGTGATGTACCTGAGAGCATGAAGAGCATTAAATTTTTCATCCTACTTCTCGTGTTAGCAATAAAAGAAAGACTACAGTGCATAAATGTGGTGCAGCATATTCAACACAAGGATCCGGCGTACACATCGGGTATAATTCATTGCGCAGCACAAGCAGTAGTTGTCTGTGCCGACTTATCGGCTTGCGACCATCATTCACTAGTAAAAAATTCATCTCGCCTGTGCACCACCGCATGCATCGCAGTGGAGCAAACCCTTGTCATATTTATCAGTTGATGAAAGATCGGCCAGTCGTACAGTGCTACATCTTGATGCGCACTTGTTTGTACTGTTCGTAGTGGGTAGTACCAATGACGCTATCGAAATTCCTCGGGTAGAGCTCCTGAATATCGTGCTTCATAGCATCGATTTGCGCAGGCTTCTTTTGTGCGGCCGCGACTCCTGCGAGCGCGAGCGCAGCAACGGCTTTGCTTATTGCCATCTTTATCGTATTACTCTGTCTACTCCAACAACTCAATAATTAGGAAGACAAAAAATATACGGGATAGCACTCTAATCTACGAAGGTAACGTTGGGGATTTTTCACGTGCAGAAGTTTATGAGGTGGGACAGGGGTTTAAACCCGAACAAAAAGACACAAAAACGTGCAAACGAAAGCACGACGAAGCTTAGGAGTCTATTGCAGGCAGCACTTGCAAGGTCATCGAGTAAAAGCAAGAAAAAATAAAGAAAGGTCAATGCAATGGCACCAAATAAGACGCCCAAAAGCATCCAAGACTTGCAAGAAAGAAACCAATCTACTTCAACGAGCCAGAACTTGGACTTGCAGCCTTGCGTTTCCGCTTGATGAGCGGTGTATTCCAGGACGAAGTGATATTACTAGTACCAAACTCATGTAGATTTGAATTCCTATTTCCTCACAACATTATAAAGGGCTATCGGCTCACATTGCACGCGTGATCTACCTGTAGTCGGTTCACCAGGGATCGAGCGTGGAAATTCACATTCTTTCAGCACCTGTACGATCAAAATTAAGCGAACATTATTGGATCTTTCCTGAAAGGAATTCACGCATCAAAAACATTCTGGATTTTGATTTCACAATGTGTGATAGATTGGACGGAGGTGACTGATTTTTTTTCATTCTTGTCGCCTCGCTAACCATATGGCTACGGTGAGCGTCAGCGTCAGACACTGGGAAAGACGTCACTCCATCGGCAATCGATTGTCTCATTCTCTTTATGTCAGCGGAGCGCTTGTCGTCGTTGCTTACGTGGACTAGATGAACACATCACTCGCGGCAAAACGTGAACAAGTAATTAAGGAGCGCCACCGCAATGATTATTACACGGCAAAGAAACGGCTCATCTCGGTGCTCAAGGCATGATCATTAATTTTCATTGTCATAGTTCGTGTGTCAGTTCTTGGACTTCTGGTTTTTGAGAAGCGTAATCCCATTGATGCTCGCCTATTTTTTTGGGAATGGTATATCGGTCGAATATACAACATCATAGAACCGCATAGATACTGTCGTGGCCCCGCACATTCATTCTTGCGAGCCTGCCAACCTATCATTATATATATATCATTATGTCTCACTAATTATCGTTAAGTTTTCGTCGATGAGTGTGTTATAGTGCTGCCAGAAATTGCAAACCAGAAACCATCACTACTAACTCACTACTACTAGTAGCATCACCTGAGCACCTGTTGTCTGTGACTGTGAGATGTAAAGCAAACTAATTATTCGCGGTGGAAATCCAACCAGTCGGGTAATCATCTTGATGCAAGAAACAGCAGGTGCCTAGTTTTCGTATTCTCGTTCACGACGATCCATATCTATAATTACATCACGACTGAATGGGACTAGATCGCAAGTTCTCGAAGTACAGACTTCGGGGGCTGGCATGGCATCTATGTCTATTCTCTTGCATAAGCATAATCTTTGTAGAATGGGTCATCATAGTCATGCTCTGTGTGTCTTCTGTCGTCAGTATCTTTTGAAATGAAACCTATGTTGGCAACGCCTTCGATATACCCAATTGAATGGCGGCACCCACGAGGATTCCTGTAACCAATGCTGTGCTCACCGCAGGGCCCAAAACACCCAGTTCTTTGTCTGATTGTGCCTTTTTCCCGCTCTTCATAAATAGGTTATTGGTAAAGTACCCCTGGGTGAGTCCAAAGAAGAGCATGAGGATAACGTGCAGTGAGAAAGGCACGCCAAACAGCGCAAAGATGTAAAAGAGTGGCAGCACCACAGCGCCGCGGATCAGCACGCCCACGAGAAGGAACGTCGTCTTGTGTATCGTGAACGGAAAGACGCGCTCCTCTTCGTCCGTCTGCTCGTCTTGTTTGTCGATCAACATCGCACCCTCTTCTTCTTGTGTGTTTCGCTTACCACGACAGGCACAGCAGCGCCGAGGACAACTGATCGATGGTATAAATCGGCCAATGGCGTCGCCAACTTGAAAAATTGCATGCAATACCTGCCAATATGCCTCGTTGCTCAGCTCAGCTGGAATTGTGCCGCTCTTACTCCACAAAAACACGACGGACGGGAAGACAATGAAGGTAATCACGAACTGTAAAAACATGGCCAAAATAACCTTCCAGCTGCCACCAATGATGGAAAAGAAAGAGCGTTCTCCGCCCTTAGCAGAATCTTTAGGAGCTCCTGCTGTGTTTCCACTTCCTCGTTGTTGTTTCACCTCGTCCACGTTCAATACACCCGCGTCCTGAGCATCGACCATTTGATAGTTTGCCTGTGCGAAGTCTTCACCCTGAGAGTCCCAGTTCGCGCCACTGGGGGGATTGCGTGTCTTCGCGACCATTGTGATGTACTTGCGAAACACAAAGACGTAAAATAAGTAGTACAGAGTGGCGAACAGTCCATTCGCAGCATACAGCCACATGCAGAGAATCTTGCTTGGCTGGAAACTCTCCTGCAACGCGAAAGCAATACTGTGGCAAGAATGGTTGAAGTGGTGAGTATTCTCTACTCGAAAAACTGAAATAAGCGAGTAACTAATTTAGATAAGAATCTCAGATACTCGGTTAATGTATTTGTTACAACTCGCTTATTTTCAGTTTTCGATTAGGAAGAGTACTACATCATGTGTTTCTAATTTATATGATAAATCCAAATCATACGTAGAAATACGTGATGAAAGGAAAAAAAATATAATCTATCATGAATAAAAAGCGGGAGCCTGCTGTCTCATAAATGGAAATTGAGAAGTACCCAAGCAATGTGGCCGGCCACGCAGCCGCAGCGCATCCTAGGACGTACGCCGCGAAGGCAGACGGCGTGTTCAGCGACGCGGCGAGGGAGCTCAGGCATCCCGCCAGCCAATTTTGCGCCAATCCTAACAAGAGCAATGAAGCAACGCCTAACCCGAAGCTCTCGAGACGAACAGCTAGGATCATTGTCGGAGCAAAGGAGAGCGTAAGACCGGCAAGCGCGAACACGAATCGCCCGTGGAAAGGAGCCCAGCGGCAGGATCCCTTGTAGCGTCGCAGATTCGTAATCAGCACATAGCTCAGACTGCCAACAACGCAGGTGGCGGCGTAGGGTAAATTCATAACGGAACCCCAATGTTGTCCGAACACTTTTGTTTGCAGGTACTGGACCAGCACAAGGTGCGTCGAGAAGCCGCAAAGCTGGAGCATGCCACCGAAAAAAAGCGCTACCCATAACGCAGTAGGCAGTCGCCGTTGCTCGCTTCCATCTTCGCCTTCGTGCAGGCTCACTTCTGTCAACCGAATGCCGCCACTTCTTAGATTCCCTTCACCTGCCGCTCCCGCCGCTGCTGAACGGCTGGTAATTGGTAAAACCTCCCCATCATCATCAACATCCGCTCGCAGAGACGTCACCTGCGCCATGGAGCCGAAGACTTCATGTCTTCCGTCCTTTGAGACTACCGACATTTTTTTGTGTTTGGGGAAAAAGCGAAAAGAATCGAGATCGCAAAGCACTTATTCTCAAACCTGCAAGAAGTCGACGTGCAATTCATAAATCCAACAGCAAGCAACGCAAATGAAAATGGACTGCGCAAGGGCAAGAAATAAGCTACGATCTAGAATAAGAACCTAGATAAATATTTTCATCCTCATTGCATTGATTACAATTCAACAGTCACGACGACAACATGCATCACACAATCATCAGAGGAGACACAAAACGATACATGCATTGATGGTGATTTACTGAGTGATCACTCAATTTCGATAAACATCTTCTCTCAAGTACAATCCAGTTTGTTTCTGAAAAGATCAGAACTGCGGAGGAGTGGATCAAAGGATAATGAAATGATGATGGGAAACAAATCAGTCCTCTACCTCTTTTGGTCTTGACTTTGATTGAAACTAACAATGTAAAGTAAGTATCTCTCTTCAATCTTTTTGATCGGGCTTCGCCGAGTCACAGAATTTGAAGAACAACAGATGATGTTAGTAGATCGAGATACCGAGTTGCCCTTATAGATGATTGCTCGTGTTAAGACAAATCTAAACTGACCTCTGCCGCTCACAGTGTAGATGGATACTCACACTCACGTACACATATGAATCTCTTTCTCATAAATCATGACAGATTCTCGGGGTCATCGCACTCAAATACAATCTAGTTTTGACCTTTCGGTCTCTCATCTCGGTAGCGCACCAAGAAAACGAAAAGCCCAGATCTACAGAACAAGCAACAAGCGTTTCGCACGCCTCGTCTACCCATCACTCTTTCACTCTAACCACAGAAGTCTTCTAACTTCATTGTTGTGGCTGTATAATTATGAATACAACTGGATGGAGGACTTCACAATCAGAGAGCCCAAAGCATACTTTTTCTTTTCAGCAGGTCACTGTGCAATCGTCTATTCAATGCAGAAATCGGGTCACTAATCGCTCAAAAGTTGCCGCTCTGTTCAGCATGTCAACAATGATCATCAGACATCGATGCCGTGATGATTGATTAACCATTTTTCACTATGTTTGAGCTACCCACGACGTTAGAAGAGCGCAAGACTTCTATCGAAATCAGAGCTGGCGAGACGCGCCCTACCACGAGATTGAGTGTCCTTTGCGGTGGCTCGCAGTTCTTCCAGCATTGCCTCCTTTTCCCTCGCGAAAACGTCAGTCTTGGCTGCCGGTGCCTCCCACGAAAACGACGACCGGTCAAGGTAATATTCTGTCGATGTCAGAGATGAGTCTTGGATATTGAAAAGATAAGCTCATTGAATCACGGAGCAAAGGCGAACCTCTATACCTACTCAGCCGCCAAAACAGGAAGCCAGTGACACTACGTGCTGGGGTTCAATGATTGGCAACGCATCAAGAAGAAAGGATAATTAACGATAATTTCAATTAACTCTGACATCAAGAATCGAGAAGTACTTTCCGCTGACTTCCTTCCCTCGCGCTGTCTCGACACGTTTTCCTCTTGTTCGCACTGTAGAAGCCTAGGTCTGGCAGCTCGCAGAACTTGAAACTCGACGAAGTTTGGATCGTTTTCATTTTTGCTCCCCAAGCTTGATCTAGACTTCGACGCACTAGGCTTTCCGCCTGTTGCCTTAGCAAGCACCAACTCCGCTTCACTGTTCCCTGCATTATTGCTCCTTCTAGCTCTTGCTCCAAGAGTAGCTGACTTCCGAATTACGACGTCCTCCGTCAACTTAAAATGCGTCCCATGCTGTTTTGCCAGTGCGCGCCGCTGCCCCTCTGTCAGCTGGATACCCTCGTGTTGCGAAATTTTGTGCTTCTTGCCCTCTACATCGTACATGGTCGTCTTACTCTCGAAAACTGCAGGCCTCGAAGGTCTTCTACTTTGCAATTTCCTGGCTCCTGTTTTTGACAGGTCTGTCTCACCAACTGTAGTGCTCTTTTTCCGCGTTAACAGTACCCCTGGAGGTGCTTGTTTTATCACTGGCGGCGGCGGACACAGTGAAGCCGCTTGCAGTCCTCCTGCTGTACTTGGTGAAGGCCCATCGCGTATGCCCGACCCCGCATCTCTCCCTTCTACTTCTTCGCGTGGATAGTTGTAACCTCGGCTTACACTTCGTCCATTTGCAGTCACGACGTCCCGTAGATTTGCAGAGCGCACGCGCGCATCCGCCTCTCGATAGACAATTTCTCGGACTGAAGGTCCTCGACGCCCGCGGTCGGGGTTGGCGACGCCAAACTCAGACCCATAAATCTCGGTTTCGAACTCCCGCAGTTCAAGCCCGTGCGCCGATCCGAGGAACTCGAGACGCTTTTGCAGGTTCTTGCGGAAGCGGCGAGCATCGCGCATGCTCTGTTTTCGAAGTCCGCGCTCTTCTCGCAGAAGGGTGCGACGTCGTGCGCGATCCTCTCGGCGCTCGCGCTGCGCCACAAACGCTGCCTCCACGTCGTCCATAATCTGTTCCCCTCCAGCGCCGGATAGCGACCCAAAGCCAGCGGCACCATCCATATTCACCCCCTCATGGTAGTTGCGAAGATGCTCGATGACTTTCACACCGTCACAACCTAATGAGTACGGCCCGTAAGCATCTGCAGCGACAACACTGGCATGATCACCAGTATCAATGCTGTGAACACAGAACTGGTCTTCGCGCGGCAAACCCCAGGTCGAGGGACGCAACTCTGCGCGCGCCAGCTCCTCGAGGCGGAGTCGCTCTTTTTCTCGTGCTTCCGCCTCGCACGCTTCCCGGCATTTCATGACCACGCTAGAGTACACTCGATTCAAGGTGCGTCGGGCAATCACCTGATGCTCGTGCTTCAGAGTGCGCAAGGCACCCGCCACCGCGGCACCGAGAATGCCGTCAACTGCGGTCGCCTGAAGGATCTGCTCACGCCGTGACTTAGTGCTGCGTCGCGACGATGTTGAGTTCGTTGGTGTAAAAAGGCTATCGACGTCCTCAACGCCAGTCCAGGAAGGAGCATTATGAGTGGGGGCGCGCCGCTCGTGCTCGCTGGAACTATGCTCCGGAAGGTCGTGCATCGGTTCCCCAAACGCATGCACTTTTACTCCGGAGCGATCCTTGAACGAACCTCTTGCATCGCCATTTACCTCTACCTGTTGATCCTCTTGCTCAGGAGTATCGTCTTCATCGAGACTCAGAATGCGCTGAACCGCCCTCTGGATGGCCGCATCAGCTATCCCGCCGTTCTCCAATTCAAGGACACGGCGCGTCACGCTAGCAGCGATGTCCTCTAACAAACCAGTCGCGATTTCAGCGTCTTCATCTGCAACAACTTCGCTCTGCACCTGCTTCACACAACCGGCAACCACAGCCCGCGCTGCCTCCAGATCCAGCGCACGGTCCACTGCCCACCAATAGAACGGCGACAAATACGCACACGTGTGGTCCAAGGCAATGCGGCGTCGTGTTTCGAAAGGAGGCGGCAAGGGCTCGTCCGCGTCGCTCTCTGCGTCGATTTCCTCGAGCTCCGCATCTAGGTCTCGCATATTCGCCACGTCATCACCCAGTAAGGATTCGTTGAAGATGCTATCCGGTGCCGACTCATCTGAGAGAACGTCGAGTTCTTCCACCGCAGCAGCCTTTACGTAGAACTCCTTCGCCGGCCAGCTTTCGCGCTGGAAGCCTGAGAACCATGATGGGTTCAGCAAGTGGTTATTGTAGCCCGCGCGATAGTAGTACTTCTTCACTTGCTCGGCCGCAGAGTGCACTTCTGCCGTCTTGTAGACATGCTCGTATTGCATGCTGCGAAGAAAATCAGCATCAACCTTGTTGCGCTGCGCACGCGGTGCGGCGTCTCTAGTTTCAGCTGACCAGCCTCTGCGCTTCGGCGGCGAGAATGACTGCGTAACGCGGCTACGACCCTTCTTGTTCCTCCAGCGCCCTCTCCTGGGTTTGCTAAGAGCCGTTTTCTGCATCGCTTTCAGCTTCACGAGGTCCCAGAACGTCATCTTCTGGAACGCGCGAGAGTCCCCGAAGTGGTAACTCAGCGTGCGCGGCCGCCCCAGGGTCCAGGCTAGAGAGTAGCACTTTTGCGAACCGTCGATCAGTGCGCGCTGGATGCCGCGATACGTCACCGGATTTGCGCCGCCGCCGGCTCGCTTGGAGGATGCCACAAATCGCTCACGACCTGTCGGCGACAGGCCGGTTTGTGAAGATTCTGCCAACTGATTTTGCTGGTCAATGAAGTCCTCATGATCAGCATGAAAATCATTTCCCCCTGTGCTATCCTCACTTCCCGCTCGACCCCTGCTCTGCCGAGATTTCATCTCTAACTTCGCTACCCTCGCCTTTTCAGCGCGTTGAATTGCAGACTCTTCTAGAACTTTCTGCCGTTTCTTCCGCGGACTCAGCTTGCTCTCCTCAGTGCCGTACAATGCATCTACCGACTCGACTTCCAGTTCGCAGAATGGCCGCAAGTGCGGCCGAGAACGCCATCGGTTCTCTTGAGCCTCTGCTATGCGAAGTGTCTCTTGAACGCCACCTGATGAATTTCCTCCGTTTCCACCACTCTCTAACGCGTCTAACGAATCCGGGTCCACGACCGCATTCGAATTATGAGCGCGACGCTGCCGAGCGCGCTCAGAGATGCGGTATTTGGCATTGCGTCTCAGGCGGTTAGTATCCAGTGCACAGTTGAACTGGAAAACGACTTTTCCCGTGACTCCAGAAGCACCCAAAACCGTTGTGTTCGTCTCTGGTTTGAACACGTACACCTCCAGAACCAAAGATTCCCTCTCCGGTAAGGCAAGTCCCTGCATAACAGCTGTTCGCAGCGGGCGCCGCTCCTCGCCGAAAGGGTCCGCGAACTCAACATCCACCCCACTGCGTGTCCTAGGTATGTGTGGCGCAACATCGCAAGCGGCAGTTCCACTTCTATTATCTTCTGCTTCATTGCTCGCGCCGCCGCCAACGCCATACTCTGTCTCAACAACGAGCGGCACACGATTTCCACGTGCGACTTTCGTATCCCTGTAGTCTTCTCTCGGAAAGTGCGGATTCCCGTATTCGTTGCGGGCGAGTCGCTCTGAGCGCGTCGTGTCTCGCACGGCTCGGTGCAGCTTCTTCTCGTCAAAATGGCCTTGAGACAGGGGAGCGCTGTCTCGCAGTGTAAACGAAACCGTTTTGTCAACTGGGTTTACGCCGATCTCTCGAACATCAAGCACGAAACCCTGCTGCCAGGTAAGTCGCAGAATGTGCAACCGTTTGCGGTCGATGTAATGTCCTTTCATCCCAGGATCATGGTCCGACATCAGAATTCTCTTCTTCGAATTTCCGGTAGAAGGCTCGCACGAGTCATCTTGAACCTTTCTGTCTCTCCGTTTTTGATTAGCAGCCCTCCCTCCAGTATTACTTGGAGCCCCATTTATCCGCACGGTCTGCAAACCAAAGCTGCGTGTGGAGCGACTGCAGTAGTACACCACCGAATTTTCGTGTACGACCGATGCTGCGCTTGCCGCACGCGAAAATGGATTGCCTTCCGTGCCGGGTGGACACGCAGCTTGGCCGCGGGCGCTGAGTAAAGCCGTCGCGAGCGCTGAAGATTGCTTGTGTTGCCATTTGCAGACGATAATGCACGTCAGCGCGTCATTGCGCACAAGTGAAGCGAACTCAGGATCGACCGCTGCCGTGTCGTATGGCACGTTGAGCACCAGCCGAGACAAAAGCAGCGCCAAGTCACCGTTGGCAGGAGACATGTTAATTCTGGTCTCGCGCGAACCGAATCTGTATCTATTTAGCTAAGTACTTGTCTTAACCCTTATTCCGCTCTATTTCCACCAATCAATAAAAAAAAGCACTTCTGGTTCTGCCGGGCCTCTTACGAAAACATCAGATGTCTAAATAAAAAGACTCGTCCGTAGCTCAGTGAGAGCGTTGTCGCGTTTTGTAGAAAGCGTCTTCCTGAGAAATCGAGGATGATCAAATTCGAATTCAGCGGCGCTTTCAGCCTTGATACTCCTGCAGTACAGGTAAGGATCGATCGACCGAAAAGGGTGAAGCCACTTCTTTTTCCAACAACGTGCGATCCTTCAATCAAAACAAAGAAATTCACGAGAGCCGTCTGCAAGATAAACTCTTCGACAAAAAAATAAAGAGGACGAGGTGGTGGCGCGGAGTAGTTTTAAGGTCGATACACCTAGCTAAGAGGCCTGTGGACGGCTGAGTATCGAAGCGTCAACTGCCAACACTGCGTGTCATGCCCAATGTAATGACTTTACTATCTCATTTTCTTTGACATGCACAAGACTTAGCATTGTGGCATTTTCGGCGTCGACATGATTATCGCTATTCTTTGTGTGTGTGCGTTATCGTGGAAACAACGGTCCGTTGCTCTAGAATAATTGCTCTGCAATGGGAATCGAATTCGAAAAATGATAGTTGCTTGGACCGTGTGTGTGCTTCACTGCATTTGATGGTGCGCCAGCAGATAATCATATGGCGCAGCCAAACTCAAGATTACTTAGTATTCTTTCGACTACCACTACATGCTCCCTGTTGACAGGTGAGGTTCGCCGGGGAGCTCATCCCCCCTCACAAACAGCTCGCGCTGATGCAAAGCTCAGCTCGAAGCGGCGCGGCAAGGTACGCGGTGTGAAGCGGAACCTTAGCACCACCATCGAGAATACCAGCCAGGGCCGTAGCGACCTTTGGAAAAGATGGGCAGAAGGATTTTCGCATAAGAGAAACAGACTCTGGCAACAGAAAATCTGTAATCACTCAATTGTTGTTCTTACAATATCAACCAGACCCTCGTTCCAAGAAAGACTACCTGGTAGGCGTTTGCGACGAACATCTCGTAGTTTTCTCTTGTGGGGACACCTCCAACTTGCCCTGCCTGTGCTTGCATTTGCTGTACATATTCCATGGCCTGTGGCGGGGCTTGCGGTCCTAGCGCGCTTACCGCTTCGCCCATCTTGCCTAGGATCCAAGACCAGTTCCAAACTGCAGCCACGACGTTCATATCTGGGTCCTTCTCGAGCAATCGCATATTTTTGATGCCGATCAGGGCAGCCTACAACAATTTTTTTTGCGAGAGTCACAAAACAAAGACGAATATCTTCCAAATTTTCTGAATATCTTCCAAATTTTCTTACTGCGGATAGATATACTGAAAAAGACCTAATCATGCATGAGATGCGTGCCCGGTCTTCATTTCCCGACTCTAGTACACCAACACTCAATGATTACCATGACTGTCAAAAAAGCGCTCACCTGTCCTTGTGGTACTGTTGCTGCAGGTGTAGGTGCTGCGGCCGACGTGCTTTTCGCTGACGCTACTTGTGCTTGAAGGTGCCGGACCACTTCCGCAGTCTCCGCTTTCTCCTTCGCGTACTGGTCTGCAAGCTGCTTTGCGTGATTTTCGGCTGCCTCTGCTGCGTCCCTTGCCTTCGAGGATATTTTCTTTTCCTCGGCTAGTTGAGCCTTTAGGCCGACCAGCGCAGAAGTGTCGACATTTGCTTGCGGTGATCCAGCGTCGGCTTTCGTCATTCGCATAGACGACCCAGCCCCGGGTGTGACGGATTCTGAAATACAGAAGTGAAAAGGTCATCCCTTTCCACGTCAGTCGGTGACAATGAATTTTCGATCGAAATAATCTGTGCCAGATACAATCAAAATCTTTTTGAAACCAATCGAGCAGCAGCAACCAGTTCGTGATAGACATAGCGCTGTAAAGAGGTGTGGAGAGTCAATACTCACATTCGACCACAGCAGCTTTCCAGACTTCGGCACTTTCACTGCAAGCTCTACTGCGCCAGAAAACATTGCCCCGACTACGATCCCTGCTAGAACGACGATTATTGCAACCAGCACTTTCGGTGAAATGCCGCTCTTTACGATGACCGCACTACTTCCTGCCGAAGATACCACCTGTGAAGCAAGGTGAAAAAGATTATCTTTATCTTCCGGATAGTTCGAAACGGGAGTTCCGATTCATGCACAAAAGGCATAATAGTTTGAAGCTCATGTTAACATGCGAAATAGCTGAAGGTCATTGGGTAGAAGTAGAAGCCACAACGGCACGTGACCTAGAAAAACAGATGAAACAAAAAGCGGTCGCTCTAGCAGTAACAAGAATCTTGATCTTTGTCCCGCCTTGACGGCAGGCACAAATGCTCAAATATTACTCCTTGTATGTCCACCTTCGGCTTCTCCTTTTCTGCGGCTGGCTCCTTTGCGCTGGGCTTTGTCGGGCTCCGATTTCGTTTCGGCGTTGCCGCTTTCCCCGACGACGCCGCCATTTTCTCGGAAGTGCAGGCTCGGAACTTCGATGCTAAATCATGAAACAATGAACGATAACCATATATAATAGTAGAACCTCCGTGAAAGACAAGGATAGTCTAGGGTGTTGTCCGGCGGTAGTAGTAAGGATAACTCATTACTCAATGTCGTGCGTTTGTGAGTTGCCTTTTTTGCTGCGCACTTTCTTAGTCTACAGCAATTTCTCTTCTCTCTGCAACTACATCGTACTCGAGGATGCTCTCAAAAACCTTCGGTCCCATTCACAAACAGAGACAACATTTTGAGATACCTCTTCGCGGCATCGCTTCGTTTCGTATCCGCTATGTATTGGCTAAGTGGCATCACTTGGACCCCGCAGTGTGCAGTATTTTGCGATGTCTGCCACTTTTCATTGCTTCATTGCGAGGTGTGAATCGTGCGCCATCTATCTAGTGTCATCTCTATCAACATCAATGGCGAGAAACGAAGTTGTGGTCCAACGTTCGCAGGAGAAACTCAAAACCGTTCGGGTGCGGTGGAAGCGCTGTACTACATTATATGCTGCGTGTGAACCCCAGAAGTAGGTCGCGGTTCCAGGTCAGATGTATATTTCAATTTCATCATCAAAATTCAAAACGGGTACTTTCATTAGATTTAGGAGCATGATTGGTCGTAGGAGCTGCCTATCCCAGAAACTTCATGAAGATACTTGCTTCTAGCAAATGACAAACACAAATTATATATTTTCATGAAACCCGCACTTGCGTTCAACATCGAAAGCCATATCTCTTCATTACATTTACATGTTCTTAGCGAGAAACGGAAGACCTGGCTGTATAATTATGCCCTCATATTTTACACCCACAGCAAGTTGACGAACTGCATATGAGATAAACGATTGCCAAAACGATGCAAGCGCAAGATGTTCTTCGCGAAAACACACTTGTAAAGCAGGAACCTTTTTGGTCAGCGCAGGCCATAATTATCACCAAGATAGGTGCAGAATTTTTAGTTTCAAAAACCTACTACCTCTGCCATTAGGTACAAATACCCACCCCTTATCCTAATCTATCAAAATCAAAGATCCCCCTCTTAGTATACTTGTTGATTCAAACACTTTCCTCACAGCTAAGTAGGATAATTCACTCGTCATCTGCTAGTAACTATGCACAAGCTGTTCTCCAACAGCATCATGACAAAATGGAAGACCATTTCCTCATGCTACGCGCTGACGCTTTGCCGCTCCGATGAGGTGACGGGCTTCCGCTTCCGCCTCGTAGCGCTTCTTGTCTGCCTGGTAGCGTTCCTGCATTTGGTGCTGCCACTCCTTGCCAGCTTCGGTGTTGCTTGGTGGTATTTCACCACTCCAGAGCTGCACCTTCTCCAGCGATCGCTTCCGCCCCTCTGCGCTCATTCCATTCGCGCGAGTCGCTGGATTCGCATTGAGGATGCGGCGCTGTTCCTCGACGACCACGTACAGATTGCTCATGGCACTCATCTCCGGGCCTACGTCGAAACTGCTGCCGCTCGATTTTCCAGCGGTGTTATGCATTCGCGCGCGGAAGAACCAGTCTGCCACCGGGAAGGCGTTCGACACGCGACGATCGTCTTTCACGTTGTAGAAAACCGGAGTTGAGACACGTCCGTGACCTTTCTCAGCCTGGGCTGGGGTGCGACGAACTCGATGCCACATGCTCTTCAACAATGCTGTGCTTTTAAGTGCCCCCTTCTCGTCAAGTTCGATCGTCTCAAATTGCGTATTGGCTTGCAAAAAATCCGACAAAAAAAGGTACCTGTGAAACAAGATGAGTCCGCCCAATAATCTAGCGTTGTGAATCTAGTACTTGTTATGAGGACCTCAATCGTCTATTCCACAACATGCAGCTCCGAGAAGTCAATCTTCATCATTTGAGTCAAGAATGAGTCAGTTGTACATATCGATCTCCCCGGGTGCAATTGCGTGCCACTCAGCAGAATCTTCAGCAGGTCGCTCCAAAATTTGTCCATCGCCGACAAAGAGTTCGAGACCCTCATCCGTGGCAGCTGGAATAAGCGTCAGCGCGCAAATATCTGTGTGACTACCTGCCCAGACGTCGCTCTGGTCCAGCTTTGCCAATGTATCATCGACACCAGGATACCTTTGCGATTGATAAAAACGCATAGAATCAGTGCTGGTGACCCCTTCCATACGCTGAACAAAAAGATATCGATTTGACTTTGACCGTAAATCGGGAGCAAAAAATCTGATAGTCTTTTCGTGGTGAAACAATGTCGTAAACTCATCAGAACAAGATCTTCCTCGATTTGAAGTTGTGTAATTTATTAGTGAAAGCTAGTCGCTGTGCTCACCACAGGTTCCTGCTGTATCCCTGCTTGGTGTCTTCGATAAAGTTCATGAGGATGAGGTCGTCCAGCTTTTCCCGCTGAATCCTGATTCCCTCCCTGACGCGCTTCAACAAACTTCTTCGGTCAACCGTCATCAAAGCACCGTTCTCTGAAGGCCTTAGTCCCAAAGAGTCATTTACATCTGCCATGTACGTGACAACGAATCGGCGCCAGGCTGCCTCAGCCCGGCTCTGGTCGTGCATGCCCTCTTGCTGCAGCAACACATTCAGCAAGTCAATGTCCTTCATCGCACCAAGCTGCTCGATGCGTGCTTTCATCTCTCCAATAATCTTTTCGACCTCCGCCTGCAACGCGCCAAGGACGGCTTTTGCGAAATTGTTCATGTTCCGCAAATACTGCGGCATCAGATAGTAAAACAGGCCCCACTCGTCGTTGGTCTTCAGGTCAAAGAAAACGCTACTTGTTGGGCCCAGATGCGTTCGGACATGCTCCTCGTATTCGTCCACGCGCTGTTGCAGCTTTCCAAAGACATGGCAAGCTTCCGCGGAAGCATCCAATGGCACGCCATCACGTAAGCCCCTGAACACGGATAAGAATCCGATGAAAAGTTGAAAACTAGCTACTATGGGGAATTCCAGAGGGAGAGAGATGGAGTTTTCATCTTCCGTTTCGCAAATAAAGCGTCAACACATGCGCGAGAACAAATCTTCTGCTATGAAGAAAGAAAGCGTCCAGATAGCGGACACAAAAATCAAAGAAAGTTTTATTAATTTATTTAGTACTTCTTCAAAAGACGCTGCTTAGTTCTGATCAATTCGATCTGCTTGGTTTCAGCGTTGATTTGATCGTTGCCGACAAACGGGAACCACGGAACATCGATAGACCACTTGTTATCCGGAAACTTTTGCCCCTCAGCTTGCTCTCCCGGTAAGACAACGAAGGCCCAGTCTCCGGAGGGATCCCACTTTGGGTTCACCGTCTGCAGGAACAAAATGAAAGGGGATTGTCCTTTTTGAATATCAATATTTATTAAGGAAGTCTCTCTTGCAGGAGCTACGATCTGAATTATGGCAAATCATTCTTCTAGAACATGCTCGCTTCTTCGATCTCTCTAGTGACCTCATCGTGGTGTAGTCACGTGGGTAGACTGCTACTTAAATGTCAGCGAACAGCTTCTTACAAGAGTCTGACCCACTTCTACAACTAAGAATTGACATTTGGTTCGCCATAAATTTCGCGTAGTTCATGAGGATGCCGACCTCATGTTGGATGAAAGACATGCCCAATCGGAATGGCACCGACTGCCAGGTTCCGTGGATGGCTCCTTTCGGGGGCTCAACAACACCCGGGACTTGGTCCACTACGGCCGCAACCGACATGGCAGTCTCTCCACCCGGCAATACATCGCGATGCTGCTCGGTCCAGTGCAGTGTGTTCGTCGGCACCGGAAGCAAGAAACGGAAGCGCTCGGTCAGCCCTTGGCCTTTCAGACCCACAAGGCCTTTACCTCCACGCATCGGGCCACCTTCAACGAGCTTTTGCGCCAGTTCCCTGACATCTTCAGTGACTTCCAAGACCGGAAATTTGTAACCAGCGAAAGAAGGAGTGGACGGTTCTTCTTCGGAGCCTTTTTCACCTGAAAAAGAATGGACAAAGAAATTTCTGACTTGTTGATAAATGGTACTCCTGATGAAGTCTTCGTAGTTTCTGAGCTTCTATCCTAATCACACGTGTTGATATAATTCATCGTGACATGACGACCATGTTTTTCATCGTGAAGGCGCGGCTGGGGCTCCTACGCCTTTCGGCTACCGTATCTGTTCTACATGATATTCTTGACAAGGCTATCTATGTATAAGAACAAGCCAACCACATCCCGAGAAGAACAAGTTCTACTTAGTACCCTTCGATACAACACGTTGCAATACTTCCTTGAAAGTTCTTGCACCCACAGGGATATAGAATTCTTGCGACTACACAACACACAGCAGTGCAGCATGAGTATCTTCTAGAAGATATTTCTACCAATAGCTGGATCGCCAGCAGTCTTCGCCAGGAATCCAGACTTTTCCGTTTTTCCGTCTGCGGTCGCGGCCACCATATCTGCAGCAAGAAACGAGGAGGAGAAGACACAAACTGCACGAAACGACAACATTTTTTGTGATTCGTGATGTTGTTCAAGTGAGTTTATAGCGTAAGAAACAAGACACGACGAATTGGGATATTGACGCTTGCCTTGAATCAAATACGACATCAATATTCGCGATGCGAATTCTTGCGTTTTTGTCCCTGAGCTATTATCGTCTATTTGGGCCGTCAGCGGGCACCGGAAAAAGGAAATCTTGCACAGGATTTAGTCACATTTTAGGATAAACGCCCAAAGAGAAAGTGGCCCGAACACGGAAATTAGGTCGAGGGCGCGCGAAAGCATGGCCCCAGGAGAACAAAAAAGACCAACAGCCCAAAAATTACCACGACACGCCGCTTCTCGGAGAAAAACGGCAGCCACAGTCGTGACCGTGATCCACCAGACACCATTGAAAAAAAGCTAAACATCGCAAGAAGTTCGAGTCCAGAACACGAACCAACGAAGTATCCAGCATACCTTGATCTACCTCCGTACCTCCGTACCGACGCCAACACCACTACACACCACGTACTTTTTACACAGGCTAGCATCATCTGCTACTGGTACAATCACACGCATGAAGTATCACAGGCCGGGACGGGAAAGAAGATGCAGAACGACAATGAGACGCCCGCCGAAGGCGGACAGCGGATGAAACGTATCAACGGGTCTTGGAAATGGAGTAGAGAATACTAGTACTTATACTGTAGGCCTACCAATTAGTCTGAATTTCTTAAGGGCGTCCCTTAAGGAGCCTCCTTAAAACGAAAATCTTTAAGGATTTTCTATGTTGTATTCTAAATAGTTATAATAGCTTTGCGTTAAAGGACAAAAAAAACTCTTAAAGAGCTCCCTTAAGGCGGCTCTGTGATAAACTTGGGCTAATAATAAGACCTTCCTTAAAGGCCCGCCCTTAAGTGTGGGCCCTTCCCTTCCTTAAGGGCCCCGCGCCCTAGCTGACTTGCTGGCTTACCGCTTGCACGTACGTAGCTAGCTGCCTAGGTTCGCCGTAGCTAACCTGCCAGGTGCTTAGCCATGGCTAGCCTGCTAAGTGCTTAGCCAAAGCTAGCCTGCTAAGAAGTGCGCAGCCAAAGCTAGCCTGCTAGCTGCTTGGCTATAGCTAGCTAGCCTGCCAGCAGGCGTACCCCTTGCCCGTAGCTAGCCTGCTAGAAGCTTCGCCATACATAGCGAGTCCGCTAGCTCCTTGTGTCCATAGTTAGGTAGCGGATTGGCCATAGCTAGCTTGCTGGCTGCTGAGCAGCTAGCCGGCGCAGGCATGCCTAGCCGGCTAGCTGCTCAGCAGGCATAGCTAGCTTGCTGGCTGCTTTTTAGGCATGCCTAGCCTGTTAGCTGCTGCGCCGTAGCTATCGAGCTCACCACCCCGCTAGCTGCTCGCCCTTATCTAGCTGGCTGGCTAGGCAAGCTAGCTCCTTGCCCATAGCAAGCCTGCTAGCTGCTTGGCGAAATCTAGCTTAACAGCTGCTCTGCCATCGCCAGTCTCCTAACTTTGCCGCGTCCCGCGAGCCTGCTCGCTAGCTTGGCCATGGCCACCGTGCTCTTATCTGTCTAGTTGCTGCCGACTTATGCCCAGCGCAGCGGGCCCTTGATGGGCCCGCTTTCTGGGCATGTATCTATATAAATATATGAGCATCTCGAAGGGAGATTTTAGTGATCGAGGAATCATAGTGTGTGCGCTCTGCGATGACGGTCACCTGGAAATACATTTTCTTCGGTTGTTAGTCCACGAAGGAGGAAATACACGGACCACCAGATCCCACCGAATTGATAAGAGAAAATTAGAAACAGAGACGAGTGGGTCTGTGAAGTGCCGGACAGGGAGATTAATTCCACACGAATTCGGAACCAACCTGTAAACTTCATCTTTGTTTTTTATTTTTGTGCGTCGTCATCAGACACTGTACGACAAAATTGAACACGACCATCTCAACCCATTATCGTGACCACAGTTATAGTGGATATGCCTTTCTGCCACAACAACCCAGAATCGCCGAAACGCAGTATTCATTTCCTTCATTCTTCAACAAAAATGACCAACAAATAGCTGAGTGATTGATGTACCCAGTCACTGGGTGTTCAACTGCTTTCTTTCATTTTGATGCGAAGTTCGCTCTTCCCCGAATCAGACTCGATTCTAAATCTCAATCAACATCTGTGTAACTCGTCCCCGCGTGGCTGGTTTCATTACTGTTAATAAAAACCGTCGATCCTGCATGAACCAATTTTCCATTAAACAAAAAACTTTTTTGCCAACAACCGAGACCCACGCGCTCGCGTAGTACCACTATGATTTATCTCTGGTCGTGTATATTATCCCTTGACAGTAGTGACACAACTTTCCCATCGGTTACCTTAACTGGGCCAGCTTCTTGCTCGCATCATAAAAAAGACTTTGCAATTGCATTTGTATATTTCCTTGGCGAAACTGAGAATCGATCTTAATATAAACCCTATTTATTATTGAAACCATAAAATAAATTTTCAAAGCAGAATAGGTTTACATTCGTTTGCTGGCTTTGCAGAAACGAATGCGAAAAATGCTTATTGCAGTCACACCGACCACTGCAAGAACATCAACAATATCAAGCTTGAAAACTCTGTTCCAGGTGATTATTTTTGTTGTTCGGAGTATGAGTAAAAAAGTGTATTATAAGTAGTAGAGGATTTCTTTCATCATCATCAAATAATGCTGTCAATAGTCGCCATTCTCGGTTTTGCGCACGAAGCGTCGCGAAAAGCATCATTCCTGCTACCTTATAGCTGCAACAAACAACCCAAGAAAATAATGTACAAAAACAGGGTGATAGTGACAGCCCATAGCTATACAAACACTAACTCATGTATACTAATCATATTTGCGACCAGGAATTTCAGTCTTCATTCGTTGCGAAAAGAACAGAAGAGAAAGGAAGGAGCCCGCTGGCCTTGGGGTCCAATAAAATGAAATCCGTACAAGGAGGGAGAAAGGACCACTGGCGGCCTCGATACAAGTATCTATGCGCTACAGTGTTCGATCTACATGTGTTTCAAGTATACACGACAGTCTTCAGCATCAACTTCTATCTAATATTATCGGACGATGGTAATTGAATTTCCAAAAAACCCTTGGCTATGGGTGCATCACTTTTCCAGAAATCGAAGATACAAGAGAACTACTGAAATATCTTACCATGATTTCCGGTCAAACATGCACTACTCAAGGCTATAATTAGAATGCATCACAAAGTGCACGGTGGACTTTCAATGAATTACACTTACCCTTACAAACTCAGGCGGCCGCGGCCACCAAACCTCTGAGAGCCTCAAGCAGCCGCTCTGAAATACTGAGGCTAGGATACTTCTCCTTGAGCGCCGCAAGAATATCTGTCGCTTGCTTCAGTAAGGGGTTGCCACTCGACCAGAATATTTCCAAAGTCTCCAAGCGGTCACGAAAAGCAGGGTCCTGTGGAAACATTTGAAAATTCGATTTCAGACTTGCTTTTGCCAGGCTAATATTTATTGATGATAAGAAGTGGCATCCACTTCTACTCAGCCGCTGAGATTCATCGTACAAGTTGCCTCATGAGCCCACTTAAGTAGTACTGAAGCTCTCCTTTGCGTCGATCATGAGAAAAGTAGGCACTTCAAGAATCAACTAAAAACAAAAAGATTGTTCGTTCAACCTGATATTTCGCCAATTTCTCTTGCATTTTTTTGTTTTCCGACACGATGGCTCGATATCGTTCTTCCGTCTTTGTTACGTCTTGCATCAGCTCTTGCGCCACATCTAAGGCCTCTCGGTCCTCCTCACGCGCGGCATTTAGTTCCGCCACCTGCGCTGTTGCCTTATCCTTCTCAGAACGCAGTGACAGGGCCTTCTCCTCCAACTCTGCATTTCGCAGATTACACTGCTCCACAGTGTCATTCAAGCTCTTGATCTTCTCAGCCAACTGTAACGTCTCCTCTGCGGAAGTCGTACCTTTTGCGGCTACCGGAATGAAGGAAGACAGGTGTGACAGGGACCACTGGAAATAGTTTACGTACTAACAGACAGGTTAACACAGTCAGTCATACTCCCCTCGTGTTGCCAGTCATGTAAATACCCCTGCCCTTCGTCCTGAGAAAGCATGAGAAAAAACCACTAAACATTCATGGATGTACATATATTCTTAGCGACGTCTCTACAACAAAGAGCAGTTGTGTCAACAACATGACCATCCCATTTTACATAAGTTTTTCACGCAAGCGTTCGTTCTCGGCATGTAGCGCGCCTTGCTTCCGCGTTTCACGGTGAAATCGCTCCAACTCTTGGATCTGTCGGTGATTATCTTTTTTCAGCTTGTTGATCACCATTTCCATGCCTTCCACCACTGCTTCTAAGTTCTTCTCGCGTCGGCTTGCCGCTTTCGCATCGGCCGCTGACGCCTTCCCTCCCGTAGCAGGCGCAGACGCGACCGAACTTTTGCTCGCACTGGACCCAGGAATGCCAGCACCACCTGCTTTTTCGCCCACTTCAATTGTGGTTTCGAGATCCCGGATGCGGTCCTCCATACGAGCGAACTTTTGCTCCCACTGTGTCCTTTCAAACAAGTACTCCATGGACTTGGCCTCCGCACGTCGAAGTGAACTGTCCATCTCCTCCTTGTCACCAAGCAGCGCACGCTTCTCGTCCTCCAACCGCTTCACCTTCAAATTGATCGTCATATACTCCTCCTCCCGCTGGGCCCACTCGTCACCGAGGCGGACCTGTAACATGGTGAAGAGAGATAAATTTGTTACCCTTTCTGGCTAGGTGACTATCACATCTTTGAATCCTGCCTTTTTGAAAAAGGTAATGAATCATTAAGTTGTGATTTTTAAGGAGGACGCCTGAAGAAGCAAATTGAATCATTTGCAAGCAGCTGTCTCTAACTCAAACTAGCTCTTCATGTTGGTAGGCATGATGAGAAAGTTAGTACCGCCTTGACTCTCTTCATTTCATAGTTGAGGCGTTCGATTTCTTCCTGAGCACGCGTGAGCTCGTTCTCTACGCTTTTTTTTTCGCCTTTGACTTCGTCCACGATTTTTTTGGCATCGACATTCAATTGCTTCTGCAGAGCTTCAATGCGGCCATCCTTGTCGAAGAGCTCCTTTCGGTAGCCATCTGTTGACTTCAATTTTTCCAGCACGAGTTCACTGTTCGTTTTCTCGACCTTATCGACTTGTTCCTGCAAGGCAGCAATCTCCTTCTCTTTTTCGCGCAATGTTTCCTCCATGTGGTCGCTTGTCTCGGACTGGTGCGTCATACGGGCCAGCTCCTTTTCGACCATGTCCTTGTGTTCTTCGGCTTGCTTCAGCGCCTTACCCAGTGTGATGACTTGCTGCTTCAGTTTCGCCTCTGCTTGATTGGCACTCGACGACGCGGTGGGCTGGTCTGCACCGCTTGTGCGGCTACTAAAACGCGCGGCAGCCCCAGCTGCAAGAGGTGGTAGTGGCTGTGCGGTAATCGACATACCACTTGCAGCGCTACCGCCAGTCGCATTCAAGCTGCTTCCTCCAGCCCCGGAGGACACTGTCGTGGGTCCTCCGACTGCGGGCGCCTTCTTGGGAAATTCACGGAGAATTACACGGCTCACGTCGTCGCAGAGAACCATACCATTCTTGTCGAGTTTCAAAAGCTGGTGCAGCTTGCGGCACTCTTCGAGAGGGATATTCAGCTGGCGGGACAGCATGGACACAAGCGAATGGAAGAGAATCCGACCGGTGCTAAGTGGGTCTAAATCCCGTAGCAACTTCAACAACGACAACTTCTGCGACTCCAACATACGATAAATGTTCGCCACCGCTGGCCCAGCAGTCACCCAGCGGTCGGCCTTATTGTCCTGCTCGCACCTGGCCGACTGAATTTCCGCAATGAGAAGATCAATTTTCACGGATGGCGCAAGTCCAGTGTTGCGCAACATGCGGTCGGTCTGGCGCTGCTGCGTGTGCTCCAGAATCTGGAACAGCTTTTGTGTTGCCTGATCGTCGGACCCTGGCACAACCTGTTGGACAAACCTCCTGAACTGCGCACTGGTCAGACTTCCACTGTTTCTCGCGTCAAGCTTCTGCAGCAACGTGCGGATCGGTTGATTCTCCCCGATCACGCCGTTTCTCAAGGCGCTGAGCGCTGCCTGTTTCCACCGCTCAATTCGATCCCGACTTCGCGTGTCGGTCCAGGCTGGCAGCACCACCGCTTGAGCACCAGACGCAGCTGTTCCGTCGTTCGCAGCGCCCTCTTCGGGCGCGTCGCCAGCTTCGTCGCCCCAGCTAGCGGCCAGCACCTCCTCGGGGAAGCAGAGACGAGATTTAAGCACAGCATAGGGCAGCATTCCCGTGTCATTTTCGTCTAAAATCTCAAAGAGACTCCCCAAATCCGTCTTCGAGATTTCTTTGAGCAAGCTCTGATGCTCGAACAGGTCTTTGAACTCGATGTAGGTGAGGTTGCCGTCGCGATCCGCGTCAGCCTGCAAGAAGGCGTCGAGGAGGGACAACTTATTGTTAAAGAAGCAGTTCTTCAACTTCTCTAAAGTTGTGAAAAGATGTGCGCTGCGCACCCGCCACGCGAACTCTGCACGGCTGAAGTTTGCACCTGTATCTGAAGATGGCGCGGAGGACGCTGAGGATGCGATCGACTTGCGCGACTTGCTCATTCGGACAGCCGCAATAACTGCACTACCGGGGCACTCGTCCACCATCAAAGCACGTTCATGGGCATTGCACTTCACGCCAGAGAAATGCAGGAAGTGGTCCATATCACTCTGTGTGCCGCGGTCTTCGTCGTCTCCGTGTGTCGGAGGCATCGCTTTTGCAAACCACGTGGGCGAAACCTCCTTCATGCCTTCTCCCGTGGTACGGGCAGCTTTCTCCATTAAGCCGTTTCGCACTTTTTGGAACAGGATTTGCGTTTCGGACCGCTCACCGCTGATTTCCAATTCGAAATCGCGGAATTGCAAAAAACCGGTCGGGCTGCCAGCAGCCAGGTTCCCGACTTTCATTGTGCGTCCCGCTTTGCGTGTTGCAGCTTCAAAAACGTACTCTAGCAGCTGATCCGAATATGCGGGTTGGTTTCCAGAGTCATCGTCCGCTCCTTGTCGTTCGCTAGTAGCATTGGTGCCTGGTGGGGGCGGTATCTTGCTCTGCTGTGCCTTAGGAGGTGTCGACGGCAGCTCCGTGCGCACCATGCGCTTGAAGTCTGCGAGCGTTAGGAACCCTGCACGCGTGCAATGCTGATCAAACAACACGCGCACGCGCATCTGTTTCTTCAGAAGCATACGCCGGAGTCGCGCAACCGGTCCCTGGTCCTTGCTCTTTGCAGTCAGCACTGTTGCGTCGTCTGTCTTTGCCATGTGTAAAGTCTCTAGCTCTTCGGCCAAGCGCAACTTACGCGCTTCATACTCACCTCGACTACTCAGAAATGCTGTGTCAAGAGTCCACACAAGCGCGCTTTCAAGCGCCTCTAACAGTTTCCGGCGCGCTATTTCGTCCTTACTGACCGTCTCGGTCTCAGAACTCGTGCCTGGCCCAGCGGAAGATGCGGCGGTCTTCCATGCTGGTGAAGACGGCGTTGATTTGGCATCAGCGTTGTTATCTGTGGCTTTTTCACTATCCTCAACCTGGGAAAGAAATTGACCTACTAAGACTTTGACTTTCTCGCGCTCCAGGAACTCGAAGAATGCGGAAAAGACGTGGACGAGCATGTTAAAGGGGTCACTCGATTGCTCAGCTTGCTCGAAAAGCGCAAAAACGATGCGCAACGCCGTACGCAGCGAGAATCCGCGCAGAGCGCCGGATGGCAACAAAAGCCCAAGGTGGCCAGCACTCTTGAGAGGAATCGGTTCGAACTCGGAAACTGTCGCCTCTCCTAGTGCCGCGAGCCACTCCACGTACCTGATGCGCTCGCCGTCGAGGAAGTTAGTCAAGCTTGCGTTCGCCTGTTCCGAGAAATAGGTGTCCAGCACCTGTGCCGAAACCGACAATGGCAGCATGTCCACCGCCTTCTGGATTCCGCGCAGAGACAAAAGCCCGCTCTTCTGGACGTCAAGCGCTTTTAGGATTTGTAGAAAGCTGATGCCTTCCAACGTCAGCTTCTGTCGCACACCCGCGATCAGTTCTGCATGCTTCTCGGGGCTGAGCATCTGCCAGTCCCGCAAGCGCTCGTTCTCCTTGGCAACGACTTGGACCTCGCTCTTGAGCTCAACAATAGTGGTTTCTTTTTTCCCCAGGACGTTAACCTGCTGCTCCAAGGAAGACTTTTCGCGTCCCGCTGCCTGCACCTTATCCTGCTCTCGCTCGAACGCGATACGGACTTGTCCCAAGTCGTCCTGCGTTTTCGCTAAGAGCGCCTCTGCGTCGGCAACCTTCTTTTCGGCGGCGGCTTGCGCGCGCTCACAACTCCGTCTCTCGTCGTTTGCTTTGTCCAGCTCCTGGCCTAGCCGGTGCAGCCGACTGTTGAACATCTCCTGTCTGTCACCCACCTCCATGTCGAAGACACGGGTTAATTCTTCAATGCGCTTCTGCAGGAGGGCGACTTGAGTCTTATCGCCCCCTCCACCAATCACACTAGACCCTTTTGCGGCGTAGTTTCCACTCTGTCTTTTCGGTTGGTTCTGCTGTTTCCGGAAATCATCGTTCTCGGCTTCGAGGAAGGCCAATTTGTCGACGAGCTCTTGAAGTTTTGTCCCGCTACCGACATCAACGAGCCGCCTCTCAGTACTCGCGCTCTTCTGCGCTGCTCCACCGCCAACAGTGCGCGACTTCTCCAGTTCACTCAAGTCCTTCACGGCGCGCTTGTAGAGGATGTCGAGCTTCTCCTTCTCAACCTTCACTTTCGCGAGCTCCGCTTCGACCACATCGGTTTCCCTGAATCGAGCGGATAACGCTGCGTTTTCCTCTTTCAGAGCGTCGAATTTCTTGAAGAACTCGCCTGCGGTTTCGTCGCCAACCTTTACGACGCTGCCAAGCTCAGCCATCCGTCCCTCCAGCTTCACATTCACCGCAGAGAGTTCTGCTAAACGCTGCTGAAACCTGTTGGTTGCGCGCTCGAGGTCATCCTCGGCATTCAAAGCCCTCTTGCGCAATTCGTCTGGCTCCGTGATCACAGACAGCATCGCTGCGCGCTTTGCCTGCGCCTCGCTCATCTGTGGAGCGGGAGGAGTCGCTTTTGCGGCTGCATGTGCCTTACTCTCGTCAGCAGCCTTTGCGCTTGATCCGTCGGCAGCCTTGTCGTCACCGTCTTTTGGGACGTCGCCTGTACCTGGTTTGTCGGTAGACGAGGAAGCCGCGCCCTGCTTCGTTGCCCCGTCATCAGAAGAACCTGTTTTCGCACCTTCCTTTGCTGCATCTTCGGTGCCCTTTCCTTTAGCCGCGTCCTCCTTCTTCTTTGTTGCTTCCGCTAAGATCGCCTCCTCCACGGGGTTGATATCGGTGAAACAGCGGGGATCCACTCGCATCAACGCTGACGACTGGGCGAGTTGCTCTCGTCCCTGCCCGCCAAAGGACGCCTCGTTGTCGATGTACTTCGACAAGTACACTAAGCCCATTTCTAGCCTGTCAATCCAGTGATCCAGAGCCGCATCCTTGTCGCTTCCCGCCTTCACTTGCCCCGTTGTCTTGCTCGCCGTCGCTTTCGCCACGGCCGTCTTGGTTTGCTGCGTGAGCTTTTCCAGATCGTCTATCCAATTTTTCTGGAACCACTCAATGCGCTGCCTGAACACTTTGTAGCGCTCCGCTCCCTTCTCGAACACTTGGATGTCGTGCGCGAGATTGCCCGCTCGTGCTAGATCCAGCTCGTGCCTCTCATCCTGCTTCGCGACCTGTTTTTTCAGAGTTGCAACTTCTTCTTCTTGGAACTTGAGTTTCTTCAGCGTTCCTTCTTCACGCAACTTGGCCGCGTCTCGTTCCTCGTGTGCCGCATTCAGCTCAGCGCAGAGCGTTTTCATACGACGCGCGAATATCTCCTGTCGGTCCTGCAGCTCAATCTGAAACACCCTGTTCGCTTCGTCCAATTTCTTCTTCTGAATTTGCATCTCCGCATCGGTCGGACCGCGGCCGATGGCGCGGCTCGTTTTCGTGCCAGAGGACGCCGTGTCAAAAGTGAAGAAGGAGAAACGCAAGGTGACAAACACAAAAAAATCAGTTATGCAACTGCATATTTATATGTTCCAGGCGCCAAGGCCCCCCCGATCTAAATTTTTGAGGGGGGGCCTCCCGCCCCGGACCCTTTTTCCCGAGGGATGCCAGGCGCGAAGGCCTCCAAGCGACCACCTCCGATCCCTTCCCGCTTCTTGCCTGGACCCTACCGAGCCCCCTTCCGTGAGGCCGTTGAAGCACCGAAGGCCGGGGGCGCAAGGCTTCCGAAGGTGGCAAAGATGGCAAGGCTGGGCCCCCTTTGGCTTGTTGCGGCTTGTTGCATGTACCCTACAAGCCTCCAGGGTGCAGGTTCCTCAATGGGGGAGTTTCTTGTGAGGTGGAAGGCCTCCGGGGGCAGCAGGTGGCAAGGCTTGACCCCTTTCGCCGTGCTGCATATATCCGAAGACAGAACCCAGGCGGGCACGCCTTGCCCCCCCTCCTCCTCGCCTTTGGTCCTCATCCCCCGGGGGTTTGGTGGTGGCGGACGCTGTCACCCATTGGGGGGATGGGGGCCAAAGGGGCCAGGCCTCGCGACCCTGGCCGCCTTCGGCGGCCTTCTCCCCCCGGAGGCCGCCCCCCCAATAGGGCCCAAGAGTCGGGACGCCTGTGGGGTAGACGCGGAGAGCCGCCAGGAGTCTCCGGCTCCGCCTTTTGAGGCCTTCGCCCCCGGAGGCCCTTACATGTCACCACCTCGGAAAAAAGGGCGCGCGGACGCCACCACCGCTCCATCCACAGGGGGGGAGCCTCCACCCCTGGAACATATATAGAGTAACGAAAAAATCAACTAATCACTTCCTGCATGCAAGTGCAACTCTGCCCAGAAGCGGAATTTCCTTGTGCATATTGTCTCATCCTCTAGCTAGAATGACCTGGAATAGGAACTTTTAACTATTGACCCTTGCCATACCCTTATTTGACTTGGGGCGTTTTGCATCAGCTTCCGGGGGAACGTTAACTCCTGACAGCTTCATGGCCATCAAATCTTTTGCCAGCTCTTGATTTTTATGTTCCAGGATGACAACTTTTTCTACCAACTCGCGAACGCCCCTTCCTGCACCAAGGTCGACTCCCTTCGAGATCTCTTCCCCCTTGCTGTCCGGAAGTTTCAAGAACTCTAGACCCTTCAACTCCTCCTCCAAACGCTTCTTCAGAATTCCTGTTCGCTCCAACTCGGCGTTCAGCACTTTGATCTCGTACTTGAGCTCGCCCACTTCGCCCAGCTGAGCTTTTAGCTCGCGTTTCTCAGCCTCGATTTGCTCGATGCGCCCTAAAAGCTCGGACGCGTGAGCCGATCGCTCGCCGTCCACCTTAACGAAAGCGTCGAGGGCTTTCAACTTGCTGTCCAGTTTGGCGTTGGCTGTGGAGAGCTCGGCGACGCGATCTACGCTCCGCTGCCATTCGGAGGAGGCTTTCGCGTAGAGATCCTCTGTCTGTTGCAGTTTCTTCGCGAGCAATTCGACTTCAGCCTGCGTCGGATTAGCGCTCAGGGTAACGTTGATGGACGGCGCAGCCGCCGGCGTTGGTGTAACCGTTGCCGCATCCGTTAGACCACCTGTTGCTGTTCCCGCAGCTGCAGTCGGAGTAGTTGCAGCTGACCCCTCCGGGCCGACTGTCGCACTTGTAGCTGTCGGAATAGGCAGTGGGGTTGCCGCATTGCCAGCTGCGCCGTCACCGGGAGCAGCGGCGCCATGGCTGCCTTCCAGCACCGGCGGCCTCTGCTGTTGCACAAGAGAGAGCATCTGGGTGTCTTGATCCCGGACTTGGACTCGCAACCGGTTGTTTTCGGCAGACAAACTGGTAATGGTGTCTTGTAAAGCGGCTACAGACGCACTTACTGGAGAGACTCCCCCGGGCGGAGTGGCCGCACTTGCCGTTGCGGGTGCGCCACCAACAGGTAGCGGCGACAGTCCGGTCGTTGATGTTGCCTGGGCGGGCGTTGGTGAAACAGAAGAGAACGCCACACCGACAGCGCCAGCCGGCTTTGCAACCGCAGGTGTAGCGGCTTTCGCGACCGCCATTGCCCCGAGTCCTGCCACCAACGACGAAGAGGTCGCCTTGGCTACGGCAGTAGCTGATGATGCTCCGCTAGTTAGGGTAGAGGGCGTCGCTGCCGCAGTTGTAGTGGCAACGCCTGCGAGGATGCCGCGCTGTGTTTCTGCGTCTAGCAGCGCCTGCACTGCACTCACAAGCTTGTCGTAGATCGTCCTAGGCACCGTTGTCGGCTGAGAGCCAATACTGCCCATTCCCATACCAGACGTGCTGCTAATCCCGCCGTACATGCTGCTGCCAGGGCGACCATACATTCCGGTCTGCGGTGAGGGTCGCAAGCCGGAGGTTGGCGATGTCCGCGCTGCGAGCGCAGACGCTTCTTGGGCCTCGCGGAGTGACTTCACAAGGTTGTCACGGAAGCCCTTGAAACGCGTTTTCTCTTCCTCTGCATTCTTCTCGAGTACACGAAGCTGTTGCCCGGTTGCTTCCGCACTTGCTTCGCCCGCAGACTTCCCACGTGACAACGCCAAGTTTTCATCCTCTAGTTTGGACATTTTCAGGCGCAGCTCGCGGACAACATCTTCCGACGCAAATCGCTCCTCTTCCAATTTGCGTATCACGTCAGCTGGGTTCACGGCTGCGCCAACAGCGGTTCCGCTGGTAGCCGCGCTTCCGCCAGGAGCAGAAGATGCGGAAGCGGATCCTGCACTGGCACCACTAACCGGTTGGTCCACTGCTGCAGCCTCGCGCGCATCCTGTGCCAGCCGCCGTACTTCACGAAGAAGCGATGCAGTTTCGAAGCTCGCGATTGATGTTTGGCCGTCATAACGCGTCTTCAGTTTTTCGATTCCCGCGAGCGCCTCTTTCATCTTTTTGGTTTTGGCTTCCAATTGCTGATTGCTCTCCAACACTGTCGCCAAAGTCTGCGCCACCTTTCGTTGCTTGTCAGCTAGCGCATTCTCGGCGTCGTTGCCCGATTCCTTATCGGGGTTGTCAGGTGTTTCTGGCAGGTACTGAACTTCCGACAAGGCCATGCGGAGCTTGTTGATTATTCTGTTTGCATCGTCACTACCCTTTGTCGCGGAGCTCATGGCAACCAGCTCTTTCATGTCCGAGCGAAATTTCTCCAGCTTCGTGCAGTTGCTTCCAAGCACCGCGTAGGCGTCCCGGAACTGCTTCACTTTATCTCGCAATCCCTGCATTTCCTTCGATGACATTGTTGCAACGGCGCTTGCTTGCTCCTGTACAACTGCTGCAGCACCTGGAACTTGCTGCTGTGCTGAGGCAGCCATCTTCTTCGCGAGCGCGTCCCTCAACTGCACCATTGCGGACTGTTCCTCGCGCAAGCGTCGGTCAAGCACAGCCACTTGGTCCTGAGCGGCGTTCAGCTGAGAACGCAACGCGATGGCCTCTCCCGAGGAAGCGGCCATAGACCCACCGTACGGACTAGTTGTGGCTGCAGCAGTAGCGCCGAATCCGGACGTCGACGATGTTCGCAGACGTGCGTTCTCCTGCTCAAGCGCGCGCACGCGGTCTAGCATAGCTTGAGAGGCGGACGAAGGCGATGCGCCGGCACCCTGTGCTGAGGCCAAATCAGCCTTCTCCCGTGTCAGTCGCGTCTTTGACGTCTCCGCTTCATACAGCTTGTCCTGGGTCTGCTTGAGCTCCGTGCGCAAGCGCGTCTCTTCTTCCATCGACATCCCGCGACTGGCGGGTGAAACTGCGCTCATCTCGCGCACCCGCCGACGCAACGTCTCCATCTCGGCAACCTCCTGCTCCAATCGTCTGCTCTTCATTCGCAACGCGCCTAGCTCATCCACCTGTTCCGCGAGACGTTTGTTCTCGGCGTTCAGCCGCTCGGCCTCCCCGCTGCCAACGGTGCCCACAGACGCAATTGCGGGTGATGTGCTGCCAATCAAGCCGGTCGCCGAACCTGCGGTTGCCGGTGCTCCAGTGCTCGATCCGGCTGTGAGCGTGGACAGGTCTTGTGACATCTTTGCGAAGTCCAGAGACATCACCTTTTTCGAGTTCGAATCGAGTTCCTCCAGTAGGCCTCGTACTTCTCGCTGCAGGTTCATGGCAAGATTCGGGTCGTAGCCACGCTGCACCATGAGCAACATTCCACGTGCCCGTCGCATTAGTGCCTCGTACTCCTCCGCTGATTTCTCGCAACGCTGCTTCAACTTGACCACCTGCAGCCGCAGCAAGTCGTTCTTCTGTGCTAGGCCGAGCGAGGAAGACGGCGAAACCGGCGTCGACTGCTGCTGTTTCAGTTCGTCCCGCTCGCGCCTCACACGCGCAAGCGCCTCTCGCAATTCTGCGGTTTCAGCTGCGGACAGCGAGCTGCCAGCCACTGCCCCGGCTCGGGGAGAACCGGTGCCACTTGAATCCGCGCGTTCGAGCTTGCGCTTCAGTCTCATGTTCTCGCCCTCCAAGTCCTGAAGCTTTTGTCGCAGGCCCGTTATCGTTGTGGGCATGCCGCTGCCGGGGGACCCGAGACTCGGGGACCCAAAGGACGGCGGTCCAGCTGATGCAGTAGCAGCAGTTCCCGGCGCGCGTTTTTTCAGTTGCTCCGCTTCAATTTCTAGGTCGTCCACGCGGTCCAATAATCGCTTGATTCTCGCATCCTTTTCATCTACCTCTTTCATCTTGCCGGAAATCGCAACGCGCGCCTCCTCCAGGAGTGCTTTCAGCTTTGCCTCTGAAGCCTCCTGCGAGCGCTGCACCATAGCGTTACTTGCTTCCTTGCTCTTCGTCGCGATCACCTCGTCCTGGAGTGCCAGCATACGCCGTTTCATATCCTCAAGCCGGTCTTCGTACTGCCGCACCTGCTTGCGCAACACGCGCTCCTGCTGCTCGCTCTGTTTGGCCTCGTCTTGCGCCGTCAGCTTCTTGGCCTCCACCTCGATCTGTTCCGTTTTCCACTTCTCGACCGTGTCCTTCAGCTTCACGATCTCGGCTTGCTTCTCCTTCAGCTGCTTGCGGCAGATCTGCACAATGCGCGCGAGATTGCTGGCGTCGTAGTTTTTCTCCGCCTCCTGAAGCTTTTTGTCTAATGCACGCTGCTCGTGCTTTGCCAGCTCGTTCTCGCGCACTCGTTCCGCCAGCTTCTGTTTCAACTCAACGATCTCGGTTTCTTTCGTGGAAAGGTGTCTTTGAAGCTGCTGCGACTCGCCTTCGGCCTGCGACACCATCGCGCCGTGCTCGCGCAGAACTTTCAGTGCGGTCTCGTTCTGTGACGCCGCCGCGCCTTGGCCTCCAGGTCCACCACGACCCTGTTGGAGAGCCGAAAGCTTCACGTTCTGGACATTTAGCGCGCTTTCTGCCTGGATCAACTGCGTCTTCAATGCGTTAACTTCTTGCTGGTGGTAGCCGCGGTCCTCCTTGATCTTGATTTGCAGCTCTTCGATCTGTCCGTTCCTTGTGCGCAGCTGCTCTTCTTTCTGGTCTACCAGATCCTGCAACAGAGCAACGGACTGCTTTGCCGCTTCACCCACCTTCTTCACTTCCTACACTATGAAAGGGAGGAAAAGCACGTGCGTGGGGCTTAGTGAGAAATGCAAGTCCGTCCTTCCCCGAACAAGTCCTTACGTGATTGTACGTAAGAGATTCACATGCCATGATAGATGTTGATGCCAGTATCAAAAATCAACAACTACAGAAGATGATCACGTTCATGATCACGAAAAACACAGATCTAAGTAATAAAGATTTCTATTTATTATTCATAACATCATGCTCGCGCAGAAGTTCCGTGCGGAATTTTGTAGCGGCGTCGTCCCCGCCAAGGTTGGCTTGAAGCAATTTGATTTGGACTTCGGCATTCTTCAGTTTGCGTTGCTGCGTTTCCTGCAGCATCAAGTGGTTTTGTTCTAGCCTTTGAATGTCTTCCTCCAATTCCTGAACCTTTTCTGTCTTTTTCTGCAATTTATCCAAGACATCCTCGATCCCGGATTGCAGACTCCATCGATGTCGCATCGACGAATCGCCACCGCCGAATATGGTAAGTTTTTGCTGCTGGAACGATCCCCGTCCCCCGTCTGGTCCAGTAGGACTACTTGCCCCGTCCGCATTGGCCTTGCCCATCGCAGGCTTGCTTTGCGTTGTCGCGTTGTTCTGGATTGCCAGCATTACCTCGTGGCCCTCACGCAACTTCAGCCGCCACCGCTCCTCCTCTTGCTGCAGACGCAGCTCACTTTGCGCCAACTGCTTTTGCAAGTACTCAATGGTCTTCTCTTTCTGGTCGCCAGATCTACCCAGATTTTCTTGCTGCTCCGCCATGGCGTCTAGCTTGCGCTGGCAACGTAAACTCTCTAACCGGGTATCACTGAGCTTGGTTGCAAGGCTCATTACCTTCTTTCGCGATTCTGCTAGTTCATCGTTGCCACGTTTTAGAGCATCCTCGACCTGGGAACTCTTTAGGTCCTCGAACAGCTCTTGGGCCTGTCGTGCCTGCTCCTTTGCCATCTCCAGCTGTGCCACAGCAGCGTTCTTCTCGCGTCGCACGCTTTCTAGGTCACGCTCCAGTTCGGTTTTCCGCTACAAAATGAAAAGATACGAGAATAAGCCTAAGCACACGCGTGAGGAGGCAAATAAAAATATTTGAGGAAACGCGAAATTCATCACTTTCTTAGGTGAAGACTGAAAAAGGAACTGCGACTCCTGAGTGACATGTTGTGATGATGATGAAATATTTTAGAGGGATGAGATTACAACTAACCCACCAGCGCTAGTTTCAGTTCCACCAGTGCTACACTTTCGAAAAATTGCTCAGCATAAGAGAGATTTCTTCGACTTGGTTGCTCAGCTGTTGAGCTTTTTCGGGCGTAAAGTTCGTAGCCACATCCTGGCGCAGTTTGTCGTTCTCGATGAGGCAGTCAGAGAGCTTCTGGCGCAACTCCGCGATCTCATCTTGGTAGTTCTTGGTTGCCAAGTCGAGCCTTGTGGCCGTGTCTGCCTCCGCCGCACGGATCGAGCGTAGTTCGCCAACGACATTTTGCAGTTCTCGTGTCGCGTGTGAGCGTTCCCACTGCGCGAGAAGCAACTTGTACTGCGTCTTTCCCACCGCGAGCTCGATCTCGTCGCTGGCCTGCAGCATGCGCACGGTGTCCTGCAAATGCTTTTTCTCCTCTTGTCGACGTTTGATCAAGCGTTCAAGATTTTCGCTCTGCTTCGCGCACACAGCCACCATGTCGCGTTGCTGAGCCAGCTGCGCTTTCAGCTGCTCATTCTCGAACAGCACACTCTCGGCTAGCCGAAGTTTGGGCTCCACCTCGTCTTTTTCTAGCATGTTCGTGAGTCGAATCTCGCTGTCGGCGCGACGCTGGCGCTCCTCGTGAAGCTCCTTCTCCAAACGCAAGCTCAGCGCTTCCAAATCTCCCACTTGCTTTGACAGTTCTTTCTGCGTGGCCGTTTTGTTCTTCAACTCCAACTCAAGCGTGTGCGCACGCCGATTCGCAGCTGCCATGCGCCACTCCGCGACCTGCGCGCTCATCTGCGCTCGATTGTCACCGCCGCGCGCAGAAGAAGCCAGAGAACTGTGGTGGTGCATTGAAGTACCACCGAGAATAGGAAGTGCTCCATGCTGCGCCGCACTGTATCCCGCTGCCATCGAGGACATCTCAGACTGGAGTGTTTCCGGATAGAAGAGGAAACCGCCAGCACCTCCGTTGTTGGGTGCTGGGCCGTCACGTGCAGAAGAGAGCTGCTGGTTCACACCAGAACGCGCCGACGGCTCGGCGGAGCCCGAGCCCGCTGATCCTGGGCCCGCAGACTGCACGCCGCCTGCCAGAGAGCCACCAACGCCCGCCCCGGCTCCGCTCGTTGCAGAAGGACTCGCACCCGGTGCTGCTTCCTGCTCGATGTCGAGCAGCCTGCTCGCGGCTTGAAACCGTTTTCTAGCGCGCTCCACAAACTCCTTGTAGTTGATGCGCGCGACATGCAGTAAGTGCTGACGCTCGGCCGCGTGCGGCGCCGCTGTCGGGTCCGCAGCATAGCCGCACCACGTGGCCACCTGCAAGAGGTCCTCACCTGCCAACTGCTCCTCCAGGGGCAACCCGAAGGTCTTGAACACCTGGAAGATGTCACCCACTTTCACGGTATCGTCCTGGGCTGCGAAAACGTGCAACATCTTGAAGAAGTTGACTTCCTGCGGTACGCGCTGGCGGACTGCAGCCCAGAACAGCTCTTCCCCAGACTTCTTTTGGAGACCGAAGAGGCGCAGCTTCGCAACGAAAGCGAGCACGGAAAGCCTGCGTCCAGCCCACGGCACGTTGCCGCCCTGCTGACCGGTCATCGACACGTCGGCCGCCGCTCCCGACGACGCATCTGCGCTGCCGCCGAGCGTGACTGTACCACCGAGTCCGCCGCCCTCTGCGTTCACTGATTTGCCAATAGTTTCCATATCCTCAGCTGCTACGTCGATGTCCAGGCTCTGCAAGTAGTCGAAGAGCGCTCCGAGTGTAATAAAGCCGTCACGGTCGCCGTCTAACTGTCGAAGCCGGTCCTCGACCTTGCGATCCGGCGCCACAACGTCTTGCGTCTGGAAGAGGCCCTCGTAGAAGAACTCGCCAGCGTGGCCCACTCGCGCATGCAGACTCGCAACCAGCGTGCGATAGAGCGTGCACTCTCGTGCAAAATTCTCGTCGAATTGTTGCAGCCGTGCGCGGAGCTGCGCCAGTTCGTGTTCTGCTTCCAGCGAGATGTTCTCCAGAGACTGGGCGCGGTCTTCCAAGCGCACAAGGTGGCGGAGCCGGTCCTCGCGCTCTGCGTTCACGACGTACAGATCGCTCTGACGCCGCAGCAAGTCCATCTCCCGCTGTGCGCACACCTGCAGCTGCTTGTTCACACGCTCGTACTCCGTCACCGGTACCATGTCCAAAATCTTCTTCGAGGCGATGCGCAGCGCGTTCTCAGCTCGCTGTTTCCACAATGCCAGTTGTGATATCTTCTGCTTCAGGTACGTCTCAGCTTCACCAGCTTGAAATTCGATGGTATCCAATGCGGCCTTTGTGCTGCTGTAATCCTCTGACAATGCCTGGTACTTGCGCGCCATCTTTGCCTCTTGCTCTTCCAGAATGGAGACACGTTGCATCAGCTGAACCATTTTTTCGCGACTGCCCGCCGAATCAGCATCACCTGCGACCGAAGCAGCCGCGGACCCGGTTGCATTGTCGATATACTGTGTGCGCAGACTTTTAAGTTGATTCTGCAGAGACTTCGCCTCTTCTTCTTTATCTGCGGCTAATTTCTCCAGACCGCTCTTTTCATCCAGCCATCCAGTCTTTTGCTTGAAGAAGTCCTGATAAATGACCTCACGTTCCGCCATCAATCGTTCGTATTTTCCCCGTAAATTGTCGAAATCAGACTTGTGCGCACTATTGGCCTCAGTTAAACGCGCAATTTCCTCCGACAACTCTACCAACTGCACATATAACGCACACGCGTCTCGCTGACTCATTGGCCCACCTGAAATATTCAGGAGGTGCATTTGTAGAATTATGATCAATCTTCAGCAGAGAAAATTCACCCACAACGGGATGAAGATATCCACAGCCATATAGACAGAATCACTATGTAATGAATTCTGCTTAACCATTACGTAGACGAGCAGAGTTGAACATCACAGGTAAAAATAAAGCATGAGATTGATTATACTGCCTTCCGCGAGGAGCTTCGGCATTTGAACGCCTTGGTTGAAAAGCTGAGAGTATCCAGACGGCGGCAAACCCGGAATCGGTGGCATAACCATCGCTGACAAACTGCCGCCAGCGGACATTGGCATCGTCCTCGCGCTCGGTTGAATATACTGCTGCGGTAAGACCAATGGCGGCGGCTGCACCATTGGTGCGACTGGAAAGGAAGAAAAGTTTGTGAATGGCAAAAAAAAAATGGTCGATTGGATTAGAGAAGAAAGGTGGAAGAGCCTTTTTTTGACAGAGATCAGGTGGGGCAACCGCAAGTGAAAAGTTGTGGTCTCAAAAAACTCAAGTAGAAGTACACATCGATGGCGCCTGCATCGCTGCGGGTGTCAGAGATGGCAGGCTCGGTGTCAACGGGGCCACGCTCTGAATTTCTGCGCGGGCGACCTCCTGGGTTTCAGCTGCCTGCTTCGCAGCTTCAGTCGCAGCCTGTAGTAGAGATTGTAGTTGCGTTCTTGCGTCCTATTGAATCGCACAGTGTGAAAATGTTCTTACGTCTCAAATCATACTTCTCAAACAACGATTGTGTGTTGAGGAAACTAACTCAGAAGGCTCTCGGAAGTAAAGCCTTTTGCTTCGTCAGCTGCTACCGTACGGTATCAAATAGCGCTCATAAAGTCATATTTGGATCATGTAGTTAGTGGCAGAAAAATGGTTCCTCATGTAGGTGTCAGTTGCTAGGACCTTCTGTTGTGCGTCTTTTTCTTTGCGCGCTGACTCGACCGCTTTGTGCGCTTCTTGTAGGCGTCTCTCGTCTTCCGTGAATCTTCCAGCAAGCTCTCGTGCTTTCCGCTCAGCATCCTGCTTTGCTTTCTCAGCATCGGAGAGCAGCTTGCTCTCTTCCTCGCGTTTCTTTTGCTCCGCTTGCAGTGCCTTCTCCTGGTCCTGGAGCTTCTTTTCAGTTTCCTCTAGCTTCTTGCGCTGTTCCTCTGCCTGCGCGCGACGCAGCGACGCGGCCGCGCCCAGAAGCTTGCCACCAAGCTTATTTGGAGTCGCGGCTTTTTTCTCTTCCACAGGACTAGTTTGCGTTCCGGCTTGATCGCGCGCACCTTGGAGCATCTGCTGCTGAAACAGCGCAAGCTGGTCTTGCTGCTGCTTCTGGATCGCTGCAAGCTGTTGCTGCAGAGCGTCGCTTTGGGCATCAGGCTTCTGAAATTAGCACAGCACGACAAGTACTTATTTGTGACGACGCCTTCCATTACAACACCCAGCAATATCTGTAAGGACACTCTCAATAAATGCTGTCCGTTCAGTATTATTTCAATTGTGGTGGAGCACCTCACTAGAAATAGAAAATGATGATAAAAATAAACTTGTTTCCTGCTCCTGTCTTTGTTTTCCTCAGAAGAGCAGTAGAGTCCATAAGAGGAGGATGCGCCGGCTGCTCCGCCAACCTGCTTCATCATGCCGGCAAGTCCCCCTGCCATCTTCAGTAGAGCCTGAGGATTCTGCTGTGCCTGCGGCATCAAGATCGACTTTCCTGCCTCAGTCTTCAACTCAGTGTTCTCCTTTTCAAGCAAGGCGACCCTGAAATAACGCGTCAGCTTCTTTTACGGTTACTCAAGTATGAAGATTATTCTGTCGATGTGCCACAGGTTTATAAAAATGCTCCCTGCTAAGTTCTCATTGCGTGGCAGTGATTGCAGATGGATTTGCGTAGCATTATCCTGAAAAAGTGTTGTATGACAAGCAACGGAAAGTCAAAAAGCATTACTGTGCATAAAAGTTAGTACCTTTCCTTCAACTGTGCATTTTCACTGACTTTTCCAACCACTTCGTCCATTTTGCGGTCCACGTGCTGCGTTAGCATATCCGAAACTTGCTTGTCTTTGTTCGAGAGCTGTTTTTCCAGTGCCTGCACTTTCTTTCGCAGCTCGCGGCTGTTGTCGGTCTCCGGGATCTCCAGCTGGCCACGACGCAAGGTCTCCGCGATCTGCTCCAGCTGGAGCATCTGTTCCGGATCCATCCCGTTGAAAATAGTTGTTCTTAGAGGTGCACCTAGTTTTTGTTTCATGACAGTGACTGCAGCAATCTTCTCCGAGAACACCTGACTATATCACCGTCACTTGTTCCATATATTTCTTGTCAGGCGGTTCTAAAAATGTGGAAAAAATGAACAATAGCCTTAAGCTTCGCTCGCTGGCCAATGCAGCAAGACTGCGCAGCTTCATCTTCAGCTGGAGACGCTCATCCTCGAGGTCCAATATCTCCTTCTCCAGTTGCCGCTGCATCGACACCGCCTTTGACGCCGACACTTTTTCCTTCACGCGTATGAACGCGGGAGATAATTACCTACGTACTAGGCCTGAGTGCCTCCTTTGGGTCCTTGCATCGTCATAAAGACCAAGTATATCATCACTGCGAGTATTTTTGAGTACAACGAACATAATACATAGTTACTCTTGATGTATCATCTAGAGCATATCGATGTCTTCCGCCTATATGAAAATAACGAAAATAAAAGGAACAGTTACCTTCGATGTGGTCTGTGTAGAGGTCTGTGCATAAATTTGACTTCCGACAGGTCGAGTAGTTGCTCTGGTGGTATATTCGACCATTGCCGCAGAAGCTGGTTTTCATACATTACGTTCGATGCCTCGTTCAAATACTGACCTAACTCTTGTTTTAGGTCACTCAGCTCCGTTGCCATGTGCGCGTTCTCAGTGCGCATGCCCGCTAGTTGCTTGTCCAAATCGAATGCTTCTGGCCCCATAGACGCCAGCCAGTCGGATTTTTCGCGTTCTAAAAGATACAGGCGCTTGTCTTTGTCCCCAACTTCACGTCTCAATTCGTCAATCGCACCATTCCTTAGAAAGAGGGGAAAAGAGAAGTTCTTGGAGTTGTTCAAAAATGCACGGAAAATAATACAGCTAGTGCTAAATGAAAAAAGCAAGAAGAAGAACAAGAAGTTGCTCCATGTGATGTCGTACGGTAACTGCCAGGTCAGAAGGTTGATCAATACAAGTTAGCCAACGTCCAATATCTTTTCGTTTTTTGAGTGCAAATAGGCATGCAAATTACGTTCACCATTATGATTTTTGCTATTCGACTGGTACAACAGTGATCCAAAATCATAACTGCATCAAGCCTTGCTGATCCTGGTTCTTGAAGTCCTGACGCTCCATAAGCTTGTGCTCCTCGATCTTCTGCCCCAGTTCTGTCTCCAACGTGTCAACCCGATCATAGAGATTTTCAATCTCCAAATCTCTATCGTGGACCATCGTCATCAAGTCCTCCAGCGACCCACTATCACCTGTTTTTGATGTGGCTGCTCGGACGAGGAGGTGAACGTTCTGTTTATAAGCGAATAAAATGTGTAGTTAGTGTATAGATATTGGATGGAGAATCCTCTCTTATGTCTAGATCGCAGATAGTTGTCTCTCTACCAACTTAGCTTTCAAACACGCCTGTGCTTTTGGAAAACTTTTACCTGAAAGCCCTGCGATTTTCCGTACTTCGCCAATCTCCTGCTCCAGACTTGCGACCTTAGCAGCCAAAGCCTGACTCTGTTTTTCGGTTGCAGACAGTTCTTCGTCTTTTCGCGCCATAGCTTCTGTGATATGCGCGTCATACTCAGCCTCGAAGCGGTGGGCTGCCTCCAGCTGGACAGTCTTCTAGTAGTTAGAAAAAATCCTTCCTTGCAACAGCAAATTGAGTAGATCTGCCGAATGCAGGTGAGTGTGCAGACCTTAGGCTTCCTGCATCACGTGCAACGTAACGTATCATTTACATCTTCATCAAGATCTTTTTCTAACCCGAGTGCCGCACTGAAGGTAGAAGAGCTACGGCAAGCACCGTGTACTTACGCCACAAGAAGTGGAAGGCTCCCCGCGATGCTTGTTGCTCACTAATCCCCAAATAAAACTACCCAGATCCGTGCGCAAGCAGTACTACTAAGTAATGCGATGAAGAAACTAGAACTACGAGGGAGGAAACAAAGCCGGTTATCACTCCTTTCTGTACCTGTTGACGCTAAAGATGAGATGTAGTTAAAGAGAGTCTTCAGGTATAATCAAATGCTAGTTTGGAGCTTAACTTCCAGTGCCGTCTTGAGGTAGTGATTTTCGCGTTGGAATTCCTCGATGTCTTCTTCGGCGTGATGCAGTTTCTCCTCAAGGCTGTCAAGATGCTCATGCATCTCGGCAACTTCTTTGGCACGGTCGTCTTGGTTCTCCAGTTGCTTGATTTGTCGCTGTAGCTCCTGATTCTGCGTTTCCAGAGTAGAATTCATATTTTCCAACTCATTGAGGTGTCGCATTCTTAGAAGGTGAAGGTCTACGTCCGGATAAATGTCTTGTGATTGTGTACGAAGAACATCAACTATACATTGATTACTACAACAGGCGGCGCTAAAGTAAAATATCTGCTTCAGTGTTGTAGAAGTAGACTTCTTACTATCTATGAATGACCTAATTGCCTATGCTGTCGTGGGTTGCTGTAATGTATGTTCCAGGGGCCAAGGCCCCCCCGATCTAACTTTTTGAGGCGGGGCCTCCCGCCCCGGACCCTTTTTCCTGAGGGACAGCCGGACGGGAAGGCCTCCAAAAGCCCACCTCCGAACCCTTCCCGCTTCTTGCCTGGACCCTACAGAGCCCCCATCCCTGTGGCCGTTCGCCAACCGAAGGCCGGGGGTGCAAGGCTTCCGAAGGTGGCAAAGGTGGCAAGGGTGGCCCCCTTTGGCTTGTTGCGGCTTGTTGCGTGTACACTACAGACCTCCAGCGTGCGGGTTCCTCACTGGGGGAGTCTCTTGGGAGGTGAAAGGCCTCCGAGAGAAGCAGGTGGCAAGGCTTGACCCCTTTCGCTGTGCTGCATGTATCCGGGGCCAGGCCTCGTGACCGTGGCCGCCTTCGGCGGCCTTCTTCCCCGGAGGCCGCCCGCCTGATAAGGTCCAAGAGTCGGGCACACGCGGAGAGCCGCCAGGGGCCTCCGGCTCCGCCTTTTGAGGCCTTGGCCCCCGGAGGTCCCTAGTACACGTCACCACCGCGGGAAAAAGGGCGCGCGGACATCACCACCGCTCCATCCACAGGGGGGAGCCTCCACCCCTGGAACATGTATTTGATTTGGATGTTACGAAACAAGTGCTAGCCTTAACATGAGCTCCGTCTGAGACTTTATGTTCTTCGTTGCATCCTGGTCGGCTGCCATTTGTGTACTCGTCATGCCCCGTAGCTGCTCCTGAAATAAGTTCCGCTCTTGCCGCGTTCGCATCAATTCTTCATCCCCGGCCTGGCGACCTGAGCGGTTTGATTGTCGATTAGCAAAGTTACCTAAGGAACTAATTCAATTAGTCTTGAACGGCTATCTGGAGGGACGGCATTCTATTTCACTCATGTGAGAATAGAGGAGATTCAGGACTCCGTCTGAGTACATGATGGTCACTTTTTCATCTGACATGATAATCGGCATTCTTATTGTCCTTCTTTGCAATTACCTAATCAAATCAATATCCTTCTTTGATCTTCTTCTTCTACGACGTTTAACCTGCTTCGGTCTACCAAACTACGCTAATGCCCTGTTGTTTCCACCAAACTACGCTATATAATAAGTCCTGTTGTGTCTTCATCATGATCATGAAAGAAAAAGAAATACTCGATCGCTCTCTATCCAGCAACATCTGTAGGTCGCGGATTTTCTGTCCTTGTTCTTGGTCCCGCAAGTCGCGGTCTCGCATCGCGTCGCGCGCACCATCCAACTCCTGCGCTGCCATTTCGAGCGACCGCATTCGCCTCTGCGCATCCATGAGCTGCATTTCGCGCTCTTGGAGCATGCGCTGAAGCGTAACCACGTCCTGCTGCATCATCTTTTGGTGTACTTCGGCAACGATCTTCTGTCAGATTGATTCCGTCGCGAAGATGCACATGCACTAGGATCTTCGGTGTCGATGGGAATTTTCGGTTCGTTGTGGAAAACAAGCTTGCTCAATACATCTGGCACTCCCTCCAAAAGGTCGTCGGCGGACGTCGTACTGCGAGCTAATGCAGCATTAAACAGGTGTAAACAACGCTTTTGTAGTTAGTCGTACTAAAGTAAGTAGCTGTACTCTCGTGGTCGACGCCCCGGAAAGCGAAATCGTCTACTTTTGCGTTGTCTCCGCTGCCCTGCCTGCAAATGCGATCTTCTTCACGTGCTTCGCCTCCTGCTATCGTCTCCTTTAGTTACGTCGTCAAAAACGGAACAGCCTAGAAGAAGTCACGTCCTCGTACCCAATGAGAGGGACAAACAGACTCCTAGTTCGATGGACAATGGAGCCGCGAGATCCTCCGAAGGGCCAGAGACACGATATCCATATCGTTGTTTCATCTCATGATTCATCTCTTCTCAACAACAAGCTCGCAATTATGGAAATACTGATGGAAATGCGGAACGCTCGGCGGCATTATTAAGAACTCAGCGAAGAAGAACTACAAAACAAGGGGACACCAATGTATGTTGACAGTAGATTGATATATATATAAACAGGGGAAAGAAGATCAACATTGATATGCAAATTATAATGCGCAAAAACCGATGGATGCGGTGTGTAGTTAATTTCGTCATGACACGAGGTTTGTTCCCGAACACAGGCGCGGCAAGGATGAGTTTTCGAGCAACCTTTGATATTCAAGATCTTCGTCCTTCACTTAACGAGCTTCCTGATAGAATGAATGAGCACCTTTTGCTCTATTTCTAGACAAATGAAATCTAGTAAACAAGGAATCAGTTTGTATAAGCAGCTCTCTCCCTCGTACCTTTGGCTCCTCTTTACCTTTTCGAAATTACTTATCGCCTCGACAGTCACACGCGCAGGAAGCAAACCGATATGTGAAAAGTTTGAGCTGTCGCCCAGTGGGTAGCCATAGTTTCCCCCAGATTGTACTAGTAGGTCTCTCCTCAATTTTCATGGAATGCATATCATGAAACATCGTCGCTTTCGGCTGAAAAGTGCAGAAACGGCCGTCAATAGACACTCCAGAGGTGGAGACTCTTTTTCTATCAATTCTGTAAAACTGTCGTACCACCTTTGCGCCGCGACTCAAAAACATAAATTTGTCATTTGATCTTTCCCCACGCGGGCCCATCGCATCAGTATAGCGCAATACGAAGTGCAGGACCCCCACGAGGCCTGCGCACAGGACGACAATTGCCAGGACAGTGGCTGTTACCTCCACTACCTTTGCTTCCGAAGGAAGCACGCTGCTCCCGTCAACTGATCGCACGTTACGACCCTGCGTCTTACGACATTCGTCGGCGATAGCGAATGCTGCCCACACGCAAACGAAGGGATAAACGACGTTTCCAGTCCGGACGAGGACAGCGAAATAGACACCCGCGGCCAGATAAAGGACGAGCACGGCCCAGATGTGTTGTGGGATGCCCAGGAAGAGCAGCGAAACGTCATCTCCGTCGCCGCCTGACGTTGCAAGTAATGCATTCGAGCCGATGACAGCGAGGCTGATGCTCACGATCGAAGCTGCAGTGGTCCATCCGAAGTAGAGCGAGAAAGGAACATCTAAGACAAGCGCTTCGAAAAGTAGTGGTCGACGTTTGCTAAGCGAAGCGAAAAATCCACTTGGTGTCTCGGTGTGGGAGGATGACAAGCCGCCCGCGGGCGCTTCCGAGGCGTCCATGGCAGCCCCTCCAGGCTCATCCTCGTAGAAACGCCGGAAAGCACGGATGCGCACCACAATTGCACGCAAGGTTGCCATGAGGGAAACAAGCGCAGCAGCAGACAACCACATCCAAACTACCGGTCTTCCTTGAGTGAAGAGTATAAAAATCCATACACTACTCCAAAAGTTGGACAGCACAAAGAGCCATGAGACGCCGTCACAAACGAGACGACGACGACTTTCCGTCTCGGATGACGGGTTCACTTTAGCATGTTCTTGCACAGTTGTAGTCGTATCAACAGTGTCATCTGGTGGTCCTTTTATTTCGTGGCACTCTCCTGCACCCTTCGCAGCATGACCACGAGACGCGTGATCGACGAATGCAACGACGGCTTGCCACACAAGGAACCCACCAAGACAGAGGTAAATCAAGCCCCAAATTGCGAACGCCCAGCCCGCGGGCGCAAGCAGAGTCACGTACAGATCAGCAACTTTGCCGATGGAATATCGGCTGAAAATGCCACGCGCTGAACCCTAGTTGAAGAAAAGGCCCATGGCGAACGAAAGAATATTGCATACCGCAAAAACGTGGCAGCGCTGCACTCTCCCTCTCGGTGCACGTACGGCTCCGGAGTCACCAGGCGCGCGCGCTGGCGGTTCCATCTTTTTGAAACTCAATTTGAAATTAAATATGTCAGTACAATATACTAGAAAACCCTGGTCCGCTCACTAAACTCGGGCTCAGCAATTTCATCTTCGTGAAGATTTCATACAGCACAAGGGACAAGACCGAGTCACTCAATCAGTCTTCATGAAAGTCAAGGTGACACAGAGCAAAGTGTGCGTGACCATCATGACTTATACAGTGAACACTATTTATAATGCCCCGTAATGTTGCTAATGGTACACTTCGTGGTAGTCTTTCCCAAATGAGGCATCTACTTGGTCGTTTGACGTCTCTTTTTTCGTATAAACAACATTTGAAATGTTTGTTTTTCGCTATGTATCAGTTCTAACTTACACTTAGTCAGCTTCATCGGACATTCTTGGAAAAAGCAACTACGAAGCTTGCATCGACGCTGTAGCTTCGTCTACATGTCTGTATATCATGGTTCCGTCGGTCGTTGGAAATCAACCTCGATGAAGCAAAAACTGAATTCTGTCCTAATAGTGAATCAACCAACTAAAAATCGAGCGACTCTTTGCAAAACATAGGTTCTCTTTCTACTGGGCACTCTTTTCTCTATCATACATTCTACATGAAACTGAAAGAATGACATTTAAAAAAAAACGATCTATGACGCAAAATAAACTTGACTTTTTTTGCCTAAGTGAGAGAAACCAAAGCTTGTTGACTTCACGCCATGACATTGTAAAATCTATATAAATTTTGCATGGATGCCGCAACAGTGAAGTTACATCATTCCAGAGTCACTTAATTATAATTGCCCTAGTAGCTAGCTCTATCTTTCAGGATACAACATGCACATTCATAGTTCTTTTAGTTGTAAGCAATACTGGGATTCATGCATAGTTATACATCATAGTAATATCAGGCTTCGTTCATGAAGCTTTCGATATTTCGAATTTCCTCTGCCGCACGCGCCCCCCCAATAGGAGGTGGCATTAGAGGGTATCCACCTTTCTCAAAATGTGACCTCTGCTGGCTTTTGGTCTTGTTCACCATGACTTCCGAATTCGGTGCTACTTCTGAATCCTCTGGATCGGCACCATCGCCAGAAAATAAGAAAGCCCAACCAAGTTTTTTTCCCTTGACTTCTGTCGACCCTAGGGGAGACGGGTCGCCCCTAGCCCCTGCGGGTCGCGGCACGGAAATAGCTGGACTCGTCCTAAACTTAGAAGAGCGTGACGCTCGTGAAAGACAAAGACACTCCTCAGAGCTCTACTGAACAAATTACGCGTCTTCCGGAAGCGGTTGATGTTGAGCGCTTGTTCATTCTGTTTCTGCCCTGTTGCGTTCCAACAAAAAGCAACTAAATAGGGTGTATTGTAAGATCCACTGTTCCTTCGAGGACTTTTTCCTGCATCTGAGAATAAAGAAAAGTTTTTTTACAGAAAAACGACATCAAAGCAAATTCTCCCCTGGGGATCTTAACTGACCCTGCCGGAAGTACTCCGTCAGCCGCAGCTACGATCGGCATCCAGCCGACAGTTCTCCGATTAGCCGCCACAAGTCGCTCCCAGTCGATCTGCAGAGGTGGAGCAGTGCGCGTCTTCATTTCCGAAAACAAGGATGCTATCTCCTGCGTGTGCCAACCGCCGACCTGAATAGCCCGACTGAAGTCTCCGCTAGCCTCGTCCACCTGAAAAGAAATGCAATGGTATTATTGAAATTGAAGTTATCGTTATGTACTTTTAGCACCAAGATACTTGGCAGATCCTGATAGTATTTTCTTGCTAACATACTTGCGATATACATTCTACCACTTTATCTAATAGATTTGATAAAAAGCCATCCCCGTATGATCGTAAAAAACTATGTACGCTAACATCCGGTTATTACACAGTAAAAGTCTCAAGGCCAGTCATTCTGCAGTGCATATGTCAAAGAAGGCGCGCGTTAATATTAACGAGCTAAATCAAAAAACAACAACGACCCCGCCAAACTCTTACTCTTCCACTTCCAAGCCCCAAAATCTCACGCTTCCACTTCCGAACCCCCCACACCCGAACTCATGATTGAACTCATGAACTTAGGAACTTCTGAATGCGTATGCAATTCAGACTTCTCTACGAAATAAAATCAAAATTGTTACGATTTGAGCTGCAAAAGTTATAATCTAAAAAAAACATGCCCAAAGTAAGAACTTTATCTACTTAAGGTCTTTAATATGCACTAGTATGCACTCATATTAGGGAGCTATATAAAAAATCAACAACGACCCCTCCAACATCCGAGCCCCACACACACCAACCCAAAAACACCCGAACCGGAAGTACTTGAACCAAAAACGTGCGACCTCCATCGCAAATTTTTCCGCTCCTTTTCTAATCAACCAACAAACACAACACACGAACACGCGAACCCTGACACGGCGTCGCGTATTTACTAAAATCAAGCACGCTGCGGCTTGACTTAATTCGTCGGCGTCAAAATTCAAAACTTTGCACAAAAAGCCTAGTTTTTTGATTTCATCGGCTAAGGCCTTACGCTCAGCCCCAAGACTGAAAGTCGAAAGCTCCAGCCTCAAAGCCGAAAGCTGAATGCTCGAAGTTGAACGCCCTAGGTTGGAAGCTGAGGGCTTGCTCAGTTTAAAGTTTAAAGCTTTAAGATGAAAGCCCACTCCTGAAAGTTCAAAGCTGAAGACCCAATGTGGAAAGTTCAAAATTGAAAACTCAATGTTAAAAACTCAAAGTTAAAAGCTCGGAACGCTTCAGATTAAAAGCAGCGACCCAATGTCTAAAAGTTTCAAGTTTGAAACCTCGAATCCAAAGTTTTTGATTGTATCCAATAAAAACGAAATTGAAAAAATTCCAATCCGAAGTTTGATTGTATCACAAGAAGAGAAACCTGAACAAGCTGCAAACTCGAGCGCTACAACTTCTTGCACGCAAAGAAGGCCAAACCCACCAAAAGAAGAGTAAACCTACAGCCAACGAATTCGATCCGGTGCGCCGTTTTAATCAATGGCCGCACGCCGTCCCCCGCCCAACTCTTGTCGAATCGCGCCGGAGTTGAGGAGGGCGCGTGCCGGAAGTGGGTGACCCTAGTGGGAGGAGTGCCCCCGGGCGCTCAAGTCTAGTATCATCTCTGATCTCTTGAGTGAGAGGAACGATATCTCGTTCAGCTCATATCAACTAAAAAGGAAAGAGAGAGACTCGTGCTATAACTTGACCGAAGAAAAAAATGAGCTGCGTCAAGCGATTCAAACAAAGTCAGCGACACTTCTAGAAAGGACTCTTACGTGCAAGCTCGCCCAGCAGGGTCCACAACCCAAACAGTGGCTCATATGCTTTTGGACGGCACGCGCGTGATGATTCGCTAATACACTTTTCTCCACGCGTCCGCATGAGCTCTGCTCCAACTCGAGCGTCGCGTCCTCCACGAGGACAGGGACATTAGACAAATCACAAATAGAAATGTTCTCTCTGAAGGACAAATTTGAATCTTGAACGAGCAGCTGCAGAGAGTTTAGAAGGACCTTGCTTCATCGACGAGTGACCAACAGGTATTAGATGGTAAACGTTGCTCATTAGTACTGCTTATCAAGCGATTGCGATGCCTCCCTTCCTGACGGGAAGAAAAATTGATGAAGTCGTATTCTCATCGAACACCTCCAAAGAAGCTCGACGTGCAGTCCTTAGTATTCTATCGTAAAAAAGTGTGAGGCACAGGGACTGACGAGATACACCCGCTCCCCCGCAGGTAGGTTAATCATTGCCAAACCGAATCCTTCCCCGTCCTTCTCAGACTCGTAATCTGAGGCAAAGACACTTCGCGGCCCGAGTTCTGTCTTGACCACTTCGTAAGCGATCTCCAGGTCACCACAGGCACCACAAAAACTGGATGGATGAATGCATACGCATACCAACAAAAATCTGATAGGTTTAGTATTCAAAGCAATGCTTTTTTCTTGCCTGCAACATAGAGAGCTCCTAGCCATAAACCAATAGATGAAAGTGGCGTCTCTGAAATTACTTATAAGTACTAGTTTCACTTCGATTGCATACATCAGTATCGGATTCGCTCTGGAGTACTAAAAAAACATCAAATGACTTCTATCATTCATGGCGATATTGACTTCCTCTAAAGATCAATGCGATTGACAGCTTATTTCCTTCTCCGCTCATACTAGAACTCCGCATCAGCGCCAGAAAATTTGAGATGCTGCACGCCGCAACGTGCCAAATAGCGCATAGACACCACGTCTTCCAGGAGCAAAATGCGCTTGCGCGTCCGATAAAACTCACAGCTTAGTGGATTGCAGCTTCCCTCGAGTAAGGGGATACAGCATTCAGGATTTGAGATTTCAACCGAGTCGTACTCCGCTGATGGGGCTTTTCGACCAATTCGATGTGCAAGACCGTGATCCAGACTCTTGCTAGTAGAAGTTTTATGCACATTATGGACCGCGGTCTTCGCGCGCTTCCGTTCCAGTCCCTCTACATCCTTTTCATGATCCAGACCTATGCGTAATACACGCTCTGTGCTGATGCTGTTCTTCCTCTCCTTCGAGGTAGGCCTCTCGTCCGACATGTGGCTTTGTGTTGGGGCCGGTCGTGCTACCAGGTGCCCTGGTGTGGCCTCTACGCGGCGGCGCAGTTCCTCTGCTGCGCCCGCTACAGCCGCAACGCCGCCCACAAAGCGGAAGCCCTGTTGGAGGCCGTTTCCGACGGGCTGTAGCCATGAAGGGATAACCATAACATTCGCAGAGGGTCCGCGAATACCTGCTGACAGTGCCACCGACCGACTCAAAGCGCACTCGAAAATGTTAAACGCCCAGCTGTCTCCCACTTCCATTGCTCCAACGCGGTGATATGGAACCGCGGTCACGGCCTCCGACTTGCAGCAGTCTGTGCTGCTGACCTCCACGTGCGTCGCTCCCAGAACCAGGTGGCTGGGTTCGCCAGACAGGCCGTCTCCACAACAAGCACCGGTCGCCAGAACCACCTCTTGCGTAGGCCACATCACGCATTGGGTCGGCGGTTTCAGCGCGGCTAAGGCTTTGGCATCTGCTGCCGCCTGCTGATTCACCATCTTCTGCATATCCTCGACGTTAGGCAACATGGTCTACGTCTATTTTCAAAAATACATCGATAAATTCATGCATTTTCACTCCATCGTCCAGGAGGCCAAATTCGACAGTGAAGAAAACTCATCCTCAAAATGCATAATGAGTGTAGAAAATAGCTATCAGCGGTTCAACACAAACGGACCCAGTGAAAAACGAAACGATCAAACGACGAGAAAACGTATTTAAGCACTCGTTGAGTGAACACCAAGAATACCGGTTAGAAAGTTAGTGGTGTGTAAGGTCTTTCACTCCTTCATCTGATTAGAACGCTGAATGATCTTCAAAAGTACGGAGACTTGACCTGGCGCCGGAACAAAACAAGCAACTTCCGATGAACAAAAAAGAAATTTTTGTTCAAATTTCCTCAACTAGCTACCCCAGAGAAATTCGAAGAAAGACATAGAGAGAACAGTTCTCCCACTCTCTTCCATACACAACTCACTCTCAAATGAATGTCATGACCCGCGCCGGCGGTGGTATTCCAGGTAGCAAGCTGCGAGATGTCAGTCTCAACAAATCGCGCCAGTCATCTTGGTGCACTTCCACCTTTGTGTCCCAATTCATCTCTGAGCATTGATTCTCAAAGTCCAAAAATATTTGACCGTTCACTGGATCCACAGTGGAGCAGTGCCGCGAAGTGGCATCCCTGCCCACCCCTTTGCTATGTTCTAAGCATCGACTTCACGATCATGGTCATGACTTCACGATCAAACAGTACCATTATCCAATCAACGAAGAAGTGGGAAATTAGAAGAGGAAAAGGAAAACCCTGGGTATAATTTTGCGTGATCATGCGAGAGAAAATCAGAGGGAGAGCCGCGGAGCGAGTACATTGATCATGATGAGGCTATGCGAGCTAGAATCTTTGTGGCCTTATGCAGGCGTAAAAGCGAAAGTGGAAAAGACTGGTGTTCATTGATGACAGTGCTATAGGAAGAGAATCCAATCGCACTCATGTATAAATTGCCTGAACATGTTGCATGTGTTCGCAGTAACTACTCTGAACATGGAGGCTGCTCAGACGCGATTCCGGTCGTATAGCGTTCACCAGCCTTCAAGTTCAACATCAAGTGTAGTAAGCACATAGAGGTTGTACTTCTTGTGAGTGCTGTAACTACGCCTTCTGCCTGAGGTCCCACTCCTCAACGCAAACCTTACGCAAATTTTTCATCATGGTTTCGACTTCCGCGTAGCCCGCGTGGCAAACAACTTTCCCGGCAAGCTTGGACTTCCCCACGCTGCCCTGCGGATTCACGTGAGAGACCAGGGCGACGTCGCTCACGTTCGGACCGAGAGGCGTTGTGAACCAGCACGACGCGGAGAGGTTTCCAGTCACTGCCCGGTCGGGCAACCCGTCCTCCGGTACCGAGGCCACGGACTTGGAGAGGAGTACTCGTGTCCCGTCGCTGAGCCGGAAACGCCGAGTAAGACAGCAGAATACGCGCGTACTAATCACTGAGAAACCGGGATACGTCGCAGTCTTCAGCACGTACGCAGGATGGCGCTCTAGCAAGCGGGACTCTGAGCAGGAGCGGTCGATCTTGGGGTACAACTCCGGCTCCCACAGACAGGCCTGGACATGCCACGCAGGAAAAGGCAAGCGAATGTAGCTCAGCGAGCCTCGCCAGATGCCGTTGCAGGGGTGCTCGAAGCTATGGACCGCTACGTCGATTTGATGAGTCGCCACACTATCGCGCCCACACGAACTGCTACAGGCAATCTGGTTCTGCCGGCCCAGCGCCAACGTGTTTCTCAGCAGGTCCACCACGAGAGGTGAGTGTATCGGACTGAAAGCGACGGCCTGTCGATACTGTTGCGTCCATTTCTTTGTTTAGAGCTCACAATAATTCATCTTTTACGATCATATTCTCAGAATCCAAGAAGGCAACTGAGATAAATACCCTGAAAAGATGAATTAATACGAGCCTTAATTTGTAATGCGGGGGGCGGCTTCAATTGTAAGTCCCGGAGATGAACGTCCGCTGCTCGAAAAAGGTGCCCCACTTCTTCCCGCTCCATCATCACACCCGTTGCCGCCGGAAGACGACGATGATGATGATGAAGACCCTCCTTGGACACCCGTGCTACTCCTTGCGGTTGAAGACGATGCTGGTGTTGCTTTGCTACTAGAGCTCGTGCCTGTGGGTGTGGTCGTTGAACGCGTTCCAGGAGGCGAAGATTTCGACTTGTTCGAGTAGTACTGATCCACTATTATTTGCTCTTCCGTGTTGCTCGGACCGATCGCTCTGCCTTTCTGTGGTGGAAGGTGGGGTGAACAAGAGCCCCTGGCGGACGCGAACATGAAATTGTGGATTGGCCATGTTGGTGGTGGATGGCCACCATCCGTGTCGTGATAAGCGGTTTTTCTATAGGTTGCCCATACCTGCGCGCAGAAGCGGAGCACAGGGAAAACACCTTCGGGCTTGGCCACGTCCGATCTTGGTACGACGTTCTCGACCTCTGGCAAAAAAGGACGGTGGTCCCGAAGCAAGCTTTCTAGGTCCACTATATTTTCGCTACGAAGCAGGCTTACATCCTCAGGTCGCACGCGCGGATCGACCAGTCGATCTGCGGCGTCGCCGTCCCCTGGGAGCGCAAAATCTAGGGGGGTTGGCAAACCCGCCGCCCCCGTGGAAGGGCCCACGTCAACAGGACTGCTCGGTCGTGTCCGGGACGTGGCGGTGCCCGCTTCCGGTGCTGCCCGTGGGTCTTGGCCTCCTTTTACTGCGGAATTCTGGTGGTGACTACCTCCGGCGGTATGCGCGAAGGGCGAAAAAAAACTGGCGTCGGCCTCTTCAACGCCTTTGCCATCCGGGGACGAAGGCTGCATCTGCAACACCACAGACGAAGGCGCAGCTCGCGCCGCCCCACCACGAGCTGGGGCTGCTAAGCGCGGTGATTGCGCTGGCCTCTTGTCGGTCGCGACACCCGGTCCTCGGTCCGACGCATTTGAAGGGGAGGATGCCCGGCCAACTAAAGCCGAGGGTCCACCCGAAGTCACAGGCAAGGACGAGCCAGCATTGGTCATGTGCTCTCCACCTCTTTTGTGAAATGCACTACCTCCCGGTTGAACATCGGAAGAAGAAGTGGGATGATGTATGTGCTGTTCCTGAGCCTCGCGGACTGCACCCGCCGACGCTCCGTGTCTAAACAGCTCCTCCTGACTATGTTGTTGCTCAGTCGCGCCTGAGGACGCCCCTCGCGCTGGCAACAAGGGACTCGGGGAATGTCGGAGAATGTGGTTGTAGCTATCGAGGTCAACAAAGCTGTTGACGTCGACCAAGGGACCACTCGGCTTTCCACTCAAATACCAGAGACGATAGAGTGCTAGTCTGCTGCTCACCTCGATCTGCCTCGATGCGGTAACGCAAATCGCAACAAGACCCCAGAATTCTGTTGGGCTGCTTCCACCATTCAGCAGCATCCCTAGAGCTGCTACCCCGACCAAAGCAAGAACCTAAACAGAAAGGACAATCCCATAAAAGACGGCGGGAGGAAGCAAAACAACAGGCACCGGGAGGTTTCGTTCTTCCCTAGCATGTTGAGATGACTTTGTTTTGATTTCAAACATTTTCTCAGGTGTACTGCGTAGTAATCAAACATTGGTTCTTCCTTGCTCTATTTCAAAGTGATAAGCGTATGTTGCTGATTCATTCAACAGAAAGAACACACATCTGGTGTTGTACGAAAAAATAGTACCATTGGTAACGGAACGCGCAGCAGAACCACGTACAAGAGGAGAAAACATGGCGTAACTGCTGGACTCAAATAGGCACCCACGAGAAGGTCAACCAGCATGAGAATGAAAGCGACATACTGTCGTAGAAAAGGCCAATGCGAAGGGTTTTCCACCAAAATAGCATCTACGCTTACTAGGCCACCGAACAGCAGTACCCAGACGATGTGCCACATCAAAAAATCAACACTTTTCACGTCATCCCTCGCGTATTCGTACCTATATGTTTACGATTTTCAGTCACAGTCAGCAATTTATAAGAGTTACTTCGTGGGAAAGTTAAGAAGACTGACCGAAGCAAGATCACAATGAATCGCTTAGACGACAGCAAAAAAAAAAGTAGAAGTGGTGCATAAACTTGTAATAATCAATGGAAGCACATTCATTAGGAAGTTGATTACGATTGATCATTAAGAGTTTCGGGTCTACTCATCCTGTAGTTCTTCACCTTCTACATGTGCCTGGATCAAATTTTGGAAGTTTCTTTTGCGTTCCCCACCTTCTAAATGTATACCTTATATCGAGCTGCTTAAGGCTTTCCGTATCTCCTCCAACGGCTAGTGCGAGCCACACGACGATGTAAGCGGACAAGAGCGGCAGGAGCCACAGGAGCCAGTAGCGCTGATTCTGCCATAAACACTCAAGGAATTTTTCTTCAAGGTGGCGCTCAAGGAAAGTGAGCAGCCATGGGCGCATGACCAAACGCCGCGACGAAGACAGTGAGAGCTGGGCGGCAGACGCCGAAACGAGCTCATGCATAGCGCTTTTCGTGTCAATGATCTTTGCAGAAGTTGCAGATGTATTCATGGTCTTCACATTCTGGCGAAAGCTTTCCCGAATTTGAGCCTTGAAATCCAGATCCGGCTGCCTGGACGACGCGCTCCCGTGCGTTGTGTTGGTGCTCGTGTTGCTCCGCCCGCGATCTATCAGATTATCAAGAACAGCAGCACCTGTTCTAGAAGTCGCGGGGTGTGTCCCTCCCGGGCCCGCGTCCATGCTCGCAGGACAGCCGTGGACATTATTGCTAGAGAGGGCCGCACGCAGTCCCAGCGCGGCTGCCTCAGCGGTGCCACTCCTGTCGAGCTGCGTGTAAGGCGACAATCCCCAGCGCTCCGCGCCAGCTCGAAGACCTGGTGTGTTCGTAAGCGCATCACCAGGATCCGAGTAGAAACTCGGCAAGCTCTCGAGTGGTCCCTCGAGATCGGACCGCAAATCACCACTGAGCCCCAAAGACTCTTGCAGAGCCTCTCTGCTTGCTAGGCTCATTTTACTTCGCCCGATGAAGGCAGATACTAATCCAGGAAAAAAATGAATAATAACCGCTTTTATGATTTATCATGTGCTCTCGGAGATGATGTTGGTGAAGGAACAACAGATGAGGAAACTCAGCCAACATGTAGAAGTATAGTGTCTATCGTATCATGTGAGACGAGCAATCTCTTCTGAGAAATTATTTCACAGTTTCCTTCCGTCACTAAATCAATACTGGTACCCCCTAGGTAGCTACTCCATCAATCTGCAGAAAAATAGAAGACTGAGAAACTCAGTTGCATTTGCTTGCCTATCATGTATTGATATTTCCTTTCGTGAACTTGTTGTATGGCTTTCTTACTCTAAAGGAAAGGTGCCACCTTTTTCGATTGCTGCATCCTTGCTTATAGCTCGACGAGCATCCGAAGATGTCGGAATGTGGAAATGTGATTTTACTCCCACTCATTCCCCCTCGCACCCGACTTTTCCTCGGTTCAAACTAACCGAAATGAAATTCGATCGATTTTTAACCTAGACAGAGACAAAACTCTGATACCTTCTCACTGAAAATCAACTCCATCATACTCTCTGATGCAAATACACTGATTCGCGCAGAGAGACAGAATTGTTTAAAAAACTGCGAGCGTACTAGACCTCTTAGAGCATTCAACATCACAGGATTCTCTCAATGCTGAACTTGAAGGAAACCAGCAATCCATCATCTAGTAGCAATCAACGATCAGCGAGGCGACCGAAGTTTCTGCTCTCTTCCGAAGACTGCGCTGACAGCAAAGGGCCCTACATGATAAGTGAACAGGCCAACGCCTAAACCACTAAGCCAACTGCGCAGTTGGCTTAGTGGTTTAGGCGTTGGCCTGTTCACTTATCACTACAGAACGGCACCTACAGCGCAGTATCTTAGCGCTTCTATGAGTCCATGATAAGCACCTATGAGATCCGAAGATTTTTTATTGGCCTGTGTCGTTTTCTGATCGTAATTAAGCTGACCCAATAGTGACGTACACAACAGTAGTATGAGTCGATGTAGCGAGCCTGCACAGGAGAAGAGCTCATCGTCATCAAGAATCGTTTTCCGACAATTCTCATGGTAGATCTTGCTCAGTCGTTGGATTTATTTTGGAGATGAAGAGTGACATCTTCATTTCTGTGTCGATCATCATCGAGTTCTGACAAACGGTTTCCAATACTCCAAATCTAGTATGTCTCGTTGGTTCGTCGCCAGCAGCAATCTCCATCCCAGATGTTGTCATGATTGCAACATCTACTGTGATCTTCACCTCGAAAGCGGTATTGCAAAAAAGCACTACTTTGAGCCTATCCTAAAGAGTGGCTTTCAGTGGTCCAGTTTGCACGTTTGCAGGCTCTGGACCGTCTACGAACTTCACACTGACAGAATTCACACAGTGTCGCTCGCTATCACGGCCCATTTCGCCGTAAAAAACATGCCCGAGATGCCCACCGCATCGTTTGCAAAGAATCTCTGTGCGAACCATACCTTTCAGAGATTTGTCGTATTAGGCTGAGCTCATAGGCTAAAAATCCCATTATCCCCACTAGGAAAGAATCGATGAATGAAAAAACACGCTACAAATAGAAACTACATCCTAATTCAGGTCTCAACGAACAGAATCAAGGCACTGATTCGCATACCTGATAATGATAATCACCTACTGCTACAATTGCCAGGAATTTGTATGAACCACTTATTCGGACATCCAGCGATTTACTTCCTTATAATATAAATATGTCCAGTTTAGTACCGTGAGTCTTATCTTCGATGTACTTAATGTGTGCCCCATTAGCTTCCTTGGAGTGGTAGCACGCGTTGTAAGCTGGCCACCCACAACCGGAGTTGAACTTCGTGGCGTAGGAGTATAGCGCGAAACCGCATCCTTTACACGCATAGTAGCCCGCTTTGGGATAATGCTTGTCGTACTCACCGCTCCCTGGGGGCTCCGTTCCCTTCTTCCGCAGCACGTCAAACTCCTTGCTGTTGAGGAGCTGCCGCCATTCTTCTTCGGTTTTATCGACCTTCTCCATCGTGGCAAAGGGTCGAGCCTGTTTCCAATTGTTCCCTTGTTGATTACACGAAAGAAGCTCTCTCGACGCAGGAGCTGGTCTTGTACTCTGGTTTGAACAACAGACGACAACCCGACGACAACTTCCGTTTCGTGTGACCACCACTGGACTCGAAGAACGCTGAGAGAACGGAAAAACAGCACCAGCTAGAGCCGAAGAATGTCGACGGACCGGATGAAAAGCTAATCCTGGATGAGCCATAAAACTTTTCCAGTTTTCTATGTTCGTTGTAGGTATTTACAACGAACTGATGAGTTAATGAATTCGAGTGTGAGGCACTGAGCCGTGCAACTTAGAACAATGAGGGCAAATTGACAACGAGCTGAAATAAGGTATTCACACTGAGTGACACAACAATATCAACTTCGTTACAAAAATACTTCGTGCTAAGCATAAGTGTACTTCTCTTAGATGAACTACTTACATAACTAATTGCAGTTCAATCCTAGGTCGCTTACAACAGGAATCCTGCTCCTGCACACAAGCTCACAGGTTTTTGGAGAAAGCTTTCTTTTGGACTATTCAGTTTTGCCTTCTACATAAACATCCCTACTTCTTGATCCACGATGAATCCATTGCCTCTAGAAAGGTATCCAATGCACTGGGCAGGGATGAATTTTGAGATCCACCAATGACGTTCCTGAAAAACTAAAATTTGAATTCTTTAACAATCACAGCACTAGCTATCAAACACTACTACAACTATGTATGATAATCTCATCGGAAAAGCTAGAAATAAGTTTCCAGATCTTTATCGGGAGATGGGGGAAACCAGAAGGAGACGGCGGCTGAAAGAATCTGTGGAAAAAATTTCTGGGTTCGTTCATACAAGTCAGATTCGCCTTGTCCTCGTGTCAGCCACGACGTTTGCAACCATGCTAGAGAAACAGAGACTCAACTCGTAAAACGGTGTTACTTAACTACTTACCGGGAAGCGTTAAAAATGCGAATACCCTGCTGCAACTCTAAGTTGCTTTCTTAGGTAAAGCTCTCTCATATGCATCTGTCTCAGTTAAGCTTCATGACATTTAAAGCACCCTCGTCAACGAACACAAATCTCAGTCATATCTCAATCGCCCCCAGGGCGGGATTCAGTGAGTCTTCATTACATAAGAAGGCTGATCTATGTACTTATTTGCGTCACATACTTATACAAGAAGAGCATCACTAGTTGTAAGTACTTCAACCAGGCACCGGTCCCATCTTGGGAATTCAGTACAGTCTGCTAGTATTTTCGGTTGCAACTCAGAGAAAAGTCAGCTGGTTTTCAGGGTTCTCGTCTTTAATCCACACGTTCGTTGATCCGCATCTCCGCTGGTACGTGAACTCCATCCGAGTTCGAGGTCCTGCTTCTTCTCGCGGCCTCGTGGCGCCCGCGCAGCACAGTCAGGTCTGGTCTTGGAAAGATCTGCTGCGGAACGCCGTCGGGGAGAAATGGGCCTCCCTGATGCAGGTGCGGCAGATGCCGCTGCGGCTCCATCTTCTCTGTTTTCGGCAACGGTGGTGGGAAATCATCCCCACGGAGAAGCGTCGGAATTACTTCGGCGTGCGCCTGCGGATGTCGGGGCAGCCAGTCCATGCAAACATTAGATGAAGACTTCGAAACTGACAGAGAAGATTAGCTTCCTCACACCTGTGCTTGGTGAGGTGCTTTCAGAGGTTTTTTTTGGCTTCGGCTTCTGACCAAAGGCAAATAAGTACATCGAGGATAAAAGGATACGGCTGTATTATTACCTTCCATTAAGACTCTGGTAAATTCTAAAGAAAAGGAAAACGTCGGGACATAATTCTGTTGACCCCCGGTCGGACAGTATTCTTCGACCACCACTTCTTCCTGGCAATCCATTTCGGTGTATCGTACTTGGTTATTGCTGGATTCATCCTGGGTTTTCTCGAATTTACGAACATCTTTACTTCATCCGGGATCACTTCTTCACAGGTCACAATCGCTTTCTTGTAAATGCCTCCCTGGTTTGTTAGAAAAGCCAGTTCAACTAAGGCAAATTGTTGTCCTCTTTAGGGGTATCCCGAATTTGAAAATAAAATCGCTTTAACAATAGAACAAGCCGTATATGTTGGCTTCGCGCTGTGCAGTTCTCAACTCAGAAGGGCGCAACTACTATCTAACAACCATTGGAATTGCCGTACACGCGAGCGCACCACGTGGAATTCAACTACTTAATCAAAACACATGCACCTCGTATTGATAATGAGGATAGTTTTATTGACCAACTTCAGTTATTTTGCTATCACAACCATCTCTAGTGAGTACAAGTATAATCCTTGTTGCCTTAACTTTATGAAATCGCCGAAAGTGTTTCGTTTTATTTTCGGAATATGAATGTAGGTATTTACTTTGATCACTTTGGTATCGTAGATTTTCCGCAAATATTCACGGATTTCGGGTTTCGTCACGTGGACCGGTACCCGAAAAGCGATCCTGTTTGGTTCCAAATATGCACCCGATCGTACCAGGACAAAGTTGAACCACGGGAAAAAGCAATTGCGTGGCGCTTTCGGTGGCCCGAGACAGGCTCTGGAAATATGCAACATCTTCGCAGAAAATCTGCCTTGGTTCTTATACTCGTCCTACTCACAGATCCCCGTCGATTCTTCACGCCCTAGTCGCAGCACTTCTGATAGAACCAACTCAGTACAAACCAAAGAAGATGTTGATGGAAGCGATAATCTGAAAGCTGTAATTTGCACTTGCGTTTGCCTGGCTTCTTCTGGTTCTGCTTACGTCACAATCAAACCCGCAGATCTATCCAACCGTCGTTTGTCGGTGATGTCCGAGGATCCATGACAGTTTGCGTCTCTAGGGAGCGGAAAAGAGCGAGACTCGAGGACAACCATGACGTAGCACGACATTCTTGCTCATCCATCTTCATGAAAAATCGGTAGGACTTGTGACTATCAACATTGATCTCGTGGAGAAACTGTTCGTAATCTCTCTTATAATCATGTAGTCATAGTCTCCACCAGTATCTAAAATCTGAAATTGAAACGAAATTCCAATTTGATCCCACGACACATAGAGCGACCGACCAGGATCAAAACAAACAGGAGAGCCAGCATGCTTGTTCTTTAAGCGGGAAGTTCCGCGTAGGACACGAAATAATTTTGTTACAGACATGGTCCATAAATGCAAGAACATTATCTTGGTTTTCCGGTCCCATGCAAACGCATTAGGACTGCTGTAATCAATGCCTCTTCATCTCCATCATTCTCTGCAGCGGCACTGGGTGTTGTTCCTGAATGACCTTGTCTCTATGACGATGCAAAAACTACGTCGTGATAACAACAAGTATGCCTAGTTTGTTAACTGACGTCCTCTTGTCCGGCTTTCCTCATAAGAAGAATCAACACAATGAATTCGGTAGAAAGCGTCCTGCAAATCTTCCACCTGTAAGTTGTTATATATATCATAAATATAGTTCTTCAAAAGTCTTGTAATTGAATCTGAAACATCCGCTATGTATGTTCTTGAACCACAGCAGCTAGAGTTATGCCATCTAATCATATTTATTACGGAAACCCTCGTTGAAACCGCTTGGACGACACACTGGCGGCCAACTGAGAAAAACGAATTAGAAACTGTAAGTCCATATCGTGCGTGCATCATTTGAAACGGGAGATGAATGATTGATAAAAATGAAAAGAAAAACAAAAAAAATAGAGGGCATTAACATTTTCATTAACGCTTCCAATCACTGACGAGGACACTGCGCACCTGCGGATGCCTATGCAGTCCCGTCCTGTGGCACGATATCACCAACGATGAGTTACTGAGGTAACGTCAGGTGGAGTATGGACTACACTACGCATGGTATAGATATTTTTCACAAAGATGCAACATACAGCCTAAACGTATCTACAACGAACAGGCTCTTGAGCATGGTACCTCAAGCGTTGACGGCAGGAATGCAAGAAGAAACATGAAGCGCGATGGCGCAACAATTGTACTTTCTCATACCATCAAGCGAAACAAACCAACGTATATCTCATATCAATCGGCAGAATCGATGAAAATCATTAGTTGTACTGAACGATGTAGACAGTACCTAAAAGAAATCATCATCTAGGGTGGATAGGAAAAGTGGATCGAGAAGTTTTTCAGCTTCTTTGTAGCTGTTTTTTCTCGTCCCCCCCAGACACTTTGCGCTCCACTGCAAAGGTGTCCCCGACTGGCGTACTGTGTCGTCCAATTCGTGTAAGGTCCCGTCCAAAGAGGAAATTTGCAATCCAGTTCCACGCTAACATCGCCTTGTTTCTCCAAGTCAACTGCATGCTCCAATACGCTGAGCGCCACGTGAACCACCCCAAGACTCCAGTAAGATTCGGCAAAGGAAGAAAGCCTGCACATTTTACTGATTCATCACTGCTTTAAACAGGGCAATCCGCTTGTCACTGCCAACATCTTTTCTCCAGTCATTAATCTTTCTAGTTGTAACCCAAAAAATTTTGGTATGTGCAAAAAAAAATGTTACTGAAAATCATAATCACGACAAGTGAAGAATAATCTGTACCAGGAACCCTATAGAGCGCCGATGTCCCACCAATGTACGCTAGTGTGCCCTTATCGACGTGGGCGAAATCTTTACACATTTCTGGGGTGTCCTGGTCCAAACATCTCGCTAGATACCCAGCCTGCTGCGTCGCGATTTGTGCAGTTTGAGGCAAGGGCATACCCTGTGTGTTAGCATCAAATCAGTTATCGCACAACTGCAGGAGATAATAACGATGATCGTTCCGAGCTTAGCTTACCAAGAATCAAAGTTAGTTTTACTTCTAGTTCGTTGCATTGAGAAAAATGAATCCGTTGGTCCGACATCAACAGCGTTGTAATGGGAGAATGAAAATCGGCGAAGTGTTGAGTACCTGCATCGTCGCGCAGTCCCCGAGAGCGAAAATGCCGTTGTCCTCTTCTCCAATAACCCGCAATTTCTTGTCTGTCAACAGCTGTGATCCTCTTTCATTCTGCATTAGAGCTCCCCGTATTTCCTTTCCTGCTATGCACTACCTAGCACAAAACTCTACAAGATTCAATCTAGGAAAAAAAAACGGTGCAAAGTACGATGATAATTTTGATTGGAATGAAACAAGGGACAGCAAGATTGAGGGACTCAACTTTTGACAAGAGAGTACTTACTCCTCGTCGAATCCTTCTTATTACAACCACTTCGAGGTCGACACATAACTTTGCTAGGTCTAGCCCAGCAACGAAAGGAAGAGGCTTGATGCCCGCACACCAGACAAGCGTTGAGAAGGGAAAGCTCTTCCCACTCTTGAGATATATGCGGTGAGACTCGACCTTATCCACGAATTCTTCCAAGTGTACCTGCACTCCCTGGTTTTCTCGCAAGTGATTCAGAGCATGTGTCTGCAGCTTCGCTCAAATGAAAGATTCAAATTTTACTAATTTTGAAAAAAACATCGAACACACATGCACCTCATCGAAGAAAAAACTGATAATTCGAATTATGATTCATTGACGAGTTGACTAGTTGCAACAGGCTATGATCTTCTCATAATGAATATGGAGAATGCTGCTTGGATAAATACCCCAATGCTGCCTGTTTGCTTCTAGTTCTCGTCGTAGACACTGAATTACTAGGAGGTAGGGGCCATACGATTTTGAAAGGGTGAAAGGAGGGCTGGGAGGGCGTCGATCAAATGCACTGACCACAGTTTCGAAAGGTGGGGATACTGCTTCGCGATGTCTCGTTTCAGCATGTCCGTCAGTTCGGCGCAGAACTCAGTCCCCGTTGGACCTGGATTTCCATGGCGAATGCTGGATAAGACGGAAGTTAATAGAGTGAGAGAGGCGAAGCAACGCATCATTCGAAGTGAAGACTTGAATCATCGATCAACATGCCAAGAAAGAGGTCGCGGATCCTCCAACCAGCTCAAACCTTTAGGAAAGCAAGGTAAGTGGATGAAAAGCACCTCCCCCCACTACGACGAAAGAGAGCACGTCTCGAATCTGCTGCTCTTCTTCCTTTGAGAGATTCTCATCACCGTCTAGTAGGTGGATAAACGACGCCTCTTCGAAACTACGCAATATATGGTCAAGCACGCGCTTTGCGTCTGCTGTCTCCTTCATGAAAAAAGCATGCTCCTCTGGTGGATGTTGTAAATGGAATCAACATTCGATATGTGAGTATGTAGTCATCAGTGGTACAGGCTAAAAACGTCGATCTTGCAGCACTTCCAACTGCTGTGACGATAGTGATCACGACCACCAGTACGTAAAAGAGTCAAAATAATCTCATAAGTTGCAGAACCGCCAGAAGCAAAATCATCCTCTAGTTGTATCCCTATCACAAAAAATAGTGTCTATAAAAATGCAGTATCGAAGATACCTAGCTTTGGAATTCCAAAATCGTTCGCCTGGAATCCGATGTTTATCACCAGCTTGTCGTTAAATTAGAGGCCGAAGGTGCCATCGATTTCCTAATCCTAGGACACATATCCTTTCACAGCAAATCCTGAAGAAGATGATGTAGTCTGATTCACTTCTAACAAAACATTCACATTCCAGACCTCCGGTTCAAGGCTGTGAAATAGCGCAAGCCTTAATATGAAAGGGGGAACTCTCGTCCGTCTAGCGTCTGGCATTTCACTGTCTTTTTTTTCTTGTCTAACGACAATGCGCGCGCCTCGTAGAAACGGCCGTGCTTTTTCGCGACAAGCGGTCGGATCGGATTGCAATCTTAGAGGTAGTCAGGGATAAACGTGCTTTCTAGAACATACAACAATCACAGAAAATGAAGAATGACCACAAAAACGCACTACTAGTACAAAAAACATAAGTAGGTCCTTAACAAATGCTTGCTATATCGGACCCGCCTACGGACGCTGACGCTAGCAGTGGTGTAAACAGGAAGTGGTTTCGTGGGGATACCACCATTACATGGTACTTTCCCGAATCCACATCTTGTATCAGTCGGTACCCTGACCAACCGGAGCCCAACACAAGCAGGCGTTCCTTGGATCCGGCCTGCAGGAAAGGCGAAGTCCGCAAAAAGGGTCGCAAATGAGACCGAACCAACATTGTGCTGTTCTCGCCTGGTTCTAGTTCTCTAAAATTTTCTGTGTTCTCGTCCAGAGATGATTTTCGATACCTCCCCGACTCGCCGGCGCCTTCTTCAAGCAGCAGTTGCACTCGTGGATAACAAACTGCACAACTTGTTCTCTTTTCTATCGGTCAGCTTCAGATCGTCTGTAATGAATTTCGGAAAATCCGTTCAGCGTCCCTTCAGCCGACTACCAGATGAAGATCACTGCCGAAAGAATGGTCGCCACAGTGATTGTCACCACAAAAATTCTGCGGATGTCGACGAGGTCAAGTGAGCGGAGCCCGTTCGGTGAGCGTTATGGTTTGGTCCATATGTCTGCACACTGTGTCGTCGCCACTGCACGACGGCACTAAAACTACGACCCAAAACAACTACAAGTGAGTAAATTTATGTCCCGAAAAATTATCGATGTAGCAGATTGTTGATTTGCTTTTATAAGTGTTTCCACATGAGCGCGAAAAATGCATGAGAAAGTGAAGAAACATGGGAAATTCCATACAATTGACTTGCTTTAAATGATGGCAAGAAAAAAAGACTCCGGCCATCATGAAAGGCTAAGAACAAGACTCAGCGGAAATGCAATGAGTAATAAAGGTACACCCGAGGGTGAAAGAGGAAACGACCAAAGCTTAGAATGGAGAGAGTCAAAATGTGGATAGAGATTCTATCCACATGTGAAATATGAGGAAGAATCAATCTACGGGCAGAACGCCTTTTGGATTTGGAGTCTCGCACCCAAAAACAAATAAGCACATCGAGCACTTTTTTGGCATGGAGACTGTCATCGCTTTTTGACGTCTTTCGCTCTACCGAATCAGTCCTCAATGGCTTAGTTTTCGTCGTACTCGCTGTTGCGTCGCGGCAGTAGTATATAGAATGTGACGTGCGGGGAAGACCGCAAAAAATTCCGAATTGTAACACAAGCTGTTGTATGGATGTAACTTTCAATACTTCTTGACCACGAAATGATGGAAAACCGTTTTTCATTCTTGTACCCTAAGCATTTTATCAAAGCCCTGTGGATCCGGTAAGATTTTGTCGAAATTAGTGCCAGCTGGACACCGTCCTAGCGCTGAGACTGTCAGCTCTCTCCCCATGGCCTCAACCAGACTCTGGTCTTCAGCTGGTACGAACAGGAGCACCTCTGCCACTAGAAAATGAACGTCAACGAAGAGCGCACGAGCTGCAGTTAGATCGCGCAAAACTGGAATCTGACGGACATATTCCGAAAAACCACGCAGGACAATCTTTACGACGCCACTCATCACTGCCGCACGGTTAAACAGGACTGCGCCGTAGATCTGCGTCGACCGGGCAAGCATGCTCTCCACATCTACCTCGCCAGCATCGGGAAGCAGTCCGCCGGTATGAGATTTTCACGAAAGTTGACAACTTCTACGTGGGTAAAGACAACAAGCAGGACCGAATGGGTCAAATATATCGTCCCAAAAGACCGAAATCTAATGACGAGGCTGCCGCCTATGCAGTACAGAGATCAACACGGATGAAAAGAATAGATCATTTGATCATTCGATAAATTGTAATGCAATGTTCATACACAAAGCTGCGTCCGCCTCCACCACGGCCTTGCGTGTTATACATGCCTCTCAGAGACCTCGCTGGGTCTCCCGTATTCTTCTTCGGATCGCCGAGGATGGTCGCGACCTCGTCCTCGAAAACCTTGAGACGCGCAACTAATTGACGTATAGTCGGCTGAGGTCCCGAAGGCTCTGGACTCGATCCCTGGTGGTGCGTGCACAAAGTAAATAGAATGCTGTCAAAGAATTTCACAATTTCCAACGCATCTTTCTATGTATTTGATGGTTTACGGTTTTTTACGGGTTCTAAATTTGAGAACTACATGATCACCTTGCACATTTGTACTACATTTCTATATGAGTTCGATGCAAAATTCAGGCTAATTGTGGACTCCTCTCCAGCCAACTCAAGAAGCGCAAAAACCTCATCTTTTGGCGCGGCGTCCCAATCCATTTGGTAGATGTAGTGGCGTAGCGTATGCGCCAGACGTGCCCCTTCGGCCTCAACTACGCGTGCTAGAGTTTCAGCTGCAACCTGCCGACAATTCGATGACAGTGCTTGAAGCATTTTTTCACCGCCATCCTCCGCGAATTCTCCGCCACACAGGTCGGAACCAACACTCCACAGCTTTGCGACTCCACGCGTCTCGAGATGGCGACCGATGCGGACTAGAGCGAGAGCAAACTTTGGACTCCACGCAAGCGCTCGAATGGCAAGCACGTTCTTTGGCTGATGAAGATCATGCAGATCGTTGAGTAGATGTTGGATGGAAACGACATCACTATTTAAAACAAGAAACGTCATCCCAATCAAATAAAGCATTCTCACTCAAGACCAAGAGCAAGTACCATGAGTGCTGCTACATCGCTTGCCGCGCGTTCCCCCTTGTCTTTGCAAACTAGCTTGCATTAGCGAGTGCTTTATTCATTCATCTTGGTCCATTCATCTCGGCACTATTTGGCTTGTATTCTGAGTGGAAAGGGTACCGAGATGCTGAAAGAGATGAAAATTAGGTGATCATAATTGCATGTCTCCAGGTAAGCCAAAAAAAAGTCCTGGACGTTTTTCACAAGTGACTGTAGCAGCTTATCGGATGGGGCCGCGTGCTCCGACACCAGATCCGCTAGAGGCTGGCAATCGGTCAAGCACAGACACCCCTGGAGAAGCATTGCGTGCTCCGCGGAACCTGATCAAAGAGGATAGACTAGGTCTAGGTCGGTGGACGAGAATGAACAATAAGCCAGTGAATGTTATTGGATTTCCACTACAAATTCTCAAGGGACGGATTCGGGGCGGAGAGAACCCCTATACAATCGATCATTCAATCGAACAAAAAAAAGATCAAGGACAGTCGTGATCTTACTTCAGATGAACCTGCGCGTGCCGGCAGACTCCCCCAAGAAGATAAACGAATTTTCCATCAAGAAGTACCTATTTTAGTCAGCGCGTCTGCATGTGAAAGACCCGGCGCTTGCAACGCTACATGCAGTTCTTTGAGTTGCGACACCATCGTGTCTTGTACCGACTCGAAAGTCTTCGCGGCTGATAGCAATGCTGCATTTGACACCAAAGAACCAAAAGTTTGGCGTCGTACATTGTCTGTATCTTCAGTAGCCAAGAATGCAAAACTTCGCCCGAGGTCCTGTAAGCAACTCCGGACAGCGGACGGCGAGGCTGCGGTTTCTGAGACAAAGCGCACAACGGTTTCGCTCACTCTCTGCAGTCGCTTCAGCACGAATGCCCGTAACGTTTCTTGTCGTTCTGCTGTCTGGGCGCTGAGAAGAAGATAACCCTCAACGATCTGTCTCAATAGCGCGGCATATTTCTCAACCAGCAGCGTCGTGACGCGCTGGAGAGCGTGCTCATCGTGCTTGTCGCTAGACTCTCGCACGCAGGCGTCAAGACAGCTGTCTAGAGCAATGCCGCGCCCAGTGAGGAATATACTGGCAGTCTGGTCCCGATCGGAGCCTAATTCGAGCAGCGTCTGCGAACTGTGCACGGCTTCTTTGGTCTGATTGCAATTTTGAAAACAGACCATGATGGTTTTCAGTTTTTTCTACCTGTGATTTATCAGAAAAGTACTCAGCTAGAACGCAACTACCTGCTGCAAAGTAGAGAGCCAATTATCGAAAAACGATACCCAGAAATAACTCCCGAAAATGTTACCGAAAGAGCTTCTTCTGCGCGGTGATCCTGAAGTCGCTTTTCCAACGCTCCTTTGAGCTCATGCATCACCTTATCGATCTCGACTAGCGCATGTTTGAACGTTTCGGGTCTTTGCCTGATCGCGACAATACTCTTGCAGTAAACCTCCGCGGCACGACCATACTCCCGCTTCTCGAGACACTCTCGGAGGACTGCGGGGACGCGTACCAATCCCCGCACCTTTTCGAGCTTCTGCTGTCGTACCAGTAACTTCGCAATCTTCTCGCTCCCCGGCAAGAGCTTCGTTGCGATGTGGCATTTGAAGGGCGAGGTGGGACGCTACTCTTTGCAGACATCTTTTTACCTGTTCCCTTCGAAAACACAAAAAAATTGATTCACTAGAGCCCCACTAAAGTCATCCTGGACTGAATTGGAGCAACGAACTAGACTAAGCAAGTGTCTGAAAATATTTTTTTGCACACTCTCAACATAATGCCGTTGACTTTCTGATCGACCTTCTGCAGTGAGGCTTCGAGAGCGACGATGTCTTTGGGCACCAAACGATCGCGTATGACCGTTGACATTTCGTGGATTACGTCCGTTGCCCGTATAAACTTGGAGTAATTTTCGTAGACGTGGGTTTGCAGTTCGCTGTCCAGAGTCTTGATCTCCGTATCGAGGTTGTTCGACAGTCTTACAAGTCTTGGAATGCTCGAGTACTCCTCATTGGCAAGTAAGGTCTTGAACCACGTCTCCGCACTGAACTTGTGGGAGTCAAACTCCTGTTGCTGTATCGACAGACTGCCAGTAACGTTTGCTCCAGTATTAACCGACCTATGATCGTTCAAAGCATTTGCACGCGCTGCTCCAAGTGGACCATCATTGAGACCCAAGCCTCCGTTCGGTGTAGCATTCCCGCTCGCCGGGGCATCGTCCATAGAATAGTACGCAGCCAACAAATTCCGAACACGACGCGGCTGTCGCGTCGAAGACGACGACGGAGAGGATCCTCCTACCTCCATGTTGCGTCCTTCCTAATTGTAAAACAGAGACTAGGAAAAGTATAATCAATGAGCTTGGAAAGGTCGTGAAACTAACCTAGTGAGAACTGTAGTAAAGCGGCTAAAATTTCTACAGGATCTTGTGTAGTTCCGTAATCATAATGCGTATCTTCAGATCGAGTATTTTTCTACAACGCAGACTTAGTGCAGCTACAATTGTTTACCTTGATATAATCTTATCAAGCATGAAGATTCTAATGAGCTCCTTCTTTTTCAGATATCTTCGTCCTTTTCGGCGGTGCACGAAATGATGAAGACCAATGTACGCATTTGTTCGGTATGAAAATCTTGCCTCCTACAACTTTCGCCGCCTGATGATTCTCATACCGATCGTATCAACGCAGGACTCACCAAGAAGCTAAAAATTATTTGTGATGCACGTGCTGGTACCCAATGAACCATACGCCCGCAGGGCCGCCAACTCCTCAGGCGTAGCAGTAGTGGAAGTTTTGGACTATGCAAGATGCGATGAGACATCTGTGGTTCGTATTGATTCGACACTGCACTGCACCTGGGACAAACTTTCCCATAATCCAAATGGTTCTCGTTCATTACTTTTGATGAACAAAAAACTACTAACTCACGGCCTTTATGACTAGAAGACCATTGGAATTGCAATTACCTTTGCTTATTATATTCAAATATCATTCTAACATATGATCGATGCAAAGTCTATCCTTCAGTGCATTCTCCGCCACGTAAGTCAGAGTGTCGCATGGCCACACGATTGAGCTTCAATCTCTTCTTTGCTCCACGTGATTCTCACTATAGTCTTTTCACTATTCCCAACGTCATTACTGCTTGTAAGACGCACGAAAACTGTGTCCATCAACGTTGCAGCCTGCATGACGTTTACGTTAAGCTGGACGCAGACGAGGCAGCAATGCGGTGGCGTAGAGTCAGGGTCTGCTGGTTGGGGTAGCAGAACTTCTCCTCGATGCCAGAAACCATCTTCATCGCTTTCCAAATCTCCTTTCATGATCTCTTCGTTCCAAGGAGAAGAGCGGCTCATGCGCCACGCGACATGCAGAGTACGAACTGCAGGACCCGCATCAGGTGGCAGATGAAGTACTAACGAACGCTCAGCCCCAAAAACTGCTACAACTCGGGGACGTTTAGGCACAGAGAAAAGTCCGAAAATGTCTTGCTTCCCGAGTACGCGAGCCATTTCGTGTGGAGGCATCTCGTTGCGCTTCGATGAGAAAGAGGACGCACCAAGAGTTCTTTGTCCTTGTTCAGAATTAGAAGTCGTAGGGTCATTCTTTTCAACATGATCTTGAAGAAAGAGTAGGTGCCTCTTTCCGCACGTTGCACAAGTCTTCAACCGGTGTTCACCATCTCTCTTGAAAAACTTGTTCCTCAGAAGCTGCTGAAGAGAAGCGACAGCATTCGCCGATACTAATCGACTCTCCTCAGTTCCCGTAACAGACCCGTTTTCAGAAGTATTTGTAAACTTATCTCCGCCTCTTTCACGCTTCTTCAGATACGCCTGCAGACAAGCAGTTTGTCCTGCCTCACGACGTCGCGACTGAAGATCCAACAGATACCGGAGTGTCTCCGACGCGCCCTCTACGACACAGTGCTGCACCAAATTCGATCCTAAACTGTTGCGCTTCGACAATGTGACCAACTCTTTCTCCTCCACGAGGAGCCGAACAACGTCCAGGTCCCGACACATGACAAAACACGCGGGTTGACCCTTTGAATCTTCCAAAAATACCGTGTCCCAACGTGAATGCCTCAGTACAAAACGACACACGTCGACAGTTTTTACGCCTTTTTCAGTAGCAGTATTATCTCCACAGGATGTCGAGATCGACTTTTCTGCCAACACCTTCATTGTTGTGTTTCTATCAGAAGTAGATACGGAAGAGGCCGACCCTGAAGCCACATGAAGGCATGTCTGGCCTAGCCTTGAGCGTCCGGTAAGCAGCTGTCCGAAATCGTGTGGAATGATGTTCCGTATCATTTCCAAGGCGCGAATATTGCCTGACGCTGCAGCAACATGCAGTGGTGTCCACTGACGCCCGCGCGTCCGTGCCATCAGAAGTTCCTTCTTTCTATCTTCCGATGTTGAGACACCCAGCAGTGCTGATAGAAAATGCTCCGCATGAGATAATGCCGTGTTGCTGCAGAGAATATGAAGTGGCGTCTCACCCGCAAGGTTTACTGACTTTGCGAGCATAAAATTGTTTTTTTCGCGTGCGACGAGTGGAAAAACGTTTTTTGCACCACTTTTCGTCTGAGATGCAAGTCTCCCGGAAAATCGAAATATGATATCGAAGCTTTCTATTCGATCATATAGTACAGCCAAGTGCGCCACTGTATTGCCATCGAACGCGTTTTGCTGTACGACATCGGCTCCAAATTCCAACAGTACACGCTCAGCCGGTACATTATTCGCAATCACGGCAAGGTGCAGCGCAGTGTGGCCGGCAGGGCTAGCGGCATTTACATCCGCCAGAGTTTCTATCACCAGTTCAGAGATTGCATCCGGATGACAACGCAAGTTGTGCGCTGCGAAGTGGAGTGGACTCCAACCATACTCATCAAGCAGATCTTCAAATCGAGTTGTGGGTAAAACTTCGTGCAACAGCGCAGCTAGCGCAGCTATGGTTTGTCCACTTGCAGGGGTGCAACATACTCCCTCTTGGACGCCGCATGCTACATCATCACTTGGATCAGGCGACGAAATCTCTACAGAACTTCTGCCACCTTCGCCCTTACGCACCCTGTCCGGACTGAGTTTGCCACTCCTTGTGCTGCGATTTTTGTCACGTCGCACTGACGACTGCCGTTTCACAACTGTTTGCAAGTCCGCGTCTTCCTCCAAGAGCTTTCCTTTCGCTGAGAGCCTGTTCGATTTTTGTGGTTGACATAGTGCAATTTCGAAGGCCAATGTGAGTTCGCGTTCTCGCTCGTTCGAATCGGTCGCGTCAAATAGAATAGAAAAACAATGAACTTGGCTGCACCGCACAGCAGCCAGAAAGGCGGTTTCGCTAAATGGCCCACATTTGCTTGTGCCAGACGTGTTCGCACCAGCCGCAAGGAGCAACTCTATACAAACGGGATGCCCCCTCTCAGCCGCAACATGCAGGGTTCGAGTCAAAACCCCAGACGTTGAAGAAGTACCAACAGCATTGCTTGGTCGCTCAACACGCAGATAAAACTCGAGGAGCTCTGCTAAAATCTCACTCCAGCCCAGACGCGCAGCACACAGAAGTGCTCGTTCGATCCAAGGCTCTTGCCCTCGAAGCAAACGTCTTCGCGCACGGAGCAACAAACGAACCGCAATCGTGTTGCCAGCCTCACAGGCTAACAGGAGAGCAGGGCCAAGCTCTCCAATTGCGTCATCCTTCTTGAGGAAGTTCTCGTCAGCAGTGGTCCCATCTTTTGGGACGTGCCTGCGCTTCTTCCGTGGTAAGAGATGTTGAACGTCTCCCCCCAATGCACATGCGTCGGCTACAACGCCCATCGTGGATCCTTACAACAATCATTGATGTCATGACCACAAAGTGAAAGCGCTACTGAAAAGAATATCAATATGAATGAAAAGGATGGTCCGTGCAGTATTCAAGTGCAGTGCTATCACTACACCACTTTGATGGATTGCGCTTGCGTATTCTTGAAAGTTTGAACTTGCCTCGTACTGCATATCCGGGTTGTTGAGGACACACATGATAGTACACAATCCCCCGCGACGTGCACTCATCTTGTCCTTTCAGAGATTTCTTTGTTTGGTATGGTGTTAGCTGCCAACTGCGCAGACTTTCAAGTGTGTTGCCTTCAATGATGCCTTTTCTAGAGCCAAACTTTTCTTGAAAAATGTTGGTCACAATTCGAAAGTCATTTTCTTCTGGCACATGAAAATGCAGATCGCACATTTTTTTTTCCTGCAGTGGTGTGTCATTTTTTTCATTGGCAGGAGCTAGAGCTTGCGTTGTCGACAGGATGCTCTCTGCTGCTACCCGCGCTGCGTCATCTACTGCGATACCCCGTACTCCAGCACCGAGTAGAGGCAGCCTTACATACCTAATCTCGCGAATTCGATCTAGTTTTCCCTGATTCCATTTCTCGATGCCCGAAAGAAGTGCTGAGCGATTTGCTTGACTTGCTTCTCCTAGTCCGATGCTGCGATCAGCTCCACTGATGTTGAACAGCACCCTCTTCAGCAGAGACTGATAACACCTTGCCAAACGCTCCTCAAGCATCAGGTCGTCGTGGAAAGGGGCGACGAAATGCAAAACAGCACCCAAGTTCACTGTAACTCCATCATCTAAAAACTGAAGTGCTGGAAGTGTTGTAGCAATGAAGCAGCCAGGCGGACAGAGCACATCGCCATATACTCCAGCTTCAATGCCGGCAGAACCGCTTTTTCCCTGTTCCTCTTTACCGCTTTTGCTTTGTTTCCGAAGGCTCGCTAATCCATCCGTCATCGCTGATACCCACTCTCGTAGGAAATTGCAAGCATTCGCGCTCGGTTGAAGTTGCAGTTGCTTCTCTACTATTTTCGAGTAAAGAATCGATCCGCGTTTTTTGGTTCGTGCTTCTGAATCCAACCTGTTACGAACCTCTTCTCGGAGAAAGTCGCCTGCTTCTGCCAACTCACGCTTAAGTTTGTCGCCACCCGCAGCGTGCACCAATCCATCTACACATTGCGCGGGATACAGCATTCCGCTTCCGCTCTCCATCCCACACCAGTGCGAGGCCTTCTGCCAGTCGTAGGCCCACCGGTTGCTTCGTGACAAACCGAAGTCCCGGTCGTTTGCAGGAAAACCACCACGCGGGAAATACGGGAAGGCCGTTCCACTCAAGGCTTCGTTGGCACTGTTCGCCAGCACTGTTGTGAACTTAGAATTATTGTTACCATTGCTTTCAGGAGTGGATTGCATTCGTTGCGGGTCGGTTTCGCCACATATCAAAGCGACTTTAATCGGTCTACGGTCCACCAGAACGCGGAGTAAAAACTTATCGAAGGGGTCCCGTATGCTGCCTCCTGCACCGAATCTTCGCGTCGCCGCGACCACGTGAGGCCCGCTGCGAGGAAGCCGCGCCTTGGAAAGGAAAGCAGCCTCGACAGGCAGCATGTCTGTGCGGATGAAGCCCTTTATCTCTAGAAGAGCTCGTCCAATGATGATAGTAACAAGAAAGGCCTTGCCAAACCTTCTTTTTGAGCTTTGTAGTGCTCACGCATTGAAGACAAGACTAATCCACTCCTTTTCGAAGATATGAGTGACCGTCCTCTTTTTCCATCGGGAGAGAACAACGAGTACCGATTATATAGATACTTTTTTGGCCGTGATGAGCCAATTTGTGCGGCAATAACTGCGATATCATGAGACTATCCATGCATTTCGGTTTGATCACTTTCTGGACTGTAAGCTTGCAAAAGGCACTATGTTGAATTCGACATGATGTTGTAATGCGTCGATCGACTATAGTAGTAATAGTCAGACCGCGTGTGAGATGCTCGGGGTGCGATGGTCACATCTCTGTCTCTACTTTGCATTACCAGTCATGAAACTTGTACTAGTCCTATTTGCAGTAGCTCTACTTATACAGCATCTCAATGCAAGGCATGAAACACCCCACGACTACGAAAAAGGGAACGAAGTCCGAAGGTGAACATACATAGACTTATTTTTTAGAAACAACATCAAGATGAAAGACGCAGTGTTGGAATTACTAGGTCTAAACAAGCTTTCATACTCATTGCATGCATCAAGGGAATGGGGCGATTACAGCTGGGGATATTTCGCATTAAAGGTGTCCCCGCATGGCGAGCTTTTATGAAAGAGGAGGTGGAACTTTTATTATGAAAGGAATAAGGTTATGCACACGATGGGGCGATCATGAGTATGCAGATAATTGGTATAATCCGAATTCAAAAAAACGTGCATGTGCCCGCGTGAGACAAAGAAATGGGGTGTCCGCAATACCGAAGGTTAGGCAGGAATCGAATTAAAGAAGGAACCACGAAGTACTAACTTGAGTTACACTTCAGCAGGAACTGCATTCGGAAAAACCGTCTTGCTAAATCAATGCATACTCTTGCTTCTGCCTCAGCACTGCGAGACGATTTTTACATCCAGAAATCCGAAACGAAAACCATCGCGAGTTCTGACGATAGAGACTCCAAAAGACTGTGCTACTTCATCCGTTCTAACTCCCGATAGGGACTTTCCGATGCAGCGCCTTCCGTGGTTGCGCGTGCTTGCACTATTTCCGACCATAGTCAGCTGCCGAATAACCGTAGTCATTTGGTTGTTCCATAGGCGCACTTGAAGGTACGGCCGCAGGGTTGAGACCTATCTGTTGCGCCTGCTCAGCGCTCAGCTGAACGGGGACAAGCTGCCCATTGGCATTGGGCTGCATTTGGTAATAGTTAACTTTTCCACTAGCAGGATCCAGGCCTTGCATAATCTGCCCCGAAATCGGTTGCGCTTGGACAGGCTGCCCGACCTACGGTAAAAGATTTGAGATTTTTCATCTACTTATCTGGTGCCTACGATCTTCGTCGTAAAAAAAATGCAATCAAGTGCGTGGAGCACAAGAATACCAGATGAGTATCTACAGTACCATAGGCGACTGACTCGCGAAGGAGACGGGTAGCCGGATCTTGATATAAGCTTGCGAGTGTTTTCCTCCTGGCTCATATGTAACGTGGAATTGGCCATTTGCAGGTATGGGTTGTTCGTTGAACGCTTTATTCAGGGATTCCGGAATTGTTTGCTTCATACCGCACATAAAACATATGAACCACATTCCGGGGACGCCAACGAAGACCAAATTGAATAGGATCGCTAAAGCCAAAGGCCAGATCACGGCATCGTGTTTAGTATGCGGCCCTGATGTCAAGTCATGATACAACATGGGAGAAAAAAATTAAGTACATGCAGATGTTACCTCGCTTTCTGGTATAATTTTTCCGTCTTTCATGAGATGCAGAATAGATCCTATTCAGATTTTCAGGCTCTCCATTGTACCTAAAATCTTTGTTGTGCCACCGCATTGCTCTTTTTTCTTGTTGCGACCCTTTTCACAGAAGCATTTGCTCCGTTCCGTTTTTTCGTGTACCTTGCACTGTGCAGGTGTCGTCACGTCTACAGAGAGGCCGCGGAAGGAAACGACCTGGTCTAAAACTTCGCGTGTCTCCGAAAAGTCAGTCGCCTGTCCATCCATGGCCGCTTGACGTCGCTCTCTTTGCATCCAACTGCCACTAGCAACAGCATGTCCCATCGGTCGACGGTTGAACGCGCGCGCTAGCCTACTTCTCTTTGTTACCTGAGACGCTGACTCTTCCAGTAGACGCTCTGATGGCTCGCCGTCGCAGCAGTAGTACCTATTCAGAAAGCAATACCACGTGGATGCGTAATGTTTGTAAGGTCCGAAATTTCTAAATCCCTCTCATCTAGTAGAGAGTGAGAGAAACACTGACACTGAGACGTTGCGCATTCGAATTATACCCCACCCAGGTAGAACCCAAAATAATATGCTTATAGTATTTCCCTTCTGGGAGGCGTATCGTGATACAAGCGGCACATAGCAAGTTATAGTACGCGCAGCATGACTTCGGGTTGTCGGCTGACTCCCCAGCTGGCGCGACGTATCCTCTCCTATCCAGGTTCAGTTCGCACGTTGCGGACACATCACACTCCACGCGCTCTTCCCTTATCATCGCGAAAAAGACCATTCCTGTAACGGAGCCCACGATCCAGATAAACCATTGCCGGTGCGACGTGATGCACGTGCGCGACGCAAACTTGCTATTGATTCTGCCGATCACCTCTTGGTAAACCTGGGGTCTCAGTCCTGCTTGAAAGAGTCTTGGGTCCACACGGTTCGGATCCACTTCAAATCTTGGCGGGCCACAAGGGTCCACGCACTGCCCGCCGGTGCAGCCTCCTTCCTGACGCACGATGACGACCTGTGGGTCGTAACTGCTGCTGCTAGTTTGGCCCATGCTGCTTGTTCCTTTTACTCCATGGGGATTCAACGACTAAATTCAAGTACAGCAAGGAATTCCAATCAATTTGACTTTAAGAAAATGTTCGAACTGATAGATTCGACTTGAACTTCCTACTGACACTAAGGTTCACATTTAGTAGTCTGATCTGTCTAATACACGAAAGGTAGCAGTATGATACACGTCTAAGATGTGCCATGTAGCAAGAGTGCTATGAGTAAATGCAGTATTAATATCACGAACAGGAACACGGTAATGAATGAATGTACCCACTCCAGGGGTATCAATGATATAACTTTTAGACTCAGCAAACGGAGGAGGCTGCCAAGAAGTTTGTCCCCAACGACCTGTCTTTTGCGGGTATACGAATTGTACTTCGTTTCCTTCATCTTCGCGCAAAGGAGTATTTCTAGTCACGATACACACCTCAACCTGCATCTCGAACTCTCATTCTTCCAGGACACAAGAAAGAAGCATGGTAGAACAAACAACTCTCATCGACGAATCCACTCACGACCTCTTGTCTCCCACGACTTATTGTTACTCACGACTCTCGCTCTCTTTCCCTCGCCTTCTCTTGAAACGAGAAACAACATGGATGTTAACTTGGTGCACAGACTAGAAAACTCAGTTGAACACACAAAAACAATTTGACTGAAACTATGAAAATAAGTCGATCTATTATCCCATGTCGTGTGAATCGGCTTCGTCATTCTGATGCCGCTTTTTCATCATTTGGATACAGGAGTTCTTTCAAGGTTATATTTCTTAGGGTTATTTGTTGGGAATGAATTGCTCAACATTTTTGAGAAGTATCTTGTCGTACTGCTCTTTGATTGTTGGGATGTTGACATGAGTCCGTGGGTCATGTGGGTGGATGATGTGATCGAAATTTATGCGAATGCTGGGTGCCTTCGTGAATGGTGGGTAAGTGTTTTCCTCTAGTAGATTGATTGTGATGTTTTTACGCACGCTGAAATCGATATGAACGGTTTTCATGACAGTCGAATTTGCTGATTCTTCGAATGTCTTGGTGATGTGCTGAGTAGATATGCATCAATGTGTCTTCAATCGTGCCTCACATTTTGCTTTGAATGACAATGTGTAGCAAGGTCGAACGAGAAACGGAAATCCCTGATGTATAGGATCGTAAATTTGCATCTGGTAGATGTGATCAGTTTTAGATTTAGTGGATAAGTCAGTGTCGGAATAGATAAATTTGGTGTATCTAGTAGTTCAATCGTTTGAGGGTAGTTGCAGACTTTGTTTAACGCTATATTCTCATGCAATGTTTTGCGGATTCGCTAATGAAATGATTTGATTCTACGCTCTTATGGCATATTCTAACAAGTTGTTTTCACGATGACAGTGTTGTTATGAAGATCGAGCTTTCTCATACGTTTTCGAAAAAATATGCACAGGTGCGTGGTGGTGTGATGGATAAAGCTATGGAAGGGGAGGTGACAACATGTAGTACCTGGCTGAATTTGTAAGGAATGGAATGTGTGTAAGTGTGTACTTGAATTGAGAAATGTTGAACTGTACTGAGCAAGAATGAATCGTGTTTGTTTATGACCGAATCGAGATGGACGTAACGTAATGTGGGGCTTACTTCAATCACGTGTATTCATTGCATTGCTTTTTCACAAGAAATGTTTATACAGAGTAGCCACCTTTTTGTTGCTGGGATGGGTGGAACAAAATGGTGAGTCATGAATGTTAATAACTACGTGAAGCCTACGGCAATGATTTTTATCGATTAATTCGTTTCCTACTTCTACGTGATGCTGATGGTGACATCCAGGATGGGATTTTGGTCCGGTGGAGCCCAACTTCTTATGCCTAACTTCAAAATAGGAGCCCAAATTTCGCAGAGACGGACAGAGTGAATCGAACCCATGGGCGCCATTGCAGTTCGACCTCCGCTGTGCATCTCTACCAAGAATTTCAATTTCAACTAGATTACAGAAACTAACAGTAGTGAGTCAGAAGAAAAATTTTTTCCAGTACATACATTCACTCTAAAAAAGATTGAGTGGTTGCCCTTTGTAAATTAGTATCTACGTTATAACCATTCAATCTTAGTTCTCTATATAAATACATCTCCCCATGAAGAATCTGTCTTGATAAAAAATATTCATCTTCTTGTCCAAGAAAATAACCTAAATCTTTTGGTAGCCCAACTACGCAGTTGCCAGAGTCGGGTCGGTCGGCTTGGTCCCTGGCTGGACAAGCGTCTTGCGTAGCACTTGCTTCCCGTTGGCAAGGGGTTTCGCCGGAGGCGGGTGCAATGACGCCACATACTCAGTATCGATGATGTAGTTCAAATCCCACTTTTTGCCGGCGTTCCAGTCCTCAGCGTCGTCAAGGAAGTTCCTCGTCACCAGTACGTTTGCTTCGCCCATGAACCTAGAAGTTGTAGACTTGGTGCATATTTTGGGTTCGTTGGCTTCTTCTTCAATAAATTTGGAGAATCGAACAGAACTAAATCATTGAAAATTGAGTTTGAGACTTTAAGTACTCTTTCCGCCCGTTCGCAAAGCGTTGCTCGACGGGATATGTGCGGGTCGGGCGATAACGCATTTTCTTGAACACGGAGGGCCCAACTCGCACCGGCTGCCCTGAGACCAAATATTGACTTCCTGGGCCGCGCACCTCGTCGCTTGTATCCACTTGAGTGCTCGCTGCCTCCTCCGCAGCCCGATCGGAATCAGGCTGTGGAACCCTCTGATCGTATACCGCCTCGGCGATTGGTGTCGTGTTTCTCGCACTAGAAGAGATTGACAATAAATGTTTGATCCTTTAATACAGTTCATGATTGGTATCAAATTCTTCATGTGATATGGTTGGTCGGCCTTCGCAACATCTCTACATTGTCATTTCTTTGATTATGTCAGCAATCTACTCCTACACAGACTTTTCACGAAGAACATTATATAGTTTACATATTCTTCATACTGATTATCTACTAAGATTGTCGTACTTTTCAGTCTCCGTTGTAGGTGCATCGGAAGTGGTGTCAGGCGCCCGCAGTGGATGACCCTCGCGAGTCAGAATTGCAGACTTCAGGAAGGCAGTTAGTTTCGGTGGCGCGTGTGCAAAATACGAGAAGCGCAAGAGTGCCGTAAGTTAGAACTTTTTACGCAAATTCATTTTGAAAACGGATCTTCAAGCTGTTCTCACCTTATAGCCGGTTCAGGTTCTGAAAATGGATTAAAGAAAGCCTTAAGGATGCTTGTGCTTTACCCCGTTGATCACCTCCCTGATGTAACGCTGCCATCGGCTGTCTCCGGTGCTTTGCCACAACTCGTAGTAAGTGCCAGCAAGCAAGTACGTGCTCTGCTCGCCGAGTGCACTACATCCTGGACTCTAAATTAGAGCCGTCCTTACCCTCAGTAGGACGTAAATCGTCAACATCTCACTTTCGAAAACGAGTTCGGTACAGAACACATAGACTAGAGGAGAGTAAAGTTGTCGTCTGCCTCTACTTCATCTATGGAACTCAAAATTACTAAAAAGTCCGAGGAGCCCGTAATTTGGTGCTCGCTTCACCCCCGCTGCCTTGTTTTCCTCGGATGTTGCCTTTCTTGTTGTTCTCGTCCCCCACGGTACCGGTGCTAGTCACACCGGGGACCCGCGCGATAGGATCCACCTCGCCCCACGAGGACAACCTTGCTGCGCCCGCGCAGTCAGCCTTGAACATGCGGTGACACGCCTCACCCATACCCTTCGCCGCTTCCAACCAAGGGCCGAGGTTATCTCCCAGGCTGCGTGATCCCAGGGAAAGCAATCCCGCAAACTGTGGTGTGATTATGGATGTGGGTCCTTAAAAAAAGAGCGTAAGACATATTCATTATCATGCACCAGAACAGTGATCTTGTTCGACAAGGAACAAAAGAAATCAATTGTATATATTTGTGGTGGAGCAGACCTAACTAGGAAAAAAAAGTAAAATTCAGAAAAAGCAAAGGTTATCGATCTAAAAAAACTAACTAAGCGCCGGCGCTTTCGTAGTCCTGTCAGCCCCATAGGTCTAACCTTCGAAAGCAGGCAGAAATCAATTGTATCTATAAATATAAGAAGAGTGATGAAATGCTTAGATTGTAGCCGCTTTCATTAGTAAGTTATTAATCCACTTCTATAAATATATATGTTCCAAGGCGCGGGGCGACGCCCCCCCCTAGCGGGGGAGGGGGGCCGGGCGCCCTGGTCCCCTTTTTCAGGCGTCTGCCGGGAGTGGAAGGCCGCAAAAGGGGGCCCAGTGACCTCCCCCCTCCGCTCCCTTCCAGCTGCCTGGCTGTTCCCTAGGGGCCTCCGATGATGGTGGGAGGCTTCAAAAGGGGCCCAAGGGACCGCCTGCGCCCCCGTCCAGGCGCCTGCCTGTGCCCTAAGTGCATCCGCTAGGCTTCGCCACCGCAGCAGTGCGCCGGCAGCGGAAGGCCCCCGAAGGCGGCAAAAGGCGAGGGGCTGGACCCCCTGCGCCGTGCCGCCTGCACCCTCCTGGCCCTTGGTCACCGGATTGCTTGCTCTTGCGACGGTGGCCGCCTTCGGCGGCCTTCTACCCTGAAGACCTCCCGCCTGCGAGGGTCAGCAGAGGCCAGGAGGCCCCTTAGGAACACGCTGAGAGGCCCAAGGGGAGGCCCGCGCCAAGTTTTGACGCCTTCCACCACTAGAATCCGCGAAAAATCCGCGCGGAAAAGCGCGCGCGCGCGCCACCACAGACCAGACCACAGGGGAGGGAGGGGGGGACCGCCCGGCCCGGAATCATATATAAAAGAAATCACACTAGGTTTGTCACACGACAGCATCGATACAAATTTCAGGCATCATTTTACCGGGCAGCTTTCAGCCGTCATGAGCTCGCGCGAATTGATAAGGAGGACATCGCCAGTGCGTCCGAAGCGCAGTTTATCTCGCATGATCGCCTCCATGCTGCTTTTGAATAATTTGCCCCATGTGTACGGAATAGAAGAGCCTGACCATGCGTCACGCAACAAGAGATGCCCTTTAAGCAAAAACTCGTAGTATCCGTAGGAAAAAATGTCCACAGTTTTCAGGTCTTCCCGTCGCCAAGCAATAACCGCGCGCGAGCTTTCGCCAAAGAATGGCGTTACAGTGCTTCGCCACTTTGCCTGTGGTATTTCTAAGTCATAAAAACTACACCGCAGTAATCTAATACAGCATTATAGTACTGAGTAGTGTCCTCTGCAGTTCCTTCAGATGTCATGTGAAAAATCACGACACAAGTTGGAGACACCAGAAACTTAAAACGAGGTTTGACTTTCACATGATCAAGTTCCAGATGAATAACGAGTAGACAAATTGACTCCCTACCTTGGATTCAGGTGTCGCAACAGAGAAGAGGGTCGGCAGAAGTTCGTGGTTTCCATCGCCATGTATATCTGTCAGACCCGAAAGTGGATACAAAAAACGCGTCCATAGCTCTGAAGATTGCGCGCTCGATCCATGAATCAGCAACCCAGCAGACAAGAATCTGAGTAATGTGATAAGAACATTGAAATTCAATCATTGCGACGTTTGACCCCCGAGGAGGATAAGAATCCCGCTTTGAAGCAGAGAAGCAACACTACAACAAGAGGACAATTAATAAATAGAGCATTTTTCAAACCAAGAATGAGACTGAAAAGACGTAAAATCATTGATTTCTTGCAAGGTGGAAGTGTATCTTGTAACTTTCTCTCAAGAAATAGAGCACGAGCATAAACAATGTAGTAAGTACGGCAGTCCCATCTCGCCTATTTCGGTAATCGAGAAGGATTCGTCCCGAGTTAGTTGATGTTTTTTCTGATCGTCCACCAGATACGTTGAGACCGAGGGGAATCCCGTCGCAGTTTTGAAGACTTTCATCGCCCTCTCCGAAAAATCTGTTGCTAGATCCCAGGTAAACTTGTTGCCGGAAAGAGCATACGAAGCCACGAGACCGCCAAGTGCGTCCACCAGCTCGAAGTGGGAACTGATTTTTTCAGAGCCCCAACTCTGGCCCTTAGTTTGTGCAACAACGTCGCGCATCACCTCACGTCCCTTGGACCAGTCAGCAGAGAGATCCATTGCCCACAAACTGTCTAGCATACAAGCCTTCGCGACAGGGTCTGACGCCTTCTTCCACGCTGAATCCTATAGTGAGTATCATCATGAAGGGAGTAAAACGAGGGAAAAGTAACCGGTCATATTCTATAAGTAGCATTCAGGAGAGAGAAATGTAGTTTGTTAAATGAGTGGTTGCAAGCTCGTTTGGTGTACCAAAAGTAAGTGCTTTCATTGGTTGTTTTAATTTTTTGGGAACAAAAGTTTTATCTTCAAATAAAGATATCAAGTCGATCATAGTCACTACAGGTATACTTCATATAACTGCAGAGCACCGACAATTCATATATTATAAGGCATGAAAAAAGATCGGTACCATGAGATTTCTGACTTGTTTCAGGTAGTCTGCGTGCACCCAATTACTTGGAACGGTAACTGATGAGCGTTCCAGTCGCCCGTTTGGCGTAGCAACTAAGGGCGCTCCCTTCTCCGTGGGAGCCTTTTGGCCTCCGTGTCGCTCAGCATCGTAGAGTGATCCAGCTGTATCCGCCGACCCACCAGGCACAGTACCCGGCAACCATCCACACAACCCGAAGAGCGTGAAAGTGACGATCCACACGATGATGATTAGAAGAGTAGAAGAACAAGCAATTATGTTTTCAGTAGCTAGTACGATACCAAATTCATTTGGCCCTGTTAACTGACCCTGACCATAGGAAGGAAGGTGCATTACTAAGCTGTAGGCATTGTATCTATAATTCGTGCGGAACCTCAAGTCACAAACCAATCCTAAATTTATGTAGAAAAAACCTCATCCTGCTACTAGCTTCTAGAACGAGATAGGCTGATTAGTTACATTTAATCCATCGAGCTGTTTCTCAAAGTGCGTAATTGGCCTTAAGACAAAGGTCAACGCGAAGCAGCGATACGGAATCGGAGGTCTGCCGTGATCCAGAGTAGTATCAATGGCGCGGGCACCTGGGAGGGGCGATCCGAAGAGCTTCTGAGCCAAACCGTCTTGGCCTGTTGCACGCAGAGATCGGCTCACAAAGTCCTGCAGTCGCAATACCCAGCTCCAGCGACGAGTCCTTTTTCGCTCCTGCGTCGGCTCACTCTCCTCAGACACCGGCTGCGCTAGGGGTACACTGCGTACGCCACCAGCAGAAAAATCGTCGGTCGGCGTGTTGTCGTGGAAATAGGACGGATACGCGGCTCCAGTGGGTACCTGTCCTCCCTGGAAGAGCCCACGCACCCGGTTTCCTAGGCCGGCATTCTTTCCCGGGCTCTCTGTGGAAGCCCCAAGTTCGGGATCCGCTATCATCATGATGTCGCGCAACCGCAAATAAACGTCAAAAGAGGCAGGACTGGTACTTCTTCTACTTGATGTTGCACTACTCCTCGGTTTCGATGAAGCGGTGGCACCAGCTACTTGGTTGGGGAGCTTGCGTGGTACTTTCGGCTGATGATCTTTGCTTTTCCACGCCAATACCTTCTGGTTCTGGCGATGAAGTGTACCCCTCGAATTCAACGAGGTGGCAGATGAACCTACAGAATCGACAGACGGACTTCTCCTTGGAGGTGGTGAGCCGTGCGCTGCAATCTTGACTGCCACTACAGACCCGTCCTGGAGAGCCGGATGTTGCAATCGTGCCGGAGGTTGTTTTGTACCCGGAAGACTATCTCCGTCCTGTTCGTGTGCCCCCGGTCCTGATGAGGCTGTTGCAGCAAGTGTATTTCTATTGCACTGATGTTGAGCAGCAGTTTTACTTCTACTAGAAGTCGAACGCTTGTTACTGAACCTCGAATTCCATACGGTTAACTTTGTGCTTAACGTGCTCCTTCGCTGCTCATGCTGTCCGCCTGCGGAACCACCACACTCAGCCGCACTACAATCCTCTTGCTTCGCAACGTCGACTGAACCCGTTGGTTTCGTGGACGCAGGAACAACAGTCTTCGAGGCTGCCTGTTGTAACTGGCTTTTTGAGTTGGCAGATGCCTCCTTGCTTGACTGTTGTCTTTTGGCCGCCTTTATTTCTTTTGATGACGATCTTTTACTGTTTTTAGAAGAGTGACGTTGTTGAGTATCTGTAGGGCCAGGCCTCTGTACGATCGCGTATTCACTTCGCTCCTTGGTTTCAACTTCGTTGCTTGGTCTATCTACCCTGTTGTCCAAGACCCGCTTTCGCAATACTGACGAAGAAGACGAGGCTGGAGTCGGCGATGAAGATGCTGAATTTCTAGGGGTGTTTGTTATAGCCGTTTTACAACTTGGTTTTGGTGCTGGACACGAAGATTGACTGAAGTGGCGCTGACTCCATCGAAGAGACTGCGACGTCGTATCGTTCTCTGGTGACGTCAAGCTGATATCGCTATCACTATCTGATGAAATGCACGTGTATTCGCGTAAGAAAGCCTCCTCTTGAGCACGCAGCAAATCCAAACTAGAGGTTGGACCTCTCGACGGAGAAGAACGTGCAGGGCTGACTAAGGTTGATGTGGCCACGCTGTTGCGAGTGCTAGAGTGAGATCCTCCACCTTCGTCCGATGTTGAAGTAGTTGTAGATGGAGTATCTAATGCTACTTCTTCTCTACTCTTCGTCTGGCGCGAGCTTTCTGCAACTACTTTTGCTTGATGTTCTTGACTGCTACGTTTATGTAGTGACTGAGACTGTAATAAAGTTGAATCTACTATTCTTGAAGATGATTTTCCTCCTGCGAAATTGTCTTTATTCCTTTCAGGACTTCCCCTCTCAAGGTTAGGCGTAAAAAGCTGAGACTGTTTTTCATTCGTTGAGTTGTCAAAATCATTTTCTTCGCAGGATGAAAGGTTAGATGATGAAAGCTTATGATCTAACTCTTCACGAGAAGTCATCGTGTCGTTATTTGATGAGGTATGAGATGGCATCATCATGATGCCGAATGAGGTGGTAACAAGGAAGGTGAAAGCGGGAGGTCGAGAAGTTCAATCGTTACGGTTCGAGAGTCGAGACAGATAGTTTGTGATAGAAGAAAAGAAATCAAAGACACAAGAACTTTGTGATGGACTGTAGAGAAACTAGAACTAGAAAGGAGCAAGTTCGAAAGTACGAAAGAATACGACGAGAGTAAATTTTCAACTTCGAGTTCGAGACACGACCTCCAAATATCGAACCCTCGTGCTCGTCCCACTTTTTGGTGTATAATATCTTTTATGTTCGTATCTACTTTTGTTTCCCTAGAAGGATACCGACTGCTGTCCTACGATGGACTCGTTTTTTTTGTTGCACTGGACGAGCGCCATCTCTCGCATAGAATGAAAACCGATGGTGCGAAACTATTATTTCATTTCCAGTCTATTTAGTACAGAAACAGACTCTTTTCAGCTTCAATCGAGTGGAAAATGTTTTAAAGATGAAGATGATGAAGACCTGCTTCACTTTATGATGGAGCCAGGGCACAGCTATAAACGGCTCGGAAAACCGCAAAGCATACTAGACGTCCTCCATCATTATGGGTAGCTTCTATCATCATCTGCACATGAAGATGAAAGTACGAACTTCGAAATAGAAGTTTGCAGTGAATAAAATTTCGCTAAGACGCTAAAAGCCTAAACCCTTGCTGTTTTTCTTTTTCATCATAATTCATTGACGCGTCCGTATATATCTCTCGCTCCTGTTCTTCCCTCTGGATAGATTTGCTCGGTCGTCATCTCGGTTGCCGTAAACGACAATCTACTTCGCAGGCATACGCTCCGTGGCTATTTATATATAGAAAACCGCAACTGCTAAAACTACCTCGTGACAATGGTGATACTTTCTCTCTCTCGCGAACTCCCTCGATGGTGATGCTACTCCCTCGGACTCGATGTTGCCAAAAATAACGTAGCCTGCTATGTCAGTGTCACCACTGCATTGCTGCGCCGCCATCAGATGCAAGAAAAAATTTTCGAACACATCATATCTTACCCGTATATGACATAGGTCGGCAGACACAGTTCTGTCAACCTGGCATGATTCACAGCGCGGCACTAGAGATGCCCATCCTCCTCCTCCTCATGAATTTGATTTCATCCATCAACATGCTCCCCAGTGATCAATAGGTGAGCACAGCTTGCGTCATCTGCAGGTCATCAAATGATCCAATACTCGCCTACGCGTCTTTGTCTTCGTCCGATAGACCTCACATCCAATACAACGAGGAGGTGGCCATGTTGATGGGCCTAATGTAATCTCTATGTCAGTATTTAAGTAGTTGCACCGACCTACTGAAAATTGAGGGTCAATCACGTTCAGGGGTAATTCTCTAGACAAAAAAGAAAGAGAATCCAGAGAAACGAAAAAAGGGGAAATGGAAGATTCCACGACTGTGCGTAGGGTCGCGCAATCGAATCGTAGACTTCGCTTGCTACATAACAAACACGAAGCCAAGTCATGCGACAAACAGACAGGCTACGCCACTACGCGAGCAAGCGGTGGTGGACTTGGGCTATTGCCAGCTCTGTGCGCGACTCTTGGGTTGTTTCGTAAATTGTGGAAGCTCGTAGGCCTTGGCATTCCCGGATCCAACTGGGCCCCTGGAGGCCGCGGTTTCTTTGGTTTCGCGTCTGCCTTTCCGTCTGGCGCCACTTTTGCGGGAGCTGCGCCATCAAATTTCTCCGTCGGCGGCAATTTTACGCCCCTCTGTCGCTGCCTTTCGAAAAATTCGCGGGGATCCATCGGCAACGCACTGCCCCGCACTGTTACGAATTGTCTTGAGTTGTAGGCTGGACTATCGGGACCTGCACCGGGTGATGCTGAGCTTTTGCTACCACCTGCACTAGCGCTCTTGCCCGTCTCCTGTTGCTGCTGTTGAAAATTACTAGCATTATTTGCTTGCGTTGTGCCCGACTGAGCGGATGTCCCACTGGTGCTGCCTGGCTTCGGCGCTTCATACCTTGCCTGAAAGCTTGGCTTGCGGAAGGGATGGCACACGAAGCGATCACTGCCCGTCTCGACTCGGTTCTCAACATCCCACACCAGACACATCTGACAAAAGTCGCGGCACTCCGCTGTCGTGAACTTTTCGGGGGCTGGTGGGACGTGTTCGCCGGATCGCAGCCAGTACAAGGTTTGCTGTGGCGTCGCTCGCGCCACGCTGGCCACTGAGGAGTATGGCGCTGCACCCATGAGCATTTCCAGCACGCAGCAACCCAGGGACCACAAGTCTGACTTCTTGCTCATGGCGGAGATGTTAAAGGCTGCGCCAGGCGCCCCGCTGCCTTCATTCAGCAGTTCCGGTGCCATCCAGCGACAGTTCCACGCTGTGTAGCTCATTGCGGCGTCGTTGCAGTAGGTGCGCAACTTGGAGACGCCCCAATCCAATAACTGCACCTTGCCGCTACGCCGATTGATGCCGATGTTGCTGCACCGCAGAGCCCCATGAAACACGCCTAGATAGTGCAATTGCTCCAACCCTTTTACGACTCGTGTCGTGATGAACTGAACCTCCTTTTCCGCCAAACCGAGGATCCCAGGGTCAATGTTATCTCGAGATATGCCGATCTCCGCTCGCATAATCTCGTGTCTTCTCGATAGTCGCTTCAAAGCTATTCGGTCCCAAACAGTGCCACCGTCTATGTACTCAGAGTACAGGTACAAGCAATTGTACGACGGATGAAATTCGTAACCTGAAAATAAGAAAAATTTTGGAAAAGCAATTTGGAGACACAACAAAAATTTCAATGATACGACATAAAAATCCTGATTTGCTATCCAGTTAGTTTGCATCCGATGATTTGCTGCGTTTTCACACATGAAAAAAAAGGCTAAGAGACTGTACCGTAGTAGGCTGCGATCTCGTCGGCGCGATTGCGGGCAAGGCTGTTCTTAAGCGTTTGATAGTCTTGGAGCAGAGTATCGATCTCCTGTCTGACTTCATCGTCTTTATGTTCTCTGTCTCTTATATCGGTTGCCCAGCATACCATTTTGAGGCTATCCCCGCTGAGAATTTCACCGATGTCGCCATCTAGCCTTCGACTCAAGTCCGGCGCAGCATTGCGGTCCCTTCTCGGATCCTGTGGTCGTGTGTATTTTCGAAAGGGCTATTTCGCTTGAACAAATGTTTTGAGCGACATTGATTGCAATTGAAAATAAGATTAGAACAAATGAGTATCTTCTATACTGCCTCAACACTCCCTATCTTCACACAATTTGTTACTGTTTCTACTCCATAGGTGATAGCTTACTTGGAATAGGAAGAACTACCTGTACTACGACAGTCTTGTTCAGGTAAGAGCTGCGCAGTTCCGACAATCGATGCCAGCTGAATTGTTCTCCCTCGAACGACATTGGCAGCTCGCGTGTGATGGAACCGTCTACAAAAGCCGAGAAAAACTGTCGCACTTTCCCTGTGTGTGGCTCGATGACGCTGCTCGGGTACTTGTGATCCTCAGTGCTGAGGTCTTTGCAGTGGGGACGAACGACTAAACCGACCAGAGTTTCCAGGAATTTCAGACGCGGATCAACGCCGCTTTCCACATTGCGCATGTCAAGTGCGAACGGCGGCGCTCGCTTGCTGCTTCTCCGCGAGTCGCCGTCCGGGGACGAGGAGCTAGAGGGTCGCGCTGACAGCGACGGCGGCCGCACGCCTGCAGGTGCCTTTGGTGGCGAAAAGCTACCGCTTTTTGTGCTAGACCGGCTTTCCGCGTTGGGATCCGGAAGTGCTGGACCCGGTCCGCTACTCGTAGACTGTCGGTTCTGCGATACTCCATTCTTCTCTCCTACTGTGCCACCACCTGCATCACTACCGTTGCCTTTGGTCTGGTTGAGACCCTGCGTGTCTGGTGCTGCTGCAATTTTTTCACCTGATATGGGTTCAAACATCCGCACGTTCGTTTCCAGCGCTTTTTCTCGTGCCTCTGCAATCTCGGCTTTGGTTGCCGGAAAGATGCCCGCATCGCCAATGTCTGGGTCTTCATCAGCGTCGTCTACGGAGACGCCGTTTTTGGTCCTATTTCCGCTTCCAGAACTGCCACCGATGGTCATGTCCCCTATGCCTGGGTCACCGTCCTCATCCTCCTCGCGAATAGTGGCGAATGCGCCTCCGGTTGGGACGAAGCCCCCGCCGGTTCCTACACCGCCCAGGAGACCTATTAGGCCGTTGCCGACTGTATCGGACAGCAGCACGACTTGTGACATATCCAGTTTCCCATTCTGTGGGAACGGCATGGGCCGATTCATGTGTTCCGTGGTCTGCATCTTTGCCAGCGACGGCAAGCCCAATGCACTAGTAGGTGGCTCCTGCTGGTCCACCGTCGCAGAGGCTCCCGCCGCACTCACCGAAGAAAAATTGGTACCGCTTGCATTCGCTGCGAACGCATCGTCCCCAGATTCCGGAGCAACTCTCGTTTGGTGGTGCTGTGCGGCTGCGGCCCCTCGCCGCATTCGAGTGTCGTCTAGGGAACCCTGAATCAGCTCTCTCGGGATGGGCACTTGTTGCCCCTCTTGCTCCGCCTGGGGCCCTTTTTTCACCCACTGCTCGCGCATCAAGTTTCCGCTTTCTAGGCCATCAAGATCTGGATCTTGCGCAATCGACATATCTGCTACGTCGGGGTCACCCTCCGTCGAGCCCGCCGCGGCATTCGAACCAAGAGCGCCGCCCGTCTCGCGCAGCTTTCCTTCCTCTACCGGCTCAGGACTGACTTTGCGAGGCGGCGGGAGTGACGGCATGCCTGCTGGCTGCATCACCCCCACGCCATCAGGCGTGTTTCCGCCGAAGCTCGTTGGAAGTTGCCGCGCCAGTTTTTCCAAATCGATTGGACAATAGATCGGTGGCAAAAACTCCTCGATAGGCATCTGCTTCGTGCTCTGCTCCAGTACTGAGTGACCGCCAAGAGGACTCTCTGCGTTCTTGCGCTCCTCATGGGCGTTGAGGCCTCTGCGCTCTTGCTCTTCGTGTTGCGCAGTAAGCCCGGCGGCGCTATTTTCGCTAAAGGCGCGATTTTCGTCCCGTTCGCGCTGCACAGCTTCTGTCAATAATTGCTCCGGTATATCGATGTCGGAATCGGACTCGACGAAAAACTCCTCATTGTCCTCCTCATCGCTTGACGGATCGATGCCAAAGTTCTCATCCTGACGTATAATCGTTGAAATTAGACAATATGCAAACCGTGGCAGGAAAACTTACGAATCTGCGAATCTGCTTACAACAGAGGCTAAGTATGTCTTTCATGCAAGATTCTTCATCTGATGTGAGAATGATAATGGACTAAATCACGTTGGAGATCAGGAAGACTAGACTACGCTGCACGAAGATCCATCACTCAGCAGAGAGAGTCAGTGAGTTGTAGTACCAGTATTTTCTTTGCTGCCTTGTTCGTGCTCGCGCTAAGGCCTGGGGCGGACGTGGATTTCTGGATAGGGCGCGGCTTTGGCGATGCTGCCCTAGACATCACTGGACTTCGCAGAGCTGGAAATAGTGCCATGGGATCTTCAAGAGGCAAAAGATTGTCGGGGTTCAGATACAACCTTTCGTTGGCCATGCTAGGTACGACCACTTCGATCATCTTGTTGGAGTCTAGAACCTGCAACACCTTTGCAAACATTCCGTTGTACTCGGCGTTCGAGTGGAGATTGTGAATCACCAGTCGGTCGCCGGGAGCGAGGTGCGGTCCTACCTCGATTTGCCTCGAGCTGCTACGCGAATGAGCGTTCCTGTTGTGGTCGTAGTTTATTTCAGACGAATTGAATTATTGACACAAAAATCTACAGAGGAACGAAGTTACTTTGGTGTTCGAGACCTAGGAGATAATAAAAAGCCCTTCTATTTTTGGAGCAACCTTCATCGCAGAAAACAATGGTAGAAGGAATCAAAACGTAGATTTATGCAGTACTGCCTTGTTGATCCATGACTCGCTCCGCTTACACCACTTCGCCCTTGCACGAGGCCCATGGAGTCCTCTTGAGGGACGAGCTTCATCGATGACGCAGGTGGATCCTCATGCTCTGGGTCTGGCGCAGGAGGGTCACTAGGATCTGGATCTACCTGGAAGCGTATTCCGTTTGCATCCGCGAGTTCATGCGAGAAGTCATTCTCGGCATGCCGAGAAGGGGTGCGCAGTGACAGCAGCTCATCCTCAACGCGACCGCGCTCTTTTGACGCGAGGCGACTGCCAGCGCGGCTGACCCGCGGACTGTTGTTTCCGGGGCCGCGCTTCTTCGCTTCTGCGAAATTCAAGTACAAGTGCGGCATGTTCGCTGGTACAGCGACGTCCTCAGATGTTGTGCTCGCTTCACCATCGCCTTTTTGGGCTTCTCCCTCTGGCATCACGGGTCCCCTGGATCCGGGGTCAGAGGCGGTGTCTACGACAAACGTTGCTACGCTGTCCCCCTTCTGCACACGAGGCGTTGGATTCAGACTCCCTTCTGACTTTCGTCCCACACGCGGCGAGCGGCCGTCTATCACAGGGCTACCTGGAGAAGCCTGAATATGCGGCGACGTACCTGCCCGGCCGCTCTGTGGGCGGCTGCGGCTTGTCAAGACCTGGAATATATAACAAAGGATTAGGAAAATGAATGTTGAAGCAAGTTGTTGATCAAAATGCACACTTTTCAAAATTCGACTTCCTTTTCCCTATTGTTCGCAATAACAATCATCTGTTCGTCCTTGATAAGGACGACGAGATCAAAAGAACATACACAAGGGCACTAGTGGCACCTCTTCCGGCTCTGAGTGCGCCTCATCGACGTCGACCTTTTTGAGCAAGCCTCTTACCGCTTCGGATCTGTAATCTTTTCCCCTTTCTGACCGTGGGTCAGGCAACTCGTCCTTCAAGCGTTCGGAGAACACCTTGTTGAGCCGCACTTGGCGAAAAGTCGTGAAAATAAGGTGGTGGAACAGCTCGCGGGCCAACATATCAGGGTCATCGCTTTTCTTCTCATCGGTTCGGCAACCGCGGTTCATGGGATCCACGTTAACGGTGTACTTTCCAGCTACTACGAATCGGGGATCTTTAAACTTGTTCAGCCCGGCAAAGCCTAACTCCCTCTTGCTCTTGTCCTGGCGCACCCACTTGTTCGTGATCGAAGACAAAACGAGCAAGTTCTGATTGTAGCCGGCACTTCGTTCCATGATCTTCTGCTTGAACACCTATTTTTTTATGCACATTAAGTTAGATGAACTACTAAACACTTGTACATGAAGTATAGTATGATTAGTCGTTCGATTTTGTTACAGCTCACGATAACAATGGAAGCTTCCACATCGACCACACGCAGCATCACCAATGATCGATTATAATTTACCAGACCTCTTCTAGTCAAAGTTCTTAAACATGTTACAAATATGAAAAAACCTATCTCATGATGCTCATGTTTGATGCGTTACAAGGAAGTAAGTACCTCCCCTCCCGCATCTTCTCCACCCATGCCTTTGTTATCTAGAGGGAGGGAGATGATGCTCACGGGAAAGGTTGCGCCGTCAGTATTCATCACGTTGCTTGCTTGCCACAACATTTTTTGTTCCGAAATTAGGGCCAACTCGATTTGCGTCGCTTTCTTCAACAGCCAGCGGTCCGTCACGATCGCTATGTAGGCTAAGACGTCAGACTCCAGCACGAAACGAAATTTGTTAAGCCGCCAACGATAATCGAAATACTTGGAGCCCTGAGACTCCTTCGCGGAGATGTCCACGCAGGAAACAAGCACTTGCTTATCTCGGATCCCATTTTTCATCAGGTGTTCCTCAAGTGCAACACCCATCTTCAAAACCTAACAGTTTTATGAGCAGGAGATTAGCGCAGCACTCTATGAAAAATTCATCTTCGTATCGACTGATTAGAGAAAGACGATCGAAGCTTACGTAACTGAAAGCAGTAAAAATGCTCTGCGGAGATATAATTCAACACAATGCGAGTGTGCAGCGTGAAACAAATAGTACCTGGACGAGCGCTGATTTGTCTGTACTGAGCACGATTTTGTCCCGGGCCTTCGGCGTCCTCGATTTCTCCTGGCCATCCTTCAGTTTGTAAGTGGTATCTAACTTTTCTCCAGTATGCAAATACTTCGAATCCAGCCTGTTGATCGTTCGCGGGCCGTCTTCCGGCTCGTTGGCCCGAATCATCGAGGACGTACAGCACCCCATTTCTGCAGCTCGACCGTTCTTAGATAGATACGCTAATGCCTTTTTGATATGCCTTATCCTGATCTGTCGACGAAATCGCGCAGTGTGCCAAGGCTCGCGGGTCGGCCTCACGCTATACGTGGCGGATCAACGAGAAGTGACGTGTAATACTTCCGCCCTGGTGTGGTAAACAGAAGGTCCTTGCTGCAACCTAATAAAACGCTTTCTTTTACTGCAAGAGCAGCGAGTTGTGTGTGGTTTGCCTGTCCGGATGCTTTCCACCTGGATAACCACAACCGTAAACAGACACTCCAGAAAAAGTTGAGTTAAAGTTTCCAACTTCCTTATTCAAGGACCTTCAACACATCAGCCTGGTACCACATCACCAGGTTCACGTAAAGCGTATCAGCCAGCCAGACAGACACAATGTCGATGTAAGATCCAAAAAAACAACTTATAGATACAAGGAAGTTAGGACTACCAAAATACCGACGGTACAAAATACAATACAAGAGCTTCAGGCGAAGCAAGCGTTCAAAAGGAATATACCAATGTCGTATACATCATAGAAATTTATTGCATCATACATGTACAAAGACACAGTGGAGGTACACTCGCGGGACAAACATTACCCAACCTGTAGTACTGGAGCTAAGCCCGCTGTCCCAGCGTAGGTACTAGAGTGCACTTCATCGTGATAATCAATGATCGTTTCATACGTTGTGATGTCAAACTAATTAGTACCAAGCTACAACACTACATGCTGACAACGAAAGCAGGAGAACTAGCACAAACAAGCGATATGAAATAGCATAAGTAATTGGTTCGACAATGGAGTGCTATATACAATATTAGGATTCACTACCGGAAAGAACAACCTAAGTCCTACAGGAATCATTAAAGAACTGAAAGAAAATTATTGTTACAGCCAAGACCGCAGGCAATCAATAGTGCAAAGAACGCGACTGCTCTTGGGCCATCTACTTTCACCAGCAGTAAGTATCGAGACGCAAAGACAAGGGGGAGGGAAACAAGGATTCAGTATACCGGTTATAGAGAGGCTGCACCATGGTTCAATCTTTCGTCATCATGTGCGTATGTGTGTATCTGCATCGTGATTCTTTTATTGTAAAACTTTTCGGCTAATTACACCCATGATCTGAGGGTACAAACATCTATCCACCACCACCAAATCACTTGTCCAAGCACTTTTAACTATGAGGCACTAAAACTATCAAGAGCTCTCAAGCACGGCAGACTACGAACAGAAACGACTCGCCGCACAGAGTAATCGCTTTTCTCAATGACCAGACCCAATCACATTTGATATGACAGAAATGTTCTCACAGAGCAGAAGCAGTTACAAAAAAACATCTTCTCTTGTCAAACTCTCACCTGCAACTGTAGTCTTCTTTTTCTCGACAGAATGACCTTTGGATCTCCAGAGAAGCCATGCGCCTCATCTATACTCTGTTACTCTCTTTCTCAGGCAATTAGAATATAGATCGCTGTGACATTGACGAGCATCCGTCTTGCGTGGAAATATACCGAGCCGCTCGCAAGCACCAGTCACAAATCAAATCGAACGGATTTATTTAGAGATGCTTTTAATTTGTCCACGCAACAGCTCATCCGTGGTTCGCCGCATCCCAAAGCAGGCAAGGCGTCTCCGTTCGCGTTACAGCGAGCTCTATCAATGCAAGAAAAACATGCTTATGCTTTGTTGGATCATAGTGAAAAGCATCCTTTTCATAGGGATTGGCGACATCACCAGAAACGCAATCGCTTCTCCAGTACGCAACGCGCCGTTGATGTAACGCTTCGTTAGTTGCTCAACACCGCAAAATGTTTATGCGCCAAGCTCGCCATAGATAGGTACTTAAGTTTGCATAAGTCAAATTTCACACCCAGCGCAACTATTGGAATTCTTCGGATATAATACTTCTGATACCTGATTCCCCACGCACATAGCGCTTCTCGACGTAATGAACCTCGCTTCTTTGATCATACACAGTATCCAACTCCAACGCCAGGATAATTCATGATGTTCTGAGCATAAAGGTAAAGCAGGGAGAAGTTCATGGGTTAACAAAATTTCCAACTTACTGACAAGTCATGGCAATGAAGTCTGTGATTTCGATATTGGCTCGTAAAAAATGTAAGTAAGCACGCAGACGACAACTGCCGGAATTTTACTATTTGTGCACGACAACTTGCCGCTTTCACTTTTGACATGCTCACTCTCAGAGGATGCACCTGGCTACGTGACGATCTCAATAGAGACGCACAACCATCACCAAAGACATGAACCCTCCAGCATAGTGATCCAAAAACAATAGTAGATACGAAACATGGCATCGTCGACTAGCATGTGCATAGACCAGTTTGTCAAGCACTCGAACATGTTCGTCGCCTAGGGAAGCATGTACTACTGATTCACATACAACCTAGTAACTATACAGAAACTTTCTATGCATAACCGCATCTCCACGGGTCCGCTTCTTGCTAAGGCTGACGCTGTACATTACCACAATCTATACATGGATAGACGATACGCGGTTTCCAATGTGTGCAACTTAAGCATGAAGCTTTTCGACAAACAGAATGCAAACATCCACCCTGCTAAATGATATATCTCGAGTACTAGGAACCTTGATTTCATGGCGTTTCGAGCCGGCCGCAGTCTCCCGTCCTGCTGTCCCGACTGTTCGTATTGCTCACCGTATCCTGTTCGCCAGTTTGCGCCGAAGTAACAGGATTATCGCCTTCAGCGAACTCCTTATTCGGATTGTTTCTCAGCAGTCCAATTCTTTAGAGGTGCTTTATTTCTTCACAGCCACGACTTTGAAACCGAATTTTTTTCATCAATTAACGTGCCACTAGACCTATCTGCTATATGCAACTTAATCTCTAAGAAAAATTCAAGTGCATTCTTCTTGATGGCAGCGGCTGAGCGATGTAATGTTAGTGTAATAAAATGATCTTCATAAGCATTTTGTAGAATGACATCCAGTTGAGGGCTCGCGCGCATTCGGCTAGCACTCCCGAATGCCATCACGCTGAAACGCTGAGACTGCTCTCTGGATGAAACTTGACTGTGTCCCGATCGATGCGACGCCCCTGTCGCGATCGGTCCCATCGCTTGATTAAGCATGTCTCCCGTGGGACTCGGACGCACCAGTATTGTGCTTCGGGATTGCTGTCGGAAAGAGCAGAAGTCAATTACTTCTTGGTATCAAGATTCGTCTCTTCCCAAGGAGAGTGACGATATTAACCTCCAACATGGAAAAATTGCCCGTGTTGACAATAACTAGAAGTAGAACTGCACTTCCGTTATACTAAGCATATCTACATCAAGTAGAATCTTGTATACATTTTCATACCTGCGGAACGATTCTTTCTAGCGCTTTCCGGATCATCTCTTGATGATGCCCACCGTCCGCTTCCGTCCCGCTGCTATGCGCCCGCGGCAACACTGACGTTGCTGATGATATCTGAGAATCATCTCGCCGCACATGGTTCAAAAAATTCGGACCGCCGGCTATAATTCATGGTGATGGGGAGAGCGAAAAATAAAGTCAGGGAGTAAGAGAGAGTAGAACTACAAGAACCTATCTACTCAACCTTGTGATGACGATGATCGACCATCGTTCCGCTACCTATTTGGGAAAAAAAGCATCGTCGTGAATCCGAACACGACAAGACGAGAATGAGAATTCATAAAGGCCCATCATGAGTATTCTTTACCTCCATGATGCACCGAGAACCGCTGCAGATCGAACCCGGTGAGCCTCTGACTCTGGCTCATGCGAGGCACCCCCATCGACATACCGGGATCATTCCCGTTCGGGAGTGACATCCGCACAGTTCGTCTCGAAAGACAGGGGTTTATTGATTAGAGCTGCGACGTAACAATCACTGCGCTATGAATGGGGACGAAGAACATCCGAACCATCGGAGGAAACGTCGTAAAAACTCGGTGTACTTTTTTTTAGTCAGAATGAAAACGTCGCATCAATATGGATTATTCTTATTGTTTCAAACCTGTTCATCTGAGGGTGAGGACTCCAACAATCAAGCGAGTTGCAGAGACGATACGCCTCGGAAGTGAGTTCCTTCAAGCGCAAGAAAATCGTCATAATCTAAAGCGGCATTGAGAAATTGCTGCAGACTCTTTGGATCTATATTGTCTTGTTCCATCAGCCGGTCCCACATTGTCGATGGTTGCACTTCCACATTGACAAAGTATGCTATCATGGAGCACAGCAGCATCGGAAAAACCTATTCGGCGGGGTTTGAAAATTTATTGAACAACTAGTAGGAAGTTTTACGATATCTCGTTATAGATTTATTTCATAATAGCATGACATACCAATCAAAGTGATACGATCATCGGCGTTCCCAAAATTATAGCCAATTCTTCTTCAAAAGATCATAGTACTAATCTGGATGAGTCTTGTCCCCCGGCAACGCTGGTCATTTCGAAGACGATCACGACAGATGTAAGGGGTAGTCGAATCATTGCCGCGAAGACGCCAGCCATACCCATGGGGACAAAGAGAATTTGATAGTAGCTATCGTTAAAAAAATATCCCATCCAGCCGCCGTAAAAACTCCCCAGTGCTGCACCAAGGACTAAGGCTGGTGCAAAAACGCCACCACTACCTTGTTTTGTGAGTGGAAACTGGATTTTCATTGACGATAATTCCAAGGAAGTAGGTCACGTCGGACTCTGCTTCTTGACGACAATTGTAGGCAGACTTTTCTTTCCATGTGAAGATTAATCTTATCCTTGTACTATCTGACTTTAGGGTGACATAGTACGAATGTTGTACCACCACAAGCCACTGCTGTAAGACAAGCGAGAAACTTGCAGGCGAAAAATATTATGCTGCAGGCGAGAAGAGGGAAAAGTAACGAGCTATCGGCGAGCAGACGTGGTCGTGGCTTCAGCAATTCTTTCATTGTTCGCCCACCAGCACCCCACACACCATCCCAACCGCACGTGGGCTCTCCGGACAGTGCTAACCTCCTCCTACCCATATTTGTTCTACCATGAGTGATCTCCGCGTCGTTCTTCTCCTCTTCGCCACAATTTTTTTCTCTGAAAACTGTATCGGCCTGTGGTGGATTTCCCGACTCCAGTAAGTTCTTCGATTCTAGGGGAGGAGACGAAGGCGAAGCTGGGGTCTCCTTGTTTTCTTCTGCAAGAACAGAAGCAGACTTTCTCCTACTACTTCCTATCAGCGCACTTTCATCTCCACCGTATTCATGCCACTTGGGTCTTGCCTCCTCGGCCAAGTCTCTTACAAGACGAAGATATGACCAACCACTAATATCATCATCTCTCGACACACGCGAGGTCATCCCGTCTGGTGGCTCCCATGGTACTGCGCTGTCACTAGAAGTCCCACTTGCTGAAGTACTGGAAGAACTTTTTCCATTCGATGAGCTGGAGCTACCTCCTCCAGAGGCAGAGCTCCCACCGGGAACTACTCCTAGTTCAGGACTTGATGCGGAAATGTCCCTTCTCGTTCCAGAAGTTGCTGCCACTGACGAAGCCTCTATCATACGACTAGAGCTGGAGGGCGAAGCAGAGTTCGCGGAAGGCGAGTTCGTCCTGTCGTGATCAGTAGTTCTCTCCTCTAAACTCCTAGCGCGAGTCTGCTGACATTCATTGGAACGCGGACAGAAATCGTTTTGCGACAGAATCTCGCGTGTTGTTTCGAAACACACGGTGCCCAAAGCCGTCGTTGTAAACGCGGAAATCAGCATCTGGCGCACTATGTTCCACCGTCGAAGTTTCGCTCTTAGATTTAAAACAGCGTCGCTAAAAAGAACCGGTAAGAAGCCGCAGAGCAGCCCCAGAGGCCCCGCACAGAGCAGCCACCACAAAACTTCCCATTTGTCGTAGCTACGTGGCAAATGAGCGCATGTCTCGTAAAATTTACCCTCGTTCACCATCTGTGAGGTGACGACCGCAATTAGACTCGCAGTAGTGATCAGTGTCGTGTACATATTCGAATCCCCTAGACTGTGACGAAATTCCTCCATCGCATACAGCACACTTCCAATCGGTGCCGCAAAAGCCGCTGCCAGTCCACAGGTGCAACCCACGATGACCATGGTCGTACGGTTCTCCGGGGGAAAGTAATCTGCGACCGCGGGTCGCGTCTGACAGAAATAGTACAACGAACAGCTCACAGCAGCGCAAATGTGTAGTGTCGGTGCCTCCGCGCCCAGCGGATTTCCGAGTCCGAGATACACTGCCGAAAGACAAAACCTTCATACGTGAAAATCATAGAACTTGTCCAAGTAACCAAGATGGAGAGTGTAGCGCTACCAACGCTACCTACTGTTCGCCCTCATCCTTATACAAGTACAATTCATTTCATTGTAAGAGTCCTCTACCAAAGAAAAATGCCTCTCTTGTAATTTTCAACAAGCAAACGGAAGAAGGGGACCTACCTGGCGATCCCGACGTGCAGTGGCACAAAGCTTCCAAGCGCGATGCAGGCCCTAACAGATATCGTTCCACCTCCAGAGCATTCTGGCACAAGGTAGGTCACAATCAAGCCGCAGAAAACAGAGGATATCACAACCCCAAACGCGCGGAAAAGGTGATATCCAATGGTATCCCCAAGACTGATGAAAGCGTGGCCGTGTTGATTAAGTAAAAGGATACAGAAAATATTAACATTGCCGTAGTACTATCAATTGTCTACTTCTTATACATCATAACGCCTAATGTTTAGAAAAACATGATGGACAAAGGACACGCTCTTTATCCTCATTTTGCACTTGGTTGTTGAAGGAACGAATTTATACATAGAGAAAATGTCGCATAATTTTACAAAAAAACCAGGTTAGATACCTTCTATCCTCGTCAGCACTGAAAAAATGTTCGTTGACGTAGATAAAGGAGTCTTCCATCCAATGGTACGCGCCATGGAAAACTATGTTGACAGCGCCAATAGAAACCCCAAGAACTATTGCAAAGCACCACCATGTAAATCCATACATGTACCCGAAATAAACCTGCTCGCTGGACTGTCGTCACAAGGACGGACAAAAAGAGTGAAAATACTACAAACAAGCGCTGTATTCTCCGGACTGGACGAGGGTCCGGACAAGAACATGTAGAGTCAGGTTGCTAATTTGAGTCGTGCTTGGAGAATGCAGTCGGTTCCACAAAAAAAAGGAGCATGTAAAAGGGGGGACGAAGTATTACTATCAGGAGAAGGCTCGTCGACTACTACATACATTGTGACGCATGTAAAAAAATCATAGATTTCCATTTGGAAATCATACCGTTGGACTTTCTGACTCCCCAAGCGGCACTGCTCCAAGAGAAACGGATGTGGTGCCTCTACCGGTTCGCGACCCTGTGGTCAGATTCCGGTCCATCAACGGATGCTCGCTTTGAATGGCCTGCATCGGCACACAGCGCCCGTGTGCTTTGGGCGGCTTCCCTCCACTAATCACGTAGCCCAACAGTGTCTGCACCACAGAACCTCGCGTTTTTCGTCCCTCTGGCGGCTCCTCCACTTCATCGTCGAATAAACCATCCTCGTCTACCACCGGAAAATCTGAGAGAAGTTCATCGAGAGTGTGCCTATCGTGAGACTAAAAATTGTCTAGGTGAATACTTAAGTTCAGCATATAAGTACGGTGCTTCGTGGTAGCGAACACAAAATTGTGGGAGCACAAAACAAAATAAGAGCAAGAGGTGCAGCACCTATAATTATTTGAGTAAGTCGCACAACAATGTGTCGCGACGACGCGTGTTACCGGTCAATGATTTGCTATCAACGACAACTTTTTCGCTGATGCTGCGTTCCGTGAGCAAACTGGCGTTACTCAGCATTGAGGTGTGTGACTGTGCATTGTTGATCCCCGCTGTGGCAGAGCTGTTGTGGCTGAGCCAATGCCGCTCCAGTGACTCGACAGCTATAGCGGGACCGAACCTAAGCTGTGACTTCACACCCTCCACAGCAGCCCCAGTCGGTGACTCGCTCTTCGATCCATCTCCGTGGCCAGAGGAGTTTCGGCTTGCTGCTCCCAAATAATCAGCAATAGGCGGTCTGAAGGCAAGAGGATGAGACGGATGAGACCTAAACTCAAATCTAAAAACCAAACTTAAACTTTTTCTCAGTTCCCGAGCCTACGAGAGTGGTCGATGACTCCATCAAGTGATAGTAAATTACTGAGCAAACTGCCTGAAAGTATGCAAGAGACCAGTCATGATTGCGCAACGCAAAGCACGCTGCTTACACGACAAGATAGGGCTTAAGGACTTACACAGCCGAATGTGCGGGACTAGGTGGTGGGACATCATCGCCTCCGGTAGCCGCGGCCCCCGACACGCCAGGCAGCTGTAGACATGTCGTCTGCTTAGCGTTATCTGGCGACAATGTCACCTGTAACGTTCGTCGGACATCCTCGATCGAATCCAGGGCCTGCTGCTTTTCTGCAGCCTCCATGTTCGCATAGTTATCGAAAGGCGCCTCCTTTGTCTACTGGACAAGCGCCTTCGATGCAGGAAGGAAATGAAACTACGACGCAAAGACCACTGATCATTACCATAAGTAAGAAATTTCTTATGAAAACCCAGGTGGGGGCAGTATCTATCATCCAAGTTCTAAGCTACTGCCTGGCTCTCCATGTATGAGTAAGGATTTCCTTGCCATATTGGACCGCTGTCGTTCACAAAATCGTCATCGGTGGCAGCGCAAGATGAAGCATCATCACGCGAATGAAGGCGATGGCATCCTTGTTCGGAGTCGTCGAGGACAGAAGACCGGTGGCTCAAGAACAATCTTTCGACTATCTCCTACCTCTCCACGCGCCCGTCCGCAACTTGCCTTCTGCAGCTTATCCACGTTGACTTCGGCTAATCTCCAAACGGACCCGGAACAGGAGTCACTTGTTCATGACGGCAGAGCTCCCAACTGAAATCCCGGAGGTGTAACAATCTAGAAAAGATACTGACAAGACATTCTAAAAAAATGAACTCCACAGTCGAAACCAAGAATATGTACGTTCGTTTAGCATTTTCGCTTTCGTCGAAAAAACAAAAGTCCGAAAATGGTAAATAAGATACGCCGCACAGCATAACAAAACCGAGGGGATCGTCCGTGATCTTCAACTCTCCACTCACAGACTTGCAATATCACAAAAAAACCAAACTTTTATGTCACCATGCTTTTTTTGACTGCAACATTGACAATTTGTAAATGATCTCTCAATTATAGATACAGATGCTTTGTGGCAAAAAAGAGTCGAGTCAGACGCATAAAGTCAGATCGCATTTACACCGAAAACCAGTAAACCGCATAACTATTTCCTTTCCATTCATCGACACCTACCGAGATGGAGATCTTCCACAGAGTTTGTCATGCTAACAGAAAAATTATGTTGAGAGAACGTCTTTGCCAATGCGAATTAATATGAGACCATCAGCTTTGTAAGAAGCGTTTTCTTCTAAGCACCGAAAATAGACACAGTACGATATTTCATCTTTGTTTTCTCCATAAGTATTGGACACCCCCACTGTGCATCACATCAGCCCGACAGAGCACGTTAGCGCCATAGCACAAGGCTCGCTGGGTAGAAGTCATTCTGTCTCGCTCCCGCAAATGGGGCACACTTAAACTTTGGGGAGTCGGAAGAGTGAAAACTATTGGTTCCTGGTGTGGCTACAGAAATTCTCGCATTAGCGTGCTCGAAAAAAAAAATGGAATCGATTGTGAAAGTGTGTTTTCATCGAGCGCAAAAAATCATTTGAGAGTGTGAGCATGCCATTAGTGCTAGACTTCTAAATGCTGTCACCAAGAATCATGTCACCATGCTGGTCAAGCGCCAATTCAATCGCGCAGCATCAAGCAAGTCTGCTATAACAAGAGCAAACTACTTTTCACCGTGGTCTGCACGTTCTTGGAGCGCGCCATTGAATCAAGCTTCCTAATTTTCTGTCCTACGAACTGCTACAACAAATTTTCAGCTTCGTATCGACTCTACTCGAAGAGGACTGCTAGAAGACCGTCCACCTTGTCATCTAATCGGCTAGAAGATCATCCTCCTGATCCGCGAAGAGATCACCGCCTTCCTCTTCTTCAGCGGCATAATCGGCATCTGCCAACCGATCAGCCTCGTCTGCATCCATATTTCCGCGCTCCTTTTTCGGACGTTTCGACGCGGGGTCCGCTGCGAAGTCGTCCTCCCCGAAATGATCATACCTTGCAAAAAAAAATGGATTTAGTTAATAGCTTCAAGGTAACGCCATTTGTAATAAAAAGGAGAGTTCAAGTTGTTAGAAGCTGTTAGTTCTTCTTTTCAAAAAAAAATATTGCTATAAGTAACAGAAAGCCAAAAGTGCCAAATGGTCGTACTCTCCATCTTCTTGTGGCACTTGCAAATGCTCCTCCTCTTCAGCCGGAGCATCAGCCAACCCCTCAACCTTTCTTCCCTCATATAATTTTTTCACATCGTCAGGATGTTCCCGAGGTCGCAGCGAAGGGTCCGAGGCGTACATGTCTGTGGTTCGTTTTTAGGAAGATGTCTACATCCACAATCAACTACGACCTCCAACTTCGTTATTAGAACCACGAAACCAATGGGTACATTTATCCTGAAAGCGAGATGTAGTCTAGGTAGTAAGCCTAGTTGTAGATGATGTTATTTTAGCTTGTAGATTAATTTAGAAAAGCCAAATGTAGTCTAGATGAAGTAAGAGTACATTCTCTGCTATCCCGCTCGACGCTCTCCACGGTTTCTTGGGCTTGAAGCTGATCGTCGCAGAGCTTCTGAAAGATACCTTCTGCTGCTTTTCGTTCCTGTTCCAGTTCGTATGCAGCGTCGGCTTCTGCCTCACTAATCTTTTTCTCTATATCTTGTATCATGCGCAGCAAGTCAATTTCCCTGGTGCTGTTGTCGCTATGCGATGCAGAGAGCTTCTCGAGCTCTATTGTCGCTCGGAAAGTGTCCCTAAATTTTTGAAGTTTGCTGATTGATCCACCCTAATTCTTGCTACTGCGATATTCATTGTTTTAATCTATAACTATTGCTATACGCAAGATGAAACAAGACAAAGTACGAGTAGAACAAAATGCTATTAAATTCATACTTGTTCAATTTGTCCTGCTTGTCTTCCTCTGCGTGACAAAGCCTTTTGCATTTGACGTACTCGCGAATGGCTTTGCGCAGAGCGATTGCGGGTGACTCGACTTTCCGCATAATTTGGAGTTGCTGCATGCTCCCTGAAGAGTCCTGGAATGCCAAAACGTCTGCCACTGACAGTACCATTTCCAGTGCCTCCACGTCATTAGTCTCTCCCCTAACTACAAGCCTGACGTCGTCGCCGATCTTGTTTTGTTTTTTATAATCCGCCCATGCTTGCCGACTCTGCGGTAACCTCAGGTTGTACCCACTACCTTGGGACTCCTCACTGCCACTTTGGGAGGGACGCGGAACCCAAACAACATCTGTCATTCATTCCGTGACGGAGGGGAATCAGAGGCCTTAGCGTACTTAGGTTGTCCTTGTGCCCGATGTCGGTGTCATCATCTAAGTAAATTCGTACAACTAGAGAGAGTCTTTCAAAGCCCTCATCTTCATCTAGCCTGTTGAAATAAAAGTAAAAGCTGTAGCAAGCTGTAGTTATCGTAATATAACTAAAAATATTCATTCAATTATACCTATGGTTTTGTTCCGCAGCATAGCCCGCACCTTATTTTTTGGGTCATTCTTGTATCTTTCGAACGTGATAAAATTCGTGTTCACCTGCACTTCGATATTCATCTGCTTTTCCTTCGAATATATTGTGGATCGCCCAACAGTCACCTGTAGTGTTTCATACCAAGGATTTTGCCAAGGAAGAACCAAAAATAACAGAAACTTTCTCAAGGGATAGAATTTCTAGTTTTGCGGAAGACGACGATTGTTCATTCCACCACGGAATACGTGACAACTAGTTCTTGTTCTATCGCTAGCAGGAGTCGAATCAAAGGTTTCTACTCTTTCTAAGAAAAGTCATCGCACATCATTCGGAGTCTCCGTAGTAAACGGTTCTCGTTCTAAGAAAAAAAACCTGTGGCGTCTCATCTGACAGCGTTCTTCGCACTCTGCTTTGCTCGTGAAATATGAATAGACCGCCAGTGGAGCTAGTTGCTCCGCCGTGGACTTCGCGCTTCTCTGCTAGAGCTGCCATTGGCATTTTGCGTCACTACAACACCTCTATCAGGGAAGAATGACTTTCCGATCGAATCGTTGCCTTCGCCACAAGGCTCCTCCAAAAGAAAAACTCGCTGTCCGAAGTGGGTGTCCCAAGTACGTAGTCGTTGTGCGCAAAACGCGGCGGGTGCGAAAATTGCGGATGGTAGTCGCAGTACGCCGGTGAAAGATTGAACACCAGACGAGGCACGATCGTGACAAAGAGGCTCAACTTTGCTTTACTAAACTGAAAAAATTTGTAAGGTGAACGTTTCCAAGAATTTCAATCAACGAAGTGCGTGTCACAGATGAATCATCTACCAGTTCTTCAAAATATCTTTCGCTTCAAAGGAGTATCTTCTACTTCCACAAAGAAAACTGCATGAATTGGTCAAAATACTCTGAAAATTCGAGTTTCCCGTCTCTGTTACCAGCGCGTTGCAACTATGTGCTAGCATGGCAATTATTGCCTATCAACAGAGTAAGATCATCCTACAACTAGGGCTCTTCCATGAACATTTGGGGTGACTTTACATGTCCTCTTGTTTGAGTTCTACAAAGAAAAACAGACTATGTACTATAGTGTAAAGTAATCAAGTGAATGTAGATTGAACTCATACGAGTCTGTAGATTGAACTGCAAAGAACGTTGAGATTGTGACAATTTCTCTATGAAAATGCTCATTTTTGTGTTATCCACAATAATTATCCCTCCGGGGTTGTTTGAATTCCTTAGAGGTTGGAGGAAGACCCACGAAGACGTCTGGGAATTTCCATTATCGATCGAATTCAGCTTCTCGATGGATCTCTATGAGACACCGGTTAATGTCCTTTCTCCTTTTACAACAGAACATTCAACATTTTTTACACAGAACCATGATTGAAAAGTCCAAGAAGTCTTTCTGATCGTCAACGTCGCGTTTCAAGTAGTGTTTTCCCTGAACGGTTTACGGGGGAAATGACAACATTCACGATAGAAAGAAGGCGGGGGAATGAAGGAAGGTTTCTGTGGGTACATCGCTCGACAGCCATGATTACGATCCATCCCCAAGATGAGCCAAGACTCCACACCAAGAATAGGATATTTACAACTGAAGATAGATTCAGTGATCTTTGCAACCGAGACTGCTGTTGAGAACAAGTACAAAAATGTTGCTGTAAATGGCATTCTTTTCATCTTGCAATTTACACCTGTGTGAGTCCGCCTCTGCATGACTAACATGCCTGATGAATATGAGTTGACAGCAGCTGTAGTTCGTCCCCCCTCTGCAAAATCAACGCTGCTCAATCAATTCAACATAACATTACAGATACCCGACTTGCCTTCGAGTGCGGGCTAGAGGAAACCTCCCCAACTTTTGGAGAACATGCATCACCCAGTATCAGGCAACCACAGTACTACAACAGTGGTCAGCGCGGATCGCGTCCACATTTATTCAGTATGCCAAGCAAGACATCGAGAACGGCACGATCTTATGTTTCCCGTACGCCGTGTGGCGTGGATAAATCCTTTAATAATCTATTCGGGAATACAATATCGCGACACGATTATTTTTCTTCTTCTAAACATCTAATAATCTCGACCCTCCACAACTATAGTTATGAGTTAGAGAAGCGATGGTGATCAAATACGGGTACGCTTTCAGCACCTTGGTCCGTGCTTCTTCCCGTTGCGCTTGCGTCCCTCACGATATAGATAGGCCAAAAAAAGTAAACCCCGAGTTTCATGTTACATCAATTATACAGAAAACAATCCATCATGGTTCATCTTGCTGTTTGACCTCCGAAAAACCCTTGTGTTCAGAATTCTCTACTGTCTCTGCACATCTATCAGTAATTGAACAGTGGACTTTTGATGATTCGGACGTCAGGAATAATCGACGCAATTCCAGGAAATGATAGCTGACTCTATTCTTTATCATAAATGTGCTTCAAGCGCCTCAATCGATGAAGCTGTAAACGTGGTGTAGCGCGTATCACCCAGCTCCGAGATAAACAAGAACCTCCAACTTCTCAATCTGGTTCTCCTTCTTCACTAGTCTGACAAATCTCCATGAGGATCCTCCCAATCAGACCCACTTCTTCTGGACGTCCGATCTTCATTAGTATATCCCCTGACTTCATCGTAAATTCTAGTGATTTCCTTGTCAACGCGAGGCTGCCCTACATGTCCCCCGAACCTGTCGCGAACCTCGTCGCTTCTAGTTAGGTAATCAGTTAGGGCGTGCTTCATTTCATCCTTCGAGAACATTTCCGTAGCCTTCTTTTCCTTGTCATTTTTACCTATGGGAACAGAGAGGTGTCAGGGAACAGAGAGGTGTCAGAGAAATGCTCTGAGGGACGAAGATGCACAAAGAGTGGCCGTCATAACTCAGACAACTCGTTTTTAAAAGATTGCTTCGTATATTCCATCCGTATCTGCGCAAGTTTTTTCTGATGCTTCGCCGCTTCGAACGAGTGAGGCACTATCGAGGACGCGTCACGAGGACGCGACCTGTCAAAATAATAGGGAAGCCCTGTGGAAAGTAGTTTATTACTGCCAGGACACCGTGGGTGAACTTTCACGTCTTCGTGTTCGATGAGGGCAAGCAGATCCCCATCGTCACAACTGTCCGTGAATGCGGTAGGCTCATAGTCCTCCGATGCGGTAGGCTCGGATGGGGCTGCAAATCCTGTTCTTGATGTTGGTCGTGTTCCGCCTCGCCGCAACATTTATCACAACCCTGTAGGCTTGACGACGATTCTCCGGTTGTCGACCCAGTCTTGACCAGCCGCAGCTTATCGCGTATGAGCAGTGGATAATTCCTGCGCACTACATCCAATATAGTACGTCGCGTCCAAGACTCTGTGCCTGTTGCGCCACGCAAACGAATCACCTCTGCACCGGTCAAAGCTTTCAAAACAACAACAATGTCGTTCTCTTCTTGATGATCGGACGGCGCGTCCGAGACTACGCGGCCCCATATTTTGTGTCTCCGTTGGCCGGAGCGTGCTCTACACGTCTCGCTGATGCGCTTCACTTTGGGGAGCTTTCGCCAAAAGTCCAGTGGGCTCCGGCCGAGGTCATCTTCAGGTGCTGCAGAGTCGGGAGTAGAGGCCACATTCAGGTTAGCGACCCGCGCAAGGAAATTTTTGTCATCCTCTACTTCTTAGTCTGTATTTGCATAGCATGACGTCTTTGATTCCGTCGCCTCTCTCTCGGCGACATCTACTTGATGAAGCCTCTGATTTTGGTGAAAAAATAGCTGCATCAGGTAATTCTAGTTCTTCGGGTTCGGATACGCCAGTATCTGTTATAATATGGAAGAATTCGCGAAGAGGTTCTTGGCGTTCTTTCCCGGCTTCACTGCTGGAGGTGGAAGCCTCGGACGTCTCCGCTGATTCGCTAGTACTAACACTCGCCTTTGCATTGGCATTCGCAGCAAACACCCCGCTCGCTGTCAGCGCAACGAGGATGGAAAAAACTTCGCGGCGCCTCATTCTCGACTTAGTTGTGTTTGTACAGTTTACTTTCCGCGTACAACTATGGTAATTTTACTAAACTTCATTCCACTTTTTGTCAAACTCTGATATTCCCAGCCTTTGTGACAATCATAGATATTTGGAGGTGCCGCCGCCTAATGATTTGGATGTATCCACAAGTATATCCTGGACACTGTCGCAGACAATGGCAATGAAGGGAACCAATCATCAGACGACTCTACCCAAAGAGACTTAATCCGCGTGGCCTCTGTTTCCTTCCATCATTCGGGTAGAACATGCCTCGGCCAGGGGAACGCCACACATCTAATGACAAAGCTGAACAGTGGAACCGAGCCTACTCATACTGGCATTTTTCACCAACTAACCTTCTGATCGTTCTCGTCATGAATCAATGCATAAAACCGATGGGCGCGTTACAGTAAAAAAAGTGCGAGCATAATCGCATCCACTTTTCATTCTCGAGTGGCATGGCTTTTTCGGTACCTCTTCTGAAAACGTCTGAGTTGAATGTCTCCATTAAACCTGATTCATCTTTCTTAGCACAGAAGTATTTCAAATTCAAACGCTGGAAAATCAACAGCTCATTTAGAACATAGCAAAATTCCTACTTATGTGATGACGCTGTGTAGTTTCCTGCGTAGCACGGAACAAATTTTGTTAGACGTATATTACAATCCCTATGGTCGAAAATACACCTCACACATCGTTTCGTCATTCGCTGCTGTCGTCGTTATCTGTGACTTCAACGATGTCGAATGCCTTCACGTAATTCGTTACGCGGATATACCAATGCTCACGGTCATATCTCCACTTGCGTGTTGACATTTTGGGGTCTACTACAGGCGTCTTCGGAGGTTCGGCTGGGAATTCCCCAACGAGATGAGGACATCCCGTTCGCAGCTCACGTATTCGCTCATAGGCCTTGTCCTTCTTAGAAAGTAAAAAAGATGTTGGGGGCTTCACCCACTCCTGTCTTCGGAGTGTTGATACTGTAGTTTGCAATATTCGATGCAGAGTAGTGATTCCGATCGGCTTTACCCATTCAGTTGGATAACAAGTGCAGAATGGTACATAAATGCCTCACCGGACTTGAATCTCGCAATTTCCTGCTCGCGGCGTGCCTGACGCTCCTCAATTGAGTGATCCTGTACATTTTCTGAACCAATCACGCTACTGCTCGTTCTCTCCGGACCACACCTGTACGAGAAGTTCGATAAAGAAAATGATAAAGATATTCCCTGCACTGGGTTTCGTAAAATGGATTTCTTTTATCAAAAACAGACTGCATTTGATCAGCTAAGATGGTATCATCTTCTGTGGTGAGATGAAGGTAATCATGAGGATGCAAAAACTCATTCTGTGTGAGCGGCAGCTTGCTGTCGAAACACAATTCTTGCGGAGTCACTGCCATTGGTGTCAAAATAAAAAGTGTACAGCAAAATGCACTTTTGTAAAGAAAAATGAGTTCAAATTATATATTTATACATTTCCAGTTTTTGTGCCAAACTGACTCCGCGTTCGACTTGCGGCCCTTTCCACGACCAGTCCTTTGCACGATCACCCGTCCTTGAGTTAGAGCTACAGCCTTCGCATCCCCGACACCAGCATCCTCAGCGTCTTTTCCACATCATAGTTTGGGAAAACCACAAGGGGTGTCCCTGACCTTGATCAGCGACTTTTCGAAAAATAGCCAGTGAAGGCTCTGAGCAGGGCTCGTCGCCATACTTGAGGATGATTCTGAGGGTGGGTCTGGCTTTGTTGGTGGCCTTAATAGATGTCGCTGAGCTACTCCACCACTGGCCTTCATCCCATTCGTCGTCCCATTCTTGCTCCACCCAGTTCTCTTCGCCTTCACCCTGAGGCACGCCTTTCTGCTGCTCGGCGTACTCCTTCTTGGCCTTCTCAGTGCAAAGAAGAACGTTCCATGGTTGGTTCCCTGACCTAGACGCCTTACGAGTGGTCAGTGTTGAACCGCTATCTTTCCCAGCTGCATTCGTTTCTGCGGAGAGACTTGTACCTACTTGATGCTGGTGCTGGGTCGCGTTTTGATGTTGCTGCGTCACGTTGCACGAGGAGGATGAAGATGAGGAGGAACCACTTATTTTCCACATGCAAAGAGACGACGCCGCATTTTGTCGAAGCCACTTGGGTGCTTTAGTACGGTTGAAAGCACGGGAGCCTAATGCTTCAGAGGCAGCTTCCTCTACCCGACCAGAGGGCGCTCTTTGGCTATAACTTGTTGCTCTACTCGTTTTGCTTGAAGGTGCTATCGGAGGAGCCTCAGCCTTCGCCTTTCCCTTTTCCAGCATTGCAGAATGTGATTGATCATTTTTGGTTTTGCCAGTTGAGGAATTTTCTGTCCTACAACTTGTGACGACGCCTTGAAGCGATGCGGCTTGTTCCGAAGTAGCACTACTCGTTGCATCTTTGGGGTCGGGTAGTGGTCCGTCCTCACGGGGAAGGCGTGGCGTATCGTCTCCCGCATGAAAGTAGGTCTCTTCAGTGCCAGCCATCGTCTCTGCAAGTTTTCTCTTTTTCGTATTTTTACTACCCTGGCCTTTCGCGCCTTTATTTGCATGACTACTTTTCCCTTTTTGTAGTCCTTCCTCCGCTACCGCGTTGCGTGCTTTCGTTGCATTGGCCTTGGCTCTACCACGCCGTTTTTTCTGTCGCGGCCATTCCTGCTCCGGTTTTCCTGCTTTCGGTCCTTTCTTTCCGGCGACCCACTCATTTTGCTTTCCTCCCTTCGTATTTGCTCCGGTCTTGTCATAACTCTTACCACGACCTTTTCCACCCCGATTACCCTTCCCCTTCTCGATGGAAGGAGAAACGGCTACTTGATCTGAATAATGACGCTGATGATGGTTAGTATTATTGATGTAGCTGGAGGACGAAGCTTCTGCAAAGTTAGCATGTGCGACAGACGATGCGACAGCAGAAAACGACTCCCCATCCCAACCTCTAGACGCATCATCGTGAAATGCGGAAGATGCCAATGTCGTTTGCGCGATATCGACAGCAGTGGTTGCCGATTCCGGAGAAAAGATCCACGGAGCCGCGATGCTAGAACTCAAACAAGATGGCAGTGGTACCAAATCGCCATGACAAACGCTACTACTAGAAGGTTGCGCTCCCGGCATTTGCCCACCTTGCGCTTCTTCTACGCCACTATTAATAGGCGCAATCATTTTTCATCATCGACGTGACGTGCGAGATTTCCCAAAGACTCCATTAGGGTCCGAGATGAGGGATTGACACTCAGGAGTCAGGATCTTCAGGCAAGCTGAATAATGATGAAAAAGTGCTACCGGTCATATTTCTAGTTTTTTGTCTGTCCTCCTTTTCGCTGGCAGCGGTCTCGCCCAACTCTTCTATTTCGCCAGCTTCCCCAAATTCGACAGGCTGAGGCTCCGGAACATATCTAACAGAAACGTCGCCAGTTGAACCTACTAGGAGTTTCGGACTCAAGGCAGAACTCTTCCCCACTTCGTGTGACGTCCCCGACACAGGATCAACACCGGGCTCTACTAGTATTGACCCGGCAGCAGGCAGTGCTTCAGGATTCATGACAATGCCCAGCTCGGGTGCAGGAGTGTGTCCCTCCGTCCTCAGTTCGCCAGGCAGCTCGACCGAGTCCCATGCACCAGCGTCACCGGTTGTGCTACTGCGCCGCCGCGGCCGCAACTCTATCGTCTGGGTGGTCGACGATGCCTGCACTTCTTCAGCTGCTATCCTCCTCCGCTTCGCATTGCCTGCTCTTGAGGTATATGACAATGAGTCATCTGCTTGCTCATGCTGCGGATCATACGACGGGGTGGCTACCCGGCGAAGGGGCACTACTTGTACGGCTACACACTGCCCAGGTTCGACTTTCAGTTGTGACATTGGGATACGTAGATTCCAAAACGCGCCTTCCCTTTCAATTCCCTCTTTCGACTGTGCCTCCTGCTGCACATAAGTAACATGAAAACTCTGCGCTTGTTGATTTTCAGTGCGTGCAGCACCAGGGGCAGCGGCGACGTGTTGCATGTCTGGCGCATCCATTGCATAGACTTGGCCATCGTGAATAAGCGCTGTGCTACGATACGTGGTGTTATCTGCTCCTAGGGGTCCACAAAAAACACTACTACAGGATAAGCAATTATTTTCTTCGTGAAAATGTTGTTCTCCTGCCACGCTTTGACGCTCGTCTCTGGTGCTGTGGCGCCTGGAGCGCGACCGCCTACGCCGCTCTCTTCTGCGCCGGTCGTTTCGCCGGTGCCTGCTGTCCTCTCGCTTCATCCTTTCGGAGTCAACGCTACCTCCTCTGCTGTCCCGCCTGGAACGGGTCGGTCTGCCCGTGGATCCATCGCTCGCGTTGATTCGCTCCTGAGGTCTGAAGTCACGGTCGCGCGGCTGGTTGCGCTCTGCATGTGCAGAGGTGGCTTCCCTACCACTGCGACCACCTCCTCCCCGTTTCGAGGTGCCACTATTTTCGTCTTCTTCAGCGAGGTAAGCGTCTTCCTCTGACGGGACAGAGTCCCTACTACTTCTTGTACACTTCCTCGATCTGCGGAAAACCCCTCGCCGCGTCTTTTTCCGCTCATTAGCTTCCTCTTCAACATCATCCAGTGGCTCGTCCTGTGCCTCCTCCTCACTCCAGTCCTCCTCAGCACTATCGCAGCCGTCCTCATCTTCGCCACTATCGCACTTGTCCTCATCTTCATAAGCACTGTCGCAGTCGTCCTCATCTTCACCCTCGTCGTCAGAAACGGAGTCCTCATCTGACGAAGACGACGGAGGCAACTCGTAATCCTTGCTGCCCTCTCCCTTTTCGCTCACGCGCAACGCATCGTCATACACCTCGCCTTGCTGCTTCTCTGCCACGTCTAGAAGTGAAATGCCGTGCTTGATGACGTTGTTCTTCCCGGCACCACGACCAGAACTGCTGTCGTGTTTACTCGATGGTATTGTTGTATTGTCACCTGCATCTGAACGTGCAGCTTCTTCCTCCCCTACAAAACGATGTCCTAGGGATGCTGGTGTACGAGTTGGAGTTGGTTGCTTGCTCAACCAGAGATGTGAATCTGGTCCAGTGGTCAGTGCATCGCAAGTGGCAGTGCTGCTCCTGCTAAGACTACTCGCTGTGACGCTTACCAAACTGGCCGTCCCTTCTAAACCGGAACAGAAAGCAGAGTCGTCAGGACCGTCTGATGAAAAAGGCAGAGGAGACGGGTAACTTGAAAATATTGTTGTACTATGCGTGGGTGTGCAAGAAAAAAGAACTTCAGAAGACTCTCTCTCTGTGTATCTATTCAGCCGTTGTAAGAGCCATTACATCTTTATTTCGGAGCAACAATGTTCATAAGAATTTCAAGTACCTCCTTCGTCGTCGCCAAGAAGCAGGTTGAAATTATCAACCAACGCTTCATCTTCCGCACGTGGAAGCTGCTCGCCCACGATTGAAATCGCCATTTTCTTTGGATCAGCAGAACGACTGTACACCTCCTGGCTGCCTCTTGGTTTAAATGTCTGTCCCTTGACTCCAGTGCCTCTATCGCCGCGACCCTGCTATATCACAGATCTCGTTACTCTTGTCCACCATCAGAAACAACAACACTTCGTCTATAACTTGCGGTGCAAAGCACGCTATAAGCACCGTGTCTGAGGACTCTAGAGATCTTCAAACCACATTTGCGTGAGCTCCATTACTCCTTTGACTCCATTTTCACTCAGCAGTCATGTCAAGGATGAAACTCAGAACATCAACATTGCAAGAGCCAAAAAAAATTCACGCTTCCACGCAGTACTTTCGGTATCAACTCGTCCCGATATTTTCCACGCGACGTCAACAACTGATAACAAATTCAGAATTCAACATAGTTGCACGGATTGAAGATGAACAAAAGGATGTGATAGTTAAAGGAGAAGCAGTGTGCTACTGCTGAGCCCAGCCTGCTCAGGAAACGCTTTTCGAGTGTGGGGACTGTGTCGGAACTCACATCATGATCTGCGTGCCAGACCTAGGCGAAGCAAATTTGTATGTTCAAAAATGCAGCGAATCAGCCGTTTCCATAACGTCACCTGAATTGTCCATTCCGTTCCCTATGTTCAATGCGGCATATCAATCTCACTTGGAATATCGATTTGCCAGCTGCGATAGTGGGCTCGATGAGAAACAACTACTTACCATCAACTTATACTTCTTTCTAGTACAACAACTTGCGTATCTAACGAAACTGAGGGAAAAAAACTCCACGCTTACAGATGATGTCCAAGCAGTAAAAAGCGGATACATTTAGATTTGAAACAACGGAGCTATTTGATAAATGAGCTATGTAGGAGCACCAGGAGATACAAGGAAATTAGGAGCGGGCAAGCTATATCCGTTACAGAGTGATAACAATCTATCTGAGGATCATTGGATGTGAAGGAAACCAGTACAAATCAGAGCAGGAACTTAAAGTTACTTCTACGTACAGAGCAAAATAATTCAAGTCGCAGCCGCCGCCTCTGCCTACACTTCTCCCGCCTAGATGAAAATACAGTTTGATTGTTTCATATACGTGCGGGCGCACGACTTGGCAGGCGTTGTAAGATGACACACGGAGACGCCTATGAAAATATATGGAGAGGCTGCATACCAAAAAATCAGAAAGCTATTATTTGCAGTGAACGCAATCTGTCGCAGCTTACGAGGCATGACAAGCCGCCTACGTCATACAAGTGGAACGAATTGTGATGTTGTTCTAAAAAAATCGCATGGCCCGCCGCGCAATCCCATGTTCAGCTCAGCCGTTCTCTAATATGTGTAGCAGGCCACGTTTCTCTATGTATACGGTCTACCCTGATGACGACAACGCACAATATGAAAGATGTTGTACTCATCCGATCTCGATCTGAATATGAACTGCCCTTCTATTGTTTTGAGTAAGTTAGTTGCAGTGGTAGTCCTACACATTTTCTTTAAATTACACAATTTTGCTTTAGTACACAAGCAAGAAAATGGGGAAAGCTTCTCATCCTTTGTTCTCTTCACCCAACGGCCTCCGAGCGCGCGAATATCTCTAGGGCGCCAACTTTGAGCAGCAGGAACCGATTCTCCGATAGCGCGCAAGCAGACCGCCACTGCGGATTGGACACTACGTGTTCGAGTTCCACTTCTCGACTTTCTAAGTTCTTGCGGAAGAGATAGGTTCGACTCGTAGAGTCATGCATCAGCAATTGATCTCCAGAGAAAAGGGCAAAGCGTATTGCAGAGATGGGCATCTTCTTGTCGTCGTAGGCGAGTGGCAGGCTTAGAAAGCGCGCTCGAGGCTTGTAGTAATAGCGAGCCCCCACTTCCGGGGTCGGAAAGGTTCCTTCTGTGCCCATAGAATCTGCCCCGCTAAACTGCACCCGATGGCCCGAATCCGCACTAGCACCTGGAGGCGCATTGGTATTCAAAGCCGGCACTCGGGGTCGACGTCCTTGAATGGGCGAGGAAGGTATCGCTCTGTTCTCCCGATTTAGGTCCGCGGAGGCGGCGCCAAAGCGATCGGGAGACCCTGGCTGCGGAGAGGCTGCGAGGCGGTTGCCGGACCGAGGAGTCGGCGCGGACCGCGCACGGGGACGCTGCGTTACTCCCGGCAGAAGAAGCGAGCTGCCTGCTGAGGCTGCTGTGCCGTTGTGCTCGGTCGTTCCATCGTTGATCTCGTCGCCGTGTACACTGTTATTCCCGGATTCCCCGCTCTCTGGCTCGCCGTCCATGCTGAGCACATCTTCGTCGAAAACCTCATATCCGCTCAGGGCGTTTGGGGAGCCGCTGTAATCTTTGAAAGCCGCGACCACGTCGTCATCCTCGTCAAAACCCGGAAGGCCTCCCATTTCGGGTGCTAGCACTTCATCGAATTCCCCTACTGCTCGCTGCGGCATCCACACTAAGGAGCTCGTTTTGGACCCACGCATGCGCACCGCCATCAGGAGGTCTCTATCATTGCCTGGAAATTGCAGAAGCGCTTCCGCACGCGCCTCGGTACTACGCAAACCGCCTCCGGCCCGCTCAAGCAGTCCCACAGAGGGGTTCGCGGACGCCTGCGGGACAGCGGTGCCGAAGTCGATCGCGCTGAGTGGCGTTCTGGATGGAACACCGAAAGGGTGCGGCGGCGATCGAGGATTCAAACCTCCGCTGGTTCGCACGCCACCAGGCACCATCCGACTTGTTGCGCGCGATGCGGCAGGAGGCGACGACGGCGGAGACGCGGATGCCGGCGGACAGCGCGCCACGTTTCCGTTAGCGAACAGCACAAGAACAGCGCAAGTGCCAGCTTCTAGCATGATCGAGGCGATCTCGCGTCCGCCAAACTCGCAAATTCGATTAGGACTCTCCGGGAAATGCACCGTCCAAGGCGTCGCCAAGACGAGCAATGGACATTCCCCCCGACATGCAACATGCCGAAAGACGCCGCTGTGAAGCCCCTCCGCAAAAAACCGCAATTTGTCCCTTGCTTCACTAGCGAGCCGCGGCTCCGCAAAGCGTTGCTCCGCGGGGTCCTTACTGCTCGCCCGCGACGCCATTCTACTCACGGGCACTTCTGCGCTGGGTTGCTCCGCAGAAGATGCTGCATCTGGAGCATCTACTTCTGCATGCAGCTCACTCGCGAGAGAAGAGATGCGACGCACGCGGAACAAATTAGATCTTTGGAGGTGGCGGGTCGGCCTCGGCGTGGCTGCGGGGGTTCGGTGATCCGGAAACACGTACTCTTCTTGGCTACCCGAGTTCTGAATTTTGGCCAAAATAGTCATGATGTGACGTTCACCCGACGTGAGGGACGCGTACTCTTCATCGGTCATCACGTGCTCGCCCTCCGCCGGCGCGGGCGCGGACGGCGTCTGCGCTGCACTTTCCGTCTGCTGTCCAAGCAACGCCCGCAACCGCGATTGCAGCAATCCAATAGAGGCCGGCTCAACGTTTCCTGTAAGCAGCGGCGAAGCTGCTACGCTTGCCGGCGCAGACTGAACGGCCAGGTTTCCCGATGACCCTGGTAGAGAGCCACTTCGGCGCATCAAAATGCTTCCCGCAACCAAGTACTCCTCGTAGCCAGGCGCCCCGTAACGACGCGTAGCTAACAGTTTGTTGTCCCAGTCACACGTGCCGGCTCGCCAGAAAGCGTTGATCATGAGCACAAACATGCCCAGAAGCAAAATTAGACTCGTTCCATTGAATATTCGAAAGGGGAGAGCCGATGCTTCCCAGCCCGCTGGATCGTCAAAGTGTTCTCCGACACCGTTGCACACGATGTCAATCTCCTTAGCAAAATCTGGCGCGGAACAGGGCACGTGCTGAAACAGCGACCGCCGCTTTGTGTGATGGGGGTGCTGATGGTGGCTGCTGGAGCGACGCCGCGCGCCCGCCGACCCACCAGATTTTCGCCGCGCTGAACTTCGCCTCGAAGTGCCGCATAAAGGAATCACGGACACACCAGACTTGCTCCCCGTGCCAAGGTTACCCGCCGCTTGTGTGCTTCTCGCTTGCACCTGAACATATCTATCGTGCGACACATCTTTCTCCGGAGCGACACGGCTTTCTGCTCTCGTAGAGGCAAGTCCGGCAACGCGTGGCCAACTACTGTCCGCTTCGTCACGCTCCAGCCTTCGACCGCCTTCTCCGCTCTTGCTTCTCCTTCTTCGTGGACTACCAGCAAGAACGGTGCCATCCTGTACACTAATAGGTCTCCTATCAGAGTCGTTTCCGACAGCGTCAGCCGATCCTCTCCTGGCCCGCCCCGTTGCTTCCAAGCGACTGCCGATATTGCGGCGCCGCGTGTCGAGCGACGTCTGCAGTGGCATCGCTGCAGAGCGCGAAACGGATCCATCTGGCGCATCAGGGCTTCTCTTCTTTTCCGGTGTCTGGTGTGAGGCGAGGATGCTGTCAGCGGAAGACGCAAACTTAGTGCCAGTCGATACGGGACTATTCCTGCTACTAGCAGCGCCACGAGAAGCGCCTAATGCTTGGTCTTCGAAAACATTTCTAGCCGGGTTTTCCAACAGCGCCTTGCCCAACTCAGACTGCCCGAAAGGCCGAAGTGTCAACTTTCCAGCCTGAGCGACGATCACTTCATCGTCGCTCTCAATCACGGCCCTGTCCTTCGTCCCACTGACGGAAGACGAGGACACTACATTTCTGGAGGAGTTCGTGTCCGCAGGTGCCGCTTCGTTGTGGTTTATCGAGGTCGCTCGACTAAGCACGTCTGGAGGCAGGTAGATGCCGACAATGTCATCGCTCTGATTTTTATCAACACCGTCTGCAAAGATTGAAGATGTTTTCACATCACCAATTTCGTGGCTTACCTTTCGCACCTCTCCGGTGAGGCCTTCCTCGGCAAGCTCCCTGCGCAGATTCCTTATGACGAGCATTTTTCGGTGCGCCAACGCATGTTCTGCTTGTAGTTCCGACAATGCACCTCGGACATCGTCAGCTGTAATGTACTCCGACCTTAGTGGCTCCCGGTGATAGACACCGCCGTCGACGCTGTTATAAAGAACGTAGTACAAGCCCGCCATCTGATCGAAGTCTGAAACTTGCACATACATCTTCTCCGGAACTGTGTAGGGCAGCTGAGTACAGTGCGCGTCGACAAAAGCCTCTGCCTCGAGATACTTTTTTTCAGAAATCCCTTTGTGCGAGCGAGCACTGCGGTTCAGAAATGGTCCAGCGGAAAATGGCGACTCCGAATCAGCGGAAAACTCGCTTCGTATTTCTTCGATGTCGTTGCCAGGCGCCACGGTTGCTCCCTTTACGCGACCGCTTTCCTCCATATCAGGAAGAATATTGTTCTCGTCTCCCTCAGTATGAATCGTTGATTCTCGTCGCGTAAAAATCTCACTCAGGGGCCCTACGTTAGCCGCGATAGAAGTATCCTGACCCGAAAGCCCAGATCGATGTGGGTGGTCTCGCGCGGACATAGTTTTCTCCAAAGAGGTACTACCTACTAGGTCAATATCGTTCGAAGCCACACCATCAGCTGAGGCAGGCATGCAGGTGGTCCCCGCAGGTACCGCCACGATACGCGCTAGTAAATCGATCCAGGATGGCAGGCTTTCATTCTCCGGATCCAGTTTTCCAAAGAGCGATAACCAATACTTCAGTTCTTCTCCCCTGTAGAGCCAACTGGTGTACAAAAGCGACGCGAATCGATCCAAGGCTGCGATATGGCCACCACACCTCCGTAAAACGAAGTTCCGAAATTTCAGTGCATTCCATATTGGCCGCGTTTGCTTATCGTCATAGGCTGAACCAGATTGAGTTAATGTGAAATTTTTTTCATCTCCTTGGTCTCCCCTAATGTTGTCAGTTCCATCCTCTCGAGAGCAAGGCATGATGATACCCAAGAGCGCTGCTTGCCTGTTGGGGACAAATTCATCGTCTGCTGGCTCTAAGAGTTCCGGATCAGGTGACAACTCTTCCGCCTCTACGAAGTTGTGCCCTCTGTCACTAGGCGACAGCAGCAATGCGGAGCCTTTCTCCGGAGTCGATAATTCCGCGTCAGTATTCGCTAAAAACGCGACTGTTGGCTCACTCGAGGCATCTCCGCCATCATCGTCGTCGTCGATGCTCGGCGACATGACCAGTCCGTTGTCCTGCACCGTTAATCGAGACGTTCCGTCGGGAAGGAAGAGGCTTTTCTTTGGTGTTTCGCTGTAAAAGAGTCTATGCGTTGGTGACCCGCTCGTTAGTGACGGGCTATTCACAATCTTCACACCAAGAGGCGTAGGCCGTTCTTCCTTCATCGGCGTTGTAAGCGCTGAATCACCCACGCGTCTTCCTGAAACTACTATCATTTGCGATGTCTCTCGCCCTTTTCTAAGCTGTAATTGGTTTGACACTCGTCCGTCCCCTATTTGTTTGGACGCTTTCGCACTTTCCCTCAAATGACGAGGCGAAGTAAGCAAGCCTGGAAGGCACGAAGCCCCGGCTTCGTCTGCTGAGCTATCAGCGTCGCTTACGCCACCGATAAGCGGAGCTTCCTGAGGTATCAGTTCGTGCTGCAGCAAGTCACGTGCGCTTTTACTTGCCACGAAGCGCCCACCCTCTTGTGTTGCTAAACGAATAAGCTTGTTTGTCGCATCGTTTTCCATTTCATCGATGACTTGCGGGCGCTTCCGTCCAGAGGACGTTGATGATGACGCCAGCATACGACTGAAAATCTGGCCCATGAATTCCAGAACATGGCCTCCAACAGTACCTGCGATGGACAATACCTTCGAAGAGCGTGCGGTTGTGCTCCGCGGCAGCCCGATTTGCTTCTCAATCTTAGTAGACCCATCTTGCACCTCCGATGATGATAGTCCTCCGCCTCTTTCATCAGTGCCACAGGTTTGATCTACTCCTAGCCCTCCAGCTGCTGTTACTCGCGCAGTTTTTCGTAGCCGCAATCCCGCATTTGCAGTACCTACCCCTTCATCATGATCATCATAGCGTTCGTCCCTCGTTGCGCGAAACGCCGGAACGAATTGCCCAGTAGCTCTTCCTCCACGCGCCTTGTTCCATTGCGAAGGCAGCGGTGCCCCCATGGCCAAGTCGGCTTTTCGCCACGCCAAGGCGTCCATAAACGCGACAGATCGGAAGCGTGTTGGCAACAGTGCTCGTCGCTTGTTCAATAACTGAAAGAGCAAAGGCAGCTCGTCTTCTTTCCCTCTCTGGCGATCCATTCGCGAAGCGCGTCTATCGCACCACGACCCTCGCCTGGAACGCTTCGAGCTTGCTGCAGGCGACGACTGCGGTGCGTTCAAGGGAACGCCTTGCACGATCTCCGCAGTCCCACTAAATTTGACTGCTCCTTCTTCAACTTTGCAGCTACCGCTGACAACGGAAACGCCTGAGCCCCGACTGCTCGACGCCAGCGACGTGGCACTTTCATCACTGCTGCTAACCGAAGAATCTTCGCGTTCGAAGCGCACTTGATCTGCACCAGCGAAAAGCGTCAAACTGTCTCGCGCTTTCGAAAATACGCTCTTATTGGCGTCCGAACGAGGTCCTGCACTCCTCCTTGTTTGCCGCGTCAACCTACCCGAAGATGAAGATTTATCGAATCGTAAAGCCGCGCCTCCTGAGCAAGACTGAATCACGGAGCTCCTCGCGAAACTGTTCTCATCCACAGCCGCAAGTGAACTGGATCCTTCTGGGAGAGCACCTCCTTGATTCTCCGCGAGGACAGCTTGTTCCCTTGTGGCGACCGCTTGCTCCTCTTCCTCTGAGAATTCGTCGTCGAGGTCGTTGCGATACGGCTGCGCGAGCAGTAACAGTAAGAGGAACCAAGCAATGCTCGGTAGCAGCTGCAGCGCTGTCATCAACTGCCGCATCACAAAGAGGTAGGACGCTTGGCATTCGCGGCTTGCGCATCCCCATGCAGCCCTCTCCAGAAACACAGCAGCGCAGTGAGCCACAGTCTCGCAGAAAATTGCAAAGTCAAACGCGATATGCCACCCGCGCCCAACGCTAAAGTCGAGTTTCGCCACTGTCAGCTTGCAGTACGAAAAAACGCAAATGCTGATAAGCGAAATCCACGGACTTGTCTTGTAATAGTACATCGACACATAAATCGCAGTGGCTGTCAGAAACTGCAACGTGCCAGTCAGCATAGCTACACGAGCGTAGGCATCGTAACTTTGCCAGTGTCGCTGCAACAGCCTGTACTGGTCCAAGTGGCTCGCGCGTACTAGGAACGACGCTGAAGGCGAGTCAGCACTCGAACCGAGCCCTGGTGGCCCCTTTTGCCCGAGCATTTTCGGAGCTGCCGTGTTACGCTGAACCTCGTGTGGAGCGTTGACAGCGGAAGAGCTTCTCCATTGTTCAGACACACCTCTTGCGGTCGTGGTGGCTCCCATCTCTGAATCACGGCGATGCTTGGTAGCACTATTGCGCAATATCGACGTGCTTGCGGCGGCACCCGTCATTCTCTGTGGGAGATCCCTATCGTCATCGACAGTGGTCGACTTCCTTCTCACTCCTGCTGATCGGTGAGCTTTGCTATCTTTGTTTGGTAGCGATTCATAACTGGCGGATTCCGCGATGGCAGGTAGTGGCTCAAAACAGTGCGCGCTGCTGTTGTGTGCAGATACCAAGGCAGTCGACGGGAAACGGGACGAGGACCCGGTGCCCCTCTGATGTGTCGCCCGACTTGTGTCTGACAATTCGCTGACAGGAGAAATGCTTCTGCTCCGTCCTCGCTTGCTCATCGCGTCACGAAGCTTGAGAGTGATCGTGTTACCTACTCCAAGTGGCACACCGCGCCAATCTATCTGATGCTTCCCATCGATGCCAGCCTCGCCTTCTGACACACGGACGTCGCTCCACGCAAGATTTGCAGTGGGTGTGTTGCGCGTATTCACGAAGCTGCTCCGTCGCTCCAGAGCCGGAGGTGGGCCTCTACTTGCGCTTCCTTGAACAAAACCATCTTCATACCCCTGAGAATTAATTGGCGTGATCACGCTGCTTAAACTCGTATGTATACTATTATCTGGCTGCAAAATTCCCGCTGACGATGTCCGTTCAAGGAGGCTACGAGGTAGCCGACTTGTACTGCTTGAACTTCCACCAGCAACTGACTGGCCACTACCCATCAGGGATGTAGCCGAGGTCGCGTCAGCACGAACTCCCACGTTGAGTGCTTTAGAAGAACCTCCGCCTCCGCGCTTAACAAAATGATCATCCTTACAACAAGTATCGGCCACGCCATAATTGCTGGCATCCTCTTGAAGATGATCACTAGACTCTGTTGGTGCACTTGTGCCACTCAATTGTACAACAGCAGGATGCAGACTTGTGCTACAATGCATTTCGTCCGCCTCATCCTCTGTCCAAAAGCAGTCTCGCCTGCTCGCTTCCTCAGCTATCTCGTTCAAAAAGCAGTTTTCCATACCATCAGGCTTATAATGGAAGGGCTTTTGCTGCCATCCGGGAAGTACCACCGCAGGGTTCAACTTTGCCTTCAGCGTCTTCCGCTTTGGTCGCCTCTTGCCGCCCGCAGTCGCTGGTCGAGAGCGGCTCCGTTTGTCGTCTACACTCGTCGCCGGTTGCACATTGGATCTTCCTCGTCTGCCATCATTGATGTCTCCACCGGTTTTTGCGTTGCCGCTGTGACTTTTAGTATCATGGTTGGCTTTATCTCTATCTTGAAAAGCGTTTGTAGCGGACGAAAAAGACCCGGTGGAGCTTGCTGAGCTCGCCGAAGATGACCCGCTGTAATTTCCGTACACCTTACTGAGCAGGTCGGCACCCGATTCAGGGGATACTGCCCTGATTTTTTCTCCTCTTGAACTGAAAATGTGACTGCCATTTTCCCCCGGCTCAGGCGCGTTGTTCTCATCCATGCTGTCGGCTCCCGAAAATTTGTGTTGCTTTTCTACTCCTCCTTCGATATCACGAGGACCAGCAGGAGCTTCATCATCCTTTGCGGTATTATTGTAGTTTCCATCCACAATAAACGTTGCCCTTTGTTCGTCTGCCTGTTCTTCTTCGTCGCCCGTGTGTTGGAGAGGTGCATCGTCCTCACTCGTCTCCCCTTCTTCCTCCTCTTCGACGGTGACCAAATGTCGTCCGCGATCAATGAAGGGCACTCGCAGAGCTCTCTCCGGAGCAACCTGTTCGAAATCTTGGTAGGAGCGACGAACTTGATCAACTTCAAGTCCGGTAGGCAGACACCGAAGCTGATTGCTTTGCAGCTGCAACGCCGTGGAGCCGGATGAAGCTAAAACTGAAGCGTGAAGTGCGAGCCAAAGTGCCAGCATGAGAAAAACGAATGACCCGGCCCAGGCGAAGGAATAAGGCACGACGATCCACTCAGGAATGGCTGGAGCATCATCCTCGTAAGCGTAGTACATCTTTCCCTCGCCGAGCATAGAAAACAACGATCCCAATTGCAACACGCAAAAGACCGTGTAAATTTGCTGTGTGTAGTCGAGTTATTAATATGCTATCGCAACCCCTTGAAATAGATTCAAGTCGAAGTCACAAATGAACTATAACTAATTGGCTCTTGTCCCGATGAGGATCTTGTGCAGCTAGTTGAATGTTTAGTACTAGTTATAACAGAGTCTGTCACGACTAGAAAAAAGTACCATTTTCGCAGTCGTCATGTTCGTCAGGTTGCTTATATCTTCACGGTGCAGCGCTACCCACTCTTTGCGGCCCCACTGTCGCTGCGTCACCGCAGCCTGGCGCATCGTTGAATCGAAATGGTACAGGTTTCTGTTGTATCCCCAAACGTTGCTCGCCGAGTTGGCGAGCCCCATACCCATCGCGGCAAGGAACTCCATCTTCGCCGAACCAACGTCTGCTTTTTTCTAGAGCAACTTCTATTTAAAGAGACCAATTGTTCTTGCTGAAGATAATAAATGGCGCAGGAAGCAGGTCGAAGACTGAAAACGAGCCCTGCACTGCGCTCCGACAATGCGTTAGCTTGACGATGATGTCGTAGTCTAGTTGTGCCAAGCTCCTTCGCAAAATGAAAATCAAAGCTGTCGCGTCACGTTCTTCTCGTCACGGTTGCGTCCTCTGGCCACATGCGCTGCCACGTGCCGCAGACAGCCCAGCTAGCGCTAAAAGAGATGGCAGGCGGAGGAGGCTGGCAAGGCGCCCGATTCTTCGCAGCCTCCTCCTAACGACCGTTTGAGTTCTTCTGAAAACAAACTACCTCGTTTTCCTGACGAGGATGTGGCAGATCGTCGACAGTCTCTTTTCTGAAACATCTTATCCGCAACATAGACATAAAAAAACGTGAAATCAATTAAAGTAAACGAAAAGGAGGAGAAAGAGAGGAAATAAAGTGAGTCATAGGTTGTAAAGAAAATAAGGGGAGGAAGGTATTTTCACATCATACAAACTGCAATAGTCAAGTACTTATGTTCATGCAAGACACCTAGCTCAAATGAACCACCCCCATCTCTGGGTGCAAGGAGGCAACCGCAATCGGGATGTAAAGGATGCAACTGCTAGGGTCCGATCGAATACCTACACGCTAAATAACTAACCCAGCGTTCTTCTAGTACAGCTGTAGACTGTCAGATAATCGTGTAATAGCATGGCACATTCTTGACTGACTGCATTTCCTAGAACAAGAAGACGCACAAGATATCTATGTATACATAGTCTAAACCTTAACCGAGTCTACATCTGGACCTGCAATACTAGCAGAAACATTTCTTACAATTACTGGAATCGTGTTCATGGATCGCTCCTGGTGTGAAAAAGACACAAAAGAACGACCATCCATGGCGACGGTGAAATCGCGTTTAAGGAAAATGACAGGATGGATCCGCGGTCTTCAATCGCGATTAGCTGCAGGTCAGAGAGATCCATTCAGAATGAAACAAAAGACAGCACACACACGCTTTGGATCCTCATTGATTGGTGACACGCATCTTCCAAATTCTTTGCAATCACACGCGAACTAAGCCTAAGCAACCGACAGCGATCATGTCTTGCAACGAACTTTAGAATTTGAGACTTCATCAGATGTAGTAATGATCGAAGTTCTATACGAATAAAGGCTGCTTGAACACAATCCCCTCGAAAGGGCAAAACAAGAAAGCAATACGGGTCGTCGCGCACAGCCCTAGCTGACCAAGATGGTCGTAGGATAAGCGCCACTGTTCCTTGTAGAGACGATCGAGCGTTGCTTCACTACGATCTACAAAATTGAATCCGCTGACAACACGATAAAACTCGACCACACCGAACAGCGAAAACGCGCAAGTTCCGCACCAAAGCATCGGCAAACCATACACAGCCAAGTCGGACTTTGCAATAATGAAAATAGGCTTACTCAAAAAGAGGTAGCTACGACCTTTGTGTGCACTATATTGCGTGAAGGGAGAAGCCTAAGATAGAGGGAAAACGAGCCGGCTGTTTTACTTATGTCCTTTAAGCGTCGCTGGGCCTAAGCCTCATCCTTATAAAAAGGAAGAAGCCAATCAAGATTTTTCTGCTGAACAGACATGATCCCGTATCCGCTTCCAGACTACATATCGATATGCGATTTGTCATCACTGTTGTTGTACTACTCTCCATTATAACTCGAAAAAGCATCGTGGCAACAATCTCTGAAAAAAGTACTTTCACTAGAATAACGATACCTCAGACATGTTTCTTTGTATTAAGAAACGAAGTATCAGCATATAGAATTCTATAAATTGCACATAAAAAAGGCGCGTGGCTCCGGTCCGTCGATTGCGCTTTCGCGCTCGTAGTAGGCGTGTAGAAGATAAAGAAGCACCAGGGACAGCGGAATGTTCAGCAACTGCGCTGTGAAAACTTGTACACCAGTCCGCCACTTGGCACATGCGCGGTTCACGGAAGCAAGTGCATAGGCTGCGGAATCCAGTAAAAACGATGCTAAGACAAAGGGAGCCGCTGATGCCACCAAAGGAAAATCCGCCGCTGGCGCGCGATAAAATTCAAGCACGGCACTGACACACGCGTCGAACCCGAGCAAGACCCACGGGGTAGAGGACATCTTCTCAGTCGAGACAGAGCTAAGCGGTTGCGATACAACAGATATTGATGCATTTTCTGAGAAGTCTAATGGACTCGCAACATCCGCAGGAATCTCTAGATTTCTTTGTGCTTGTTGTGGTCTTTGAACCAAGAACGTCGATGGAGACTTCGCAAGAGGCGAGGACACCACAGCTTCAACACTTAGCACAATCTGCGCCGCCAAGACTAGGAAAACGACAACGCCGAATGTGAAGGCCACGGCAAACTGCGTTCCAACCGTGGCAAACGCTTGTGCGAGCTTCGGCTTCGACTCCCCGAGGCACTCGCCGATTGCCAGAGCCACAAACATCCCGACCCCCTGCGGGACGAGCAGCGCGAAAGTATAAAAATTGCTCAGAATGACCTGTAGAAAAACGAAGTCTTTGCCCAACACAGCGGCGACAAAAATGAGCGAGTCATAGCGGAGCGACGCACACATCTGCACAACAGCGCTCGGCGCCGCCATCCGCAAGTACCGGTACAGAGCCTTGCTCGAATACACGTCGGGGTTCCCGACATCGTTCGCGAGGAAAATTTCACGCCAGTTGACTGCGAGTAGCTCAAAAGCCGACAAGCGCGGTGAATCGAGTAAAGAGTTCGCGTTTGCGCTCGAAGAGCCGCGTGAAAGACTTCGTCTCAAACTAGCACTTCTGACCGCTGCATCTGCAGCTCGTCTCCTTACTGTCGTTGTACTCTGCGAGGTATCGACATCGTCATTTCTAGGAATCTCAGCGAGTGTAAACACGGCTTTATGATCGGAGGGTCGTCTATCTAAGACACCATTTTCCAGTGGCGTCCCAGCACCAAACTCAACTGCAGTTACTCTGTCCGCGGCGTGCAGTGGCTCTCTGCTCCCGGACGAGACGCTCCCAGAAGCGACAGCGACATTCGGCCGCATCTTTTGCGCATCAAGCGCCACATCGTCTCTTTGCTGTGACGATCGACCTGACACATCTCTGAGTTGAGCTTTCGCCCTTGATGGGCTAGGATCCGAAAACCTGCCGATCCTCAACTCCGCAAGAGAGTCTCCGAAGGATACCATTTTTTCCTGGTCCTCTCCACCATCCACAATGTCTTCCAGTGTTTCCGCTTCGCTGGACGATAGCGCTTTTCGCTGCTGCTCGTCCTCCACGAACGAGCCGCCGAGCCGCAGAGCATCCGCGAGAAGAAGCGTCCGCTGCCGCTTAAATGGAGAACGCTCACGTGGCGGCTCTGCCTCTAGAAAGTCGTATTGCAACGTCCCACGGATGTATACTCGTGACGTCGACCCCCCACGCTGCATTGGAGGTGGCACACCTTCTCCTTCTGATCGCTGTGGTGGTGCTATGCTGCGTCTAGCGTCGTTGATGGCTCGCGCAGCAGACGACAAGGATGACGCACGTTCGTGTTGCTCTGCTCGCAGGCTGAATTCGCTGGAGGCGTCTTTATCGCCGGGTTGTTCGTCGCCGATAGGGCCAGAGTCAGGTATATCATTTTGTGCTTTAAGAGCCGCCTCCGCTTGCAACTGCTGGTGCTTTCGGAAAGCACGCATCAACTTGTATTGCAATGCCCGTGGTGCGCGCGCAGGTTTTGCTGCACTTGAAGCTCGCTCTTTCTCTTTGTCTGCATTTGCCACTTCTATCTTGCTTGTCTGCGGCTGATTAACAGCATCCCTCGTGTCTCGTGGCGCCGATTCCCCATGAGCTGCAACAAGCTCGCTTTGTTGAGATTCGATTTTTGTAGAAGACTGCGCACTGGAAGCTGTGAACGCAAACAGCCTCTGATTATTTGTGGGTGTAGTACGTCTTGGAGAAGGTCGCCCTTGAATTACAAGATTCAGATTGTCATTTTTCAACTCTTCTATTGGTGTATCAATGTCGTTTTTCTGTTGTCTACATGTCTACAAGTCCACCAACATTTATCTACGTGGCTTGAATCGGGGTCGTGGCCCGGACTAGCGATCATACTGGCCAAGTCTTCTCTGGTCTGGAGCCTAGACACGCTCCGGCTGGGCGCATGGCTGTTGGTTCCTACCGAGACGTTGTCTCGCGCATCGACCAGCTCTTCAGCAGTGGACTCCATGCGGTAAAGAACCCACGTGTACGCGAGAAATTGCATTGTCCAGGTGGTGCTATTCGCGCAGCCAAGACCGAAAATTCCCCACTTCAAAACGTCGCAATACAACAGGCACCACGAAATGTGCGTAAGTGACACCAGCACTAAAATGAAAGCAGAATCAGGAGGTTAGGTTTCGGTGGCAGTGCATGCGGTCAGAGCTTCACAGCGACTGCACCATACGAGGCAATAGTAAGACGATCGGTGGACCTATCGATTCACGGTATAACTCAGGTTGGATCTTCAAATGCACCGTGTCCTTCCGTGGAATAACAACAGAAGCAGGAGATCGAACTATTATATTCTAGAAGTAGGAGAAGAAAAGACCTTTTCAGATGGCCATATTTATATGAGTTATCGGCAAATCCTAGCTACTTGTCATCCCTCTAGCAGCTCGTAAGAAAAAGATGTCCCTAGAAGCTCCCTCTTCAAATTGAGATGGTTCTTCTTCTAATCATCATATAGTAACCACAAGAGAAAATCATTGCGATTACAATTTCACAATCCCTGCCATACACTGGACCGGCAAGAGCATTTTGATCTTCCCCCTAAAAGCTGCGAATCGATGTGCGGTTTGATGCAGTGCGAGAAAGAGCACGCCAAAAGCGCACCCACGCAAATACAGCGTCGCCTGGGCTGCCACGCGTTGGTCTTCCAGCAAGTTCCACAACAGCCACGGACCCCCGAGTAAGAATACCAGAAGAAGCAGCGGAAAGAGAAGGCACACGTCGATCACGTGCGCACGCGCTAGGTAGATGAGCGCAAAATGTTCACGGCCAGGTGTCTGATGCGAGTTCGGAACGAAAACGTCCAAGCCTTGATTGAAGCCCACTACTAACATGATTCCGAACGAGTTGAGTACTAACTGTGCCATCCCAACAGCATTCGTATGCACCTTTCGCTGGATATCATACTCAGCACTTTCCGCTCCTGTATTTTGATCTCGTCCATTATCAAGGAAAGTTGCATCATCTTCATCCAGTCGTTCAGACATGCCCGCGGCCTGAATCATCTTCCTATTCTCATCGCCTTGCCCTTCTCCACGGTCATTTCGATTCTCCCATACGAATGTTGATAGCACTATCGGCGCCGCATTTGCCTCAATTGACGTTGTTGCACCTTCAGTTTCATCGTTTTTGTTCGCCAATTTCGCGCTTCTCGGAGGAGGACGGGCACTTGTGTGGTAGTTGGTGACCATGTACATATTCACTGGATCGATCACGAACACCAACTGACATGAGACGACGAGAGGTAGTACGGACTTCGCAAAATACATGAAGGAGCGGAAGGTCAGGCGCTTTGGATTCTCCCGCAGTTCTTCGCAAAGCCGTCGCGAGACTCCCTCCAGTCCGCGCTCGTAGAGAGGCGCAGTAAAATCCATTCTATGTCGGTTGCGTGAGGAAGTGCGTCGCCTCTGTTTTGATGTTACAACTGCGTCGATGAAGATGCCTTCAGGAGCGCAAATCCGTGTTCTTGACAGCGAGAACGCATGTTCACTGCAGCAGGGATGCGCCGGCAAAGTTGCAGCAGCTGCAGGTACAGCCTACTGGCGACGGCTCTTTCTTCCCACAGATTCTTTTTACCAAATATCAGTAGGTACAAAAAACGAACGAAATTCACCGGATTGATTCTAATTTCAAAGGATGAATCACGTCTCTCCTCGGGAAGAAAACATTTTCCAATGAAGATACAAATCGTAGCCTATTTCGTTCTCTCACAATCAATCTCTGTTCAGCCGTACGTACACTGCAGAAGTTGGCACAAATCGCACGCTTACCCTCGATGATTTCTTCTCGAGTCCCTACTCTTACGAAAAGATGCTTGTTGTCATCTTCTCCTCAGATCAGCAGAAGACACGCCACAACGACCGGCTGTTCTGCGTCTACCCAGCATGGACAGCCAGCCAGTAGAGTTACACCTATCACCTCTTGGAGTGCCGGTTTTGCATCCAAAGCTGAAGAACCTAAGACAACTCCAAAATATGCCGCACAAGCACGGGGATACGAAGATGGAAAGAGGGATCGAACGTGCGAGTCATGCTTCTTCGAAGTAGAGGAAGTCAGCAAAAAGCAGCCAGGGTTCCTGTCTGCAAAATCAGTAAAAAGTTCATTCAATCATAGGTGGAGGCAGCTAGATGACGGTTTTTTAGCTACCTCAATCATAAAAAAAATGTTGAGCATCCACGATCTATTCCCTGTCCCACACCTTTACGTTCTTTGAGAAGTACATCCATCATCTACCTAATTCTCTTTCTTCCCGTTCACACCACCACCTATGTCCCCGGGCCCTTTGCCTCCCGGGTCTCGTTCGATGTTTCGCATGGCACTCAAAAAGGCTTTCATATCCGGTAGACCACCCTTACCGTCACCCATACCTCCAGTTCCCTTGCCTCCAAGCATGGAACTGGCCATTTCTGAATTGCTAGCCATCATATTCGCGAAGTCGGGATCATCCCACATCCCGGGATTCGCAAGGCCCGCGCCCATGGGGCTCGTGCCCAGGCGCCCTGGCAAGGAATTCAAGATTTGCGACATAAAGGACGACGACCGACCTAGAAAAAAGAATGAACCAAGAATAAATGACTCATCAATCATCTTTCCATGTAAAACACACAAACTTTTGAAAACCTTTATATTCTCACCACAGAGCAAACTTTGATCCATTGGTTTATGTTGTCATGGAACCCATAAACTGCTCAAAAATCTGAGTTACCTCCTCCTCCTCGGGCACCTCTGCTTGCACTGAGCGGATTCGGCCTACCCTTCGTCTTGCTCGTCATGTATGACGTCATCAGGTGCGCTACAATCGCAAAGAGTAATAGACCCCATATGATCGGAGGAAAATGAAGAGCCTCTGGAAGCACCTCCTTCAACCTGGTTTTATGTTCGATGTACGGAATGTTTTATTTAATAAGTAGTTTTTTACAACCAGCACGGGTTTTGCAATACTATTTCTATTGCTCTGCGTCTACGTCTTGTTCCAAGAGGAGCAGCCTTCGTTCTCATCTCATTTCGAACGGCGATAGCACTAGTGGCCATCGCTCCGCATCATCTTCATCTTCATGGCTATCTAAGGAAATACAGCGGCTCTTCCCATGCTCCTTTTGGCTTATTCTTCTTCTTCTTTTTCTTCTCTTCTTGACCCGCGGTGTCTTTTGAAGAGGAATCCTTCACGGCCTCGTCTTTTGCAGCTGCGCCAAAAATAGCGGTCTTTCCTAACTCAAAGTGCCGCAATGCGACTCCCGTCTTTTCTCCCGCTTCCGCCAGAGCGCCCCAAAAAACCATCTCGATCTGGTCAAAACTCAGGCCGTCAAAGACAGAGTCCACTAGCTCCTTGATGCTGCTTTCGGACAAATCTGTGTAATGCAATATTTGCATTGATTTCATTGGTGGAGCAGAATTATATAGTGCAATCAGTTCTAGTGGACAGACAGACAGAATTGACTAGTACTAAGTTAGTCTCCTCTACTTCCGGAAGACCAGTGACTATGTGAAACATAACGAGAGCGATTCCATTAATGGTTAGGGTTGAGTGCTTCATCAATGTGCCGAGTGCGTCAGAGATGAAGAAATGAAGGCACAGGATATTAGTGTTCGCAATAGAAGAAATGAGACAAACCTCCGAATCTTTTCGATGGCAAACGGTTCAGCGTGTGCTGCACGAGTCGATCTCGCTCTGCCGCACCCGGGCGTTCGATTTCAAAGCAGACTTCCTCGGAAAAATCTCCACACGACGCGCTTGTGGCACCGACCAGTGGAACGTCGGAGCATGCTGCGGAGCTGGCCGCAGCCCACAAGTCTGAGCCACCCTCACGCGGTAGCGACCAGTACACCCATGATGGACACTTTCCTGCGCTTTCCATGAGTGGCGTACACGTAGCACCACTGCAACGTGCTCCGTCTTTCGGACCATTACTTTTCAGATGCGACGTGAGCCAGCTCACCACTGCTTTTTCCTGCGTGCGCCCACCAGGACCCGACAGTAGCAGCCGCGGCCGACCAAATGACTGCGCGACAGCGGCATTGCCGTAATACTTATCCAGGATCTCTGATATGGCCGTTGGGACGAAAGCCCGATCCGCCTCCGTAACCGTGTCTGCCACAGCGCCGTATACAATAAGCGCGCATGCTGCTAACTTTGTTGACCAGCTTATGCGGAAAATATCTGAAAAGCTATCAGAGCTCCTCCACCTCCTGTGGGCAGTATGGTCTCCAGAGGAGCCCCATTTCGATGCTGGCATAGCCTTACAACTGCACTCAAGCGTGCACTCATGTGCCTACTTTTCTATTATACCGCTATTCTGATTCGTCGAGTCTGCTGGCACTGCAGATCAGTACCCCAGAAGGAAATCCTATGATGTTACATACGTGGAGAGGGAACAAAGAAAAGTTGTTTAAATATCAACTTCTGACAGGTATAATCTTGAACTCTAATATTAACTTGTGAATGTGTAAGTAGCCTAGAGCAACATTTGCTCACTTCGTCGCTCGATACCGAGAGCTTTTCCCTTGAAAAATCTTTTTCAGTGAGACATATCTACATACCATTTCAGTTTTCTTGACAGTTTTGTTCGTGTTGTTTCCCTTCTTTGTTCCCCAGTCCTCTGTAGCTACTCTCGCAGTCTCAAATTTCAGCGGCCATTGAAAAACACGCCCTGCTTCTCTAACAGAATCGATGAGGGTTCGGTAACTCTCCTTGTGAAACAAGAAGAACTTCTTTATGCTTTATTCTCATGGGGATTATGATACTTAAGATGAATCTTAGCGCGCGATGAATCAGGGACACAAATATTGTTTCTATAATGCCTTGCGGCTTTGTAGCATTAGATGCTAAAGTCTTACTTCTCTTACAACAGTATCGGCAAAGTCGTGCTCTTGGATTGGTGGGCTCTTTTTTCCACCTGGTGCAAGCCATCGCTTCACCTCCGCCCGCGAAAGACTAGTGAAGAGTAATCTACCGCGTCTCCATACTTGATACGTGACTGGACTCTCCTCAAGATCGTCTAGTTCGTCATCAAGGGAGTCCTGCGCCAAATACCGACCACTGGTACTCGTATCCTCCTCTAAAAAGATGTACCAAAGAGGCACATACATCGCAAATACCCAGAAGCCGAGAACTGTCATCTGATTATACATTGTGATCAGTCCCATCGGGTCAAGATAATCAGTACGCACCGGTTTGATTCTGTATTCTTGAACGACGAATCCAGCTACGCATGGACGAAACGAGAAGTCATGATACCGGACCTTCCATCAAAAAAAAAGATATCTATAATTAAAGTACAATCTCATAAATCTACAGATGCATAGCCAATGACCAGACTTACAGCCATTGGGCCGCTCCAGCAGCGAAATCGGGACGTCGCGATACCCGAACAGTAGACGTAGGTAGCGTAAATGCAGTAAAGCCATAAAATTCCAAGGGTGCCTCGGACAACAAACTTTTCTCGCCTGCCCCACCATCTGCATCCTCTATTGCGCCGCTGGAATACGAGACACCTAAAAAAGAAAGCCTAGGGAGCTTGTTGTAGTGACCCTCCACGGATCTGCTATTGCAAACGAATTCGAACTTACTAGAAAATAACTAAGGTGTAACTACGGCTACCTAGTAGTTCTATGAACATGTTTTACATCGTGCAACTATAACCAGGACTTCTGCGCATGATGGTATGAAAAAAGTACAGCTGTATCAAGAATGAACCAGCGACTACCCAAGTCCATCCGCGATAAGAAAGAGCAAGGCGCCTTTCCACACTGGCTCCCATGTCGTCGCTACTTCATCTACGAACTCCAAGCAGGCCTCCGCTACCACGTTTCGCGTGCTGTATGCGGGAAGAAGATAGCCAAGGAACAGCAGCGTGGCGAGCAGGATCCTCAGCACTGCCACTGGATGCTGGAGCCGCGACCATGGAAAGTCCGCTGTTGCGCCGTTCCCGACCACTCCCTCGTTTGATCGGGTCATAGCAGGCGGTACCGCTGTAGTACTAGGCACGCCCTGTGCACTGCCGATTACCACTGCTGCTGAACTCGACGACGATGAGCTTCCCCCTGATTGCATCATTCTCGTTGCACCCAATCGCACAGCAAAAATCTACGGCAGACCATGTCCATTGCACTTGTTACATTCCAGACCAAGTCGAGATCGACCAAGCAAGAGGCCGGAGTTCTCACGGGTACGCACAATATCAGCTCAATACAGCAAGGATGGAAAGCGTCAAGCAACAAAAAAACATTTTCACTTCAGTAAGATGACGTGCTCAGTACTCAAAATTGCGCGCCATGGCTTGAAATACTAGTAGTGTATAATTAAGGAAAACCATAAATCTAAAGAGTCAGATCAAGAAACACTTATTTTCTTCTCGAGACACAAGAAATCCCAAGCGTCGAATAACATTCAACCTTTATACATTATAGCAAGATTCTCGTACAACTTCGCTTCCAATGAATCAGGGAAGAGGCATCAAGGTTCACCACGAAATGGAAATATCAGACAATCTTCCTAAAGATCGGAATAGTAAAAGGCTTACTTATTACTATGAACAGACTCCTTGTCAAGTGTTGCGACCGATTATAACAGATACGCTGTGAAAATTGAGCAGGCGACTCTCATCATTACTGCGGTCTCTCCAGGGACTCGGAGATCTTCTTCGAAGACTTGTTGAACGGTCAGATCTCGGATAATCTTTTGCATGTCGCTATACCTACCACTTTACCGATAAAGGAATCGCGGTGTCATACTCACTCTCGCGAGTCTTCGCAAGTTGACCAGATTCAACCTCGCATCGGGCCTCTCGTTCAGTTCTCATTTTCCATTCAGTACAGTAGTAGGAGTAGTAGTAGTAAATAACCCATTCACAGGGTGCAATGTTTCATATGACGACTCAGACCCTCCTTCATTGCATCAAGCTTCGCGGCCACAATGTTTCTTGGTCCGATGCTAGCTTATCGAGATGAACATCCGGGTCTAACACCAAGGAAGTGTCCGCCAAGAGAAAACTCACCCCAGGAAGGGACATCGCGTCCGTGTATATGTAGTGCTTCAATTAAGTGAATGATAGCAAGTGTCAGTACATTTCTTTAGACGCCGAAGCTTCCCCGACTAAGACCCTGTGAGTTGGGAGGACGATGTTGTGCTGATTATATGAAGATTACGATGATGTTGTAGAAGCAGATGTAGTACCCACAAGTGGGAGCAACGATGAGGGGGAAATCTGAATTCCTCATCTCACGTCGTAAATATACAATGAATGACATGAAGGACCTCAGCTAATCGCAATCGCACGAGTCCAAAAATACATGTCGACAGACTTTGCGTTTGCGAAAGAATTTTTTCTCACCAAGTACGAGGTTATAACGTAAGTCTCCTAGGTGCAGCTGTAGGCATGTATGTCAAGCACTATTTCGTTTGGCCGTATCGAGCATCCTGGGGACCGGCAACATGGTGCAACTTTGTATGGCATTACTCGTGGAAGTAATTCATCCGGAGTCCGTATTGAAAAGTCTTCATGATTCTACTTTGGATCTACCAGTCTTCTGACGACTCGGAGACTGACAGGGATCGTTTTGGAAAATACTGAATTACAGGGTAGTGCATCGTTTATGGACCTTCAGGCTTGACACGCATAGCAACATTATCATTATCATTATGTTCGCGCGACCGCAAGATGTTGCGGATTAATCATCTTTAGTTGATCTCTCTGCGGAACGGGTCAGCTAAATTAGCGGCACTGAGTCCACATTTTGCTCTTACACGCACTGCACTCACACAAGACAGAGCTTCTTTCATTGTGATGAGGCCCCACCACTCTCTTGCAAAACTTTATACATACATAAAGACCTGCACAGGACGATTTATTATAATGAAGTGACTTAATACTAGATATCTTGCACATTATGGCTGTAGGATCCCATAGAAGCAGACTATAGTAACAAGCAACAAATACTTGTTGTCGTTCCCTGATAGAAATTCAAAAAACAACAGAACTGCATCTTCTTCGACTATAATCTTTATGTACCTATAATACAGCTTTTGAACCTCAGTAGCATCCTCGCACTCATGTGTTGTTGGCAGTTCTGTGACTCGTGGACGCTTTCCAAAACGTCGATACAAGGAGAGCAACTATGTTAGTAGCACAGCAAACCTTATAGCTAATGAATTAGACCAGCGAAACAAAGTAGCAGCTTTTTATTAGAAGGGACTCGCCAATAGTGTACGCCATTACTTCTAACGAACATCTAGAGCGCTTTCGTTGTGGGCGATGTCGTAACTCCCAAGCGGCTAGGTAAAATAAATAACCCATTTTTCTACACAATTTCTTGACAGTGTGGCAAATTATAGAGCGCATGCGCTATAACTTCGCAAAGAAAGCGATTGTGTAGGGAAGGACGCGGCTACAGAAGACATGGCTTTTGTGATTAACGAGGACCCCCACGATGCTCAAGCTGAGCTAACAGCTTGACTGAGCCAACGGCGGAGGGGATTGTTTGGAAAATCTAGCGTTCTGGAGGAGAGCAGGAACGAAGCTGAAAAACGAGAATAAGGAGTGGAGGAGTTGCGCTTCTGAAGATGCTAGAACTGAAGCGGCGCAGCGGCCAGTGTCGTTACCATTCGATACACCACACGACTCAAAAGGATTAGTAATAAAGTGTTAACTCTTATGATCTGATCTTTTTGACGAAATACCATTCAGATTTACATAAGTAGGAGGAGAAAGCTGCGTCGAAGAATACGGCGGATGCGCATGCGCAGTACTCTTCAGGTGAAGCATAATCGGGGACTTTGTTTGTAGTTATTCACAAGGTTGCGTCAACCCCTCAAGGCGACAAGTACGGATCATGACAATAAAAGAACTAGAGCTATACGTATACGCTACCTATGCAATATTGCATATAGAGAGCAGCTAACTTCGACGTCGTGACTTGATGAATTACAGAAGCGTGCGGAAATTGTGTCCAAGCACTTGATCAACAAATGCCAATTGATGTTGGCCCTCCCAGCAGTATTTCTCCTTCATCTTACTTAATGCCGACGAAACGTTGGAAAATTGAATAACGATACTGATACTGTTTAATGAAACATCGGTTTTGAAAACAAAGTAGTAGACAAGAACAAGAACACCTAAGCGTGGACCACGAGCGAAAGTTATCTCCACTAGAGAAAAAGAAATCGGTGGATCATGTCGAACAAGTAGAATAAGCGCCTGCCCCAAGCTGCTATATTTTCTTTTTGACTACTTGTCTACAAGTCCACCAACATTTTTTCATCCCGTAAACACTGGAGGGAGGCGGTGTGCCCGTTTTTGATTATAATACCGGATCCGAGGAGAACCAGCTCGATCTGCAGATCCCCGCCAGATGGGATTCCATACCTTCGTACTTATCGTATCAAGTCGATGCAATCTCATCCCCACGACATCTCAGACGGTCCTCCCATACTGCGAGCAAGATGAAACACCTTTTATCCAATCTTCGACATAAAAAAACCAGGAAAAAACAGGATGGCGCTTCACAACCCACAAACAGCATCCCAGTGTTCCAAAATGAGCGCCATCTTACGAAGGAGGACCGCGTCACTCTTAGCAACGATATCCATGGTCCTGTGCAGGGCGGCTTTTTCCGGGGCTCCCGCGAAGATTAGAGAGCTTTGCTTTTTGTAATCACATTTCACACAACAACTACGTCTACTTCTCGCGTCATCAACTTGTGATCTTACTTGCGCCTTTCATGGCCTCTTTTTCATTCGACATTCCTTTTGATGTTGAGCGAGTCTCTAGTACTAGATCTAGAAACCGCTGGAAGTGCTGAATCCAGTAGAGGACCTCCTAGCTTCACAATTTAGTCGAAAAGTGGTCAAGTAGTAAAAAAGCGCTGCAACGTGTGAAACAAATGCATGGAGGCCAATTCCTCGACGCAACTTCGACATATTGACTTTGATAGCGACGTGAATTATACTTCTATGGAGTAGTCGTGCCATAACGAGCAGGAAGAGGGAAGAAATGCGAACCCTTTCTGCATGTGCTGCGCTGCCCAGTGAACTAGAGGGGCACCAATCGCAACGCGAATAACCGTCAGGCCCAACTTTCCCATCCCTTGTTGCAATTGCACTGGCTGCGCGATGAAGCATTTGGAGCGGAGGATATCTTCAGCTGCTTCCACAACGTAGCTTCCGAATGGTCCCTGCAATTCCACGCCTAAGCTTGTGCTGCTCTTCTGCTCACCTTCAACACCGCCGTTGCACGTATTAGAGATTTGGACATAAAGCGAGGAAATGGTGAACGGCCATAGACGAGCAAGAAAATGCACTCCTTGTAATCGATTTTCATCTTAATAAATGCGAATGCAAGAAATTGATGCTTTCCTATAATGTATTACTCATCACGGAAGAACGTCACATGCAGGTACGTGTACAACTAGTTCAGTCATAATAAAAGATCATGACGCCATTACTTCACTACATTTTCAAACAGGAGAGTTAACGAATTACGTTTAGGAGTAGCCTTAACAACATTGTCGCTGGAAGTGTTTGTCCCATTGGCGAGGTGACCAAAGGCGAGCTGCTGTGGTTCTGCGATGTGAATCTTTTCTGACAAGTCCTGTGTCATAAGACGGTGCAGCTTTTTCAAGTCCTCCTGCCCGAGTCGCCGAGTTTTCGCGCTACCGTTCCCCTGCGACGTGGGAACGCGACAAACTAGACTCACAATCGTGTTGATCCCAAACATGCCCTGGTGTAAAAGTGGGGAGGTCTAGCACAACTTCACTAAAAATTTAGTTTTTATGGTACTGCCTACAAAACAACGCCTGTGACAACAGCTAGTCCATGGGAATCATTTGGCTTGCATGCTTAATGATGAGCTATCATTCCAAAATTGCTACAACAGTGTATTTACTTCTCCGCCTGCTATCGATGATTTGTAAGTACATAGCACTTACCGCAGTGAGCTCTCCAGACTCCGCCTGTTCCGTTTGGGAAACTAGAGGATTCGCAGTTACGGAGGAATAATCTCCGTCCCCGTCGTTCGCGCTGAGAAACGGGGAATCCATGCGCTGCAGGATGTCGTTTACATTGTCCACCCAGCGCAGCATGATGGCGTTGCGCACCCGCTCTGGGATGCTGTGGTACTTCCGAATTTCGTTCAAGGCCATCGTCCAACGCAGAACGAGACCCCAGTTCATTGCATTGCAGCGTCGGCCGATGCAAAAGCCCTGATTTGGGAGCTGCACTGCTGTCTTATCTTCACGTGCGGCACACACTCCCTCGGTGCTGGCAGTGGACGAGACAGAAGACGCCGACATAGTTCCTGCCGAGGAGTGATTTTCGACTGACTTCGGAGTATTGATTCGCTCGTGGATGTAGCGACGCATGTTCTTCAGGTCGTGCGACAAGAGAACGTCATCCATAAAGAGCGGAAAGTACTTCAAAAACGGCGCGCCGCCGAAGTCGCGGCCCCACACATCCTCGCACGCATCCAGTTCCTGGGCCAGCACAAGTGGCAGCAGCACGGCACCACTGAAAGGTGGCCCGCCGTAAAATTTCGATCCCGTCGTGAGAACTACAAACTTCGAATCCAAGAAAGTCCGTAGTGCACCTTCGCTCAGTCGTGCCTGAGGAGTCAAGATCATGATTTTTTTTCACAGTTCAGTGGCATCGACTTTGTTGAAGATGTAGTCTCTTCGTTCTTGCTTCGAGGAATTTTCTATCTTTTACTTACGATTAAAACCCAAACATTAACACAAGAACTGACGCAAAAAAAGAGGTCTTCTACCTGGCACGCGTCCACAACAGGAACGATTCTCTTCCCGTATGTCTGTGACAGCTCTTCCAGAACGGAAAGGGACGGAATCAAATGTCCAGTCTTACTCCCGGATACCAAATGGACAACCACAACTTGGAAGCTTTGCTCTGTAAGCGCTGCTTCAACGATTTTACGTACCTCATCGTCCATATCCTCACGACCTTTCAGTCCTCCACCTGGGTATTCAGTTGAATAAAGACAAGACTGTCCAGTCTGGAGTATTTCTACGAAGAAACGTGATCAATCTTTTGTTCCTGCTCCTGTCGCATTATATAGTATGTTCATAAACGGGAAAGTCGAAGAATGAATATTACCCTTGTTACGCATGACGACCTCCATAGCTTGCACTTGTGGGAAACCCTGTGGCAGGTTAAAAACCGCGTCGCCTGACTGTGGACCGGTGAATCCAGGTTTCGGCATGACGGAGCTGAAAAAGTGGCCAGTGGCAGCACCCGTTGTGCCGGAGCCTACCTCACCCGCGCCTGCGATGAGGGACAGGATACCGCTTCCCCAGGAGGCCTTCCGATCTTCTACGGTCGTGGTTGAAGCCGACGATACTTCGGGAGGACTGCTCCCAGCTTCATCCCCGTCGAACGCACCAGAGAAAATACGACACAGCGCCAGCAACAACGGGATGTACTCAGCATCGGAACCGCTCGGGCACAAGGTAATCGCGCATCCTGCATCCGGCAGTTGCCAGACTCGCCGAATCTCGTTCCGAACGCGGTCGACGGCCTCGATATACGGACGCCGCCCATCGCTGTGATTCTCGTTACCCGCGAACTGCAGTAACTCCGAAATCAGTTTTGACCTGAGGGAAACACAGAATGAAGCGAAACTCTAACTACCGGTTTGCACAAAGTGTTCTTGTACAAGGAAAAGCAAAGTAGATTAGCAGTGATAAGCGAGGTCGCAGTCTGCCTAATGAAGTGACCGCGAGGTGGAAAATCAGTCAAGCACACAAGATTTCTCAACCACTCAATCATTTACATTTTTTTCAGAGCTTCTTTTATCTACCCTTCGGCGAATGAGTAGTCCGTCGCGCAATTTGAGGTGCACGAGCTGCGATGAATGCCGCGAGGCTGAGGCAACGCCGGCGTGTTGTACTTATTGCACCCATCCTTGTTCAGAAGCAGACGGTCGTCGCCCCCAGACACCAGAAACTCTAAGGTTGTACTGCGAATCAGTTCGTTGGTGGCAGCAAGACTCTGTACTTTGCAGTGAGGCCGCCCGCTGCTGTTACTGAGTGCGTCAGTTTCGTCCAGCGCAATCTGTCCGCCAGAAGCACATCCTCGTATCTTCTGATGTTCTCCACTGACGCCATTTTTCGGGCTGCAATATGTAGTTCCCCCACCTCCATTTTTCTTAGCACCGCCGCCAGTTCTAGGGGTGGCTCCACCAATCTCGCTCTTCGTCCCGATCGAAGGCGACCTGGTACTCGCGTCGACCGCCTCCACGTCGCTCTGCGAGCCATCACCGGAGAAAGTGGCCTTCCAGCAAAACTCCCGGCGAAAGCCACCAGGGGCCTTCAGATAAGAGAAGTCAGCGCCCACGTCACTTCTCTGCGCAACTTGCTCAGGCGGGCACGACACAGAGCGCACGCGAGCTGCGCCGTGGGGGCCGTACGGTCCCGTTGATGAAATAATATCAGCATTGCTGAGTTCCCCTGTCATTTTCTAGAACTTCTACGAAAGTAAGAGGCTGAAGTGTTTTCAAAATTATGTATATTTCCTTCTAAAATCAGAAATAAAAACTAAAAAAAGTGGTACTTTGCTTTAATAGGACCAGACCACTTTTATCGTAGTTCTACTTCTTGCGTCCCGCGGTGCGACTAACAACTCAAGTGCCGCTCCTCTGATTCTACTTTTAACAGATTCTATTGCGCTTGATAAGCAACCCACTACCTCTGCATCGCTAGAAAAACGAGCAGCAACGCAGGTGAACGTGAATTCTTAGGCAACTGTAATAATTCCGATGATGTTGATCTACCAAGCATCCAAGAGCATTGGCGCTCCTACAAAATAGATGGCACATTAGACGACCGAATCACAACCTTGAAAAAGCATCAATAAATCCAAATCCAAAACATACCTCTAAATATGATAGAAAATCCACATTGACCAGAATCGAGTTCTTATAAAGGATGCATCGCATGGAGAAACTATCAACTTCAGTGATATACATCAATCTTAATGTAATCTTAAGTAGTGCTCAATGGGTAGTGAAGTTTAGGTGATGTCTGCGAATCATGAACAAACCACGAGAAAAAAAAGCTACAAAATCAAACAGTGACTGTGAGAAAAGAACAAAAAGTCGCTGTAACGTCTTGCCCAAATACGACTGCGTATCGCTACAGGAAAGAGGAATAGAAATTACGCGACCTCTGCACGGGATTCCAAATAAAAGGGGTTCCCGTTGAAACCTGCATTTTTTTCAAAAAGGAATCAAAGGTCCGAGATTTACGTGCTTCTGTGCCCCCACCCTCGCGGACCCGCGGGTGCGGTGCACGCGGGATTAGGATCATATCCACACAATTCGACTCGTCTCTTCTGTATCCGTGAGATGATATCTTCATATCCATCGCAGTGACAGAGGAAGAGAGATCCTGGTTGAACATGCCCGCCAGAGGATATCGACTCACAAACCGGGGCGTACTTAAGTGACCTCCGTAGTTCACACAGACTTGCTTGAACGAACAGACATGATTCTTATCTCCAAATAAACACTAGATACAAATCGGTCGCATCAGTCTCTTCCCGTAACACTCCCTCGTGTCCTCTTCATCACAGAGGGATCTATCTCACAACTTCTTGCATCACCAGAACCAAAGAGTGTCCTCACCTCTACTCGTTAATTCAGTTACCTTTATCTCAAAAGGTGTGGAACTCACGAACATTGCGATCTTCGTAGGAGGATGCGCGTCAGTCAAACAAAACTTGACATGATCTTTCGACAACTTCAAACTAAGTCATTCTGTTTCACTCACAAAAATCGCGCTCGAACGGAAGGACACGCCTGTCTCGTTCTCGTTTTTTCCTTCTCAGAACACAAAAATTATAGGTTCATCATTGAACGCGAGACATAACGTTTTCCTTCGTGCACACACCGTAGCATCGCCAACAATCTTCATCAAAGCGTGGAGAGAGATCAAAGCGAACGGTAGAAGAAGAAACGGCCAGCCGGAAAATGGAAAACTAAAACTCATTGATACTCGCTTCGCGATATACAAGAAGTTGATGTAACACGAAGTCAAATTCTATCCCCTTATGATATTGCTGCAGGCTGATTATTTACGACAGGCTTCAATGAATGGCATTACAACAATGTACCCCGTAAGTCGAAGTAAATCCTTTTCATCATCTGTTGTACCCGCATGTCAGCTCTTTTCTTCGTTCCACAACAGATCACATCATCGTTAGGATTAATCAATACGTGAATCACCCACGTGAATCATCCAATACGTGTTCCCCCCCCCTCATGGCTGGCTCGTCACAAGCAGGGACGCATAGCGTGTTCCAACACTAGATGAAATGCTACGCTAACTAATCGGCCCAACAAGAACATACAGCGTTGCTTCCGTTCAAGATACTTCTTACATGACTCTTTTACTTTGCATGCATGGTGTGTGACTCGCGTTGCCCTTGCCTCTATAATCTACTTGAATTATCCTTGGAGAAATGAAGATAATGACAAGAGAAAAGCAGCATGAGACCATAAAGAGAATGACGACGCAAGCTGAGAACTTTTTACGTACGACCAGTGGGATTCAACAAAGGTGCGCGGTATTTCACAGCATGTAGTTATCGCATGCCTAAATCTTTATGACATAGAATCCTACCCCTCAGCAACAGCTCCCCTCCTACTCCTCCAGTTTCTCTTTCCTCTTTGCTCTCCTGCGTTCCTTAGCTGCCTGTCGTTCCGCTTCCTCTTTCTCTTCTTCTTTCGTTAGAGCTAGTTTTTCGTCGTTTTGTCTGGAGTGAGTTCCTTCGAAGTTGTCCCAACCCCAGCTCTATACCAGGGTTTTCCACCACAACTTCAAGACGAGCAGATGACCAAAAACTACTAGACATAAAAGTCATCTCTAGCTTGCAGCAGCCTTCCGCAAGGAAATTTTTCGCGGTTTTCATCGGATTGCCGTAATGGTCACTCCACCACCACGGAACTTAGAAATCTCGATGACAATATTCGACTCACCTTCTCGAACTAAAAAAGTCAAGTAGCGGACGGAGAGAGTTAGTTTGTTTGTTTGTTTTGATGCGCTCCGGGCGACGCATACGATCCCGCCGGATTTCTTTGTGCTCTGTGTGTGTAGTGCTATGGTCGTCATTGCGATCGACTATGGTATGTCCGGTCGCCACAGTCCCCGCCAGCTGCGGCTTTTGTGGCATGCCGGGCGCGGTGTGCTGCAGGCGGCGGCGACTGCGCGTAGGTAGCGCCTGGCGGTGAGGCGCGGCCGGGTTCGGTTGACGTTTTTGCGGCCTGCGTGCTCTGTTCTTCGCGTTCTCGTTTTGTCTTCGTTCTTTTTGTCTTCGCGTGCTTCCTTTCTTGTCTCCTCCTTGCTCGTTCTTTGTTCGCCACCTCCTAGCTCGGCCCCCGTCCTATCGTAGCGGGCAGCGATGGGCTTACCACAGCGGCCGCTACTCGTTTCCCCTTGTCTTCTTAGTCTTAGTCTACAACAGGTTGTAGGAGAACTACTTCAGCAGAAGCTTCATACTTGTTATTCTTCAGGAAGAATGACATCGCTGTGATGCTACTATAGCTCAGGGATCATCATCCTCATCATTATCTGTTCAGAACGGCAATCAGTCGAGGAGTCGCAAAAAAATCTGTCTACATGTGACTCATTCATTCACCCATTCATTCGCCCTCACAAGTAGATCTGTGGCGACTCCACCACGTGGACCTTGTTTTTTCCAAGTTTTATCAACGCAAAAAAACAACAGAAAAGCTAGTGAAAGAAAGAAGGAGAAAGAGAAGCGAAGATAAACTTTAGCTATAAGTCAGACAACTCAGTGGAGGATGTGAAAAATTGAGAAAAAAATACTGGAGATGAGAGTTCATGTACCTAACTCCTGGTACCACAACGGTAAAAATAACTCAGTAGAATACCGTAGAATATAAAGATATTGATCAAGAAATACTTTTATCTATGATACAATTTAGAAGACGAAGATTAATTAATAGGCATGATACAAACAAACAAACAATAGGTTGCTTTTACAGCCTGGCGCAGTTTTGAGGAGCACAGGCCTTAACAGGCACCATCGGGAACACTGTAGAAGGCTTTGCGAGTCAGTAAGGAACCCACGCTTTTGGTTTGAGAGACAACATAAGCCGGGAGGCTCGCTGAGGCCTTACTCTTCCCCATCTTGTCCACCAACTTTGGGCCTTCTAGAGCTGGGGTGCTCTTTTCGTCGGTGCACAGCTCTTCGACCCAGCGACTCACTTTCCCCTCTTTCCACCAGAGCTTGCCTTCATTCTGCAATGCAGACCTGCTGCTCTGGTCGACGACCGGGGTGTGCCCCATCTTGATGGCACTGAACGCCAAGCCCGGAGTCTGTGAACATGGCACTTTCGTGCTTGTTCCTTCCGGGATCGGAGCCTCTCTCCTTTGGGAAGATAAAATCATTAATATTTGTTGGGGGTCGGACGGCATAACAACAAAAATGACGTAGAAGTGAACATTGATTCGCAAAAGAAACGGATTTTGGATTCTCATGCAGCTTCAGATGTATGTCAGTGCAGATGCACAGCGATAGCATCCTAGTCCAGATTTTGGATTCTGGAAGTTTCTGCACCTGATACACAGAGATCAGCCATTCCTCGCGCACTAGGAGTAAACGTTTGCAAGACTTCAGAAAAACGCTACTCTTGCTTCAACATATTCCAGCCACAAAGCAAAGTTATAAATCAAATAGAAACATTAAAAACGAAGGTCAATCCAAATTAAGCGTAGTACGTAACCCCTTGAACCGTCCCGCAGCATTTTTCCTGAATGTCGGAGATTCCTTTCACCAGCGCAGCCGAATTTTGCTTTCCAAAATCTCGATTTTTGTTCCACTTTATGCCAGTCAATGGTCCCAGTTTCAGTCTTCCCTGATTCAAGTAGTTTTCTGAAAACTCAGCACGACTAAGTAGACCCCCTACGGTAATAAGTAATCATTTTCATTATTTATACGAGGGTGTAGTTAATATTGTTCATTTTTCCAAGGATAGAATTTCAAAGTGATCAGTAAGGAAAGTATTGGTCAGAGAACTCAAAAGTGTCGTGACAGGAAAGATGCCGCTCCTGGCAAAAAGTTCTATAGTACTGTGGGCGCCGCAAGTCCGTGGCTCTTCTTCGCGCCACAAAGCCAGAAGTCAGCCTCTTCTGCCGTGGAGCTAAAATTCTTCCAGAGTTTTGAACACGTTTGCTGCATTTCCTTTTGAAAGTGGTAACTCTGCTCTTCTTGCTGGCTTTACGAGCAGAATCCCACAAACGGTGCATTAAAACGCGCATGCTGGCAGGGCTGGTCGGTGGTGTGATGTTTCAGGAGTTTTATCGAATTGATAGCAAGCAGTAGTATGTGATAGAAGCCTTGGCAACATTAATGGTCTGGCAAAAGGATATCGAAATGGAAGCACATGAGTAAATCGAGATGAGGACGCCAGAGACTCAACGTCACCGTGAAAGTAGCAAGTTAGATCAAAATCGCCGCCATAAGTGTATAATAAACAAGTAGAAGGTATCTTCATGATGATCAAGAAGAAATTATTGCATTATTTAAATTACTTTTCCTGCCACTTTTTCTGTCTTTCGCGAACTTCTCTTTGCAAGCGCTGGTCTGCGCTGGCAAAGTCGTCTCCGGTGAACCCACCCTTCTCTTTTGTCGCCACTTGTTTCGTCTTCGCTTTTGTCGCCACTTGTTTCGTCTTCGCCTTTGTCACCCTAAAAATTCAGACGAAGTAGGATATGATTTGTGAAGATTGGCATCTGCAATTTACTCAAAGTCAAAAATATCTATAATGTTGTACAAAACTAAGCACGGCTGTCTCTTGCGAAAGTTCATCTTCTTGAACCCGTTCTTGAGTTTGCTCATCATCCCAGGCTTAGGGCCTTTCAGCTTTTCTTCGGTCTCAGCTTCTGCCGGATTTTCTTCGGTCTCAGCTTCTGCCGGATTTTCTTCGGTGTCAGCTTCTGCCGTCTTTTCTTCGATGTTGTCAGCTTCTGCCGGCTTTTTTTCTTTACCGGTCCTTAGTTGTTTACCAGGATGCGCTTATCACAATAAATGAGGGAGGCACAGAACCGAAACGACATGATAATTGGTGACAGACAAGCGTTGGGAAGTTACTCAAACCAAAATTCAGTACGATGTGGTTATTGCGATGTGCAAGAAAAAAGTACAGCTTTTCGTGAGAGAGTTCATCTTCCTGTTGAGCCCACTCCGAAAGTTGCTGAACCTCGGTCGAGGTTCAAGGGCGCATCCATAATCAGCAAGGAAAAGCCAAGCCATCCACGATAAAGAGAATCGAGTTCGCACTTTCTGCGTTGCCCTTGCGAAAGTACACCAGGTGATGTTCGCGGCAAGGCAAGCCTGAATATCGAGAGAAGGACCTACTATACCAGCTTAGACTTTTGCCAACTGATGTAGATCAATGTTGTCTCTGAGTCGATTATGCAGTACCTTCCTGTCGGTCCTATTTTCCACTATTTTTCTCGAGGAGCAGCCTGCAGACACTGCGCCGTTGTTTCGAAGCTTGCGGCGTGCCATCTTTGGACATCTTTTTGTCGGTGATGCGCCTCCTTGGTGGGCCTCCCCGCGATCCTCACAGTGTTGTTTAGGATTACTCGATATGCACAAACGATGTAACTAAGTGACGGAGTGAAGCCGAAAAACGAAGCAAGTGTCTCTCAGAATCAACAGCGACGCAGAACAAGAACCACGTTCGCATATCCCACTGTGCTTGACCGCGGAACTCAATGAAGGCACAAAAGTCAGGTCAACAGCATGGGGTGAAACTACACATGATACATCCACTATTATGCACAGCTGTAATACACTACGAAACTCTGATATGCTCTAATGCACGTGCTCGAACACTGCAGCGACCCTGGTCAGTCTGATACTTCGCGAAACGCTAAAGTCAGAGAGCACTCACTAAAATCAGAGACCACGACATGCGCAATGGTTAAAAAGTACCTGAATGAATTGAATCTATTCGGCGAGCTGCCTAAGATTTCCCAGACGAGTTCTACCCGCTAGTCTAGCTTGTTGTTGGATTGTTAGTGGTCTGTCGATTGTTCCTGTTGTTCCTGATGGTGAACGAAGAGGCTCAGGCTTTTGCCTTGCTACTTGTTCCCAGAGGTTCCTGTTTTCTGCGTTACTTAGCTGCACCCCTCTCGCCCTGAGGTCAGCCTCCAGCTGCCTCTTGTAGGTTGCGCGCGGTGCTCCCCTGCCTCTCCTGTAGCCCTGCACCCGCTCCCCTTCTGCTGCTAAAGCGATCCGCGCCCATCTTGTCGCTGGGTATCGCACTAGGTGCCCGATGTATCTGAGTCGCCTCTGCTCGACTATGCTGCTGAGCTGTTCCTGCCCCGTCCTCTCCAGCAGGTCCGCCGTGCGGATGTGGTCGGCCTTCGTGGCTCCAATGCAGGAGCGTAGCTTCTTGCGCCACCATATGCCGAGTGCTGCCCCCGTCCTGTTTGTTAGTGCCCAGGTCTCGGATCCCCAGAGCGCTACCGGCAACACGAACACCCTCAAGATGCGTGTCTTTAGCTCCCTGCTAGTGTTCTTGTGCGCGAAGACCCTGGAGAGCTCCCCGCTTTTCTTCTGGGCCCGCTCTATCCTGCTGAGGATATCCGCTTCGTCGTCTCCGTCTTGGGTTAGTGTGCTGCCTAGGTAGGTGAAAGCGCGCACCCGCTCGACCTCGCCCTGCACCAGGGTGAGCCCGCCTGCCTCCGAGGCCCCCTCCGCCTGACCGCTGGGATCGAACTCTACGCACTTCGTCTTTGCCAGGTTGACCGTCAGACCGTGCTCTAACGTCGTGTCTACCAGCCCCTGCGTGGCTCCCCTTAGGCTCTCTCCGTCTTCTGCTAGCAGCGCGATGTCGTCAGCGTATAGCAGATGGCCTAGTCGGACTACTCCCACTGCGGTGCCCTCGTCCTTTTCTAGTAGTTTTGCTCTGTGCATCTTGGCTCCTTCTCCTAGATCAGTCCGCTCTAGGACGTAGCTTATACACATGCTGAAGATGAGGGGCGACAAGAGGCAGCCCTGCCTGGTGCCGGTGGTCGTGCTCCTTGAGTCACTGACTGCTGCCTCCCTGCGTACTGCGAAGGCGTGTCCCCTGTACAAGGCCCAGAAGTTCCTTCGTGGCTGCTGTGGTATGTGGTATGCCTCGAAGGCCCTGGCCACCAGTTTGCGCGGCACCGTGTCGAGCGCCTGCGTCAGGTCCACAAAGCAGACAGATGTGGCGCGCCCCACTGCTGCCCTTGCCTGGGTCGCTAGCTTTAGCGCCAGGGTGTTGTCTACCGCTCTCCTGTAGGGCCGACATCCTGCCTGTGCCTCAGGTAGTATTCTGTCTATTGGGCCAATAGGCCTGAGGTATAGCGCAGATGCGAAAATCTTTGCGAAGAAATTTAGTAGGGCTATGGGCCTCCGTCCTGCAGTGCTGCTGCGGTCTTTTCCTGGTTTTGGTAGCGCCACTATTAGTGAGTCAGCTTCGCCATCCTCTAGGGCCCCCTCTCGCCAATATTTGCGCACCTTCTCTCTCACTAGGCTCTTGCTCTGCGCGCTGAGCAGCTCGTAGCGCTCCGCCTTTAGTTGGTCCCTTCCTGCTGCCCTGCCGGTCTTGAGTCTTCTTATGGCTTCGTCGGCCTCCTTGTCCTCCAGCTCGCGCTCTTCTTCGCTCTCTCCTGTGCCGCTGTGCCGCCGTGTGCGGTTGTACTCCTGAGGCAGCTCTCGGGCTTCGCGCTCTGGTAGCTGTGGTGGCTCTTCTCCGGTGAAGACGGCCTCGAAGAAAGCTCGGCGAAGTTCCGCCTTGCCTCTGGCGGTGTAAGCGACCTCCCCTTCGTGTTCCAATGTCTCACTTATCTTCGAGCGGCTTCCGTCGTGTCCCTTGGCCTTCTTACCGCTAAGGGCTGATATCCTCGCTACTGCAGGCGCCTGCCCGCTTCTGGAGAAGTGCTCCTCTGCTTCTCTGCCCGCCCTCTCCGCAAAAGCGTTTTGGTCTCGCTTTTCGGTCCACTTCATCTGCTTGAGCAGCTGCTTGGCTTCTTCCTTGTTCCCGGGCCGTAGCTGCTCTGCCCTCTCTCGCCAGAGGTCCCGGAACTCTCTGCTTACCCAGGGCTTTTCGTCTCGTTCTTGGCCGTGGACTTCTTGTCCTGCTATGCGCGTCGCTTCCTGTATGCTTCTTCCGCCTGCTATGAGCCGGTCTACTGCTGCGCTGTATCTGTTAACCGACGCTGGCTCGGCCTGCGCGGGCTTGGGTAGATGTGCCTGTCTCTTCTTCTTCGGTTTCTTTCCATGCCAGCCGAATTCGTCTACCCGTAATTTGCTCTTTACCATGAGACGATCTGCGCCGATCTCGTGCCGCTCTACTACTCGCGTGTCCTCGGCGCTTTTTCTCATGTTATTGGAGTACACTATGTGGCCGATCTGCTGCCAGCCCCTTGCTCCGTGTCTTGTGTCTGGGTGCCTCCATGTTGCGTAGCCGTGCCGCCCGTGCTGGAACACCGACGCGGACGAGAGAGCCCCTGCCTCTAGCAAGAAGTGTCGGAAGGCGGTTGCGTTGCTGTTTGGCCTCTGGTTGGCCTCCCTTCCGTGAGGGCCCGTCACCTGTGTAGCGCCGATGGGTAGTCGTGCGCTGAAGTCTCCTACTATAGCGCACTTCACGACACCCCTGACTGCCCTCCCTAGCTCTGCGTAAACAAAGAGCCTCCGCCTTTGCTTCGTTTTTCGCGTCTGCTGTTGGCGCGTAGACACAGATGACTCGAAAGGGTCTCCCCTTCCCGACCCGTAAATCTAGTATGCATATCCTACCGCCCACCGCTCTCCAGTCTACCACTAGGCGCCAGATGCTCTGGCGGATCGCCCATGCTGCCCCTGCGTGCTTGCTGCTGCCTGCACTAAGCAGTCGCCATTCGCCGCAGTCGATCTCGCCTGTTTTCTTGATGTTCGTTTCTGTTAAGCCAGCAAGTAGGGCTCCCCCTGCTTCTAGGTGTAGCAAGATGCTTCTCCTCTTTGCTTCTGATGTAGCCTCGTCGTTAAAAAGTACATAATTGATTCCAAATGTCATCTGTATTCTACCTATATTCGCCAATCCATAATCGACTACAGGACACTAGGATAAATGTTTCAGGATACTAGGACGCCAAGGCTAGCGGGAGCTAAAAACTCTGCGGCACAGAATCTGGGGGCAATCAGGTGCGTTATTTACCAGGCAGGACGCAATTGCACTCAGTGTCGATACTCTGTTGCGGTGACTTCTTGCGAATGATGTCAAAATGACGCCAATTATCCCAATACGTACCGAAAGCCTCTCTTCTCGTGCTTGCTTGCTCTCATCTTGAACAGCCGAGGAGGTCCGGCTATAACCGACTAGGCCAATTGGATCAAGAGGCTTACTAGCTGCCGACTCTTAATAGACCGAGGCGCGCGCGTCGTCTGAACCAAAGCTGCGAACTGACTCTCCGCATTTGTCACAGCGGAGATCACGCAGAAGTATCTATTTGCCGTTTCAGCGCCTCAACGCTCTCCATCAGAATGCAATTAGCAGGCGCCGGGCAAAGCGCGATCACTCCCGAGGAAGAGCATGGCTCTCAACCTCGCCGTGACCGGAACCATCAGAGGCATTTTCTCGATTTTTGATCAGGAGTGTTGTAGTTGCTCTGTGTCGGACTAGGTCTTGCGTAGACGTGTGATAATTTTTCAAGTTTTCGTGTTTCCTTGTTGTTCAGTGAATCAGTTTACAGTCTAATCTCCCGGTTTCATATTCTAAAAGTAATTCCACATCAGCTGCACCTTGTTCGTGTCTTTTGTGTGGCCTGCATCAATGTGCATTTCGTAGGTCTTTGGTTTATGCGTTAGAAGATATGTTCGTGTTGTTAAGTCAAAAATCATCGATTATGTAGGCTGTGAATCTAATTATTTAGGAATGCGTATATTAACATTACTGGGTCAGTCGGTTCTTGACTTGCTATACTCTCAGTTATTCTGTGCTAATGGCGGTGGTTACTATCATATTTTCAAGCGGATATCTGTTCGAGAAAAATCACCTTCGGAGGCGATGGAAAGGACGTGACATTATGGCGTTCGACGACTCGGGTTGCGCCTCCGATTCCCTAGAGCCTCCTCTGTGACTTTGTGAAAATTATGTAATATCTATCTGGTGTTGATTAATCCAAGAAAGCGAACTTAGTTCTTTATCTGCTCCTGCGATTGAATTAGACCTCAATGACAAAAATCTTGATTTCTTCGTTCTACAAAATAAAAATATGCGGTACAAATATTCCGTCCTTGTATAAGGAGTAAACAGAAGGGCATAGCCTTCGATGTGCGAACGCGTAATACATGTATGGATCGTCTTAAGTGTGTACATATAATGATTGCATGAAGGGATTAACCCAGGAGCAATCAGAAGACCAGGGTTGAGCAATCAGAAGACCAGGGTTCATGATAAGAGAGTGTCTTACAATTGGGAGCGACTAATCATGATGCCGAAAAGTATGCAAAAATCAGAAGGACGACTATTATCTCACAAGGAGGATCACCCATGCAAAAACTTAAACATGAAGATAAACAAACTATTGCTAATTAATTACATTGTGGCACTTGTCGAAAAGCTACATTACATTATAGTGGCTCTGAGAGACTGATCCTCAAATATCCAAAGTATGATAGAAAATAAGTAAGTAATTGTAGTACAACGCCGTGCTACAACAAGACCGCCGAGGACGGTCCACATCTCCGGTAGACTATCTGACGAGATCTTCAGTATGAAGAACCCGCCGCCTCTTAGCAGCAACTGCTGCCTTCCTTCTTCGGTTCCAGAGCCTCCTCCTCCTGTTCCTCTCCTTCCTTCTCTGCCTTATCTGCTTTTTCAGTCGCCGCTTTCTCGCCGGCGGGCTCTCCGATGCTTTCTTGTTCCTGCTTTGTCTTTGCCACATCCGCATTTCCCATTGTTTCTTGTTCTTCCTTCCCGTTGGTGCTCCCTTTCTCTTTTTGCTCCTCTTCTTCAGGAGCCTCTTTCTCGCTGGCGGGCTTCCCGCCGTTGCTTTCTCGGTCCTGCTTTGCCTCTGCCTTAGCCGCTTTTCCCTTTGTTTCTTGCTCTTCCTTCCTGTCGGTGCTCCCTCCCTTTCTTTCCTCCAGTTTGCGCGCCTGCTCTCCCGCCCCCCCCGTTGGCAGTCAGGCTTTTTGCGTCCCCCGTCTTGAGCGATCCACCACTCGGTTAGAACTATCACAGTCGCATCCCTCAGAGCCCTCCAGCCTGTTTTTTCTGTGAAAAAATAACTACGGACAGCTCTCCTGGGGATGCAACTGCGGTGGTCGTAAGATAGTTCCCCTTGATTCGTGCTCTCCTCAGCCAGCTTTCCCACACTCGACACGCCAGCATCCGCGCCTCGCCTCTGCTCCTCTCCCGCGTTCCCCGTCTTGCCGCTTTCAAGAGTTCCGCTACTCGGTTAGAGCTCCCAGAGTCGCATCCCTCAGAGCACTCCCACCTCCTTTTTTCTGTGAAAAAATAACTACGGACAGCTCTCCTGGGGACGCGACTGCGGTAGCCGTAAGATGCTTCCTCTTGATTCGTCCTCTTCTCAGCCGGCTTATCCACACTCGACCCGCTAGCATCCGCCTCTCGCTTCAGCCCACGTTGTTGCTTTGCTGGACAGCACCTGCTGAAGTAAAGCGTCGCAGCTGGCATCGGGTCTCCGTACTGATCACTCCACCACCACTGTACTTAGAAAATCAACAAACGAATGATTCAGTATGCATTGGCAGTAGGGTTGAAATCGAAGGACAAGTCATTCAGTATGTAGTTATTTCTCAAGGCAAAATCATAAAAGAGCGAATCTGCCTGAGGTAAAATCATAAAATTGCCTGAGGTAATGGCTTAATTACGATGCCCGTCTTAACATGCATTCGCGGGTACGACAGGGACAACGCTGCCGCGCAAATATGTCTCCTGATCCTTGACTACGTGATCCGGAACCGAAATGGGCGTAGAGCTGATGAAGTCGCTGGGTGAGATGGCGTCACCGCATAGTTCGCGAATCCAGCGCTGCATTCTCTGCTCGTTGAAAATATCATTACCATGATAAGTCGCACGCGGATAGCTGTGGCGACTAACGTGCGAGTCATACCCCATCTCTGATGCTTCGGTTGCCAGCCTCGGAACGTCAGAGCACTTCACTGTTTTGGTCCGAGGAGGTTCCCTGTATGAGGAACCAAATTAATGAAACTCTGATGAAGTGAGGACTCTCCTACTAGTAACTAGGTTGGTTCTAGTCTCTGAAGTCGAAACGAGCCGGAGCCCGTCGAGCTAAGTATAACTTATATATCTTAAAAAATCCAAATTATAAATCTGAAACTAATAGCAGATACAACAGTGGTTTCTTCGGTACTTCATGTGCTGGATGCAATGGCTCTGTAGACAAGGATACATTTTGCCCGTGAAGGTTTAAACATGCTCCTCAACAAGGCAAAAAATGAATGATTCCAGCTCTACAAAAACGACTTAAAAGTAGGAGAAGACCGATCTGAGTAAGAGTAAGTAGGTACGTTGACATATCGACAACTGGAACATCACTGCAGCATTTTTTTTGAATCTCACTGATGACTGTTAGCAGAGCCAGCGTATTTTCCTTTTCCGCTGAATTGGTCCACTTTTCGCCAGTAAATGTTCCGAACGTCACTTCTGAAGGCTGTTCGAAATGGTTTGTGGAGAATTCAGCTTGGCTGACTAATGCAAATCTTATTGCAATAGCCCTTTCAGATAACATTTCATTTCGTAAAGAGTTCAGTTTCAAAACTGTCGCAAGAGGAAAACCCAAATGACTGACGAGGGTGAGGGAAAGTTGTTTGTGTCATAGGAAGTACTTTCGGCGACTCAGCAAGTCCCTGGCTCCGCTCCCCGCCACAGAGCCAGAAGTTAGCCTCTTCCACAGTGGGACTAAAACTATCCCAGATATTTTTACACTCTTTTTTCCCAGCACTCCAACTCTCCTTAGCAAGCCACTTCGTCTTATCAAACCATGGCTTTCGCTCAGTTATCGTTTCCCATAGTCTTTTCTTCCACGACGGTTCCCGCGCAGCCATCGTTTCAGAGGCCGCCCATACTTTGTCCAACAGTTTCTCTTTGCCAGTGGCGGGACTGATGTGATGTGGATTTTGTTTACGGTGTAAAAACCGTGCGGTAACTACGATTTCCTACACGACTAGGACTGCAACCGCGAAGCGAAGATTAAGAGGAATGCATCCGCTGCTCTGAGGAACCGCACACAAAAAAGATGGAAGAGCAGGAGATCGATTAAGAAGTCTTCTCCAGAAGGCACATGAGAAGTAGATTACCGAAGGAGAGATGCAATAAACGTCCATAATGGGATATTGGGATCAGGATCACATGTTGCTGCCTACAACAGAGTGTATTATACGGTATTACTTCATCTTCCACATGTAGTGTCGGCGTCGAACTTCCAGTTGCAATTTCTGTTCTGCTGCCTCGTGCGATTTCTTTGTATAAGTGCAGCAGTGATCCACAAGATTGTGATACGCAAGCGTTCTCTTCCTGTGATATCCCAAATCAGGAATTCCGAATCCTCGTGCAATCCGTACAAGATCTAACGAACTGGACTCGCCCTGAAAGAATGGTTTATTCCAACTTATCCAATGATGCTGTGAATGTAATCGACCAGAGTGCCAGCATGTGTCAACATAATAGAATTGTTCATGCTACGAGAGCCATTTTTTCGGGAAATTCATTATAACGAGGACTCAATGAGAATGAGTATCTTCTTCTCGGTTTAACCTCTGAGAGAATGATGACCACAATAGGTACCCAGATTAAGATTATCACCATTACGAAAACTAGAATAGCATTGGCAAAGGCTATTTAGGAGACAAATGACGTACCAAATTAGTTCTCTCCAGTCTCCAGATTCCATCGCGGTTTATTTTCTCCTCGGGGCCGCATATCTGCTTTAGCTCCTCATCAGTGAGACTATTGCAGCGCTCCCACGGTAGGGAGCAGCACCCCCAACGAGCGTTACTCGCATCCTCACCCTCATTGAATTCTTCCGACTTTGTCACAAACTGCTCCAAGAAATGAGATTTAAGAACTTTGAAAAATATCGATCATTATGTAACTTCAGTAGCTTGACAAGCTACTGAATGTCGTGTAATTTTCAGGGTGAGTACACCCCTGCTTTATTTCGAATCAACAAAAAACCTCATTTCAAACTATGGAAGAAGTCATACCTGTTCCCGTACTACATAATGACGTGGAAGCGCGAAAAAACAATTGAAAACTATATAGCATTTGTACCATGTGATATGAGAGACAAGCAAACCCTCGTAGAGATGTTAATCAGTACCTGACCCTCCAACACCGGCTGCGCCCCGCCGCAAACAGTGTTTTGGAGATACTTCTCCTCCAGCTTGGTGCATCTCATCGTTGTGCCCGCGGTTGTGTCTCGCGGCTTTAACCAGAGTTTTTTTACTTCCTCTTGATACCTGTCAATATGAATATTTGATAAAAGCAAGAATGACGAGCAGGTTTTTCTAAATGGTTTTGTTAACTGGGAAGACAGGTTTTTCTATGGTTTTCTCAAATGGGGGGATAGCACTTCCGTGACCGGCCTTTAGCATCTGCTTACTTCAGGGGGGAATGCCTTCAGCCTCGCCGATGCCTGATAGCATGAGAGAGGCAGATCCAATTTAGCTGTGCAGCGCTCCTAGACCAGCAGGTCCTATCTTTCTGTCTAGTTGCGAAGAGTCACTAAAAGTTGCAGAGCAGGCGACCAAATGTAGCACGAAGGGAATCCGGACACACACAATCGAAACACACACACAATCGACACACACACACACACACAATCGACACACACACCACACACACACACATGTTGTGCACACACACCACACACACACACATGTTGTGTACACACAATTGAGGCCGCGGACACTAGCAGACGATGAACACACAAAATCGAGGCCGCGGACGCTTGTGGGGACATATCACCAGAGGATGAACTTTTCGCCCGACGCTGTCCTCTGGCTTACGGCATTGCCCGATCAAACCCGCGCGCCGCAAAACACAGGCTTGCACATTGCGTCAGATCGCATCTCGTGTGTCGTTCTGTCACGTTTTCCGTGGTTTTTTCTGTCATGATTTCGGTGAGCATTAGTCAAGTATCAAGTGAAATAACGAAAATAAAAATACTTCTCAGGTTCGCAGCAGCCCACTTCGATTTTCAGCGTAGCCCTGAACTTCTCATCGGTGCGCGCGTTTTCCGCATTTTGTGTTGCTAACAGTTTTTCCAGCTCCTCCTGAAGTGTGTTTCGTTTGTGACCATTCAAAAAAGATTCCATGTGCTTGTAAGAGGAAAGTCTGATCCTCTTACGCAAGAGGTGAACGCTACGACGTCACCTTTTGGTTCCTGCGTATGCGGGGCAGCATCACTGTCAAAAAGACGGAACCAGAAATCTATTCATGTTAAACTGAAGTATGTATCGCTAAAATTCTTGTGCAATAATTCAAATTCGCCATAACTCATGACAAAAGCATTCGCTTACGTGTTGTCCAACAATCTACTCACGAGAAGTACCACTGCACCCTTCTCTTTCATAACCATTTGGCGCGACTTACATATATCGGTAAGCTCATCTTCGTGTTTGGCGCACCAATCAGTCTCAGAATAGCAGCACACTTTTCTAACATTCTCAGGATCTTTGATGTCTCCGTCGATCTGGAAGAATATCATTTGAGGCTGAGGGGTTGTAGTTCTCGAGAAAGACACCACCCAGTAATTCATAACAACATCTGTCACTTGATAGAATGTCTCTGACAATGCTGATCAGAAACCAAAGTAGTGGATGCTGAAAGGGTGGTTTTCTGTATCTTGTTATCCAACAATAGACGCTGGAGTTGAGACGAGACTTCGGCTACGTAGAGAAATAATGTCCACCTCACTACGTAAACATACCAGCATCAACATTCCATGAGAATGAGTGCAAGGCTGTTGTCAATGAATATAGCTCGTCACAGTTAGCTAATACCTCCTCATCTGTTGCAAAGTTCCATGGCCAATATGGATCTTCGCGTTCGACGAGATATTTATCTTCCATTTGTGCCGTTAACCGAACATAGTTACCATCAACTGGCTTTTTAGTTTTACGGGCTTTGACGTAATGAATGCCGCCGCAAATATCTGGAAGCCCTTCTCCCACGACATCGCTGCATTGCTTCTTGTTCTTCTCGGCGAACCTAAAAAAGAAAAAGTTCGACGTCGGGATTCATTTTTGTCATCCGACTATATCCATGATTATGTGGGACTCGTCAATAGATGCCGAGTTAAAGCAAAAAAACTCGAGCAGCGACACTCTTTAGAAAAGATAAGATTCAGAATAACGAAGGTCTATCGAATTGTCGTTGCGATCTCGATGAAGCACAACAAAATTGAGAAATGTACACTTCGCGGAGGCTCGTCGTCTGCTTCCGTTGGTAAGCGTAGCCGCAGTCGCACAGACACAGTAGCGCCAGCCACGGTAAAAAGATTCGAGTCCACATTTTTTGAACCGAATTTCAACTTGCAAGCCAGACTTTTGCTCCAATAACAATCCAACCGTCCTCGCCGTAGCAAACCTGAAGAACGTTGCGAAAGGCGCTAATGTGAAAAAGTATTCGTTTCTTGAATGCGAAAACTGCTTTTGTAGTCGTTCGGTTTTCAAATTCTGCGAAGCTCCGACGAAGATACCGGCGAAAAACATATAGATAATATAGCCAGGAGTCTAACAAGCATTCACGAACTCATCTGCCTGTATGTTGCTATGTTGTTCCACCTCCTAAAAGCTATTACCTGTCTGTCGGGGTTTTCGGGTATTCTTTTTGAAGGACTCGCAGACTTTGACCCGTTCGAAATTGGTCGTTCCGGAGGTTACGCGTGTTCTGCGGTGGGTGCACAAGATGATAGGTAATCCTTCCACTGTCTGCGAATTTCCCTTGATTGAATGACTCAACATGCGGACACGTCTACATGTAATTTCTTTACAAGATATGTGATCAGAAAAAGCGAATGCCGTGGTGTATCCATAAAAATCATTTTCCGAGATAAAACGAGTCGTGGTATTTCTTGGCGGACTGGAATATGAGATAGAATACGCTCGAAACAGGGAAAAATGCAAGATTTATTTACTCAGTCGATCACCTATGTATCTATGCAGTCGCTTGCTCTATTCGCTGAAGTTAGTATGTCATTCACTGAAAAGTAGTACGTAATTGAATCGCTGAGGTATGCCAACATTCAGTAAAAAATATGACAATGATTATAATTGTGTATTTCAACTATATTGTAATTTTATCACGGAGCAGCAGATACATCAAGCTAGTAGTTTGCAAAACGCATCAAACCATGCCTCGACGTGTCAGGTCAAAGCACATGTAAATAACAGCTACGAATGATTTGAGGAAAGAAGTTGCAAGCAGACACGCAATTAATGTTGAAATCCGATGGAAGGGCTTTCGTGGATGAGTATGTATGTACTTATATCTACTCCGTCAAATCACGTTTCTTCTCTAGTACCTTCTTGCTGGTGATTACAAATCTTGTACTAGACCATGATCGCTGATTCATTGCCTTCAAGAAAGGTTCGGCCATATCTCCGCAAAACATAGTGGAGGTGAAGTAATTACGTCAGTACAAGAATCTGAGACGAATGGTACACTCAGGACTCTAAGAAGGCTGGGCAATTTTAGAGTATTGTGCGGGACCAAGTCTGGACGCAAGAGAAGAAGAGATGTGCTCTTGTCAAACCGATTTAGTAGCCAGCGGCAAGTCCGATTTCATTTTACACGACCGAGTTCTCATAATAGTTCCGATGTCCTCCATGCTTTTTCGCACCGATCTTGCTCTCTGGCTCATGTGCCCGCTCAATATTCATCTCTCGCACACTAGCTTTTTATCTCGGCTAGGATCCAGTCGTAACTCAAGATTTACCGAAGATCTAGAGGGTCAATAGCCTGCACAGCGCAGTCGCGAGACCCATGGACTTCTGCGTCATCGATTTTGAATAGACCGAGAAAAAAAAGTTATCTGAACCAGCACTATCAATATGCTATCACTTCTCGCAGGAAACTTATTCCGTGCGCTAAGAGCAGAACCGCCTGGAAGGAAGCTCCTGCTTCTCCTCGATTTTTAGTTTATGAGCACTGCTATTGGCGGCAATCTATCGATTGCGAAATTTCTAGTGTTCTGCGAGTCTACGATCTACAATTAAAACAAGTATGTGACTTTCACGACGGCCCTCATCAATAGATTGCTCATATTTGTCGTGCAGCATCTACTTTAGAGGTAGTAGGATCCATTAACGCAGGGTCCCGCGAGGAGGGATTTGCTTTGCAAGGAGAGCCTGTAATCACCAACAGCCGCGAATGAGCATACGGAATGATGCATGTGTCACAAATCTTGAGAATCTGAAAGCCTTTTCGCAATCACAATTGGACTTTTCGCAATTCGCCTTTTCGCAGCGAATGTGGCACTATTGGACATCCCCCACACGCGCCGACGTTGCTGCCGCTGTTCGTTATCCCACGACTACATCAGCATGATAGATTGAATATGCGAATGCGCCAGCACTAGTACTCTGTGCGTACAGCTTCTACCACATCTAGCAGGCGTGAAGTGCTCCATGAATGATCGTTTGCTGTAGTACGAGAAGTTCAACAAGAGACAGAGTAAGTAGAGTGAAGTTGTTGATCTAGTCTGTGAGTCACCGGTGATGGAACAGCTGGGGCCGAATGCCTGCATCTTTCATGGTGGCTAAACCACAGACCCATTGCCGAAGCAGCCTCCCTGCTTGCTAGACCGCAAACCAGTGGTCCAGGTAGCCGTAGACTGTGTAGGAAACGCTCGTTGCTGGTGCAACCTTGAGCATATTCGCGAAAAAGCCACGGTAAAGACCACGCGCCCCACCCGTGCGCCAGATGTGTTGAAACACTCCCGGAATGGAGTCCGGAAGTCGCTGCATCGCAGTGTAGTGCTCTCCTCTTTCTTAGAGGCCATAATTCAAATTCAAGAACGCTCTACGCTTTGTCTCATAAATCAAAATCAAGCATTTTTTGTTGCACTTTATCTTTGACTCTACGCTGCTATAACGATGCTGCAAACTTACTATGGTTCACTTCTAATATAGTTCTTGCTTGAGAAAAATTGATTGTTATCGCCACAAAGTGTATCTTGCTTGAGGAATTTCTTCATTCCTGTTGGGAAAACTAAAATTGTCTCACAGCAAATAGAAATGTCATAGAGTAATTTTGGAGTGAATAATAGAGCTCCTTAACTTTCCACTCGCTCGGTGAAGATTTCTTTCAGACCGCTCATCTGCATCTTGGTTCGCACCAGATTTAGCGGGTAGGTCACCGTCATAGCCACAGTCGAGGAGATCATGCCACAGCCGAGCATCACTGGTATCGAGGGTTCCTCCCCAATCTCTTCGTACCGTAGCGAGTAGTATTCACGTAGCATTGAATTTACACCTAAATCGGTACCCGCATAAGGTATTATGCCCAGCTAATGAAGAATATAGTTTTTTTCCCACCCTCTACGGCAACACGCATCCTCGACTCTACTTTGGATTTGGAATCTAGAAAGTAGAACAGTGGCTGCCTCAAAAACTACACCTTTTTGAGTCTCAGAAGGTGCATCGAGCGACATCATGCTAAAGTTGTCCTGCTACATCTGGAAGCGTAGTTGCCGTCCTCTACCCATTTCTTTACATCTTCAAGAAGATGCTGCAGAGTTTTGAAGGATGCAAAAAACTATACAACCATAAAATGTGGAAGCTCCGAGGCCTTTGTACAACGCGCCGAACCCCTCTTGGAAAAAGACTTTACGCAAACCTGTGATGTCGGAATAGATTAATTACGACCAAGAACATCTAGATCTACGCGAATTGTCCTACCCCTACCTAGATATATTCGAGTGGTCAGTTTTCTGTTTATTTCCTCCGTCTGCCCGTCTTCTGAATTCCTTCCCTGGATTAGTGAGTTCCTAGAGCCCTTTTGTATTTTCCAAGCCGAGGAAATTGACTTTCCACCCGGGTGGTACATGGAAGTACATGGTCAGAAAATTGAGACAGCGGCACAAGATGAAACCTACATCAACATTCATCATCGTAGAACAATCTCAATTTGTTTTGGCTTATCTATTTCCATCAACATGAGTATGATATGAAATACACTAGTTCAGGACTTGGAGTTAGTTCTTGTACAATGAAAAACGCCGTTGTATTTTTTGGGCGGCGCCAGCGTGAGACGGGTTTTCGCGATTTCGAGTGGGTAGATCGTTGCTCCGGCAATGGCTCCCGCCGCGCCTCCTGCAAGAAAGCGCTCTCCCGTGCTAAGATTGTCTTTGTCATGTGCGATTCTTCCCTTCAAGTAGTCAAAGAGTGCGAACTTGAGGGCCGTTTCTGGTGCGATCTTAAGACAGTTAGCGCCGTTTCCGCGATAGAAGTCGTACAGCGTTCCGCTTTTTCGATAGGCTTAGAGTGCTTTCTATCAAGAGAGTTCCGCTTTTCGAGCAAGAGCTTCTTGAACTTAAGTCATCTTTGTTCCATTATATTTCCCATCTTTACAAAAAAGGGCGAAAAAAAAGATCCCATATTTAAACCCCGAAAAACCTTAATAGATGTTACTGAAAGTCTGCCAGAAGGAGCCGCTGTCGGGCGCGGCCTGCATAATCAGTTTCGCGCGCTCGATCGGCGCGGTCACCGTACGGGACGTTGCACCAGCCACCATGCCGCAGAGGAGCTTTCGCACATTAGTGCCCACCACAATCGATCTTCAAGAGCACGATCGTGGTACGTAAACCTTCAATTCTCTTCGCTGTATAATTACGTAGTAGATCTGAGACAAAAAATAAGCTTATGTCTGGAGCAGACATAAACAGGTAATTTTTCAACAAAATGGTTTTTAGAAAAGAGGCTTGTCCTCGAGATGCTTCTCAAGATGGATCAAATGGCGGAAGCCTTAAGGACCACTTGATCCAAGTTTCGAGCTGCGTCGGAAATAGCCAATTCTCTTGGCACCGTGCTTTCGGCTGCCGCATCGTCTCGGAACGCTTCGCGCTCGAAGTTGTCAAACACCGCCGCTGGGTTCACATCCGGCGCAAAGAAGCAACAATGCGCGAACTCCTTGAAGCTCCAAAAATGAAAAAAGAGGATCAACTCCTAGTGCTTGAGTGTCAGTATCTATAAGTGTACATGTGAAAGTAAAATTCTACTCTAATATCAAATCTCTTCGCTGGTATATTGTATTCTCGATCTACATTTTCAACGAAACTACTAGTTGTAGTCTATCTGGTATCAGATGATCAACATAAGGTGCCTGAAGATAATGCACCACACTTACTACGAAGTAAAACAGGCTACAGAAGGTTGCGGTGCTTTGCAGCGACGGCAATGAAGAAAATCTACTCCGCAACTAATCACAACCTAGAAATCCTTACGAGTTGCGCTAAAAAGAAGCTTGCCATTATCAACAACAGCAATAACAAAAAAGACCATCGACTTTGCTGCTGACTTTTAGCATACAGTAGACCGCCGTTCTGGCTCTCTGCAGTATGGAGGATCAATCGAATTTCGTCGTCGCTCGCTTTTTTTCCTACGAGGCGTAGCAGCTGCCGAAGGGTTTTCGACGAGATTTTTCCACCCGCCTCTCCGGAACTTTGTTCACCCACATTTCCCAGCAGCAAGAAGGAGTAACACTGTCTTAGTTCTGCTTCTCGCGAGTTGTAATACCGCTCAAACTCCGCAAACGTCACGCTTACCATCGGCGTCCTTTTTTTACCCGCGAAAGAAGACGCAGGTGGCTCTTTCTCTCTTTTGGCGGAAGCATGAGCTGCGACTTGCTGTTTTCCAGAAGAGTCGGGACTTTCCGAGGGGTCGGCCTCCGGTTCCCCCTCTGCAATCATGCTGCGAAGCCGCCGGGGCAGTCGCGGCACGTCTTCCTCTACAGAGGAACAATTGTGGTAGGCGAAGACTCGCTGCAAGAGAATTTCTCGAACGCGTTCGGATTTGCCCAACTTTTGCAAAGCGCGGTCCAACTCGCGTGCCGAAATCTCACCGTCCTCATTGCTGTCGATGGAGTCGAAGATCTCCCGGGGGGAAGGGAGTCCTTTGGCGGTGCGAATGACATCCAGGAAGGTCGCGATCTTGCTGTCGGTTCGTCCGGTCAACGATGGCGGCACACGCTGGTGTTGTTTCTCTCCTCCTCGCAGCGGATCACTATTATCCGCACTGCGCCGTGGCTGTCCCTCAGTACCCAAAGAGGGATCCTCACAAAAAACGCCGCCGAAGAAACGTCTTCTGCCTTTCTTGTCGGACCGTACATCGACACTGCGTTTTCTGCCAGCGGAGGAAGGCGCGCTGCCGCCTACCTGCTCACGCAAAGACGGAAATGCAAAGAACATGGGAATTTGTCTTCATTCAAGAACTATCTTTGATCAGTAATATGGAAATGAAATCTTATTTACCGCAGAGTTCTTGCCGACAATGGCTGGGGCCGCACATCACCGCGATAGATCAATTAATTTTAATATACAGAACCGCTCCCCTTGAATTACGATAAACAACTACCAAGAACGCCGCTTTCTTTACAAATGAAGACAGTGAGCCAGTGTCGCGTGGAAGCAGACATCTTACAAGAAAGTCTTTTCTCTTTTTTTGCATTGCGTTTCTTTGCAGTTGCGAATATTGAAATAGTTAGATACTTACGAATATCAAAAAGCTACGTCTGGACTGGTTGCAGGCAAAAATCTACCACCTGCATCGCCTTACAAGCTAGAAGGCGACGTCAAATCATTTTTCCAACACCGACAGGAGAACCTTGATCCAGGAATGCTCTTATTCGAGCCACTTCTTTTTCTAGAAAGGAACTTTTCTGCAAAGTGCTCTAGGACGAGGCGTGATCTTCTGGTAGTATCCAACTCCATATGATTCGTCCACACGTCTGGGAGCGCAGTTTCCTCCTGTGTACTAATCTCCTTCAACTACTAGTCGTATGCAGTGAGTGTGGCAATCAGCAACCTAAGTGGTGTGCATTGTATGTAAGATGAAACAAGTCTTAGCGTGTCGCAGACAACAAAAACATAATGAAAAATTGGAAATACAGTTGATATCATCCTCCACGAAATCCCTGCAGCGCTGCTTCACTCAAAAGATATCACAGATAAAATGTTTGCACGATCGAATTCAAACTTTCCACGCTCCATAAGAATCATTAGCCAACGAGTCCTGATATAGTGTGCGTTTGCGTTTGAATAGTCCATACGGAAGGCATGGCTTTACATGAATCTATGTTTTTGTTTTCTGTGAAGATTCTAAGGAAATTATGCATAATGTGTTTTGCGAGTGTTCCCGTGGGCGTGTTGCGAAGATGAGGCCGCCGCTAAAATCGAAGGGAAAATATCTTCATCTCGTCGCGTCGCAAAGCAAGCTGCCTGAACTCAGAAAGTCAAGAAGGCAGTACTCGCAGTTGAATAAGTTATCTGTTCTAGTAATGTACTACTTCCGTTTCTGATGCGTACCAAAAATGCCGGCCCTCCTAATTGTGTCGCGAAAAAAAGACCTTGTCCTCCTCAGCCTGCCGCAGCTGACAGAGTTCTTATCGAATGCCTGATGCCTTTTTGTCCTTTCGCGCTATGGAGCGACTGCCGCCAGCAGCTGGGTCGCAGCGTTACGTCGCAATCAGCTCCCGTTGTCGGCAGTGAGTGAGCAAAGGCCCGCTGCCACGTCTCCTCGACATCGTTGTCTTCGTCTACCAGCTGCGGCGGGTGCCGGATGTCGTTGCTGTTGGCATCTTCATCGAGGCAGCGATGCGGATGTTCCACGACGAAGCGCGTCGCCGTGACCTGAGTGACAGTGTATTCAAAGCGGAGGAGCTCGGGTTCTGCGGACGCAGCTCCCACAGGTGGTGGAGTTTTTTGAGTAGTAGTAGTGGTTGAGTGAGCGGAAGAACTTGCTGACGGCACGCGCGATCCTGCAAGAGTCCATGACCAAATGCTACGGCCATCACGCGTTTGGCTGCGGACGCCTCCTGGAATCCAGCCTGTGACTAGCAGCTGCGACAGCAGAGTCGGAAGCGCACTCGAGAGAGTTCCGCCTGCCTCTCCTGCAGTTGCCTCTTCATCTTCACCTCCACGTTCTTCAACCAGATATAGCGCTCCATCCAAATGCTCCACGGTTTCTCGGTAAGGGGCATCTCCTGTCCAGTAAGGGACGTTTCCGCCAGCGATGAACTCACTGTCGTACAAGGCGTATTCGGGATTGCTAGTCGCGACGGGCGCGTAGTGGTCAAAGTAGAAGAATCGGAGATGGCGCAGCGGGAGAGATGAGGATGGCAAGTCTCTGTTTCCGACGGCATAATTGCGACTCACCACGTCACCCCCATCGACGCCGATGGACGAGGATGATCGCGTTGCTGGATCCTTCGTTCGAGCACCTGCGCCAGCCCCAACTTCTGTGGTAGAGGTGCGAGCGTTGCTCTGCTTTGCCTCTTGGTGTGATACAGGCGGGAACTTGCTGTTTAATTGCTGCGCGCGAGCCTGGGGTGAGCGCTCGAAGTAGCGCCCGGCCGGCGGCGGCGCAGACTCTGCGAGCATGTCAACTGCGTCGGACGGCGAGACCTCTCTCAGAAGAGCTGGATCCAGAGAATTGGAATCCCGGCTTGCCGGTCGAGGACTCCAGCCCTGCGCTTGAAGGGATAGTGCCTGGGGATCGGAAGAGGCGAGTGCATGATCCTGAAAACCGATATTTTTCCGCCTATCAACGTCAACACGCGGGGAAGAGCGGGCAGCGACATTACTCGTGACACCGTCGTCGCTTCCCGGATCCTCGTCGCCAATGAATCCATCCCTATGCTTCTCCGCGACGTAGCTGGGCGACACCAAATGCTTTGGGCCGTTGATCTTGCGCCACACGCGCTTGATGCAGACGAACTGAACTGCAGGCTGCGTCCCTTTTCGGTCGCTCAGATCATCGCCCATCCCCGCAGCCTCTGCAAGCAGCTGCTCCGCGGCGTCCAGGTCTGCTTGCCCGTCGTCTCCAAGGAAGACGACTCGGCCCTGCAGCTCCGGCAAAAGTTGCAGGTATTGCCGAAATGTCTCCACTTTGCGGTTACCCACCGCCGAGACCGTTCGGGGACTCGGCTCGGTCGCGCTCTTCGCGTAGGCGTGCAGGGAGCGTGCGTTGGAAGCCAGGCCTCGCAGGAGTCGGCGTTCGCCTGGTAGGATGAGGACGGGCCCCATTCCATCTTTTGCTTCGTGAAAAACGCGTACTGGGGGATACTTGCGTGAAACAAGTTTGTTGAAGGCGAGACGGGACCCCGTACGGAGGTTCACCAATCCGCCAAGCGAGCGTGCCTCACCAGGACGCGCCGTGAGCAGTCCTGGATACCATCGCGCGGCCTCGACGTACTCCGGCGCATTCGATACCCGCACTGAAGCCGGGACGAGGTCGGCAAAGCCCTTGTTTGGATGCGCGGAACCGACCCGAAGCGCGGAGTGGATCGCGGTATTGACATTCAGAAACGCGTAAACGAGCGCCAAGCCTGGATACACTGCCCCGTGCGAGAGTTTGTCTCCGTGATCACGCGTAGGATTCAAGGACGCGTCCGTGCCAGCAACCCCGCGCGCCTCCCCGTTGCTGCACAGCAAAGTATCATCCACGTCCGAAAGCGTTGCGTACTTCGGGAGGTAGTATCGTGGCAAGTGCTGCTTCGGCCAGTCCGACGGAAAACCACTCTGAGCTGGGTTAGCGCGCCACCGCCGCAAGAGAGACGTCGAGCTGGAGGGACGTTCTCGCAGATCGTATCTTTTCTGTATTGTTACCGCCGATTCCATACTTCTTGAGCTCCCTATCCCTGCCGCGCTCTTCGTCGGTTTTCCTGCGGTCGAATCCAAAGCCGCGCTAGATTCCTCCGGAGCTTGGCCTTTCGAAGTATAGCCACGCGTCCCGTCAGGTTCGGCGCTCACTTTACTCACTAGACTTTGCTTCGACCGTGTCAGCTTCTCTGCAGCTTGGTGCAGCGCACCGGAGAGGGTGCTCGCAAGACTTGAAGATTGCCGGAGCCTGGGCGCGGAAGCGCAGAGATCCAGGTCGTAGCAGGTTTCCGTCGCCCTCTCCGCGATTGTGTTGAGAACGCGCTGCTGCTCTGTTACAGAAAATTCCCCTTCGAAGACTGCGGTGCGCAGGTCTCGAGCCGGCCGGCCGCGCTCCGTGAGGACACTTTCGCTGAAGCCACCGACCTCAGGATCCGCCAACAGCGCATTGCGGAGAACGAAACTGCTACGAACGTCGAGAACGCGCAATCGTGCGATGAGTGATGCCGCAGCGAATGGATACGTCTTGGTGCGTCGCAGCAATCCCAAGTCGCGGTCCGCCAGCGCTATTTCATCCGCCAATTCCGCCCAGCCGAACCTTGCAAGTACGCGGGCGGCCAGAGGGTGCGAAGGCTGTCCACGGTGCGGCGCCTTCGTTTCTATAGGAGCGTCGAGCGCGCGGGCGGGGATGGTGCCTCGGGATTTGCGTTTGCCGCGCGTGAACCAAGATCCACACATGCGTCGATGGGCGCGCTGTTCGCCCCTTGTCGTAGGAGTATCTTCCCCCGCATTTGTCTCCGCTGGCTGTCCGGTGGAATAGTCGGTAGCGAGATCTCTCTGTGGATGACCATCGGAGCACCCGTAGCGAAGGCTAGCGGCCACAGGGGCGAGTGCACTTGCGCACGCCGTGGCGAGGCGTTCGACCGTCGGCAGACAAAAGGCATCGGCACGCCCGTTTGCAACGTCGTGGCGCCGTCTATTTTGTAACCTATCCACCGACGCGGTAGCGGAAATGCTAAGGGGACGCTCATGCGGTGCCGCTAGCCTGCCGCCGGATACCGCTTGAAGAAGCGCCACGCATTCGAGGCTCAGCCGCAAAACCGGTAAGAACCGGTGCGGCGGCAACACTGATAAAAACTGCATTGTTGAAAGCCGCGCGCTTTTCACTTGCCGATAGCGGATGCTGGGATGTGATTTCCATGCCGGAGAGGAGTATCAAAATATGTACTTATCATGCGCGTGGTAAGCGCTGTGCACTCGGAATTGCGATACGCAAAACACAACGACCCAATTTGAAAGTCGGTATTTCAGTCTGCGAACCCTATCGCGCTGAGATGGAAACCACGCAGCGACACGGAAGGGTCTTCCCTTGTACACGTGACGCTACCAAAAACGTGAAGCTTCCACAATAATGTTAAGGAACCGAGGAAGGCCAAAGACATGATATTTCATTAAACAGAGGAACTCGCAGAGCCTGAGCTTCACCTTGTAACACAGGACGAACAGAAGGACACATGTGAAGCTTCCACAATAAAACTTGGCATCCACTATCCGACACACCACGCGGAGAAGCCCTTTACGCGTACGCGGCCGATGGTCGTTTTTAGTTAGCGGCCCTGCCTCACGCCCAAAGGGCGAGCCTCGGGACGATTCCGTTCCCGACGCGGCAAGCCCTTACCGATTGGCCAGCGGACGGGGACGGGCCCGGGAAGCGGGGCAGGGGGGCGCTTCGGTTAGGGGCTACGCCGCCCGCTATAGCGGCCCACGGGGAAATAAGTCGATCTTCTTCGCTCCCGTTTGGCTTTTCGCTGCAGGGCATGGCGAAAAGGGTGGCTTTTTGGCGACTTTGCGGGAAGAACTCCCAGAAAGCCGAGGCTGCTTTTTGCTGATGTATCGCTGCCGCAACCAGCGCGAAGGGGAAAAGCGGCCACGTGTGGGCCGTCGACTTATTGCCAGCCGGGATCCCAGCGGAGGCCCACTAAGTGGCCAAGCTTGGAGCATGAAGCCCGCAACCGCGGCCGCGGAATCTGAGGGGCCCTCGGTTGGCTCCCCGCGGGTTTCCCTGTTGCCTTTGCCGGAGCGATAGGGCCGGGAATCCAGTGGGGGTTTTGGCCTATAAAACAGAACCCCCGCGCACTTTTCCGCGGGCTCCTTTAAGGGCGGCGCCGCCCTCTATAACGGCCTACGGGAAAGCCTATGGGGTTTTCTTTTGCCCCCACTTGGTTCCCAGCCCTTCCGCCTCTGCAAAGGGAGCCGCGGCATCTCGGGGGCCTCCTGTGGGGTCTCCGCTGGGCTCCCTGTAAAGGTAACCGGGAGGCCTATGGCTGCAGGGAGAAAGTGGGTGAGAAAGTGGGTGAGAAAGTAGGCGGGCAAGTGGACGCAGGGCCGCGGTCGCCCTTCATAGAGGCCGACGGGACCAAAAGGCGCGGGTCTTCAGGCCGGAGCTGAAAAAGCCCCGACCGAGTCAGGTACGAGGGCGCCCGCTATGCAGTCCCACGGCAAACCTTTGCGGCGAAGGCGCTGGCCCTTTGTGAGTCTGAGGCCCCCAGTGTTTACCAAAGCCATGGACTTCCAAACCCTAAAAGTAGGAGACTCGTGAGAAGAGCCACCAGCTTTGTGGCCATATGTTCGCCCTCTCTTTAGTCTACTCTCCTGCAAGTCTGACACTATCAGCTGCCAGCTGCTTCAAATCCCCTCGAACATCGTCCGCGGACCCGTTTAGGAACATCCCCGTCTCGAAAGCAAGCGCCTTTATTTTTTTGCCTGGTCCATCGATTGCATTAAATTTTTTGAAAAATAAAATTTGTGGCCACCGGTTCCCTCCCGTGTATTTGTGTGCGCTGGGGAGGTATTTAGCTAACAGACCCCCGCCCGGCGTTCAAAAATTGGAAGCGGGTAAGCCTTGCGGCCTACCAATATCAGACCAGAAGCAGGCCGAGCCCAAAACGGACCAAACTAGAAAGCTTCGCGACATTGAGAGGACCCCGCGGGCGTCTGCTCTAACATCAGAACCGCGACGCCGCACAGCGTCGGCGCCCGCTAAGTGTCTAGATTCCTCCACGGTCTAGATTTAGCAATCTGTCGGCGAGTGATTCTAATAGTTACGCTTTAGCCACGTGGTGAGGAATGCATCCCCGCGCAAGGCTTCGGCGGCGGCCTCTTGCGAGCCTGCCGGAGGCTTTGCGAGGCGGCTCCCGCGGGCTCTGCCCCAGCCTCCCAGGCTTTCCGAGAAGCTTGGAGAAGACTCACCCAGGGGCCCCGACCGGGCTGCCGCAAAGGTCTCGGGGCGGGTCGAGAAGCAGCCCGGCGCCCGTTATGGTTTTCTCTATGTTCTTGCGGCAGTTTGGGGCCGTCTCTAAGTGTCTCCAAAATGACAGGCGGGCATGTCTCAGATTGGTCAAATTCGCACAATTTCGACCCCTCACCGACAAGACCCCGCAGCGGCTTCATTTCGTTGGGGGGATGGATCTGCTTCCCCTGATGAACGAAACCAGAAGCGACCTCGGCCACGTGTGGACCCTAGTCGCGAGGGTTTCCCGACTCCGAGGGGGCTCCTCGTCTTGAAGCAGTCCAGAGCCCGGCCGGAGCTTTCTGAAAGACAAAGACGGGGAGCGCACTGCACTCGCCTCATACCCCACCGCCAGCCACCGCGCGGCGCCCTCGAATCTCAGGAGCGAACCAAGCACGAAGAAGACCGAGCGGGACACACTGCGCACCCAGTGCAGCCCGCCACCAGCCACCGCAGCGCGCCCTCGAATCTCCTAGAAGAGAGGAGAACGAGAGGGAAACAAAAGAGAAGACAAAGGCAACACAGGCGGGACCGTGTCGACCGGGTCACCACTGGAGAACCACGCGCAGCCAAAGCCGCAGCACCGTCACGCCGCCCCGCCCTTTGCCTTTCTTGTTTCTCTCCCCGCTTCTCGCTCCTCGAGATTCGAGGGCGCGCCGCGGTCGCTACTGGCTAAGCCCCAAGCCTGGCCCGGGTTTCGAGCATGCTGCGAGTTTCGGCCCTGCCTCGAGCCCCGGGCGTGCCTAGGACCCACCTGTCTGGTTTGAGGTCGGGCGGGCTTCCGGCGGGCGGGTTTGGTCGGCTTGCGCATGGTTTTTGAATGTGTTCGGTTCGCGTTTCCGTTTGGCGTGGGTTTGGTTCGGGTTTGGCTGGGGTTTGGGTTTGCGTTTGCGCGTGGGCGTGGTTTGGGTTTGGTTTGGGTTTGGTTTGAGTTTGGTTTGAGTTTGGTTTGAGTTTGGCCCGAGCTTTGTTTGGGTTTCGGCCCGGTTTGCGTTTGGTTCTGGTTCGGCCCGGGGTTGGCTGGCGTTTGGTCTGTGGTTGGCCTGCGTTTGGGTTCAGTTTGGCTCGCGTTGGGTTTAAGTTTCGCTCGCGTTTGGTTTCAATTTGGTCACGGTTTGGGCCTCGCTCGGTTTCTTTGGCTTGGGTTTGGCTTAAATGGATTACCTAAAGCCATCAGAAAGCAGCGCGCCCCTGCTCATCTTTCAGCCTGGTCCTTCTCGTCTTCCACTTTTTTCGTGGTGGTGACTGGAAGAAAGTGGGCACACGCTGGCAACTTCTGGACCATTTTCCAGCTTGGGCCTTCAGGGCGCTGATTCTTTTACCTGCGGCGCCGAGGGAGTTTCTTGCTCGATTTAGCAACTTCATCGCAGTCCGTAGCCTCTGACTTTTTCCAGAGGTGCATAGGATTTTTTGCACGATTTGGCATTTTGTGGAGCATTTTGCAACTTGAAACAGGTAGACTCTGAAACTTTTCCGGTACTGACTGGATGGAAAAGCTTGGGGAATTTGATAGATTTGCGCCCTGGCTCGCCCAAGCTTCTAGCACAAGTAGACTCGCCCGCTTGTCCGTGGCTTCGCGATTTTTGCCCATTTTTTAACTTTTTTCGTTTGCCAGCACTTTTGTCAGATTCTACAGCGTCTCGCTTTCGTTTTAGTAAAAGTCTACAGCGTCTCGAAACTGATTGGGCCACTTCTGACACATGAAGGAGGCAAGCTCTTGAAAAAAAAACCACTGCCACGCCTGCCACGCAAAAAAAAAAAGCGGGGAAGACGAAACATGAGCACAGCGATTCTCTTCGCCGTGCTTTCACCTCGGAACTTAGAAAATTAGGGGGGACCACGCTGCCCCCCTTTGTTTTGTCTCACTTTTTTGTTTCTTCTTGGAGTACGGCGAGAAATCTATAAGCTTACCCTTGCCCGGCGTTTAAAATTCTGGCCCTGCATAAGGAAAACCGCGCACAGTCTCCCAGGCTTTCCGAGGAGCTTGGAGGAGGCTCACCTATGAGCCTCGACCGGGCTGCCGCAAATGCGTCGGGGCGACTCCAGAGGGGCCCGCGGTCCCGAAGGAGTCCCGCGCCCGTTCTGGTTTTCTCCCTGTTCTGGCGGAAGTTTGGAGCCGTCTCGAAGTGTCTGCAAAATGACAGACGGACACGCCCCAGATAGGTCAAATTTGGACAATTTCGACCCCTCCCCGGCAAGGCCCTCCGCGGCTTCATTTCTTTGAGGGGAGACGCCATCCTTCCCTGCTTAGCGAAATCAAAACCGACTTCGGCCGCGTGTGGATTCTAGTCGCCAGAGCTCCCCGACCCCGGGCGGGCTCCTGGGCTTGAAGCAGTCTGGAGCCCCCCGCTGGAGCGTTTTGAAAGACAAAGACGGGCAGCGCACTGCACTCGCCTCATAACCCACCGCCAGCCACCGCGCGGCGCCCTCGAATCTCGGGAGCGAACCAAGCACGAAGAAGACCGAGGCGGACACACTGACTGCGCACGCAGTCCAGTGCAGCCCGCCACCAGCCACCGCAGCGCGCCCTCGAATCTCCTGGAAGAGAGGAAAACGAGGAGGGAACAGAAGAGAAGACAAAGGCAACACAGGCGGGACCGCGTTGACCGTGTCAGCATTGAAGGACCACGCGCAGCCAAAGCCGCAGCACCCATCGCCATACCATGCCCCGCCCAAGTCCCTCCCTCTGCCTCTCTTGTTCTTCTCCCCGCTTCGTTCTCGCTCCTCGGGATTCGAGGGCGCGCTGCGGTGGCTGCTGGCCGCGGGCTTCCTCTCCTGCGGTTCAGAAAACCCAAGAAAAAGAAGAGAGAAGAGCCGAGACGACGCACGCGCAGCGCGTCGAAGCCTGCCCGGCTCCGGCCCCAGACTCAGCGCAAGCGGCAGGCCTGGCCCGGGCTTCGAGCATGCTGCGGGCTTCGGCCTTGCTTCGAGCTGCGGGCGTGCTTTGGGCGCGTCTGTTTGGTTTGAGGTCGGGCGGGCTCCCGTCGGGTTTGGTCGGTTTGCGTTTGGGTTTGGTTTAGGCAAGCGCCGGGGCCGAGGCCTGGCGAGCTGGGCCCGGTGTGGGTTTCGTCTACGTTTTGCCTGGGTTTGGTTGGAATAAGTTCGGCCCACGTCTAAGCTTGGCCCGGGTCTGGGTTCGGTTTGGCTTGGGCCTGCTTCGGGTTTGTCCCCGGTTTGGGTTGGGTTTGAGTTTGGGTTTTTTATTTGGATTTTTTGTCTGGGTTTTTTGTTTGGGTTTTTTGTTTGGGTTTTTTGTTTGGGTTTTTTGTTTGGGTTTTTTGTTTGGGTTTTTTGTTTGGGTTTGGTTTGTGTTTCAGTTTGTGTCTCCGTTTGGTTCGAGTTTGGTCTGTGTTTGCGTTTGGTTGATTTGGGTTTGGTTTAGGTTTGGCCCGCGTTTGGTTTGGGAGGGCTCAGAGCAAACAGAGACAAGAAGCAAGGGCGGCCCTATTTGGCTTATGCTAACTTTTTAACTTGAAATCAGCACCCTGGAACTTCTGTTCTTGCCTGTGCTGATTAGAAAAAAAAAGCAACAGCCTAGCAGCTCTTTGGTGGCCTGTAATCAGCACCCTGTGGAATTTTTACCAGTGTGGACTAGAAAAAAGAGAACAACTCACAAACTCCCCGGCGTCTTTTTAGTTGGAAATCTGATCGGATCTCGAGCACGCTGCCCCTAGCATGCCGGAGGGAGAGCACCGGCGTAACGTGAAGAACGCCCATGCTTTTGGATTCGAGTTGTTGAGTTACTTCTTGTGTGAAAAGTGCCACTTTGGGCTTCAACTGCCCAAACGGGCTCAAAATCGTGCTTCTCTCGCCATCCAATGGCCCTAGTGTGGCTGTTCAAAGATTTTCTTTTATCATGTAGCAGGTCAACAGCTGCTTTGCTTGTTCAAGTTCACAAATGTAATGCCCTCAATGTGCATTGAAGATCCAACCGAAATTGTCAAAGTTCTTTGCTTTTTCAAGCTGTTCCGGGTTATCGGTTCCTACTAGAAATAGACCTTTTTGACACAGACAAAACTTCTCTCCTTGATCTTCTTTGGGCTGCTGCTGGATCCCCGTCCCTCGGGTATCATGCCGCAGCAGCTGCCCAACGCTGATGGACCACCCCGCTCTAAGCCTTGAAAGCTGCACTGAAAACTGAAAAAAAAGACTAGTCTACAACTAAGTAACTGCAAGACGCTACGACAAGCTAACTAAAACACAAGGGAAGGTCGAAAGTACGAAAATACGTCGAACAGAAGCTAGGAACTAAACTACCTGCTGCCCACGGTGAGTTACTTAAAAAATGCAACATCGGCGATACAGTATAGATCCACCATAGCCATCACGAGGCGCCGCTACTGCGCCTTCATCGCAGTTCACCTTCCGAGTGCCCCCAACCTCAAACGCCAGATCCCCGCTCTGGGCTTACCAGCAAACGCCACCCCGCAATGGTCTTACCAGTAGACTTCTACCATAAACGCCTCAGCCGCTGTCTAGTGTTTCCTGACACTTTTGGCTTACTTTACGTTCTTCGCGAAGGCTTCGCTTCTTGTCTACCCTTTCTTACACCCTCGAGACTAAGACCCACAGCGCGGATCCACCGTCTTCTTAAGGTCAAACAACGACAACCCGCGTCGTGCAAAAAACCAACTATAACGCACGCGCGATAGCTGAGGACGTGCCTCCTAAGGCTAAGCAAACTTACGACCTTAAACTAGATGCGACATGACATCAACACAACTCAAAAAATACGTGCTGAAAGGGAACTATACTACACATTCAACATCCAACGAAAAATAATGATAAGTAGTCAAACACAAAAATAGAGCGAAAAGGAGTCAAACTAGATCAAGCAAGTTATTGAAAAAGTGAGTGATGATGCTGAAATTAATTAAATAAAACATAGATACGAAAACAAATCAAGCACAAATATATAAGACAGATACTAATCGCGGCGCAGCAGGATCTACTTCAACTATTTAGCAGGACGGTACGAAAGATAAACGATAGAAAAAACTTGCGAAAAAGAGCACTTTTATTTGAAGGTTGCGAAAGATAGGACTATAGCGGAAAAAAGAAAAAGACTGCTTGAAACAGACTAGAGCGGAGATAGCCACAGCAGGGAGCCCCCACAACACAACGCCTTCCAGGAGTCATCCGGCACTCACGTCAAGTGCTGCCCCGACTTTGCTGCTATGCTGGTTAGCGTTAGCCCATGTCTTCCTTCGTTGGTTGATCCATGACCATGAACTTCGCCCTTCCCTCCAAATCCCGATCCAAAACCCCTCCAGTTCCCATTCCAATGAATTCCCATTCCAGTTCCATCTTTGCTCCAGTTCCACTGTCTCCACTTCCATCTTTGCGAAAAATGCTCTGTGCTGCGTCACCAGTAATATAGTGTATATTCCTTCTTCAGGTTATATTTGCCGGAACATGCGATATATGTATATTCTGGCGTCGCGCCAGATGCTCACCGCGGTGCCACTGCTCGGAAAAGATATAAAACTATCACAACCAACTAAGTAGATGATCTATCAAACTTCAAGGCAGTACTTCCTTCGACTATAGATACTGAAGCTAGTTTCTCAGAGTACATGGTCCGTAAGTTGCTTGTCATTGAGCGGCCACACTCTTAACGTGTCGCCCTCGGGTCCGCTGCTGGTGTGCTTGTTGCTAACAGCGTTTTTCTTGTGTTCTGTTCATGCTTGCAGCATGTACACTTCAGCCAGAATTTGGCACTTATCTTACGTGCCTAACGAACTAATATATTGCCAAACGAAAAGCTTGAGCTGACTTGATAATTGAACACGAAAGTAGTTGGATGCGATATCATATAGGGTGGGGATGGGAATTGATAAACAATATCTAGACGAGGGGTAGACACTGAGTCATAGTAACGAACAAGTTTTATTTTTCAACGAGTACGCAGAGCAAACGAATTTTGGCTAAGCTTGTTCAGCCTGTTGCGCTTGCATGCTCTTCCAAGAGAGGTTTACGTCACGAAAAACATGCAAAGACCCTAACGAAACCCCTTGCGCAAGCGGAGTGAACTCCTTTCGGAAGTCCTCTGCTGCCGATTCCCCACAGCGTAATGCTGCGAACGATGCAACAACCTGCATGAAAACCCCTGGCCAAGGCTTAAACCCCAAGCATGCCCGGCGCGGCACATAAATTGCCGAGCCGATCATGATTGCTAACCACGAAGCCAGCTCATCTGTGACACGAATGCCATAGAAAGCCTGCCTAATGTCGTCTGCGATCATGGCCCTGCAAGTGGAATCAAAGAGAAAGTCTAACACTTCCCCTGCTATGATTGAATAGCAGTAGACATCTATGGCGATGTCGTTTGGGCCTAAGTATATAAAGACCAGTCGACCTCCCTTTTTGTTTGCCCTATTGGCTCGCATAGAGTTAGAAACGTAGCGAAGTGGCCCATGCTTTTGAATGTCGTACTTCTCTAGAATCTGCATTATGACTGCCTGTTGTGCTAGTAGATCAGACATAAAGTTTTCGTCTTGCGTGTGTCGCATTCGCTTCGGCTGCTCCCGCGGTCTCATGCCGAAGTTAAGTAGTTCTACACCAAACTCATTACACTTGTATGTACTGAGACTATGCCCTTCACGACTGTGCGTTCTATGTCCATACTGGACTGTAATCATAAAGCAGAAAACTTCTACCATATGGATCAAGTCGTCCGCGCTAAGAGTCTTGCTATCCTCAGCGGCTTTGAGAATGACGCTCATGTCTACGTAAGTGAGGAGCTGTATGTAGAGATCAGCGAGGAACGCGGGGGAGCCCTCATCGTTCTCACTAAATCTCTTTTGGAACTCTTCGTGCTCCTCTGCGGCACCCTTGAGGAGATCCGGAGTCACCGGTGGCGCATTTATTGCAGCACTGAATGTTGCAACGGGCTCACCCGGTGCCGTCGGGGCACTGGGCGATGCTTTGGGCTCATCCCCACCCTTGTCTTGAGCTGACTCTTCAGCGTCGAGCAGTTTCAGGCCAGTTTCTGGCCCTGCTCGCAAGACATCGGCACGCGTCAAGACTGGCAAGTTGGACTTTTTCTGCGAGAGTGTCTTGCAGCGCAAAAGCTTGCACATGACATCTACCCCCCTCTGGGTGATTCTACAGGGCTTGGTAGCTTCTACTTGTAAAACTAAACGACGAGAGGACGTCACTACGGTAACTATCGGCGCCTCTATGCCGTCTTTCGTAAGAATCAGGCCACGGTCGCTGTCACGCTTGTGGAGGAACAGTAAGACGTCGAGTCCTATCATAAACGGTAGGGGTACCGAGATAGTCACAGTCTCTCCTATCTTTAACGAGATGCTGTCTGTTGTTTCTGGGTCTTTCTTTGCTTGTAAAGCAAAGAAAGAACTGCTCTGGCTGATGCTACCAAAAGTAGATAGTCTCTCTCCGAAGGTGATTAGTTTGCTAATCTGGACTGTAGTGCCACCTATGTCAAACTCTATGCGAGTCCCTAGCGATCTCATCCTGCCAAGACTAATGTCGCGGTTGCCCCAAGCGACTCCAAGGTTGTCGACGCATCCACTTTGGCCTTTGTTTCTACACCATGGCTTCATGTTGTAGAGACACTGGGGCGGGGTGACATGGTAACGACCAGTGACCATGTCACGGACAAGAAACTTAGTCAGCACTACATATGGATCCAGGTCACTACTTGACCCGGTAAAACCTGCTACACGGTGGGGAAACAAACGATGCGGCAGAGTCACTCGTGGGCCGTCGGCTACCGCGAGTGTTGCGTTGCAGATGCTTCCGTGACACATGTCGAAACGCTGCCGAAGCTGTGCCCCGGTTGAACCGAGCTCCTTACGAATAGAGTTAGCCAGGTCTGACCACTCAGGACCCTGTGAGTCTAGAACTGAGAGAGACCCAACTAAATCAAAACCGGGGCCGGAGAGATCACCTGTATCAACAAGTGCGGAGAGGTCATGCTGTATGACGAACTCCCGAATCTCATCCGAAGTCCATCCCTCGGGCGGCGAAGCAGGTGTATCCCAGCGGGCAAGCATGACCATTACTCTGTCAAGTATCAGCACAGGGCGGCGACCATCTTCCTTCCCTATGTAGTACGCGCGGCGAGACTCTTCAAGAATCTCTTCCGGTGAAGGGATCCTACCAGACATCAGCTCAGCCGCAAGCACATACTTAGACTCTATTTCTGGGCGAGTCTTCGTCGTCTTCAAGTTCTGCTTGATTATGTCCACCTCCCCGATGGTCTGAAGGATTTCCTTCTCCACCTCTTTCTTCTCGTGCTGATCCCATAGCCGAATGATCTCGCTGTCAGCGTCGATAGTTGAAGACGCTTGACACATGCGGCCCTCAACGACGTCTAGTGGAAGTGAGCCGCTGAGACAATGGACTGTCTCTGTGTCATACCCGTAGGGGGCAACGTCTTCTCCTGTGACCAATGCGATCGCACCACGGCCAATTGTGCGGAAGTCGCCCACAACCTGGCCCATAGACATTCCCGCAGCCGCTCCAACAAGAAACTTTGCGGGGATCTCCGGCGCGGGGGAGTCCTGGGAGACCTCGACTGCTAAGTAGTTTTCATCGAGGTCGCGGATGTTATTAAACAAAGCGACTGACCCTACAGAAGTCTGGCCTTCAGACCAAACTACCTCTTGCGCGAGGGTGACACGCTCGGCCGAGTGTGGTCCGCCGAGCGCTGCGAAGCGATAAAGGGTCTCTTCAGAGACACAGAATCCTCCGCGCTCACCTTCAACTGAAAACACAAGACCACCGCCAGAAGACGGGTCTCTACTAGCTTCAACGCGGCGCGCGATGAAGTCTCGGTCTTTATAAGCTTCTGCTGTGCTAATCATGTCACGTAAGTACTCAAACGCTATCGCTTGATCATACCTCGACCCTACTGATTCAACGACTGCGGAGCTACTACTTACACTTTCTGCCGTGGCGTCATCCACTGGGGAACTAAAGTCTATGCCCTCGTGGCTAGAGCTAGTGACGCTGTTGAACGTTCCTACGTCGAGGAGGTCGGAGCCATCCCTGCGAACCCAGACACGAGCTTGCGGACACGCGTTAACACCTGCGCCCGCAGAGCCTGTGCTGTTCCACATGAAATAGATTGCGTCTCTGGCCTGTCCCTTCCAGAAGACTTTGCCGTCGACACGGCTGCCATAAACACAAACGGGCATGTCGGGCGTGTGGCTGTGCGACGTGAGGCAGATCACGTTCGGGCACTCGTCATGCGCATGCATCTCGACGTCGTACTGCTCTGGTTCCATCCCTTGTCCTCGCGCACGATGCGCGTAAAAAGAAATGGCCCCTGGGGGAGTTCCAACACGACGAACACGGAAGTGGTCCATCACTGGAAGCTGGTCCACATCAGAGCAGTTGTGGGCTAACTGCTGGGCGGAGACCGGCCCTTGGATAACATCATCTTGGAGCGGGCGCGTACCAAGGGAAACCCAGTCACCTACGAGGAACTCAACGCGGACGGCGATGTGCGGCGCGAAAATTGCAAACGCTACCTGGTCACGCGTAGCAGGCTGCATGCGTTCCCAACGCAATGCTCGGGGGCGCAGTGGGTATGCGCGACCACCTGCGTGAACGGTTACGACCGTTTTGACACCACCAAGCAAAGCCTCAAACAAGCCATGCTGTGGATGATAGGCGAGGCACACTTGCTCCTCGTCTGGAAGTGCTTTCTCAGGCATCATCAACCCATACCTTGCGGTAGTTTGACGCCTGAGCATTCGCTGCACTTTCGGCTGTAGCACAGCTCTGACGAGATATAAGTCAGCTAATCCGACTACAGCACGTTCTAACAAGTACTGAGACTGTCTATCTGGAAGTAACCATCTAAAATTTATACCACCAGTAGGGATGCAAGCCATCTTAGCGTTAATCATTTCCACAAAGTCTGCCTTGTCAAGTGCTAACTGTTGACCTACTTCAAACAAGTCATACCATAAAGCCCGATAGAGAAAACTTAAAGGCCCCACAGTTGCCGTCGCCTGCTCTGGTGCGTAATATGACAAGATGGGAACCTGCGTCCTGATGGCATCATGTCCCAGCATTCTCTTGCCGCGTACGTGGTTGTCACTAACAAAGATCTCAGTTGGTTTTACTTTTACTTGCGTCTCAAACCTAAACAAAAGAGCCTCTGTCTTTCCTGCTGGGAGTGTTAGACTATCATTATGAGAATTACAAACCATCTCATAAGGATCCTCGCCTTGGTTACGCAGCTGCGCTTCTCTGCTGTCATGCTCAGGAAGCTTTCGCGACCCGAGCTTCAAGACACCATTGCCCCATGGAAGATAGAACATGTCTACCTCCCAATTGCTGGCAAGTGGGACACGAAGCGACTCCTTCTTTTTCGGATGCATTCTGTTGAATGCGACACCCCTACACTTGCACCGTTCTACGATGATCTTTCTCACTCGTTCCTCTTTGACCTGGTATCCAGCGATCTGAAGAGTAATGGCTAGACTACTCGCCGGCCTGTGCTCATCTTCAATATGGATGAAGAGTATATCGTCATCTGTGAGACGCTTTTCTTTCTTTTCCTTCAGCTTTCTCACTGCGTCTGGCAGTCCTCCTAACTGATCGCTCTCGCGGATCAAAGCGCGATAAATCTCCTGAACTTGTTCCTGCGTGATCTTGCGCCTCTCGGGGTCCTGCATCTTCGTCTCGAAGTCCTGCGCGGCTGTTGCGCTCGGTCCCGTCTGTTCTACGGGTTCACAGGTGAGGCCTTGCTCTTGCTCTTCCATATTCTGGTCTAGGACTGGGTCTGAGTTGGGCACTTCGCGCTCGTGAGAACTGGAACCCTGGCCAGGCTCGCTGGCCGGAGCGTCACCTGCGCAAAACGTCGACAAAGATCTGAAGAGCCCCTCCGAACTAGGTGGATCCCTGCCACCACAGAGGAGCTGGAGGCGCTTGGGATCAGCTTCGTCAAGGACGAGGTGAAACGGCCCAGACCCCGATACAAACGAGAGGAGCCCATACCGCAGTAGGACACTTCTCGGAGTATCGCGGCCTTCTGTCTTCGGTTCTAATTCTACCACCACGAGCGGCTTGAACGATTTATTTACGTCAAAACTCTTGACGAAGCGAGGCTCGACTCGGATCGTTGAAAAAGCGAAGTCGTAAGTGAAGTCTGCTTCTTGCTGTCCTAGGAACTTATACAGACGCCTCCTGCAGTCTGTGGCTACATAGGTCGCTAAGGGGTACTTCTTTGACGCTTGTGGGTGGTCCACGAGCCCGCCATACTTTGTGGCAGGATCAACAACACAGACTCCGAAGTTCTCACTTAAGAAGCTAAACACATCTGCGAGACCACAAACAGGTGGGCCGCTGGACTGGAACAGGGTCCAGTCTGTCTTCCATGCATTTTCGTCATCGGTGTCTTCTCCTTTTCTGGTGTTTCTACGACGCAAGACGCACCCTGCTCGGGTGAGGTCGTCACCCGCTGTGTCAAAGAAGCTATCGCGGACACTGAACGAGTCGACGCGATCTGCTACTGTGTGGAGCCTGGTCTCTACTGCCGCGAGCTTTGCTGGCGGCACATCTGTCAGAGTGACTCTTCCTGTGCTGGTGTCAGTCTGTTGCTCCTTGTCGTTGGTTCCAGCCTCGAGTTGCATCCATTCCCATAGGGGAGCAGATGGCCACTCTTCTGTCAAAGCGTCGAAGACTGGTCTGTCTTCAAACTCGTCGACGTCATGCTCTTCCTCGCTGCCGTCGCTACCTGGGACTGACTCAGACGGGGAAGATGCGCTAACATCCGCTGCGTCTATGCTTACAGAAGACATGCCTGCCTGTCGATGGGGCTGACGCTGGACCAACAACTTCTCTCCCGCTTCTTCAAAGCGTCGCTTCTCTTCCTCGGTGATGAGGGCCCTTGCCTCACCTTGTGGCGATGCCGCAGGAGATTCGGGGAAGTCAAGATGCGGAAAAAGTTCCTTCCACACTTCCTTGGGCTTGCAGAGGCGTTTCTGTGTGTGCGTACGCGCACAGACAAGGTTCCTATGCAGCCGCGACTCCATGTCAGGAACAAAGGACTCGTTTGCGTGGAGACGCTTGAGCCCCGGCTGACTAAAGAATCTAAACACGAACTGCAGCAACGTGTTAGCTGCTTTCTCGCTGCAACGGTGCTGCTCAAATTCGACGTCAATCACATTTGAGCTGTCCTGTAGAAAGTAGCGCGGGTAGATGCTATACTTGCAGTCTATGTTCTGATAGTATCCAACTACGCCGCAAGCTTCTAGAGTCGTGCTCTGCTTTTCCTGGAACTCTTTCGCAAGTGGCTTCTGACGGAGATCGTGGATTCTAATTACATCAGTCAACTTGATGTCTTTGTCGTCACTAAGCCATGCCTCGCGGTCAATGGTTAGAAACAACCCAGCCCAACCTCTCTCGGAGGTATCGCTTGCGCCAAACGGGATCCACTCACCGCTCTCGAGCTTCTCCCTGTCCAAAGGACACAGCGGGGAGATGCTCGCGCAGAAGATCACGATATTGAGTTGGCGGATGGCAAGCTCATTGCGGGCAATCTTGAGATAGTCTGCCAATGGCTTTCGCGCCCAGGCTCCAAGAATGGAGACCACTGCTGGGTAATGCAACAGCAAAGACTGTGGAACAAAAGCCAACTTGCCGAGTAAGCGACGCAACATGCGGGGCGTTGGTGGCAACCGTGCACACTTACAAATGTCCCAGACACGCGACTCGGGGACAATCTTCCAACCACTCTTGATCAAGAAGCCGCAGACCTTCTCACAACACGACAAGAAGTGCCCCTTGTCAACGCCAAACTTGGCACCGACACGCACTGCTTCTCCAAGAATGAGCAGCTTCTTTAGCAGTCCGTCCCAAAGGGTCCGGCATGCGGCATTAAGGTCGTCCATCATCAATTGCATAAAAGCCTTTGAATCTAGATAACCTTGCATCACCTCAGGCGAAGACCACTTTGCCATGAGCTCGCAGGCGCCTGCTTTCTCAACGGCGCCCCAAAGCTCTGAGTAAGCTCCACTAAACTTTGCGCGGAAGTTGTCGTAGTCGAAGCTAGGTGAACCGGGAGGGCCCGTCACTGAAGATTCGGGGCCCGCGGGATCACCCTCTTCACCCTCTGCGTCACTGTCCTCTTCTTCTAGAAAGGGATCTTCGTCACTTCCGAGAGGATTCGCGTCTTCTGCGGAACCTGAGGCGAACCGCTTTGCAAACCCTTCAGGAAATAGCATGTCAACCATGACAGGCCTATGATCCCCCACGTCTCTACTGATGTGATGGAGAATCTCTGCGTTCTGTAAATATGGAACTAGCGAACTCTCCACATAGATGCTGTCTATGCGAAGACCTTGGTTAACTTTAGACAACCGGTAGGGTATGTAAAACATACTAAAATGACCACGGGCGTCGGGGTTCAGATGCGCCCAGGCATCTACTAGGCCGTGCTCTTGGAGGATCTCTCTTACTGGAGCCCTATCTTCTTTCTCACGCCATGCTAGACGGTCGGCCGCGAGGCGTGGGTGGTCCCCTACGTCTGAGTCGTTCAAAGCTACATTAAGGTCGGCAATCATTATTATTGGACGTCCACTATAGAGCTTCTTGAGCTCGTGAAGATAACCACTGAAATGCTTACCAAACTCTAACGCACCCTCAAGGTCAGTTCTACTAGGCCAGTAGGCGTTAACAACTATACAAAATGGATAGACCGTGTGGGAACATCGGCCATCCTTCGTAATTCCACGACCAACCATCTCTGGAGCCATGGGGCTGTCCGCATTGACAAATACCGCATTGCCATGCCGTGGCCCATAGTCCGAGATAAAGACGTGCGGAGCGTAACCGAGCGCAGCTGCACTCTTCTCCACTGAGTGGAGGGACTTTGGCGAGACTTTAATCTCGTCAAAACCATATAGATCCGCGGAGAGCTCAAAGAGCGCATCAGCACTCTCCTTTCTCTTGGGACTGGTCAAGAAATCACAAAGAGAATCCGGATTGTAGCCTATCAGTCTAAAGTTGTAACTGTAGATCTTTCCATCTACTGCTGTTCTCTCGTGTACACGGCCGGTTCCAGCAATCCCCGGGATTGCTGGCCGCTTTGCTAGTCTAGTTTTGTTCATGACAGGAACTGCGGTAGGGTCTACTTTTGCGTTTGACATCGCGAAGCGCTCTGGCTCGATGTCATCGCAAAGTACTAAGCGCGACCTCTGAGGGGTATTCATGGTGATTAGCCTAATGAATAACTCGTCTAACTTTGGAAAGGCGTGCTGCACTATAGGCCTACTCTTACTCAAACAAGAAGAGAGCTCCTGCGGTGGCCTGCTGTCATCCACAATATGAAGCAGCGTTCGCGCGCCTTGCGCCGCGCGATGTACTCCATACCGACAGTGGATGAGGCTTCGGCCACCAGAGCTGCATCTTCGGAGGAGCCAACGAATGCCCATCCGAAGCGACCTCATGTTGGATGCCGTGACACCAGCGGACTGCCCGAAGCGCAGGGCCGCGCGCTTTGTGTACTCTACTGCGCTGTCTGCTATTTCAATATTTGAAGTACAGTTTAGAACGTTATCAAAGAATCTTTTCTGCCCATAAGTGCCAGCTTCCTTGTCGTTCGCGTCTCTGGCCAGAATTCCGCCAACCCATATCTCGTGGCCGTTTGGTAGGGTGTACACGTGGTTCGCATCGCAATACCACACGCCACTCACATCAAACGACACTGCGCCAAAAGCGTTGGGGTCGAGTGTGGCGGAGTTCTCCTCTGTCGCACTCGCAGGCCTGGCATCGCCAAGGACTGCCGCGACGGCATCTTCGCAAGATGCGACTCTCTCTTCACCGGAAACATCTACATAGAGGAGGTCTTCTAGCTCGTCATCCACTAAGTTATTGAAGGTCGCAGCAGACGACTCACGCCACCGAAGAGCGTCCTCAACATCCCATAGGGGGGTAGCTACGTCGAGAAGTATACTATCCAAGTTATCAGAATTCGGAGACTCTTCTTGAGGTTCGACGTCTGCTCCCTGAGCAGAGTTGAACTTCGTCTCTTTTACTTGTCCAGAAGTAGCGTCGATGAGCTCTACTAAAGGGATCACTATCGAAGCTATAGGACGCGTCTCTTCGGTGGTGGTCTCTTTGGTGGTGTGCGTCATCTTAAGCTCTGCCAAGTCAAATACAGGAGAAGCTTCTGAAAGATTTACAAATAGCGGCTTTTTCTGTACTGATCGCTCGTGTTGTAAGATAACAGATAAAGACGAACCTCTCGAAAGTGCAACGTTCTGTCGCCTCTTGTCACTGCCGTGCCCAGTAATCCCACCCGGTGGAGCTAAGTTGCAAAAGATGACGACTTGTCGCTCTATACCTTGCGCGGCATCGACTGTTAGTCGTTCAACTTGCGACAGAAGCGGGTCTTTGCCCCAACTATCGCTGAATTTGTAAGTATTCAAAATACAAATCTGCGAAATAGGAACGCCGAGCGCTACACAGTGGCTCACTACCTTTCGCGCCGCCTCCAGCGCAGACAGTGAGTCATTGGCCGGATGCGGTACGAAGTCGCTTGCAATGGGGATCCGCCCCCACGGGGCAGAGAACGCAAACTGCGCCTCCGCGGGAGCGGAATCACCTGACAGAAGACGCCCCTGGTACATTTCTTGACTCAAGAATCTTGCTACATCTGGGTGTAGTCGGTACTGCGTGTTCAGAAAGGTAGAACCTTCGGGACAAGATGCGCACAGACGCTCCATCAACGACACACACAATGAGGAGACGTCTTCCTTCTCATACATCTCATCACCAGGAACAAGACAAAGGTCGTCAACACCTGGCTCCCAATTGAGAGTGGAAGAACTGGGCTCGGGCGCTTTCCATCTCGTCAACGGACGAGTTGCCAAAACCGTTGGCGGAAGCTGACACGGATCCCCAACTAGTGTAACAGAACGGGCGAACGCTAAACCACACATCATGACGTTCTCTGCGGTCCGGGCTGCTTCGTCAATGATCGTGTGATCGGGGACGAACAGCGCAGCTTCGTGCGCGTTGCTAAGGGTGCTGCAGACCACACCTCCATCACGGCGGACAACCGCGCGCAAGTCTTCTAGACATGCCTTTCGAGATGCGGAATATTTCTTGAGGAGACTCTCTCGAAGTGGTTGCCTCTTTTGCTCTGCCTGTTGCAGAATCCGACGGAACAAAACATACCTACCCCAGCACGAGACTGGCCGTCGTTTCGCAACTTCCGTCGCGATTGACTCGAAGTCACAAGCTAGCGACTTTGCTCTATCCTTCCTCATGTACGTCTTGGAGGAGAACTTTACTACGTTGACGCCGGTGCTGCCTAGTCTCTTAGACACTGAGTTCAGAGGCTCATTGCTCTCTGTCGTGAAATGGATGACATTCCGAGAAGGTCCACACACTCGAGCCTGAATGGCTGCACTAATGCAGCGCGACTTTCCTGTCGCTGGAGGTCCATGAACAATAGACACCGTTCCGGGCGGCGCAGTTGCCATGGTTCGCACGGCATCGCGGCTCGCTCCTGTCAACTTTGGGTCGACACTCTCTACTAAGTCGGCGTCGGCGCCTGACGTAGACGCGACGCATCGGGTATCAGCACGATACACAGACGACGCCTCGAGTGGACAGATCGATCTTGGATTCGCTGCTGCTGCCTCGACAGCCTGCAGGTACTTCTCAGCCGACGACTTTGGCGTGAGATAAAACTCTACTTCTTCCTTTTGTAGTTGCTTTTTCTGCAACTCCTTGAACAGAACTGCACCAACCTCAAAGACGAGGCAACCGAAGGTGGACTTCAATTCAGACTTTGAAGCAACTAATGTGGAGCCGTCTTCCTTCCGAAACAACAGAAGAGGCAACTCGCTTAAGCCTTTCAATGGCTCACGCGCACGACGTCGCAACTGCAAGTCTCGGGGATCAAACTCAACAGTCGGGCTACCAATTACGGGCGACGCAACCTTAAAACTAGTATGAGACAAAGCGTAGCCAACGGCGTGCCGGCGACGCTCATGCGCAGCTTCAGCTAACGAACACAGCCGCAAACGCTTAAAGTACTTGTCCACTGGGGGCTTCTCTACAAAATCTAACACGGGCAACACAGCTGCAGGCGCGCCTTCAACAACCGAGGACATCGTTGGACTGATGTCGGGCAACGCGGGTGGGACCTCTGAAAAAATAGAAGACGAATCACTCTCAACACGGGAGAGATTACAGTCGAAACCTTCACCAACACTCAACGAAACACTTTCCGAAAACAAAGAGTTAGAGCAAGGCGACCTGACTGCGCCTTCGACAGGCACACCTGGGCCACAAAAATCGGATGCACAATCACCAAGCTCAACGGAGGCGGCTTGACTACAAGCTTCAGACAAAGCACTCCGGTCACAAGCTTCAAGGTCTACGGACACACTGATATCAGCAGCGGCTGAACCAGACGAAAACAAACCTGAACTAAAGCTAATACGACTACGGTCTTTTGGTGAACCATCATCAGAGACGGCTCGCAAACGGGGAGAAGATCCTACTGCGTCTTCTTCTGGGTCTAAAAAGAAACTACCTTCGAGACTGTCAGCCATCATCTCGCCGACAAGAACGTCCAAGAAATCTTGCGTCACTGTACGTTGGGACATTGTGCTGGAGGGGGTCGGAGGCGATGCCCCTTCAAATCCGACCCCACTCAAAAACGCGGAAACTTGTCACTCTTCTTCCACATCTTAAAGAGCTCTACGAGATTAAGACTAGATAAGACTTTATTGACGTTCTTGACAAAAGCGATGTCATCTTCTCCGCCTCCCGTCTTCTTCACGTCATTAAACGTGAGGGGGAGTCGGGCATCGATTTTGCCGTCAGGTGGACACTTGTACTCTTGCGGGTTTTGAAATTCATACTGTTTGCCAACTTCCATGACTTCTTTGCATGAAAGACCGCGAAACTTCTCGTATGAATTCTTATTCGAGCTACTGAGTTTCGCACAGTAAAGCTCGACCATTTTTGCAACACTGTCCCTAGAGAAAGTGTCTGGCTGGGTACCAATGAGGCCCTTACCTATCCAACGTCTGAAGTCCTTGTCAAAGCAGAGGTGTGCCCTTGTGCAACGTGACCGGGCGGGGCACGTCCCAAACAGCCACAGGCCGCACGCTCCCATCGCGTCAGTGGCTATCTGAGATGGACCCGCGACCACCTTGTTATCTGACTGACGAACACAAACAGGCAGCAAGCTACCATCTGGCTGCGGGCGATATTGGACATAGTGGGTCTTGATGCCCTCACGCCTGTAAGCACCAACGTTGAAGAGATCCGCTACTGGGAGGGCGGGGAGGTCGTTCTGGTCCTCCGAAACAAAGAACTTTGCGCCACCTTCACCTTCGCTTTCGGACCCATCAGACGGATCGCCGAAGATCGAAAGATCTAGGGCGAGGCCCGGATCTTTTTCGGGCCCAGGCGCTGCCATGTGGGCCCTACCCGTACTAGTACTGTTGGGGAACGAAGACGAAGAACGACTTCTAGGGGGCGCCGGGGGCACAACCGCGGGTGGCGTAGGGGTTGGCGAAGACTGCGTCTGACTTGTGTCTTGGGCTAGGCCTGCTGGCGCTGGCGCTGGACCAGGGGCCCCTAAAGCGCGAACTTTGTGCTGATCACTAGTCAGAAACTCCTCTACTGCAAACTCGTTAGTAAAACTCTTGTCGTCAAGTTTACATAGTTCACGCGTGTCTTTTAGCCAGTACAAGACTGAGGCTACTGCTACTAGAGTGGCAATGATCTGTCTGTTTCTAAAGCCTACATGTGCTTGGATCGCTCGTGGGTATACTTGTGAAAAAGCTTCTTGTAGTTTTGAGCGACGCCTAATTATCTGATCTTCCAACACGGCGCACTCCATGCGGCCGATGTTTTCGCCGTGGATCAATTCAGGATCACATCTCAACCGGTAAAGGATGCAGCTGTGAACCTGGCGCCGAAGAGAGACTAATCCCTCTTGAGGGGGTTGGAAGATCTTCTGCACGTAAGCGTTTACACTCTTAACCAGAACTCTTCTAGCTCCTGACGACGAGCCGGCTTCGCGGGCGCTCACCTGGTCGCCACGTAGCTCGGCCACTGCATTCGAGAACCCGATCTGAAAACGGTCACCAAATGACTTGTCTTGGTGGTCTTTAGCCGCATCCCTTATACAGTCGGCGATTGTGTTTTGGTGTTCACCCACCGAAAGGATCGCCTTATACCCACAACCGTAGAGGGCACTACGATCGGTTATGTGCAACTCATTGGCGACATCTGTCAGCCATGCACATATCAGGTCCACATCAGTTCGCCACTCCTTGTCGTCGGTGCTAAGCTTGGGGAACTTTGACAAAAGATTATCACCCAGCTTGATATCATTTGAGTGTAGATTCAGAGTCCTCTTGCTCACCCTCTCTTTCGGGAGGCGAATGTCTTCAAGACCATTCACAAAAACACTCCCAGGAGCCTGGTGGCCAGCACTGGGAACAAACAAGTAGTTCTCCGGTACTCCGGCTTCTCGTGCGGAGCACACCAGCACCTCCTGAAAGCGGTCGGATGGAATGTCAACCGAAGTCCCAAACTTGGCCACGGCGTTTGCCAAGAAAGGACTCTCGTGGACGGTGAGGTACTCTTTCTGCTGCAGCCGGGTGATCAGCTTCTCCATCAGCGCGTGTGTCGTCTTGTCACCACCTGCTGAGAGGTCTCCCAGACTTTCTAACAGATCGCCCTTGTTGTTGTCGTTGCTGTTGTCGTTGTTGACGATGCTGCTTTTGGAATACCCTTCCAGCCTACTGGGGGGGATTCCACTCTGAACCTGGCCTAGAACGCTGCTGCTACAACCTCTCCCGACCCTGGTGTCCTTCGTTCTGTTGTTTCTGTTGTTGTTGTTGTTGTTGAAGAGGCCACCGCCGCTCTTCGTGGTACCCTTTGACGCATTCTCTCTGTTGTTACGGAAGACTGAACTCCCACCCCCTACGCTTATGTCTTCTTCCTGCTCCTGTTCTTCTCTGTCCTGTCCTCCTCCTACTGAGAAAGAATAGATGGAGTCTCCTGTCTGGTGCGCCGCGAGTTCCTGCTGCTTTAGATCATCGATGTTGTCGATATCGGATAAGCACTCTTGGAGCCAACTGTCCTCAGGCTCGTCGTCGCTGACACTGTCACTGTCGCTGTTCTGGGCCGTGTTGTATCTTGCTCTTTTCGAGCCCCCTCTGCTCGGGTCTGTGCTACTGGAGCTTCCGCCGTGCTGGTAGTTCGGGTTTGTGGTTCTGCTGCCGGCTTCAAACCTCGTCTCTTTAGTTACGACTACGCGGCTATCTATGCCGAGAGCGGCGCAGACGTTACTGCAGATTTCCTCCGGGCGGGTCCCGCTCTTCTCCGGTTTCGAAAGGAACCAGACAAGGACCCGTCCGGTGGTAAAATACTGCGCCAGCACCTCTCCCTTGTCAGCCGCACTGCTTGGGATTAGGATCTCCACCCAGCGCGGCCGACCGCCAGGAGAGCCCATTTTTGACCTGGTATAATGACTCACACGGCCGGCCTGTAAGGCGGAGTCCAGTGTCTCCTCCGACAAGTAGGCCGATCGCATGCCCGGTCTGAGTCCTTCGACCCAGCCAAGCCGTCGTCGCGGCTCTTTCGGGGCGTCGCCCCGGCTGGGTCGGGTCGTTGGGAACTTGCTGTAGTCCAGCGGCATTATCAGCCTGCGATCCCACAACTAGGACGTAGAAATTCTAAACCACACGAGGGCCTTAGAAAGTTTAGAATTTAGAAAGTTTAGAACTTGTAGTGAGATCCCTGCTGACTGAGTGAAGGAACTTTTTTTTTTTTTTTTTACAGATTACCTACCACAAGACGGGCTGTAATTATTTACCGAAAGAAAAGACTAAAGGTGGGTTTAGATTATTTAGATTATTGCTGCAAATGGAAAGTCACAAAGAAAAGGAGTACCCTGATGCCAAGTGAATACTTAGTATGAGAACCTCGACGATGAGAGTACCCCTACCGTATTGCGCCTACCGTATGCCCACCGGGTACCGGATGCCCACCGGGTACCGGATGCCCACCGTGTGCCACCGTGTCCGCCTAGCTAGGCCATAACAGACTGCTCCTTAACACTTTCAAAGTCGAAACGACCTCCAGGTAGTGGCTGGATCTTTGCCAAGCCCACTACTACTAGCTGATATAGATTACTTAGGATTTTCTAGTACTCGAAGGCACAAGATAATATACAAGAAAGCCAAAGGTTTCTGTTTAGAACTCGACCCCACAGTTATAGGATTTAGATTCTTTCTTTCTAAACCCGAGTGTTGTGGTTGCCTGTCCTATTTGAGTAGCGCCGGACCTTTTAGTGCTTCTAAACACAGCACTAAAACTAGAAGGCCTCGTGACCACAACAGGAATGCCGCAGCACCTCTTGGCCCAAGAATCCCCGCGCTCCTAAATCTAGCTTAGACTTGGATTTGGAACTTTGCCAAATCCAAAGGAGCAGGCGAACGACCAATGATTTAGATTATTTAGATTTTTTTAGGTTTGCCTTGTGCTAGTAGTGTAGCAGTCAAATCTGAAGCATCACCTCGCTGCTGCTTCGCGTGAGGAAGCCCTTAAGGCTGGATATGGGTGTAGATTGTTTAGGCCGTGACAGAGCGATGGATTTAGATTTTCACAATCTAAATCCCAACGACAGCAAAATTAGGTTTAGGCTTTCTCTAAGCACACGGCAAGTTGTGTCTACCTCGCCTACTTGAGTTATCACCTGACCTTTTAGTGCTCCTAAACACAAAACTTAATTTAGATTATTTAGATTTGGGACACTAGGTTCCAAATCGCAACAACTACAGTAACAAATACAGCCACAAACTTGGATTTAGAACTTTGCTAAATCCACAGGTAGATTTAGAACTTTGCTAAATCCACGCTATGAGTACAGAACGTTGATCGGGTACGATCAACCAATAAAATTTAGAATATTTAGACTTTCCACGAGGAGAACCGCGTTAGAGACGTAATTTAGATTATTTAGATTTTACAACAGAGGGGAAATGTAGATCATGCGGGTGTTGGTCTTTACCCGGCTCAACAGCAACGCAAGGAGGAGGCTACAGCCTTCGATTTAGAGCTTTGCTAAATCGAAAACAACAGCAACCGCTGAAACTTCTGACTTGGGTCTTTGCCAAGTCTAACCGTGTAGCTCCGTATTGTAGATTATTTAGATCTACCCCTTTGCTAAATCCAAGCGCTAGCCGGGAGATGAGACAAGATAAAGATTTTCTTCAAGGCCCCCCCTTAGTACCCACTAGAAATTTAGAAAATTTAGAATATTTAGATTTCAAACAACCGAGATGCAAGCACTTCTTTGGATTTGGATCTTTGCCACAAATCCGCTAATTTAGAAGATGTAGATCTTTGCTACACCGTAATTCGTAACTCATAAGGCCGTAAGAGTCTCCAGGGCCATAAGATTAAGGACCCTAAACTGCCCTTTTGTGTTTGTTCTCGCTTCTTAAGGACGTGAGCACTTATGTGTCCCTTCTAAACACAAACAGCAGGGGACTTAGATTCTGTGACAAATTTAGATTATTTAGATTGTGCCCGAGGGCACCGTAGATTTAGATTCTGAGAATCCAAACCACAACTACGACAGTACTGCCTTGCAATATGTAGAAAGTTTGGAAGTGCTGCCTTTGGTATATATGGCGATACTGCTCCGCCACCAGCCGCAAGCAGGCACCGGAAAACGATCGGTATATGTTGTCTGTTCACAAGTTCCTACTTTCCTTTCTTCTCGTTGGTTCTTCTACAGGCTTAGGATTGTGAGTGGATCTGACGTCCGCGCCCGCAGGTCTGGCTTCTCAACCGAAGTTTCTACTTTTCAACCGAGATGTAGCGCCATCTTCTCAGCTCTTCCTATCCTCGTCTACATTTGTTTTCTTCTCGCATTGTCATCCCCTCATCGCTCTTCTCATTCCCTCATCACTCCAAGATCTCACTTTTCTCGCCTTCTAGCCCGACACTTTGCTTTCTTCTTCAAGAACTAGAACACAAGGCCATCGGAGTACATGCGCGATGAGGAGAAGGCAAATCACACACAAACTTCCAGAATTCAATACGGTGGAAGTTTTGTGCTGACTGAAAAGAAGACCCCAGCGTTGCACACTAGGGAAGTACTGAAAACGACGATAAAACTGCGGGTGAGACTACGACAAGACGATGAGATATTATTTGGCGCTGAATGAAACTACAAGAGAGCAACGCCAGCTATACCGACAACACGGCGCGGAAATGACTCCTAGATTGCCGCTCTGTCTCTCTCAGTGAAATACAAAAAACCCAACAGAAGATGATGAATAAACGATGAAGAGGTGATAAATAAATGATGAAAAATGATAAATAAAGGATGAAAATTTGATGAAAAAATGATGAACAAATAATGAATAAATGATCAATAGTTGAGGAATAAAGGATAAATAAACGATGAAAAATGATGAAAAAAGATGAATAAATGATGAATAAATAGCGAATAAATGATGTATAAATGAAGAATAAGCAATGATGAATAAGCGGTAAAATGTTGAATACATGACGAATAAAATAATAAAGGATGATCGAGCCAAGTTAATATACTCAAAGTTTACGCCTCGATAAACTCGAAAGTGAAAGAGTGAAAAATGGTAAGAATGCAAAAACTAAAAACTTGCTGTCGTTATGAAAAGACTTCTAGTTGCATCGCCGCAATGGCCCCCACTCGCCGTCTTCTCAGTCCTTCAGCATTCTCATCCCCTCTGCTAAAGTGTCTGCTGTAGTCGTTGCTCGACATTCCGCTGCGGTCTTTGAGCGCTATAGGCAAGACCAGTGACTGCCAACAGGAAAAGCGGCGCGCCTGCAAACGGCCATCCGCTCAACAGCGGTCGGGCCCACCAAAATTGTGCTCATCTTTCTCTCTCTCGCTCG